TTGTATAGTCCGTGGTGAAAGTTGTATCGCATGGCATTTCAGAGAACTGACCAACAGTGGCAAAGTTCATTGTCTTGTAAGGTATGACCTGGGGCCGGTCGCCTGGTGATCGGGTTACCATTGAGGAAGTTGCGTATGGTATAACACATGGAATAACAATAGCATTCGAGAGGGTCGGCTCATGTGGGAACTGGAGATGTGATAAAAGCTCAAACATGATATCCTCGCCATTGCAGGCCGTCATGGGCTTTCGGATATAATCACCTTCTTGCTCTGACGCAAGGCCATATCCCCAGAGTACTTGGACATTATGAGGCTGTTCCGGGAATACCGGCTGCCGTGGGACATTCAAGCTTAATTTCCAGCTGCTTCCAGCAAGAGTCGTCAATGCTCCTTCTCCTGGTTGATTATTGGTCAATTTGGTAAACAGCCGTAAGAACAACGGGTCTTTCAAGGTAATAGTAAACGTAACAAGTCTCGTCTCCGAGAGGCGAGAATGAAAGTTTAGAGGATTTCCGAATTGCCGACCATGCTGAGAGATTCCATCCCACAAAGACCATGGACCTTGGTCTTGTAGTTCTTTTGGGATTACTGGACAATGTGCAGGCGCGCTTACATTTGAGCCAAGCACCGAGGTTGATCGTGAGGGTCCAATGTTGACAATGACAAGGTCTCTTGGATATAGAGTCATTGTGTTCGTTTCTCCGCGTTTCTCGGAGCATAGCGTGAGCTGTGACGGTATGAGGGCACCATTGTCATGGGTACGAAATGACAGGCCCGTTTTGGTAGATTGGATAAACTGTACACCTTCCGCTCTGAGGTAGTCGACGATCGGAACTATGATAGCTTCCTGGAAAATATACTGCAATTGACCGAATACAGGAGCGGTGTTGAATTGCTGGACGTCCTGTAAATATTTTAATAGATGTCTCCTGAACTCCGACGCGCTATGCCATGATTGCATTGCAAAGCTGGATTTAGAACTCTAATTAGCGATGGTTTGCAAGGTACTCTGGAAGACTAACGTAGTTGACCACAGTATCCAAAATGTCGAGTCAAAGAATTCACTGTCGAACACCTGTCTGATACTTTTCTCGCCCAGACTGTCTTCACTCTCCATCATAATTCTTGCGACGTCCAGTCGATCTTTGAGGCGCATACCCCACTTTCTGATATCCAATGGCTTGGGACCTGACTTATCCGGGCCGATGACTCGACTCCATGCACCTTGATGAGACGGTCGTTCTCCATTTACCTCGTTGAGTGCATCAATCAAAGTCTCGCCAGGATGCAGAGGGCGAGGCACAAATGAAAGCAGATGTTTTACACACGGTTCCTGAAAGCATGGCTGAAGCCCTGCATGAATGGTGTAGCCGGACTGAGCGTTACCGTACGTACTGCTACTGTGCCTAAATTCCCCCTCTGACTCGATGATAAAGATACGTAGACCCGGAACTTCTGCTTCGTTTATCAAGTGAACTGCAGCTGCTAGGCATCCCATTCCCCCTCCAAGCAGCCAGAGATTCACCCCCGAAGGATCACGTTGTTGTGACATAATCGGTGGCTGGGATGCAATTTCCAGGGTTGTCAAACTGGGGACGGCTCGTCAAAGTCGGATAGTAATGAATGGGTTGAATCTGAGGTGGGGTAACATCAGAACAGACTGTCAATTCAAGGATATGAGCACTGCGGAAAGTGGACATCATATAGGATGTCAGCTACCACACAAAACATGTCTCTTGAATGCCTTTGGAAACGCAGACTCGCACCCACTCTACCTATGCATAAAAGACATTTTTTACCGTAAAGTAAGTAGCCCCGACATTAGGTATGTTACGGTTCAGAGGACCCCATCCCTGCCTTGATGATGTACGTAGTGACTCAAGCAGATCATGAGATATCTTCTTAATACGAGGTTTAAAGTTTGAATATCCGTCTGGAGAGAGATGGCATTCCATGGGTCATTGAGAAAGCTGAGTCTTGACCCCCGATTGCACGGAATGACATCATCGGAAACATGATAGCACCATGCATGAAGAGTTGCGCTGATGAGATATCCCTGCTATACAAAGCGGTACGTATGGAGCCTAGGCAACACCAGAATAGCTCTGCCTTTATCCACTTCTTCGATACAAGGTATCACAGCTATGCCAAAAGCATCGACTCTTACAACAGTCTATAACATACAAATCGAGTTGCGATGTCTTACGGCTTGTGTGGTCTTGTGTGGTCTTGTATGTCAACAACACTAATTGGGCATGCTCATTGTTAAGTGGACGGTCGGACAGCCAAAACATATCGTCTTGGCTTTCCCATCATACCAAAAGATCCCTTATTAACAGTTGATCAATACTATAGAAAACAAGTCACATGCAGGATTCCACAGCGCTGGGAGAACAAACAGCACGGTTGGACATTAATATGTAAACTTCTTGCAGAGAGAACTCAGGGATAGCGCAATTCGCATTGTCGAAAGACTCAGTCCTTGACATCTCAATCATCGTAGGTTGCAGTTATTCCATAGCGAGCAGTATTCCCGATACCAAAATTTACAGCAGGCCCGGTCTCCAAGAGGTATAACGGTTCTTGTCAAACATTAGTCTGTACGGTTTCAGGTTGCGCTACGGGTTGTCTAAAGGCAGGTTTCTTTAGCACTATCTCTTTTTGAAGAGAAGAAAAGAAAGGCAAGGAATCGGTAGAACGTTACTAGATGAGAAATAAATACCTTTTGAAATGGCCCAGCTTCCGTAGACTTCTCCTAGTTCTTCCGTTCTGATCACCACCACCTTTCGGATATTCCAACACCACGTAAAGGCCCTATATTGACCATTAATATGACATCTGCAAGGGAAGGGGATATTGGCGTTTTACAAGTATCGCACTTAGGAGACATAGAATGCCAGCTATGAAGGCAAATGCCAAGTTTGCACGCCATCGCGGGCAGTAGGTGGTGTCGACGATAACCGCATTTGCTTCATTCAGCGGAAGGACACGGTACCATTCTCCCCAATAGTAGCCCCAGTCATGCCAAATCCAGTAAGAATCACATCCGTGAGATGCAGTCAGCTACAAAACAAGGAACAGTTAGCCATGCAAAGGAAGATTGGGAAATATTTCAAGGTGCAGAGTGCTTGCATTGGCCATCAATCCAAAGGCAACCATCCAACATATGAACATGACAATATCAAGGACGAAGAAATAGAAAGTGGCGTGGAATGGGATCAGTAATAAGATAGAGTATTAAAGAGTGATGCAAGCAATCACTAGGGAGTATATCATCCGGCCCTCATGGGGACCATCGGCTCGATCGACAAAGTGAAAATATCGAGATATAATGCCTACAACGACGGCCGCACTGATCAACTCCCCAACCCGAAGGATGGGAGAGAAAACTTCGTGCCCGCGGACAATCATGCTTCATGGAAATGGAGAAATCCGTATAGAATGAGTGAATCCACAGGGTAATGATTCAATACGATGGTTGTGGCTCGGACGAGGTCAGCTAGGTGGTATTTATCCGCGCAGGACCAGTCTTCCCTGTTTTGTACCTCCCATGCTTCTTTTGAGTAGGCAGACTGTTAGATCACATGCTACGAAGCCATCTTGCGTGCTAGTTCAAAATTCAACGCGAAAGATTTTCTCGTGTTCTGAACCTTGTCACACCCTCTGTCTTCTGCTGTATGCGCTTCTCTCATTAGCTGCCAAATTCTTTGTTCTACTTGCAAGCCATAACATGGTCGAGGACGAAGATCGACTTCCCTGCAATCGAGGAGACAAATCGGTACAGATACTCACGTACCATGATCGGATCTGGAATGTGATCGATCTCAATCCATGTCAGATCTCCGGGATGCAGAGCGGGAGAAAGACAACCACAGACCGATAGGAGAGGTTTTTCTGACATTTCTACCTTGGGTCTTAGGTAGGCGGTTGACTACATACAGCCAGGTCGATCTAAACCTTCGCGTACAACTTGTGTAGAGACATCTAGCCTGTTCAAAGTGACCACGTATGGAGATCAGGGATGTATTTACAGTACAAAGTAAGACTGAACGGCTTGGGTGCTACAAAAGCCAAATATTCCCGTGTTTTTGCTCTTGGTTCCAGTTCGCTTCCTTTTCCCGTTCATGTCCTTGGAGACCAAACTCTAAGTTGTCGTTCCAGAGAAATGCCATCCAAGTTAGAACCCGAGCGGTGACAGCGACTTGGTTCTTTGTCGTATTCTCCCCGGAGCGGGGTTTGTTTTCGTTATTGACGCCGGACTGAGCTGTGGGCTATGGGGGGGGGACCACCTCCGGGTGTTAGGAGTGGCTGTTCTTTGCCATATGAAGAATGGCTTCTCATTTCAGAATAAATCGACCAAATAGAATGGTTCAGCAGACTGGCGGCTGCTGTTTGTTTGTTTGTTCGTTTGTTTGCTATATATCTTCTCTAAGTCGTGCCCCTCGCACCTTACATGCCTCATTCTCCAATTAGTTGCGCAGTCAAACTTCACCCAGGAGTTGACCAGGATCATGCCGCAATGGCCATCTCTATACGGCTGTTAACATAATTCATGAGCGATTGTTTCGGTTAGACTTTACCCTTACTGTTGAGCGCTGTGCCAAAGATCCACCAATTGCGTGTCGGGGGCGAAGCCACAACGCGATTTGGGTATAAGGACCTAGGCAGATCAGGGCAGCAAACACGTCGCCAAATCTAGAAGTATACAGATCACACCGTGCGTAGACTTTGATGACTCCCAGTCATATGGAATTCCAAATAGTGTGCAGAATTGTCTGACATGCATGTTCAGCTGGCGCTTTGGCCAATTGAGGGATCTCCGGACCATCCGGACGTATACAAGCTGCGGTCTTTTTTTCGCTGTAGACAAACAATTGATGGACTTGGTATAGCTTGGTCTATGGCATGCAGATATATTTCACCTACGCTCCTGCACATTGTGCAACCAAGCCAACCCACTCAGCAAGTGCCTTACTGCAAATCTAATCAACGAAAAAATGTTCGGTCCACCCGAGGGTCTTGTCTGGATGACCAAAGGCGCCGTGGGCGCATGGTACCAGGACGAAGCCATCAACCCCGGGGTTGATAGGCAGCAATTGAAAAAGGAGCAGGAGCAGGCCTTCTACCAAAAGTTCTTCCTCGACCTCGCCGCAAACGGGAAGCGTACGAGTCCGCCGGCGAAGAAGCATCCTCGTACCGAGTATGCCGTCGGCGGTGCCACCGGAAGCTACGACAAGATCACAGTCATGTACGGCAAGAACGCACATGAAATCTCCAGGACCCACGTCCTCCACCAGGACGGCGAGCTCTTCGCTAAGCAGGGTACCGAGGCGTACTTGGTAAATGTGCCCCTACCGGAGCCCGAGGAACGCTTTGTGTGGATCGACCTACCTACGGGGTGCGCGGGGTGTACTTCCCCTTCTGCTTCGACATGCCCTGGCCGTACGACCAGTACGTGCAGCTTCTCCGGCTGGACTTCAAGCATCGCTATATCCGGCTGCCTTTCGCGCGGCCGTTTGATGCCGCGCTGGTTCCGCAACCGGAGCGAGACCTCCCCCCGGTGTAAGTGGAAAAGGCTGGGTTGGAGATCATGCCCGAGCGCAGCATCGTCGACGGAGTGCTGCATCCAGTGCTGCAGAACACCACGCGATTTAAGAAGAAAATCCTCGGCGAGAGGAGAAAAAATACGGACGGGGAGACGTCTGAGGAGCGGCTTTTCGAGCATGCCGCCACAGATCCTGCGACAAAACAAGCTAAACAAGCCCTTAGCAAGTCGCTTCAAAGCTGTAGTGGGAAGGGCCCAAAGGAGGAGCTGGAAAGCTGGAACGGGCAAAGCAGCTGGACGCTCTCGCCCAGAGGCACGGGATCGACCGTAATCCGAAATACTACCGGGCTGAGATTGACCGCGACGATCTGGCTCGGGATGCTACGCAGCTTTTTCCCCAGGCGCTGAAGCGGTGGCTGATGGAATTCAAGAAGGCCAATGCTGCAAAGCTCAGTGATCTGGTGGTTGATGGATGGGTGGCGAAGATACTCTTGAAATCGGCATTCCGAGAGATGACAATCAAGAAGATGCTTGAACAGTCAGCGTCAGAGCGGGAGCAGTTTATCACTGCCCTGGTGAACGAGCTGGCAGACGCCTACAGGTTGCAATACTCGCTCGTCTACGCTTCAGGTGAGCTCGGAGACCTCGAACGTAAAGAGGAGGATCGGTTTCCCGGGCAAATGGCGAAGCTCCGGCAGTTGCTTTACCCCGATAGGAACAGGGCACTGGAGACAAGGGACGAGTTCCTAGGGATCCCCTTATTTACCCCGTGGACGCACGAGGATAGACTAACGTTACTCTCGTCGCCCGGAGGTCAGCCAGATTGCGAAACCTGGGGCCACCTCGACTTCACCACCGAGCCGGAGCTGGGCCTAGGTCTGAAACAGCCGGAGGTGACGATGCGAATCGACGTGCGAGAATTGATGTGTTGTCTCGCTCTTCCGCAGGAGTTGACGAGGAGAGCCGGTGGCAAGGAATAGGCTTCCAGAAAGTCTCGGGGGGCGACGGCGGGCGTGTAGGCCTCCCCATCGACTTCTACAGTAGGAACCTCGTCCTAGCCTTTGCAGCGCGGGATATCAAAGTAGCCAGCAACGCCAGCGCATTCACGACCAAGGTCACTGCCAGCTCCATCACCTTCCCGGGCATCATCCAGAGCCAGCTCGGTCTGACCATGACCTACCTCCCCGCACCATCACCATTGGAGAAGCAGATTGCCTTGTTTATGGTGCAGATTCTGTCCGTAGCCGCGGACCTGATCCCGGTCGTTGGACCGCTCGTCGGCTTCGCCATTTACATCGGCGGGAATACTATCATTGATGCCTCATGGATCAACCAGTTTGAGAACTCGACACCCCCGATCTTTGCGTTATTGTATTCTCAGAAGGGCAACATTACGAAGCACACACTGCGCAAGGGCAAAAAAGTCAAGTTCTCGCTCAAGTAGCCACCGCCGTTCGTTTATCATGTCTTGGTGCGAATATTCCCCCGTCCCTTGAGGCTTTCTCCGTGCTGTGATGAAAATGCAGAGGCTTCTTATCAGGCCAGTTTAGGTACCTAGTGTTGGCAATCGAAAATGAACCTGTAATGATAGAAATTTTGGAAACACTGTAAGAAATACATACTTCTCCAACCAAAGGACACAAGGCTGTCCACGTCCTCTAGGACAGATATATCGGTCAATTGTTGCACACAGCGTGGTACTCCCACTAGAAGTGCAATTCTCGGTGATCTTCATGTAGGATCCTTGTACCATGTCCGAATTAGTTCTGGTGGGTGATGCATGAGTTGGCAGCCAAGCAACCCCTCATCGTACAGGGTCAAGCCAAATCCCCGCTTTCGCTCATTTAGTCGGTCTTCAGCCTAGAGATCAAGAGCTCTTCAGGGCATTCCAGTCTGGCACCAGCAATTACAAGCGAGTCATTAATACCAAAGTACCATTTCTCTCCAGCGGAGCACTTGGAGAATATGTCGACCACCACAATCACCTCCACGCAACAAGACCACGCTCAAGTGCTTTCGGTCAGCAGGTCCTCGTCCCATACCATATCCAAATCCCCCGCTCCTTCCATCACGTTGGTGGCCGGACTGGGGGTTCAGGGAGACTGTCATTCGGGGCGAAACGTACAGCATCAGTCGCTTCGTCATGCCAACCCTGGGGCGGTTAACCTACGCCAGGTCCACCTCGTCTCGACCGAGAGCCTCCAACAAGTTTCTGCCAAGTTAACCAGCGCGAACCCTCTGTTAGCCGGCGAGATTGGGGAGAACGTGACGACCGAGGGTATTGATTTACCAACCCTCCCGCGGGGAACTGAACTACACTTTGTCGACGATCAAGAATCCGGTGATCGAGCAATTGTTGTGCTCACAGGCCTGCGCAATCCGGGCCCGGGGATTGACAAGTGTCGACCTGGACTGAAAGACCATTTCACCATTCGCTACGAAGGGCACAGGGTTGCCAAGCACCTCGCAGGTGTCATGGCAACGGTGAAACAAGGCGGAGTGATCAGGCCAGGGATGACCATCAAGATCATTCGACCTGCACAGGCTGACCCTCTTCCGGTTATCTGAGGAATAGTGGCCACAGTGGTTGTACACAATCCACCGTGGGATGGTTTCGTATATCCTGCGGTCCTACCATGATAATGATTAGTCTTTCGGCATGCAATGAAGTGCGAAATACATGACACCAGTCTTTATTCCACGAACAAATACTTACCATGAGTAACCCACATGCTGTAAGGCTGCAGTATAGAGCAGCACATTTTACCATAGAGAACAGTACCCAGGAATGGGATAACTAAAATGCCGCAACGTTCCCAGTAGCCTATTCTGAGATGAATGCGAGAAGGTAAACTTGGGGATTAGAGACCTGCCTCTATCATCAACCACATAATGCACTGCTACATCAATACACACTCTCTGGTCATGGCCTGGCTCCGTGATAACATCCTCTGGGGAGACAGTTCACACAATCACATGATCAATAAAATGGTCTATCAGACGGCTCACTTCCGGGGGATATTCCAAGCGGCCCGTAATACCAGTGCCCTGGGAATGATGGAAAGGGTGCTTTCATCAAGTTGATTAAGGCAGAACGAGGTCTTCCAGGGTGTTGCCAACAGAAAAGGTGCCTTAGGCAAAACGCGAAGTGCTTGGCAGCTGGCCTCAGGCATCGAATAGTTCGCCTCAGGCATCCAAACGCCAACAGCTTCGGGTCTGACAGTCGATGCATGACAACAAAACCCATGACCCATTGACACCTGGACGTTTGGCAGATCCAGTTATATCCACCGGAAGTCAGCGGTAATTACCAGATTCATTGGGGCGAGTGACGTTGCTGTGTTCAACCGTGGCGCATTGCAAACTTCATCATTGGTGCTCCCAAGCTCCGGCGCACACCGGAAGTGGAGATATGCTGCTCTTACGAAATCCACGCGTCACTCACTACACTGTATACATCTTTAGCCATACATGCCAATTGACAAAAGGCAAAGGTGCCCCATGAATACAATGGTTCCAGGTCTTTGGGACCAACCCCGTCCCGGAGGTTACATGGTGCTTATAAGTCACCAGGAATCCTGGGAGCAAGGAGACAAAAACTTGTCCCACTGCTAGCTCTACTGCCTTATCCTGGTAGACTCTCACGGAGCTTTCATCAGTTCTATCAGTTCATTTCCCAGTATGGAAGTCCTTCCCGCTCAGATGGACACCACAAACCGCCCCGATGAGTGGAAGATAGAACAAGGTCTCGCCGGTCACAAATTGCCCATTCTTGATCAAAGTGGCAGTGATACTATTCACATTTATCCCCCTCCAGATGGGCATACTATGAAGGACGAAGAAGCGATCGCCGCTGTTGGCAAGCGCGATGACATTTTCAAGAGAGAAAAGGAAGGCTGGAAAGGGTGGGTGAATGATCGAAATTCGATAGTCGTCGCACTAATTGTCTGACATCTTGAACCACTGCAGATACGTTGAATGGGAGAGATTCCCGGACAAGAAGGCCAAGGCGCGTAAGATTCTGACTTCGCAGACGTTTGCCCCATGTCCAGACTTCATGTTTGGACCGATTCCCGGCACCAACCCCGTACTTCCTGGGGACGACTTCAAGGAATGGCATTGGGCAATTGGCGGCGAACTCACCAGTGTACCGGAGGACTCCTGGCGGACTGTCCTGCGTGAGAAGCATCCGGACATGCTTCACCTGCTGCAATTTCCCTACAATGGTGAACCTCCGAAACGGCTGGTTACCTCGAAGGTTGTGACTCCGAATCCTCTTCACTTTGTGCGGAACCATGGTGGGATTCCAATAATTGAACATGATAAGTGGAGTCTCTCGTTAGATGGCTTGGTCAATCATCCCAAGTCTTACAGCCTGGATGACCTGCAGGATGGGACAAAGTTTCCGCAGATGGAGAAAACCGTCACCATTCAATGTTCGGGAACGCGCCGCATTGAACAGATCAGCCGCTACGGTGGGCAAGGGGATGAGGTTCCCCAGGCACCGTGGGCTGAGGGGGCCATTGGAACAGCACGATACCGGGGGATCAGTTTAAAGAAGGTTATCAAAGATTGTGGCGGCCTTCTTGCCCCGGCCAAGCACCTGGAGATGTATGGCGCGGAAACATATGTCAAGGATTTGGAAGTGATGAACTACGTGGTCAGTGTCCCGTGGTCCAAGGTCAAGGCAAATGAGGTTATCTTAGCCTGGGAGATGAACGGCGAGCCGTTGCCCAAAATCCATGGGTATCCTCTTCGCGTCGTTGTACTGGGATATATTGGCGCACGCAGTGTGAAATGGCTATATCGGATAAAGGCTATTGAAGGTCCCTCTCTTGCCCCGGTCCAAAGCAAGGAGTATCTTTACTTTAACCAGCAGGTGGGCAAATATAACCTGCGACCGACCGATGGGATCCAGATTCAAGAGATGCCCGTTAGCTCGGCCATTATGTCCCCGTGGGCCAAACAGGCTATCATTCACACCGGAAAGATTCGATGCAAAGGATGGGCCTACTCCGGCGGTGGCCGATGGCCGGAGCGTGTGGAGCTGTCCGCGGATGGCGGATTCACCTGGTATCAAGTGCCCCCGGAGAAGCTATCCAAGAAGGGTCGTTGGGTCTGGCGTACCTGGGAGATAGACCTGCCCTGCGACGTGGAGGGCTGGATCGAGATCGTCTGCCGTTGCTGGGACAACGCAATTAATACACAGCCATTGGATGTACGCGCCGCCTGGAACTGGGGTCTTCACGTTACTCAATCGGCGCATCGGATCAGCGTCTATAGCATCAACAAGAGTCGTCCTATTACGCGTGATCGCCTGGACAAGATGGAGCAGCTTGGTATCCCTCTTGCCCCCCTCACCCGCTACGAGATTGTTCCGAGTCAAACGATGGAGGAGTACAAACAGTACTGGAAGGAACATGAGCCCCGCGATGTTGATGACTGAGGATAGCTTTTATCTATTTGTATTCAACCGACCTCCAGTGTCATCCACAGCTGGTGGCTTCCTGCGCTCTGATTTCACCAAATGGCAGAACGAGAATCCAATTGTGTTCTTCTTATACATCCATCGTGTGCACTTCCGTCGCCTCCGCACTAGCCTTTTGGGTAATATGTTAGCCAAGTCAGAGATAGCTATCTCCCTCTGCAGCCACGGGAGTAAACAGATCTGTCCGTTGGTGTGCTTGACGTAGCTGGTCCGGTAGCATACAAATAACAATACGCTATACGCATCGGCATCTCACTCATGATGTGGTGAAGGAACGAGCAAACAATCATTCGGGACCCCATGCTGTTCTGTATTTGTCAATGAGACGCGGTGTCATTCTTTCCGTCGTTCCCAACGTCTGTCAAGAAGCTGTTCAGAAAGGTCAGGTCTACATCTTGCCCCAAGGTTTCCTCAAGACCCTCCATCGCCTCAGGATTGTATGTTTGCAGCGAGTCAGCGAATAACACATCGGAAAACAGTGGCGCAAAGGTAGTTATGCCGTTGATGCTACTCGGCCATAGCGACGACGTTGGAAGTCCTGGAGCGACCGAATCTGACATCGCTCCTACATTCAATACTGGTCCTTGCTTTTCCGCAGGCTGCTCGACTCCGGTATTTTCTAGGGTCGTAGATCGCGTTGAGACATCCTTTTCACATGGCTGGGCTTCATTGGCGGCTTTTATCACGCCGAAGTACGGGATATAAACACTTCTATCACCGCTGGCAGACTCGTCTCCCGTCGCAACATCAGTATCAGGCTCCTGAACGCTGACGCTGTGAGCGCTCCGGTGGTTTCCTTCGGCCGCTTGTGCCTCGATGGCCAGCAAGCGGCGAAGTAGGGCCGCACTTTTGGCGCTCAGAGGATCCCCGTTTATCCGATCCAGGTCCTCCATATTGTCCTGTGCCTGTTCGATCATAGCACGGTCGCCTGGGTATTGTACAGTCAGAAAGTTGTCGTTCTCTGGGGAGCGATGACTGGCGAGATGCGCCAGCAGCAGGGTTATGGCGGCCATTACAGCGGTAAAATCGATCGTCCGACAGCTAAACGCGACGCGATTCCAGCGGCGCAACATAATGAACCGAGACAAGATCTCCCGCGATGCATTCACGCATACGATGCTCGAGTGCTCGTGCCGACCGTCAATTGAGTGGTACAGCATATAGGGAAGATGAAGCTGGTTAAGCAGGTTGTAGTGACACACTTGCTCCGACAGTCGGCGCATTTCCCAGAACAATGCTTGGGGGTCATTCCTTTCACTGCTAAGGTTGGGCATCAGCCACCATCGGCTAGGGAGACTCCGTGCTGCTCGTCGCAGATCCTGCTCGAGCGCCTGTGTCAGCGCGTAGTCCCAATACCCAACGTTCGACTCATTGCGTTCCAGAATCTGGGAGGCAATCACACAGTGGAGGCGCTCGAGGCGGCCTCCTGGAGACTCGTCGGCGAGAATCGCTTCGTCTGCCATATTCCTATCGAGCGTACCCTGCGGTAGGCCCAGAATCAGGCACATTTGACGATCATAGAAAACGATCCGGAACCACAGGAAGTGCGGGTCCGCCTTGGTGTGAGGACTAAGAGTCTTGTACTGCAAGCAACCTCCCGGTCGGTGCAAACCCATCGCTTGCGCAATCACCATGGCTCTTCGGGCGATCATCCAACTACGTCGCAGGAAGCCGCAATTTGCCTGATACTGGCTCTCGATCATTACACATTCGAGAAATTCCACGCAGTCAACGAAGCGGTCCCTACTTGTGACCAGACTGGAAACCAGCTCCACTAAGCGCTCCCTCATGACCTGAGGCGGCTCTGAAAGATCTCTGATCTCCTTATGAAGATCTGGGTGAAGGTGTTGCAGGAGGCTGGAGACATAGAGCATATGTCGGGCGAGCAGGACGGGATGAGCATCCGGCCCCGGTATTTCCATCAGGCGGCGTTGAGATCGGAAGCCATCCTGATCGAGCATCGCGGACGGCGTGGTCAGGACTTCATGAAATGGCACGGAGTGGCGACTGCTCGCCTTGGCTATCCGACGAGTGTCAACCTGAGAGGGTAAGGAGTCCCAGAGAGTGCGCGCTAGATCATCACATTGCCCCCTTTCGGGACGGATGGCGGCCGCGGATAACGCCCCTTGAGCGTTGCCGCTGTCGCGCACCGGGACGGCCTTCTGAAATTCGGGGGGCACAAGCGTAGGGATGCCATCATCTGGAGTCCCTTTGTGCGTCAGAACGTGGTCCAGTCGTGCCTCCACGCGGCGAAGGCGCTCCCTCAGCCGGTCGTTGCTGTCCAGGGACGGTGTCGACGCTTCCTCCGGGAACTCCTGGCTGACGCATTTCGACCACCGACGATGGCATCCAATGCAGATCGCATCGTCTGGACGCTCGAAGACGCACTTCATCTTCCGCCGCTTGCATTCCCAGCAGCTGCGAGTTCCCCGACGCACTTTCCTGCGTTTTGCGCCAGGAGCCTCGGACGAATCGTCCGGGTCATCGGCGGACTTCCGGCGAGGTACGGCATTCATGGTTGGACTCGAGTTCAGGACAACGAGTTGAAGGTTCGCAAGACAGTTTCCGGTGGGAAAAATGCTTCTCTCCTCAGGAAAATAAAGAGATGAGCGGGGAAGGCGGTTCGACCGTAAGCCCGGCGGAACAGACCACGTCTTTGTCAGCCGATTTCCCTTGCCCTAGCTTCATCCGCCGCCATATCGGTCGAAACAGTCCTATATAGTGCCTGGCGCTGGCATCCCCTTGGTAATTATTCTCCCATTGAACGCATATCAATCCACGGCGATCCAAGAATAGTGGCAACATGCCGCCGCTCACATCCTACCCCCAATCGAGCACGGCCGAAGAAAGCCGTCCGACGGGCACCACCAGCCATGAAGTACCCTCACTTTTGTCAGGCGATCTTCTCGAGAAGAATCGCGGGGGGAATGATGGCACTTTTCAGCCCAGCGATATTAGCGATCCGCAGCTGGAATACGCGACCCCATTCCGTCTAGTGATCATCATGTTTACTTTGAGCTTGAGCACTCTGATTGCCGCGTTGGATCTCGTTAGTTCATTTGCAACCAGATCCTCGATCAGCACTAATTCTTTTTGGTTCCTACTATAGGGTATTGTCGCCACAGCAATTCCTCGAATTACCAGCGATTTCCACGCCCTGGGCCATATCGGATGGTACAGCGGAGCATGTTTCCTTCTCGTCGGCACCACATCCGCCCCCTGGGGCAAGATGTACAAATACTTCTCAGCGCAGTACACATACATGGCGGCTCTTTCTCTGTACCTGGTTGGAAGCATCGTAGCTGCAGCAGCGCCGAATAGCATCGCCCTGATCGTTGGCCGGGCTATTCAGGGCTGGGGGTGTGCCGGCACCCTTGGGGGCTCTGTACTCATCATCAACTTCACGGCCGCGCCCAAGGCGCGTCCGATGCTGATTGGGTTATGGATGGGCGTCTTCATGATTGCCACCACCATTGGGCCTCTCATGGGCGGAGTTTTCACCACGGAGATCACCTGGCGCTGGTGCTTCTGGATTAACCTACCGGTGGGTGGCCCGGCCATCGTTTTGCAGTTCCTCTTCCTGCGAATGCCGAAGCACATCAAGCCGACTCCGGCCACGTGGAAGGAGATCCTCCTTCATCTGGATCTCCCCGGATGGACGCTGTTGCTCACTTCGATCGTCTGCTTCCTCCTCGCCATGGAATGGGGCGGTCTGGGCAAACCGTGGAGTGACGGCTCGGTCATCGCGACCTTGGTTGTTTGGGTCATTTTGACGAGTGCTTTTTTCGTCATCGAATGGTTCCAGGGCAAATATGCCATAATGCCCCTCAGAATGCTTAAGCCCAGGATCACATGGTCCAACCTGTTGTATGCGTGGATGTGAGTAAAAGCCACGGTCATCTGGATGTTGATAACTGAAACGAGAAGACTAACCTGGGTTCCTGAATCAGCGCCAACCTGGCTAATTTCCAGATCCTCTTCTATCTGCCCATCTACTTCCAATCTATCCACGGAATGTCTGCCATACAAAGCGGTGTTTATAGTCTTCCGTTCATGGCCTTCTATACCTTTGGGGCGGTGCTCAGCGGTATTCTTGTTGGAAAAACCCGCCTCTTGCAGCCATTACAGCTAGCCAGCGGCCTGATTGCTATTCTGGGTGCGGCGCTGATTTTCTGCATTGAAGTCAACACTCCCAAGTCCTGGTATATCGGCGCCCAGATTCCTTTCGGCTTTGGAATTGGTCTGGGGAACCAGGTCCCCGTCACGGCGCTGCAAGGTTTCGCGACGCCAGAAACTGTAGCGGCTACTATGGGCGTAGCTTTCAGTGAGTATATCACCTCATACAAGGCCACTTTCTCCTGCTAATACATTGCGTCAGTGTGTCAATCAATCAGCGGTGCCTACTTTGTTTCGGCGGGTAATTCACTATTCAACAACTACCTGTTGAAACAACTCGCGATAACCGCCCCTCAACTTGATCCGCAGAAGATCCTCTACACAGGGGTGTCCGAGCTTCAGAATACCTTTCGAGGTTCAGAGCTAGCCTTGGTGCGACAGGCATACATGGTTGGGATCAAGGATGTTTTTGCCTTCGCTATGGCTGGGGCAGCACTGACAGTTGTGCTGGCGATGGTGATTCCCTTCAAGAAGCTGCCTTCTCATGACGACAAAATAGTCCAAGATAAGGAGGCGGCCGTCCGGGTCAGTTAGCTACCACATGGATGGCAAGAATGGGACATACATCAGACAATCCGCACACTATGAGTGGCGAGACTGCTCTACAACAGCCCGTCTCTGGCCCAACTTATAGTCGCCGACAGGCCCCAACACGTTGGTCCAGAGGATATACACCAAATCTAAATATCATAATAAAGTATAGTATATATTGCAAGATTCTACATGTTATATATCTAAGGAATGCAAAATACATACATGAGAGCAACACAAACAAGTCGAAAGTCAGGCCAATAAACAATCAGTGCATCCTTATTACGTTGTCTAGAGCAAATGCAAGTCGAAATTAAGAGTTATAATACCTCGTAACTCATTCAGTCAATTAAATATCCTTGCGCGTATCTCACTCGGGGCCGTATCACCAGAGTGGCTATCCGCCGCCTCAGTTCATGGCCTAGTAAAGGGGCTTCCAGGCAACGCGGCGGAGGATGGAGGGGGTGGCCGACGGCTGCGCACTGCCGCTACCCACGGGGCTGCTGACGGGCTTGGTGTGAATGGGATGGGTGCCGTTGCCAGCAGCCTGGGTGTGCGTGAAGGTGGGCTTAGCGGTGGTGGTGGCGGACTCCGAGTCCGACTGGGTGGCCGTCGCCGTCGCGGTGGAGTGACCGGGCTTCTCACCGGTAGGCTCCGCGGTGGGCTCGCCCGACGGGGGGATGACAATGGTCTTGGTGTGTCCCTCGGTGTTTGTGTAGGTGATGGTCTCGCAGCGGGCGCAGGGCTTGCCAGGGTGGACGGTGGGCACAGATCCCGATCCCTCCTTGACCGTCTCGGTCACCGTCACAGTCACGGGTGCCGGGCAGTCAGATCCGCCCGATCCGCCGTGGCCGCCGTGGCCACCGGGGAGCGCCGTGGGGACGGTCGTCTCGGCCGTACCGGGGAGATGGGTGATAGTGGTCACAGGGGTAGAGTCGAAAGTGGTGGTGTAGCAGGTGGTGGTCTCATACACCGAGGTGCTGAGCCAGGTGCTGTAGTAGGTGGTGCCATCTCCGGTGCTGACGGCGGTCGAGCAGGGCTCGAAGCTGGTCCGGGTGATGGTGGAGGTGATGGTGGACACGGAGCCGGTCTCGGTGACCGTGGATCCCGTGCTATAAGGGTTTCCAGTGGTGGAAGGCAAGTGGGTGGTCACGGTGCCGTTCTGGCTCGGGGTCGGAACCAGGGTAGAGGCAGAGTGGGAGAGAGAAGGGCTCGGGATTCCACTGGGAATGGGAGCGGAACTGTGGCGGCCAGGGAGAGCCAAGGCAGAGCCAGCGAGGGATGCCAACAGAGTCACGGAGAGGTGGTGCATGGTTGAGAAGGTAATCGTTGCAGTTGGGAAGAAAAAGCGAGAGACGGTGGATTACCGGGGAAATGAAACGATAGACTGGTGTAGAACGATCAGACAGGATGGCAGATCGAATGGCGAGGGATCGTGGGACCTTTTATAAGTGTCCGGCTCTGGCGGCATCCAACTTGTGCTTTTCGTTTCTCACCTTCATTTGCACCCTCAAAAAGCGAGAGAAAAAACGCGAGTCCGAGAGCAATCAGCATACTCCGGACTTGGAGTGGAACCACCCCGTTCCCCCAGCACCACTAGAGCCCGACCGTTCAGGGTCCGCCGCAAGATAGTTCCAGCTTTCGCCAGGCTATTGATAGTAGCGGGAGAAACCCTGCCATCCATCGCTTGACTCAGGGTCCACCCGGATGAGTCGCGACTAATCCGCTTATCTCCCGCCAACGGGCAGGATGACGGCTGCCATGGCCAACGGACATGAGAGACAGGTGAGCTCGAGCAGGGTGCCTGATACGGGCTGGAGACCACCGAGAATAGATCTGGGCGACAGAATCCATCATAAAAATAGCTCGCCGGTCTCTGTGATTCCATGATTCGGGTGGAGCGGACTCCCAATCGGTCGGCGAAGATGAGCGGCGCATGAGCCTCGCACGGATAACCGGCGAGACATTGACCGGAGGCACCGAGACTTTCCTCTGGGCTTTGGCCTTTACTCCGTACAGTGTAGGCCTTTGGCTTTCTCGCAGCCTCGCTCGCTCGCTCTCCAGGTTGGCGGGTCGTAGGGCGAGATCAGCAGTGACGGCATCCTCGGATTGCATGACCCACCCCCGTATCCTCTTCCGAGTTCTGGGCTCTAGAGCCTCTGGTCCACATCGCCGTCGCCCTCTTGAACTCGGGTTCTGCTGCTTGTTCGTCATTCAGGCCAGGCGCACCATCGTCCCCTGCTGTAGGGCGCTGCCGAGCCACCTACGCCGGCCTGGATCAATCACAACGCCGCCTGGCAACCGGTCGTATTCCTCACGAACTGGTCGGTCGCGTGTTCGTTGTGGCTGCGCCGAATCTGGGCGACCATTATTATTGTGTGGTGGTCCTCGCGATAAGGCCGACCGAGTTGTGGCTGAGACATGATGGGTCCGTTGGTTGGCCGAATTCCACCGTGATTAGTTCGGTCTCGGGCATGTCTGACTTCTGACTGGAAAGCTTGGAGAAAATAGATTAACGAGTCCTTTTGGTTGGCAGGAGTAGCCCACCTCGTCTCCAGTCCGGATTTGCCGGTTAAAATCTGTCAGAATCGGTCAGATCCAGAGAATGCCAGAAGGGAAGAGAAGGAAAACAAGAAGAAAACAAACAAGAGAAGGGATTAGTCATCCGTCGGGCTGCTGCCGCCTCTCCCCGAGAAGATGAAGCACAACTGTTCTTCGTAACTCCGGAGTAGTGATCCTACCTCCTAGATTAATCCAAGTGGTTACGCAGCGCGAGATTCTTAATCAATACAAAGGATGATGAATCAGTGTTCACCAGTTCTCGAATATGGCTCTATGTGGTATGCGCTACTACTGAATTCCTGCTGCATCGTTTGGTTATATATAACCGATCTTGGGGCCATGTCATCTGGCATGTGTTTGTTGCTCCCTATGACCAGCCATGCTTTCAAATCCACGGCCTGCTCAGCTATATCAGCCATAGCTTCTCGACCTCAGGGATGCCTCTTCAGAGGGGAATAACCCACATACATTGCGTCTGGTACGAAGTCGCACTCGTGCCGGACAGGGCAACCCTCGCCGGTCGTCCGACGCGTTCTGAATTGTGCTGAGCACTGGCCATAGCCACAGAATCATCCCGCACAAGCTGCCGTCTGCGCATGAGTCCAATGAGACTGGGCTAAACAACATCCGCCGGAAGATGCCTTCACTCCTAGGCCCCCGCCGGCGCGTGGGGAGGCTGGTTCGCGTGCTCCCCGTCGTCGGTCTCACTCGACTGGTCATCCTCCTCGTCCTCCCATTCACCATCAATGAAGTCGTCTTGAAAATGGTCCACTATCACCCCTTCCTCGTCGTCATCGGCCTCCTCGTCTTCGCCGAACTCGCCACCGATCATACTGACCAACTGCAGCAGCCCGGCCTGCGAGCGCCAAAACTCGTCCGCCGGCGGATGCTGTCGCTCGGCATGAAACGACCCGTCGTTCGTCTGCGTGGCGTCCGGCGTCGGCTCACCGGTATCGGTTGCGCCCGACGGCTTTTCCGAGAGGTCGGGAGCCAAGCTCACGATGCGAATCGCCTTCGTCGGGAAGATGCGACCGCGGCCTTGGCGGTGTTGCGGCTGTACGTCGCCGGGGAGGTTGGGCAACGATTGGCGCCAACCCAGGGTCTGCGGATATGAGACTTGGTTACTCCTTTCAAGGGGACAAGTGCATTAGGGGAGTACGCACGGTATAGGTGGCCATAATGGCGTCGTCATACAAGGCCATGAAACTGACGGGGACTGCCAATTGGGGCATGGAACTCGTCAGCAGCGAGTACGACGCACGGGCCGGTCGATCTACATCCTGTACGCGGTTCTCGTCATCGAGCGCGACGACGTAGATGCGATCCTGGATCTCGAACATGATGCGATGGTTGCGCACCGATAACCAACCACCCAGGTCGAAGCTGGCCCCGTCCGTCTCGCATTCCAGCAGGGCGCTGTGAGCCGCCAGACTATCGGGGCCGGAGAGGGCCTTGCGCCAGTCCGAGCAGACGAATACTCGTCCGGCGCGCGAAAAGCCCACGAACAGGTCACCGTGTAGCATGCCGGCGCCCCATTCGTCCTCGGCGTGCCACACGTGTTCCGGGTCGGATGGCGGCGAAAGCGGGCCCTTGGCCAGCTGGATCGGCACCAGGCAGTCATTGCGAGGTTCCCAGGGCCGGAACAACTCATGGGTAGGGCCGTGACGCACGGCAGCCTCCAACGCTGCGCTTGGGGAGGGAGCGGCAGCCGCCGGGGGGCGGATGTGATACTTTTCGGTACAATGCGAAGGATGCAACGCGCCCAGGAATTCGCCCGACTTCTTATCGTAGGCATGGTATCCCCGCGGGCCCATGGAGTAAATAACAACGTCCGCACTCTGGTCCAAGTGGCCGACGGCGTCATGTTCGATTTGTAGGTGCGTGATCCGCGTCGGGGGTCGCTGTGTCATATCATAGACGAAGCCCTGCCCCTGGGTGGACACCACGCACAGCGTCCAATGCGATAGCTGAAAGCCCCGAGTCTGACAATCGTGGTCCAGAATGGCGATGCGACGGAACTCCCCGCGCGCGGCACCCTCCTGATCCGCCTGCCAGACCTCCACGGCATCCCCTTCCCGATCGAACACGGCCATGCCGTCCTGATACTCGAGATGCGCGAAGGGGCGCACGGCGTCCTCGTCACGATCCAGCGTGGAGGGGAGTCGCCAGAGCATGTGGCCCGTATCCATATCGGTAACGCTCAGTCCGCCTGCCTGGGAGGTCGAGATGAAGAAGCGACGCTTGAAGTCGGCCCGGAATCGCCACACGGGATCGTTGCCCACTTGCAGCACCGACTCGCGGCTCACAGGGTGCGACTGAGCCCAGTTGCGAGCCAGCAGCGTCTGACGCTTACACAGGTCCTTCCATGACGCCGTCCCCTCGAACAATTTCGCGAAGCTTGTATTGTCGGACAAAAATGAGAAGTCTCGCACTCCTCCGGCCGGTTGATTGGTTTTGGATTCGGCACTGTAGATGGCTTCTTGGTGGGTTCCGTCGATGAATTGGTGCCACGCCTTGGAGACGGTCGTCAGGCATGCCAGGGCGGAGATAGGGGTGAAGTCGAGGATGCGGAGGACGATCTCGGGGGGCAGCAGGACGAGGGGGTCTGCCCCGAGCGATGGGGCAGTCATTGTCTCTCGAGTGACAATGGTCAAGACGTACGTAGAATTGTTCCAGAGAATGGAAAGAGAAGAAAAAAAAAGGAGCGAGAAAGAGTATGTGGGGGACGAAAGCAGTCATACTGCCCCGCCTCACCGCCCGGTACCGGAGATGATGTCATCGTTCAGGCACGCCGGGTGGCACGTGACATCGCCTGTCGTCGTCCGATCGTGAGAGGCATCGGAGAAGGGATCTTGACGAATGCAGTGTGTGTATTGCTAAACTACGGTCTATCCTTTAGGGTCATTCTTCCGATATCGGCACACAGCGTACAGAGAACCACCGTTCCAGAGACATTAATTCTACAGCCGATGCTGTCGAACTCCCAGTCCAACAATGGAGCCAACGATGGAGAAGGCCAAGGAGATCACTGTCAAGAAGTCAGCCGACAAATCTCCTATTTCATGTCTCTTCTGCAGGCGGAAAAACTTGCCGTATGTATTTTTTAGCCCAGCCACAAAACATCTTACCACGGTCTCTCGAACTCTTCCGTCGAGACGAGCAATGAAGCCCGTGTCCGAGGTTGCCGACCGGATTATCTAGTATGATTAGCGAGAAGCTTCAACATCGTTGGAGAGAGACTCACCTCGGCGGCTCCTTCGCCGTGCAGATGTTGCTGGAGTTGAGACTTAAACCCGAGTCCAAGCACGGTGTTGGTTAGGGTCACGCCGGTGGTCATGGCGAGACTGACCAGAAGCATATACCCGCTCGTCGCCATTGCCACCTCCTGTGGCTGTAGGAGAGCGGTCATACTGACAAACGCCGCCGCGGATGCGATTCCGGTGCCCAGTCCGCCGGGAGTTATATATAGCGATTCCCACGGCCCGGTCCGTCCGTTCCATCGCAGCAGGAGGAGCACGTGGGAGATGGACGCCACCAGTCCGGCGACGATCAGCAGAGACTTGAATCGGCCCGTTCGTCGGATGAATACCCCGGCCAGTAAGCCCCCAAACGTGTTGCCCACCACTGCCGGGACCATATGACCGCCGGCGACCGTGGCCGAGGCCCGCTGCGTGACCTGGAAATAAAGCGGCACGGAGAACAGCATGCCCAGCTGCGACGCGATCTGCAGAAATCCGACGAGGTAGCTGGCAGCCACGTTAGGGCGGCGCAGGATATCCAAATGAAATATGGGCTCCGAGGCCACGCGCAGCTCGACCCAAACAAACGTTGTCAGAGAACCCAGGCCGGCACTACCGAGCACCAGAGTGGTCCACGAGGCCCAGGGGAAGGCGTGGCCGCCGCGGTCCAGTAGGATGATAATGGCGACGATAGATAGGCCGAGCAGGGCAGTTCCCAGGAAGTCCACGCGGCGAATGGATGCTTTCGACGTATCACGATGAGAAAGCTTCAGTTTCCCAAAGACCAGAGACGCAGCGAGGGCAATGAAGGGAATTTGAAGCAGAAAAAGCCTGATTGATCGAATTGTGAGCATCAAATTCTGGCTCCAAGGACCAAGGGCATGCTTACCAGCGCCATCCGACCGCATCAGTGAGCCACCCACCGACGGGACCGCCCAGGCTGCGGCCCAGGGTCATGAAGATGTTGACATAGGCTCTCCACGAGGCGATCTCCCGCCGGGGCACCGTATCTATCCACTTTGTCAACACTGCCAGTCACTCAACGCCCAGCCTCCCTTTTGCATACCTGTAATGATGATGGATCCTAGGGTCATGATCCCGGCACCGCCAATCCCGCTTACGGCACGACCAGCGATCACCATCCAGAGGTCCCTTCCAATACCACTGCTTCCCCGTTAGCCATTTCTCTCATGTTGGGGTTCACCGGGTCACCCACGATATCAAGCAGCCCGCGGCAAACAGAGCGTAGGCAACCAGCAGCAAAGGCTTCCGCCCGTATATGTCGCTCAATTTCCCGTACTGCAATTGCGTCAGTATATAGCTTCCTTCAAAGGAGTAAAGAGTCACAACTTGCCATTGGCTGTGCGGCACACACCCCCAGCGTGTAGGCGGTCGAGAGCCAGCTAGCATCTTGTAATCGATTGAACTCCGAGGAAATCTTGCCCGTCGTAGCCATGACCAGCGTGCTGTCTGCGTTGGATATAAACTCTCCTGCGACATGTTAGTTATAGCGCAGGCAAAAGCCGATGGTACCATCAACACACCAACCAACAGCACGGCCACGATGGTCCGGACACCGGTCATTGTCTGCACGGCGCCTAGGTCTGCGGCCGACGAAGAGCGTGTCGCGCTCTCTTCATCGCCAGCCACATCCCCAGCCGAGTCTGCGACCTTGGCGATACTTTGGTAAGATGCTCCTCCATCCTGATTCTCGCGGGCGGAAGGGTTGAGAGGTGATGTCTCGTCCACGTCTGCGACCATGTTTTCACGATTATAACAGATTGCATTGGAAAGTAGGAGGCGGCGTCCGCATTGCGCCGGTTTAATACTTTAATACTATGGGAGAACGGTGCTCCCTCTGCGCCGGGCCATCTTTGATCCCAGATTGACCCCGGCCAGATCACCGGTATCGTTGCCGTGTGACTGGGCGACTCAATCTCCGGCTGCTCGTTAAGAGATGAGTGTCCCCACTAGGGCGAGGCTTGACGCCAATAATGACGGGCGAGGCACGGTGCTCATCGCGATACGGAAGCACGTCATTTCGTCAATTCTCCGCTAGTGCACGATGGCCTGGCTCGACTAAGCAGAGCGGGAATTGAGTGCGACGATGAGCCATCGTGGGAAGCCCTGAATCAGGACGCTGGCGTCGTCGATGTCCTGCAGAGAACGTTGTTCAGGGAGAGATTGATTTCACCAGCGAGAGGGAGGGAGAGGAAGGGCGGTTGAATGACCGCGGGCTAGTAGGGGGAACCGCAGCTACCATACATGCAGGTTGCAACAGAACTTGCTGGAACTTGACGTGATTCAATTATTCATGGATCTAGACAAATATGTTCACGCGGTGAATAGTGTGCGTGTTCAAATACAGAAGTCAGCCTACCAAAATAAAATGGCAATCCGTGATGACTCGTGGGGTGTGTCTGGCTGTTCTGATGTCAAAAAATATATATATCCGTCTTCATGAACTAGACTCCAGCGAGCGAAAGAATGGCACAACAATAAGGTAGGATTCTAGCCAATATGCCTATGAGGAACAAATGTCATGATATCCCCTGGTAGAGGAGGTGTTGCGCTCAACTGCGACCCGCGCAGATGCTGTCTCAGGCATCAAGGCCACAGTGGGTAGTCGGTGCATAACAAAGACAATCTAAGAGGAATACGAACGACATAAACAACATGACCTACTCCAGGTGGTATACTCCACCCTGCCATGGTGGTCGGGTGCGAGTTTTATCCATTCAACAACCTACTAGCTAGGGAAGGCTGGACTCGGGAAGATTCGCATTATAACCATCCAGAGCAAAGTCATTAAAACCTTGGTCCCCTCCTAACAACATCAGGTTCTCCCAGTACCGATCATAGAAATCCACGACGTCGGTGGACCCGGCGAATCGCGTGCCTGGGGCCTGGTCCGTCGCACTCTGCCCCAGATAGAAGGTCGCATCCATGAGGTCGACATCCAAGGGGCTGGTGTTATGAGTGTCAAGCAACAATTCCTGATGATCCTGATCACTGGGAGTGAAGGTCTCGGCCAGGGCCTGGCTGTTGAAGCTTCCCATTGCCGCAGACTCGTCTTGCCCCGGAGTGGACCCATGCTGCAGGTGGGTGTTGGCGATCTTCAGCATGATCTGGAGCGCCTCGGCCGTTTTCAGGGCTTCTTTGGACTGGTGTCGTAGATGGTTCCAGATAGCGTACGACCGTTCTAGATCGTGCGAGAGCTGCGCTCGTTCCGCGAGGATCGACTGTCGCTGGTCGGCCGACAGACTCTGCTTGAGGTCGTGCCGCGACTGGCAGGCAATCTCCAACGACACCAACATCGCGGCGGAGCGGAAGTGCATGACCACGACGGGCGAAAAGAAGAAGGAGGCGTAGCCCAGCTGGCCGCCGGGACTGCTAGCGTCGAAGATATCGCATTGATGCTGCAGTACGCGGCGCGCGGCGTCTAGGCACTCCCGGCGTGAATACGCGTACTTGGGGTCCAGTCGATGCTGGGCCAGATACCGCCGATGCAGATCGCAGCGCGCCTTCTGGTACATCAGCTCGATATTATAGCGGTCCATGATGGTGGTGGGCGCGTCGGCGATCGAGTCACTCAGCGCCTGGAATCGCAGCGGCGGGGGAACCGTCGCCTGCAGCTTTCGGAGGGTCGCGTCCAGCCGCCGCACCTCACGATAAGGAACGCCCCGGACGGAACACACCTTGCCGATGATCTCGGCGCCGACAAACATGATGCGATTCAGGGTGGTGGGAAAGAGAATATGCGTCTTCTCGGTCGGTGGTCGGGGCGCGGGCAGTGCCGGCATCGACGGATCCAGGTCATCGTCGGTCAGGTTGTGCGGCTCGGCGGTGTCGGATTGCGACTGGATGGTCGTCGGCGGTAGACCGGCTTGCAGGGAGATGTAGTGATCGAGAAGCGAGAGATACATCCACACGCGACGGCGCATCTCGCCCTCAAACACCGAGATTCCAGGGTAATGGCGCGGGTCGCGGTGATAGCCCGCGTGCATGGCCAACCGGCTGGCTAGCCCCAGGAGCACGGAGGGACCGACGTGAGTATCGGTGCTGCGAAGAATTTCGCCAGCGACAGTGAGCACCAGCGCCTCGAGCTTGTACCGTCCGGGTGTCGTGTAGACGGACATGGTGAGGCAGTGCGCGGCCCTGCGGTGATACTCGTCAAATGCCTCGGCCAGGTCCCCGTTGGCGCGACCGGCCGTGGAGAAGAGATGTAAGCCGGCAGAGGCTGCGAGAATACTATACAAGTACGCCAACCAGTTGATCGATGCCCCGTCGGGATTCTTCCAGAAAGCAGCATACTGGAGGGCGCAACGGTAAGTACCCGGAGAGACAAGGGGTGGAATATTGAGGGCTCAACCAACCTCTTTGGCAAACGTCGGGGTGTGCATCACAACTGTTCACCGGTCAGCGTGCCGGTTGATACCCCGGGACAACGGCGCAAACACGCGTACCGAGAGGGGCCTCTTTCGAATTCAGATAGGAGGATACCAAGCGGTCGGCAACAGTCCGCGCCGGCAACGCGGCTAGCAAATCGGCCTTGGTGGTGGCAATGGCATTCCCGAACAGCAGGACAGGCCCCGAGGCGTCGGGGGTCGAAGGCTCCCCTTCCGCGTCGTCTTCGGGGGAGGTGTCCTCGCTCATCTGGAGATATTCCTTGACCTCTTCAATCTGTACTTCGGGTTAGTCGGAGACTGGGGCAAGACAGGATCGATCTACTTCGTCCAACACCGCCTGCCAGTGGGTGGGGTCGCGATAGCTCGTGCCATGCTCGTGACTGATCAGCATGGTACCGGGGTAATTGCTCTGGAGTGCCAATGGATCTTCTGCCTGCTCGTCTGCGAGCATCGACTGTGACTGCTGTGGCAGAACAGCCGGGTTGCTGGTGACCGACGGGACATCGACGGCTGATAGTTGGCGAATGCCAGCTTCGAGACTATGGATATGACTCTGGATGCCCTGCGTCTCCTTTCTCGACATCGGCCCCACGTACTGACACATGTAGGACCGACAATGTTTGATGCAGCTGTCGCAAGGATGCAGACGGTTGCACTTCAGTCTGCAGGGGGACCGTCAGTAGGAGTTTACGTAGGTACCTCAGGGGCATAGGGACGATCACGGACTTTTTCTGGCGACACGGGACGCATGACAGCTTAGGGCGAGGCTTTCGCTTTTTGGCCGGTGGAGCTGTCGGATTTACATCGTGGTGGGTGCTAGCAGGGTCCATGTTGATGTCGGCGGCCAGTGGGTGAGAAATGTCCACTTTACCTCCGAAAGGCCCCTCTGAATAAGTCCGGGCATCAGCCGCACTGCTGAATCATGGTGCATTATTCCTGCACAGTGCGAGTAGTGTGCGCGGGCTAGTCCCACTGCAGCCTAGTGCCGGACATTCCTTGAGTAGCGCCGGATTTGTTGGTGGAGGAAGGGAGGTATAAATCAGTCAGTCTCAGTCCTGCCTGAAGATCCATACAGTTCAATTGAGCGTGCAGACAGATTGACCCCCTTCCAGTGCGGCGCTCTAGTCCTACCACTCGAACCACAACAAATGGACCCAACTCGCCAGATGCCCTATAGCAGCCCCCTTTACGATTGGGATTCGCCCGCTGAAGGATCCGCCCCGGTGACGCCATCCAGCTCACCAGCCTCGCGACTGACAGACATGCAAGTCCTCGGCGGCTCTCTTCCTCCATCACCGGAGCTCTGGGCCGACTTCATGTTTTCGGATTGCTCCTACTACCCGACCACCGGGTGCGGCCTTCTGCCGGTCAACTCGTCCCCAAATAGTGGTGTGGCCGATGAGAGGTCGGCCGACCAGTTGGCCTTCCGCCTGGACCCTTTGATAGTGCCCCAAGCCGGCATGCCAGGAATCGATATCCCCATGGGGGAGCTTATCCCCGCCATGCCCGAGTCCAGCATCGCTCCGACGCCGATAATGGCGTCACTGTTACCGCTGAATATCCATCAATCGCCGCCCGTGTCATCGCCCAGAAACGACCCGAGGGGATCTCAACTGACATCCGCTCAGTCGTCAAGAGCCCGGCAACGGTGCCAACCAAGTCCCGCCGGAGAAGAATCCTGGGCAGATGACGGCTCCCTCTCGCCCGGCTCGGAGGAAGGACGGCTGCAGGAAAGGCGGCGCCGCAATAAATTGGCATCACGAAAGCTGCGGCAGAAACACCTGGACCATGTTTCCGACCTGGAGTCCCGGTTAGGGGCCGTGACGCAGGAGCGCGACGAGTTGCGCCTGCGAGTTGCCAAATGGGAAGGGGAGGTGATGGTGCTGAGGAAGTTGCTCGAGAATCGCACAGACGATTAAGGATAGGAGGCAGACCGGGCCCACGGTGAACATGAATCCATCGAATGTAATATAATGTCAGCTTATCACAATAAATCACGCAATAACAGACGTCTTTGAGAGATTGAGGGCGCCAAATTAGGATTCCTGGCAGGCGAGGGGGGGGGGGGGGGGACAAATCGAAACCAGATATGCCACAGCTCACTTCGAGGCGTCGATCATCATGATGAGAGAAGCAAGGGTGCGAGCCCTGATAAAGCCAGGGGGAACCGGAAGAAGCAAAGATCGGCCGTCGAAAGCCGGCATTAAACCCGGATGCTACCATGTCGCCCGGTTTTGGTCGGAAACAAAAGTAGACGCAGAACGTCGTTTAGTCGCGCACCATGGCCCTACTTCGCAAACTGCTCGGTGAGTCAGAAAGCTAATTGAATCATGCATCTTTACAGCCGGTCGTTAATCTGACGGTGTAGGGCTTCTTTTACTGCCCATCGTCGTCCAAGCCCATGGCAGCCCTAAGGCGGATATCCGCGCCGACACCAATCGAGACGGCCTCGTGGATCTCGCGGGCGACTCGGATCTCAACGGGAAGAGCCACTGGACCGAGACTCGCGGCGCCCTGTTTCTGCCAAACATCGGCGATACGGATAGGAGATGCTCGCGGGAGGCTCTTGTCGGTCCTCGGTTGAGCAACGCCCGGCTGGATGACTGTCACGACGCCGCCGATGACATCCAGCGAGCACCCGAATTGATGGCCGTCGTTCGAACGGTACCCATGTCCGGCCTGTCGAGCAACGCCACCGGGTCTATTTCAATTGCGGAAGAGGTCGCGCGCGACAACGTGCGTATTTTCCGTCCGGACGGCAGCAGTTGGGTCTATGTCGGCAGTAACCATACCTTCGGCCAGGACGAGCTGACGGCCGGACTTACCCTCGGAGTGGATGGTCGCGATACGCGCCGGCCCGGGGGCTGGGATGGCCGGGTGACGCTGCAGTTCACCGTGCGCCAGGGTGACTGGCATTCTAGTGACACTGTTCAGCTGCGCGTGGCGCCGGTGCTCGTCCACCACCACCTGCAGCGCGTGGGGCAAGTACTGGCCGTGCGAGGGAATGCGAGTGCCTCACCGTGGGTGGATCGGTATTCTCATGACCTTGCCCTGGTTGTGCGCGAGGCCGGACTAGCAGCTGACATACACCTTTTCGAGACCGGCGAGGACGTCTGGGTGCAGGATTTTGTCGAGCCCGGGTTTGCCACCATGCCAGGCCCCGACGGCCCCGTCGCCATCCGCATCATGATCCGGTCGCCGCAGGACGAGCGTGTGGCCGGACGGCAGCTATTTGAGAGTTTTCGTCGCTCCGGAGTCGGTGCCGTTCAGCATTTGGGCGGCGCGAATGAGGAGATCAACTCTGGCGGCAACGTCGAAGCGGTGCCGCCCCATAGCCTGAATGGTCGTGCCTGGCCAGCCGGTCGCGTCCTCATGGGTGCACACGGGGCTCGGCAGCACCACCTGTTGCCCTATCTGCAGGCCCAAGAGACGCAGGAGCCCATTCTTCTCGACACGGACTGGCTGGCCATCGGGCACGTGGACGAGTTCCTGCAGTTTCTCCCGGCCGACACCGAGCGCGGCTGGGTCGCTATGGTCGACGATCCCCGGGCGGCGATCGATCTACTCCGGACACTGCGCGACGAGGGACACGGTGGTTTGCATGCCCTGTCGCGCAATGAGTCCCGCACGCCGCGCGGGTGTAACGGCTGGGGTTGCGACCCGGCCCCGGTTCCGGCGACGACGATCGAGCAGCTGCTCTCCGACGAGAAGTTGATGCAGGTCAACCTCCGCTGCGCCGACCGGATTGACGCTAACCTGGATATTCTGAAGCGCGAGGTGGGTCTGACGGACGACGCCGTGCTGCGAATCCCGGCCCTATTCCGCAACCACCCCTTCCCGGAGGAAGAAGGCCCTGAGGTGACGCAGGCGACGCTGAAAGTCGGCGCCTTCTTTCCTGGCGCCGTGAACAACCTTGTCCTGACGGGGTTTCGCACCTGTGTTGCGCCGAATCCCTGGGGTCCCTCGCCGAACGGTACCGACGTCCTGGCGGAGGCCATTCGGAGACAGTATGCCAAGCTGGGAATAGAAATCAAATTCATCGACGATTGGACCAGCCATCATGTGGAGGGAGGCGAAGTCCATTGCGGTAGCAACACTCTCCGGGACATGTCGCAACCCTGGTGGTAGATGAAGGCGGAAAGGGGAGTGGAAGAAAGGAAGAGCGTGAGGGATGTCGATTTCCGAGTGGTGGTAAGGCGTCAAGGCATGAAGGCATGAAGGCACCCAGGCACCCGGGCTCCTAGGCCTCGATCCTCCCTCTATCCCAAGATCTTCAAGGCATAACTATACCTCCAAGACATTGTTCCGGTCAGTTCAATAATTTAAATTCACTGCAACATAGTCACAGCAAAGAACCCTCCAGAAAATCCGAACACTAAATACATATCAACAAGGAAATGAGGCGACTCCACTCCTGGAAATACGACAAGGTTGCCAGCGGTGAAGTGGCTCGTAACCCTAATTTTAATTTCCCTGGAGGCAACTGGGGCCGGTAGCCAAAGATCACGCCGCCTCCATAGTCGTCGTCAAGACCCAATGCTATCCAGACCTTATGGCGGCAGGTACCTAGATCTAGTGTTGATACCGTTGATCCTTGAGGCAGATTACTGGACAGGTTGCACGACAGTCTGGACCCAATTGATATCATTTCGGCCAATTCGTAGCCGGGCCAGTCATTAGTGACCATCTTGACCCACTGCGCCCATCATCCCAGACAGATCAGCCATTATTGGCTTCAATTTTTAGCGCCCCGGCGGGGAATACCGCGCGAGCGGTCGTTGCCGAGCGATAAGCGACGTTGTGTCCAGCTGGCGTGGCATTTGAAGGTCATCCTTCCGGACACATGTGACGCAAGCAGAATCAAGAAGCATTCAACACCATCAACGTTGACGACATGAAGCCCTCACTTCCTTTTCCCAATTCTACCCTCTCCATCTGGCATCGCACTACGCGCTCATTCCCCTATCTTCATGCTAACCGGTCAAACGACGTTCCGCCATGCACCAAGTATCTTATTATTGGGTCCGGGATATCTGGGGCCCTGACGGCGTATGAACTACTTCGAACTGGCGTCAAGGGCGAGGATATTATAATTCTGGAAGCGCGAGAAGCTGTCTCCGGGGCCACCGGACGAAACGCTGGACATATCCGACCAGGTGAAACTGTTCCAATTATCGACAAATTCTTACTAACCTGCTCCTGTAGATGCCTTTCGCGGTTTTCCTGGCTATGCCGCGGTGCACGGACCAGAACAGGCCAGGAAGATCTTGGAGAATGAGAGAGTCGTACTTGAACGTGTACGTGAATTCGTCACAGCCAATGGTGTCGACTGTGATTTCAAAAACACCAACACATTCGAGGTCTGTCTTTCGGAGGAGATAGTGGATAGCTCGGCAAGGGCTCTGGTGGCATATGAGGCTGCTGGGGGTGACATCTCGCATATCAGGGTTTTTGAAGGCCAGGAAGCCAAAGCAAGAACCAGAGTTCACAGTGCTTTGTCTGCCTACGAGTCACCGGCCGCATCGAACCACCCGGGTAAACTGTGCCAGTGGATCTTGACCGACGTGATTAGCAAGGGAGTCAAGCTGTGGACGCATTGCCCCGCCATACAAATCGTCAAGAGCCAAAGCTCCACAGAAAGTCGATGGGATGTGAACACTGCACGCGGAACAGTGGCTTCTGAGACCGTGATCCATTGTACCAATGCCTATGCAGGCTACCTGCTACCCGAACTGAGTCAATTCATCCGTCCCGGCCGGATACAGGGCCACGCGTTTATACCGAGGCTTTCTCTCTCTGGCAGCGACTCGCTGCAGCATACCATGGCCCTCCGATACGGCCCGGAGCATTTCTTCTCAGTCAACTCCTTGCTCAATGGCACGATACTACTAGGCGGGTCGGGGACCAGAACTAGCTCCCCCGACAAGGGCGATCTGTCAATCGATGCAGCCACCTTCGACGATTCAGGATACAGCCAGCACATCGCTGACAACAGCACCAGAGAGTTTAACGAATTGTCACAGGAGCCAGAGACCGAGCCGCGTCGGCATGGCGAAGGATTGGACCATGTCTGGACGGGAATCATTGGCGTGACGCCAGATAAAATTCCCCTGGTTGGGCCCATTGAGGGTCTGGAGGGCCAATGGATCTGTGCGGGTTTCAACGGACATGGTAAGTATACGCTATTGTTGGGATAGTCCTGCTTGCATATGCTAAGTGGTATCTAGGGATGGCAGGTATCTTCACATGCGCACCAGGATTGGTGAAACTGGTCAACGGGCAATCGTGGGAGGAGACTGGGTTGCCCGAATGCTTTCAATACAGAAAAGCACGAATCGACAAATACACCAGAAGCAATATCAAGAGCTCCCTGTAAGCAGCTGAGCGGGAATTCAAGCAGTTCCAACTACGCTGTGAATAACAATTCATATTAACATGCCCAAGACCTTGAGATACAAATTAGTGCACAGCTATCAGCTATGGTGCGAATATTAGGATTGTAAAGCTCATGGCACAAGCGGGACTCACTGGCTATATTAAAAGATCCGTACTGCTACTGAAACCCATAAGTCGACGAGTAAAGGTGTACGGAAAAGAAAGGTCTGGTGCCTGCCACGCCAGGTTAAAAATACGGAATCTTTAATTACTTGCCACGAACTTGCTAAGCACACTCATGGCAAGTCCGTGCTCTGGCCATTTGCGTCTCGGTAGAAAAGCGAAATCAATCTGACACCATTTGCATAGCTCTGGTTGCTGCAGTCGATATTCTCTGAACCAGCATATCGGGCTGGCTCAGCATGGGCGCGTGACCTGCGCTGCAGCGTTCAACCTCGGCCTCTGCAAAACTGGAAAACGCCTCCTGAAAAGGAGGAGGCATGTGAACATCGTTCTCGCATACTAGGTACGTCGATGGGATGTATCTGTAGGCAGCGCGAGCCACTCGGGTCCATAGTGCAGCAGCAGGTTGCGGAATGATGCGCGACTCCCACAAAGCGGCCTCAGCATAATCCAGATCGCTGTACAGTAGTTTCGCCGCGTTGCGGAAACAACAGACACCGTTAGCCTACATTACATTCTACATCAGTATCTGCTCGCGATTAAGAGTATCTTACCTTGTCATCTTCATCGAGGAATGTTAAGGTGTCTTGACCTGACTCGCCTTCGTTGAGGATCAGACCACAGATATAGTAGAGGTGAATGACTCCTCCTTTCTGTGCCTTTTCCCGGCGTTTCCTGTAGCTCAGGTTCTCTGGGTTGGCGTTACTCCCAGCCACACCTCCATATGAATGCATGACCATAACGACGAGCTTTCCATGGCCTTCAACGAGTGTTCCTATTTCCTGGGTCATGGCAAGTGAGTCGTCGTCGAGCGTCCGAGTGGGATAATCCTCGGCGTTTATGTTGGAACAGCTGGGGAGAAGAGGGATAACTGTCTCGTATCCTGCTTCGGTGAGTGTAAGGAACATAAACCATTGAACGTAGGTATGTATTAGCAAAGAATAAGCTGCATGGGATGCAGCAGCTGGGTGTGGGCAGAAGCCCCTATTTATGATACTGCCTACTACCAACATGACTGCCAGGAATCGGGAAGATTCCTGACGGGAAGTTCCATATGGAGGGATCCTACCGGCAAGTTCATGAGGACATGCCGGAAGGTTCCTGACAGTGAGACCTTTAGCAAGCGCGGCGTAAACCCGGGGTGTCTGAAAAGCATCTTGAACAATCACAATCGACGGCTTCTCCATAGCAATTCACGGATGACAATAGAGATACAAGATGCGTACATGAGAGAGCTATATGACCTGGAAATATATTCAATCTCAAGACCTTAAGGTGGGCTGTGATTGTGACGATCAAAGCTGCTGCTTCCTTTGTTCTGGCTTCGGATCCACGGCTGCGCTGCTCTTGATCGGCCTCTGCCTTTGAATAGACACATGCACAGCCCAGAAACCTTATTTTAAATTAACGATGCAAAGGGCCTCTAATGGTTCTGATACCCATTCAGTCCAAGTCTAGAGCGGGCTGATTGTCTTGAGTCGAGGGAAACATGGGCCACTGAATGTCGTGTAGACCGCATCAGTCCATATGGTCTCGAATAAGGGTTTTAATATTATTTGTGGCTCCCTGTCGACACCTCGCCAATAGAATAGTTCCTAGTTATCTGTACATTCACTCGCTTTATCGTAGAGAACCAAGTCTAAAGGGAATGGACAGACTTCAACTTGTGCGCAGTTCCTCATCGACTTCCCGAGAAACGCTCTAGGTTTACCCGGAGTACAAGCGACCAGGGAGTAAATAGTGCTTTGTTGTTTAGAGTTTAGGGTTGCTGTTTAATCCTGCTAATTATTTCTTCCACATCCTCCCATATCCGCTGTCGATTCCGTAGTCCCTTGAGCTGCGGCCAGTTGCGCTTGATTGCTGTATACAGCTGGTACCAATTTGTTTGCCTTCTTGAGAGTATAGGTCGTTGTGCTGCCGGTTCTGGCCAAGGCAACAGATAGTCCAGAGCATCATCAATGTTGCCCACCTGACCTTCCTCTCTCAGGACCTTAGCATAATGCTCCCTTCTTTGGATAAGCAGGTGGGCCCCGTTCGCTGTGATGGATGTCCATAGTGACGGGCGATGGTCGCGCTCCGTCTCATCCCAGGCCTCCCAGAGCCATGGCATTTCTTCTCGGACAAGACGATACCACAGGCCAGCGGGCAGTTGTTCGTAGCCCCGGGAAGCAAGTCTAAGACTGGCAATATCGCGAGATCCGAGATAGCACAGGATCAGGAGACGAATATCCATCGGCAACGCGGCTAGAGGATCAGCGGACTCGTTCCGGGAGCAGCTGGGCCGACAAGAGAGATCGAAAGCCCCGCTCTGTAGACTGGAATCGTGTTCTTCGGCTTTGACCGAAGCATCAAGCAGAGGCAACAATCGGGGCACGTAGAGTGGATTGGCAGCCAAGTACTCATTGCCGGGGTCATGGAGCCAGAACTGTTCTTGCGCGCCGGCAACGTCTCCTGTCCGGGGAAATTCACGGAAGTCATCCCACGAGAACTCTGCATTCCGCCACTTCACAAGACCAGAAATGTTGATACGATTGAAGTGAAGTTTGGACAGGCGGCAGAAGATATCGAAACACCATGGATGAAATGGCATGGCATATTCATTTGCCGCGGTATACTCCGGCTGCCTTGGGTAAGCCTAGGGGCGTTAGGTCTTGAGAACATTTCGAACTCACATCGAAATTAACATTATCCGATCGCGGGCAGCTAATACTGCCTCGAAGCGGATACACTTCTTGATAACCGACATCTCGAGATGCCACGCCATCACAAAGGCCCGATAGGAACCATTCTTCCGAGAGCTCCCACTCCTCATCCAACCCGTCAGGCTGCCATTGGGCGCCCGAGGCAACCTTGTGAATAAGAAACTGGGCCGTTCGACACCCTTGCATCTCCTCCAGCGAAATGGCGTGACCAGAATATGCATTCGGTTCGGTACAATTCGGACCGGCAATGTGTTCCAAGTCTTCCGGTTCGTACTGTTGTGGCCAGTGCTCCGAGGCAATTGGGAAAACATCCTCATTGCGACGATCTAGCGGTAACCAAAGGGGCTCCCCGGAAAAACGGTCCTGGGAGATATTGATATCGAAGAGGTGATCCTGGTACCACTGGTCCTCGACGTCGCCGTCCGAGTTGGTATCCGCTTCATCGAGTCCACTGATAGATCCAGATCCAGATTCAGATTCAGATTCAGATTCAGATTCAGATTCAGATTCAGATTCTTCATGGCTCATGTCCTCCTCTGTTTCTGGCGGAGTATAGTCCGGGTCATCCAAGGGGTCGTCCCCACCCTTCGGATGGCGTACAGCGGCGTGGCAGCCATTGCGAGTACAATTCTCTACGTCAACCTCGTCGACGCCTAGGTCCGGCTCTCGGCCCGTATAATCCCATTTCGCCAGTTCCGGCTCTCCAGCAACGCGACTGCGCGCGATATTGAAGCTGACCCCACAAAGATGGCAGTAAATCTGACCGCAACGGTTAGTGGCGATGCCCCTTCTCAGATAAATTATGACGCCGCACCTCGGAGTATCCTGGATTCTGTTAGTATCCGGAATCCGTGAAACCGAACAGGGACTAGGAAACTGACCCATTCTTGTCGGTGAGTGTGGCGTATTCGTTTCTTGATCCTATATCACAAGAGATTCAAGTCTACATGACGGTGCACAAGCAGACTACAAATACTCAGCGTCCCTCTGGTAGAGCAGCATCGGGGCTCCACATCTCTTCGTATTGGCCCACAAGCGCGACCGGCTGCCTAGAACCCAGGAACCCACAGGTCTGCAGCCTATTTGTCGCTTGCTTAACGAACAGGCACTCTCGGAAGCAACGTTCTCTGCATCTGCTGCCTAGAAGCAAGAGGAAAAAGTAGAGGGCTGTTTTTCCTCGTCTCGACGACGCCGGCAAGAGGGAGATTAGTCATCATGCTGGCGCGTCGGGGCGGGGATTCGATTCTCCGATCTCAGGCAGCAAGGCCTCTGCCCCTGAGTGGACCTTCCCCTCTGGGCTAGTCGCAGGCCACACCGGTCTAACCGCATCAAGAAGGTGGATAAGTCGCGCCTCTTCCTCTTCCTGACCCCATCCATCTTCATCAGTCTCTTACATCTTTCCCGACGAGATTGGTATTCTGACATTCCGAATAGCCTCGTTTCGAGCCCTCGCTCGCCCGCGAGATGAATGGAAATGTTACTCTGGAAGCGTGGTTTGGACCCAGCGTAAGCGAAAGGACCAGTTCCAAGACTGATGACACTGTATACCTAGCCGGGCTTGAAGCAGTCACCATGGTAGGATTTTCAGCTTCTTCTGAAGTGAAGTCACTGGTAAGATACTAAGTGGTAGCAACTGCATCATCGCTTTGTCGTTCGACACTGGAACTCGGTTCTTTGCGATCATAATCTACATTTCGATCCTGGAATTCGGCATGGAGCTGAAGGTACGGGAAAGAAAAGGCTGGATGGCCACTATAGAAGAAGACCGAAATTTCGCAAGACACAGCGAAGAGGTCGCGGAGAGAAATAAAACGGGATATGAATTGCTTGGTTCCAACAAAGCGAAACCGAAAGGGGTAATTAAGGCGCAACGGGGTTTCCGGGTCTGTGAGTGCCTTGTACTCCTCCTGACATACGTCGGCTTGAAACTGATCGTGATCTAACATGTAGAGCTGCAAAAACAAAAACTCTGCGATCTACAATCCGGGCTATAAAGAATATTGAACATACTTTGTGATGGAATCAGTGCTGAACGAGAAAGGCGTCTATAGAGAGCCCTAAGTTGTTCCTGGCCCCGGTGGTCCCGCCGTGTGATTTGTCGCCCTACAGCCCTACGAGAGACGCTGGCCACTTTAGTGCGAGCCCACCTGCGCGGGGATCGGCCTCTCAGGCGCTCTCAGACTAGGTTGCAGCGACCATTGACCCATCCCAGCCCCAATCCGCCAATGATCGCATGTCGTACGGCCTAGGCTGCAGACATATGGACGTGCCGATGTGATAGAATCGGCAGCACAACCCCACCGTCACTGTCTCGCCCAAATCACACCAAATCAAGCATCAAGGCTTAGCGCTGGGCATACAAGGATGTGGTGTGTAGGTGCTACCTTCTGGAATCCTTGCTCATGGCTTGCTCAAGGCATCAGCATTCTGCTCGCTGGCTGGAGAGGGGATAAATCCCGGCTTTGCATCATGTTTTTGCACTGGCAGTTTCCTCCGTCTTCCTGATTCCTCAACGCATTCGTTCTCTCACACCAGTTCATAGTCACCACGATGGGTTTGACCAAGATCCTCCTCAAAGCCATCATCATCCCCGTTGTGGTGGTGTTGTTGATGGGTGCCGTTGTCTGGTTTCTCATCAAGCGCCACCGCGACCGCAAGCGCGAAGATAAGGCCATCGAGGGCCAACAGTTCCAGCAATTCCAACCGCCCCCTATAACCCAGTGGGCCACGGGGCCTCATCCAGCCTCGCCAGTATCAGCTATGCACAAGCCGGAGCCGGTCTTCTATCCTGTGCAGCAGCCGGCTGACCCTCGAGGACAGGTTTGAAACTCGGGAAACGACCGCTTGGTAAGGCCTTCATTCTTGGCTCTTTAAAAGCAGATATTCACGTTCAATTTTGCTGATGCGTATTGGTTTGCTTTGCAGGTTTTTGAGCCAGCGTATTATATTTGCCTCACGGGTCGAGAAGCTCATGTCCTGAGCGAAGGGGGTCGACATTATTCCTCGTGACCACAGCGGCCGGTAGGAGAACAGGCCGCTTTGGTGCCTCATTTCACAGTTTATGACCGTTTGGATATGTTATCGATTTTGCCTCTATACCACCCTTTGTCCTATAACCATTTCCTTGTCATGTGTATTTGATCGTTTGAGAAATGGATCGTATTTGTGCATTTTTGGTAGGCTCGGATATATTGACGTTCAGGAGACATGCATCTATTTTGACATTTGGAAGCTGGTAGGAGTATTGTAGGCAATCCTGGCCAAGCCCAATGTAATTGACATGCTTGATCTTACGTGTTAGCAATTTCATTCTCATCACACTGACCCAGATGTTCTTCCTTCCCGGCGATCCTTCCGCCACACCAGCCACCACGAAACCAAAATGCCCAAGATGGCAGCGCAAAGGAAGCATAGACAAATGATGTATGAAACGCTATATGTTGGTCCAAAGACTGCGCTATAGATATGAGGACCAGCGATCCCACTGAATTGAGCCAATGCGTTTGTATACCCAATGCCGATGCCGGAAGCCACCGTGCCATCAAGGTCACGAATGCGCTCCGGCCAAATGACAGGATAGGCGGACCCGGCGCATGCAGTGGCGACGATCAAGGCGTGGTATTTGACGATCGAATTGGAGACCGTGACGAGGACGATGTAGCAGATTATGATGGTACTCTCGACTATAACCCGCGTTAGCACAAGGCTTGTTCACTTGCCTAAAGGAAGTCGGGTCTGGTAAAACATACTGGCAACCGCCGTGGTCCAGGGCCTGATTATCCCTTTGTGCAGCAGGACGCCGAGGATGTTTAGAAAGATAAAGCATGCAACGTAGGGAGGCTAAAGACTGCATTAGCTAAAGTTTGGTCGACCGCACAATAGTATGATCAACCCACAATGTTCATCAATTGCGAATACGCCGTCGTGGTGAAGCCCAGCTCGTAGATCACGGTCGGCAATGCGTAGTGGACGCCAAAACCGCCGATTCCATGGCCTATCCAGTAGACGGAGAAGGAATAGAGAGTCGGACTGGAGAACAGGTCCTTGATTCCTTGCCAGTCCCAGCTCTTGTCTTTGCCCGACGGCGCAGAATCCGACATCCGACCTGTTAGATACTCGCGCTCTTCCTCAGTCAGCATGCGGGCCGTCTCAGGATAATCGGGCAGACCGAGGAGAGCGATGACAGAGAGCACGATGGCCGGGAGACCCTCGAGAATGAAGAGCCATCGCCATCCCGATAACCCACTCACGCCGTTCATGAAGCTGATCGCATACGCAAGGAGCCCACTCAGCGCGCTAGACACTTGGCCTAAGGAATAGAAAAGCGAAATCCTCCAGAGCATCTCACTGGGCTTATACCAGAACGCCATATGGTATAACACGGAGGGATAGAAACCCGCCTCAGCCATCCCTATTGCAAATCGCACGCACATCATGCCCGGGAAGTCCCGAGCGGCGCCCACAGAGCAGGCACAGATGCCCCAGGAGAGAATGAGGACGAACATCCACCGTGAAGGGGCGAAGGTTTTGAGGAAGATCGTGTTAGACGGTTCAAAAAAGAGATAACTGTAGGAAAAGATTGACAGAGTCCAGGACCACTGGGACGGACTGAAGCCGAGCTCTTTCTTAATTCCGCTGCCTTCTTCCAGGTTGATAATGGCGGCGTTGAAATAGTTGCCGGAGTCGATGACGCGAAAGATATAGACGACGGAGTAGAAGCCAACCAGCCAGAAATCGATCTTTCGCATGACTCTTCTCTTGAACTCATCGCTATACTTGCAATTCTGATTGCCATCTATTGTGATGGGTGGTGAAGGAGGCACAGTAGTGGTCACTACGTGCTCCTCTCCTTTGCCGGTAGCCATTGTTGCTCGACTGGAAAGCCCGGCAGCTATGGTATTTGAATTAATAGACCGTCGTTACTATGATTTTGTCCGATTTGCGGAAGACGATACCTCCGAACAACGAGCATTTATGGTGTGCAGCTCCTCCCACATATGCCGACACCATGCTGGGCATACTCTGATGCCATGATAGGTTTGATCACGACATACATTCCCGGCTGCCAAAGCCCCGAAATGAAGCAAGATCAACATCTGTCAAGCACGAAATACATAGCCCTCTACCTTTAACAGGGCGCGAAAAGGGGTATAGGACGATCTATATTTTTCGCGAGGGTGCCAAGCACAGCTATCTAAACCTCGACTCTGCACAGTACCACCGTATAGTGTGAGCGCACGCCATGAACAACCCCTAGGTCATGTTCCGTAGCCTGGGATTCGTCTACGACGTGCATCTTATCGGCGGCCTCAGCCGGCATTGTCACTCGCGGAGTATAACGCAATTGCGGCGAAGGATGATACGCATCCCAACCCCGCATCTTTGGACTCCGCGGCATTAGAATTCCCTGCCATATTGTGACTATTCACTGTTCAATACTTATGTGGTAGAGAATGAAACTTAAATTGCACGCCAGAAACCTCTAGTCCAGGGTCTCTCTGTTTCCCCTCAACCGAAAAGCACAATGGCGCCCTCCGCGGTAGAACAAGAATCCCGCCTATCTACCGAAAAGATTCTCATTAAACCATGGGCTCGACCAACACCAACGAAAGAAGATCTTGATTGGGCTCCTCTCGTGCAGATTGATCTGTCCCGGTTTGACGACCCAGGCGGAAAGGACGAACTTGCCAGGCAGCTCTACGATGCCGTCACTCGCGTCGGATTCTGGGTCGTAGTTGGCCATGGAATAGACGATGACCGTGTGCTGCGTCAGTTCAGCTTTGGGAACGCTTTCTTCAAAGAGCCCATCGAAGAAAAACGCAGTTTCCCGTGCAACTTCGCCGACGGGGAGTACTTTGGATATCGGGAGAATGAGCGATGGATTGGGGATACGGGAGTGAAGGACAATGTCGAGATGGTATGCAGACATAACACATTCACATCCTGCTCGTTCTAACACCTTCGCTTCAGCTGAACATCCCGAAAGCAATCCCTGCGTGGGAAGACATTCCCAAACACCGAATCGTGCGACAGAACTACGATGAGATCGCAAGCTTCCATCGCGATCTCTTTGACAAGGTTCTGCGCAAACTCTTTGTCTTGACCTCCATCATCCTCGAGTTGCCGGAGAATTACCTGACCGATGCGCACGACTATGACGAGCGTTCCGACGATCATCTGCGTTATATGATCTATAACACCCGTACTGCCGATGAATGGGCCAAGGCACAGGGCTATACCAAAGGTGGACATACGGACTTTGGGAGTTTAACGCTTTTGTTCTCGCAGAATGTTGCTGGCTTGCAAATTCGAACTTTAGAGGGCGACTGGAAATATGTAAAGCCCGTTGAAGGAGGGATTACGTGCAACACGGCCGACACTCTGTCGTTCCTGACAAATGGTGGGATCATGCATGAGATCGTCTCACAAATACCAAAGAAGACTGGCTTACAGATCTCATAGGGTTCCTAAAATCTACCATCCATCGAGTCGTCACGCCACCGGCTGACCAAATCCACATTGCTCGCCTAGGACTCCTCTATTTCTGCCGACCCGGCGATAACACGGTCATGAAGACGGTTCCATCGCCGCTGCTTGAGAGGCTTGGGTTGCTCACCGGCGACGATAAAACCGATCAGCCGGTGGCCACGGGCACGGAATACGTACGCGCTCGCGTTCGCGACGTGCATCACAAGAAGGTGATCGATCGCCGAGAGAACACTTCATTTGAGTTTAAGGGACTGAAGGTCCCGAATTACTATAGCTAGTTCTTCTCCATTGAGGTTGGGGAGCTGGCCGTTGGTTAATGCTTTAGTCTGCCTAAAAGGTCTCTCGCATGGCTTAGATTTGACCCCAGTCGACCGGCCGTATGTCTATATTGGCAATTGCACGATAGCTGCCGTTGTAGAACCTGCTAGCTGGTAAAATATATGCAGTACCTCGACAGCGTACATACCTCTCACACCCGTCGCATCGGGCCAAAAGGTCCATATGGATGATATTATTCCCGCGTTATACTACAATTCCGTGGACCGAGGCACGACAAAAGGAAAGCGGTGATTAATGTGGCTTGCGCGGGATTCAGTGGAATAGCAACTCCCCTCCTTTGCCATACGGGAATTCTCGATTCCCCTGTCCCTTCAGCGTATCAATTTGTTCAGGCTGTGTGCGGTGCCCTAATGCCTCAGATGTATACGGAAACTGCTGTCGGCGATCCTTCGTCAGCCGAACCCAGGAACAGCCGCGAGCTTTCTCTGCATTCCGACTCTTCACCCACCACGAACCACTCCAGTGCTCTCACGGAGGTTGCGACACCTGAGCCGCTGCAAAGACATCACCTGGAGCATGGGCCTTTCCTCGAAGGAGTACTGTCGGACTTGCGGCATCCCAGCAGTGGAGTGGGCGACGATTCTGATCCAGCCCTAACCGAGATCGTAGCACCGGTGCCGGTGCAGAGACACGTCGAGAAGCTGCGTCTACGACCTGGATCGCTTGAAAGAAGTCTCTCAAATGCTTCCCATGACAATGCACAAAAGTCGACGACCAGGTCATGTAATATCTTCTAGTATACTAATATGACTGTACTGATTGCTGCTTCCCACATTCTTTTACCTCTGCCTACTCTCGGCCTTGGTTGGCCAGGGCCATCTCGTCTTCTGACACAAACGGACAATGCATGACTGCGATTCAAGTGGAATAGTGCCTATGAGGGTCATGCATACATATAGCACCTTCCTCTTCGGGACCGACGGGCAACCGATGCAAACACCGCACGTGCCCCGGATGGATGTGTCTAGAAATCGTCGTCTTCTTCCTCCTCTTCATCGCCTTCTCCTTCCTCGCGTGGGAAATCCACCATCTCTCCCAACTCCTCCGACGTGACTAGAAGATCCGATGGGTCCTCCTTGTTGACTTGTTCGCGCACCTGGAACTCGCGGGCTTCCGGGTCCGCGTCGCGAAACCGCGCTTTCTCCACCGAGCCCGCGCTGAAGGCGTGCGACTGAGGCAGGATGGCTGCCAGCTTGCGATACTTGAAATGCAAGCCCCCGAAGAAGACCACCTTCCTCTCATTTGGCTGATTGGCTTTCGATGTCACCCACCCACTGTCTCCGTTCGACGTGTACCACGCAGTCGAAGGCGCCACCTCGCCGATCTCAATCGCCCCGGCGCGGAAGCCGATCGCGATCTCCTTCTCCGTTTCCGACCAGGCATTGATCATGGCATGCTTGGTCGTGTAGGCGGATGTGACGATAATTAACCCGCGATCCCGGACGTCCGGCCACTGTCGCAGGATGGTTTCCGAGTTGGCTTTACACCATTGACGAAAAGGGGTCGTGCCGTAAATGAACTCCTTCACCACCGGACCTTCGGTCATCAAGATCGCGCCAAAGCCGTCCTTCGTGCTGTATTTGTACAGCGTGCCGATATCCGCCGGGATCCCGGCCGGTAGCAGCGACGCTCCCACGTCCCAATCTACCTTTCTCTGCTTCATGCGACCGGACATCTTCGGACCCCATGCTCGCTCGTCGGAAGGAGCTCGCTGGAAGTGGGCAAACGGCGTGAGGCCGTTGCGAGCGAGCGACGACGCGTCGCCCAGGTTGATCGGTGCTTGATCGACTCCCAAGAGCGGCGTCCATTGCCCGAGCTCGGTGAGATAGCCGCAAAAGCCCGGTTGAAGAGTTATGGATGACTCCGGTTCGTATAACGCATAGCCATAAGGGTGGTTCAGCATCGACTGCTGGTAGCTGGCCCCTAGCGACGGCATGGTGGGGAATGCGACCGGGAAGGAGGGGAAGAGCTAAGAGCTAACTGACGTTCCTGAGATACAATGATCGTTAGCCTGAAGGAGCTTGGAGGATTCCTGGGAGCTCGCCAACACAAAAGTGAATCACCAACAGGCCACAATGAGTCGGGGTGTCCAAGGGTGAAACATCTGACGCCGTCGTCAAGAGTGTCAGCCGGGTGAGTAAATACGAGATGCGCGACTGCATGCATGGCGCTCGCGTTGATTGGAAGCGAGTCGTCGGCCAAACTTGGCCTTTACAGCCGCACGATGCCCCGCGTCGAGATGAGGTCTGGCGATGTCCCCTGCGTTCCGCCCGCAGCCTTTCGTCCGTCTGACGTACAGCTGAGGAGAATGCGCTCCGAGTGGTGATTCGCTGCATTACCTCGCATCCTTGTCGCGCTCGCCTGCAATGTCCTGTTCTGTCCGATGGTGCCAGGCAACCGGAGCCCGAGCTTCTCGATACGTTAATTTGGAAGACATTATAAGACCAACTGTTCGGGTGTGCAGAGCTGGTGACAGGTTATCCATCACCCTTGCTAGTTACACTTCCGCCGCTGGCAACTTGACCATGGCAGAACCGCCATCGCCATCACCACCCACCATTCCTCAGGAGAATATCGACGAGGCCAAGGCTGCATTTGCTCGCGATCGGCCACTTGTAGATGATCTCCGACCGGGAACCTTCTTCGATGACCCGAGTTACCTTGATACCCTACCTCACGGTGCCAAAGCTCTAGTTTGTGCCGTGCAGCATTTGGGTGACCATCCGGATAGGCCAGGCCTCTGTCATATCCAGTCGGTGCAGGCGTTCACGCGATATATTGTGACCCATGATCTGGAACAACTCAACATGGCGTTTGCCATGGAAGCCATGTCTCTTCGCTATGTCCCGCCTGGCCACCCGGGCCGTGGGAAGTCCAACAATCACATGGGAAAGCTGTTTCAACAAAAGTGGGAGAATGATAACATCGCCTCTGATCTCGATGACACGATTCGCCACTACAAAATCGCAGTCGACACTGCTAAGGAAACGGACGAGACGATCAGTGACTGGTCCTGTGATGTGGCCGCTCTTGTCACGAAGCGCTGGAATCGAACCAAACAACCGAGCGACCGGCAGGATGCACGCAAGTTTTTTGACAAAGCTATTGAGCTGGCCGGCGAGTCCCCAAAGCGAGCGATCCATCTTTCCAACAAAGGGGAGACAATCCGTCTGACGTTATTCGGCAATGACGAAGAGCGAGAAGCACTTCTTACCGAGTCAATTGGCTACCACGAGAAGGCCCTCGAGCTTTGTGGGATTCTTCTGGCTCTATCTGAACGGCCTAAGATTCCTTACGGCAATATTCACCGCAATGTCGCCCAGGCATACCTCGCGAAGTTCCATCTGTTGAAGCGGCCGGAAGATGGCGACAAGGCTGCCTCCCTGCTGGAAAAGGCAGTCGACTTCGAGACAGTTGGAAGTGCCGGCTGGGAACGTTTCATGAATGAGCTTGGCAACGTGTATAATTTCAGAGCGCAATTATGGGGCAACGCGGAGTATGAGGAAAAAGCGACCAATATTTGGAGGAAAGTCATAGAGCATAGGCCTAATACGGTGGTCGCAAGGACATGCCTTGCAGAGCTTTACCGTTCAACCGCGGCAAAGGCCCTGGGCGACACTCTTACCGTCGAAGCAATCGAAGAGGCTACCTCCCTGGCCCTAATGGCGGCTAATATGTCAGTTTTGCAACAGTCAAATTCAGGACTAGCCAACGCCCGTTCTAGCTCTGTTCTGTACACCAAATACGAACTTCTGGGTCAGATAGAAGATCTCAATCAGGCCATAGAGTACGCTCAGAGGGCGACACGGGATCAAAACAGCGACGATCTCTGGGATCATCACCGCCTACTAGCTCAGGTTTTGATCACTCGATTTGAAAGCCTCCGTCGCGTGGAAGACCTGCGTGATGCCACGCTTGCGGTGCACGAGTCCATCAAAGCGTGCAGCCCTGAGAACTTCGAACAGAAAGCGGGCTGTCAATGGGTAGTGGGGAAAATTACCAGATTGACATACGACATGATGCCAAATGTTCAACTGCTTCGGCAGGCAATTCAGGTCTTCGAAGTCTGCAGCCAGCTCATGTCCAAAAAGTCCGTAACACGCTGCCTAGCTTTGAATGACCTGGGCAACGCTTACGCGCAACTATTCAGCCATGAGGCGCTGCCTGTGCAGCTAGAGAAAGCCATCGAGGCATATCAAACGTCTCTCTCCGGGCTTCAATCTATATACGATTCCGATCGGCATCCTGATATCCTCATGCTTAATGCAGCGCTTGGGACAGTCATGATACAGCGTTTCCAGACCTGGAGGGCCCAGACCGACATTGACTCCGCTGTAACGTACTTTCGTCGCTGTCTGCTGGGCATTCATGAAGGTCATCCAAGGTACATCACCCGCGTGAGCAATTTGTGTTACGCGCTACAACTCCGGTGCCAGATGAACGGGATCAAGGGAAGCCTGGATGACTTGAAGGAGACTCAACGGCTTCTTAGAAGCGCGCTTGAGTCACCCAAGCTAATCAGCAATGAAATGAAAAATGGGCTATTTAACCATCTTGGCAACGCTTTTCTGTGCTCTTTCACTCTCAGCAAACAACCAACCGATTTGGAAAATGCCATTGATAATTACACTGCGGCCATTGCAGTGGAGGGGTGTTCTCCTGCAGCCCGTGCGACGGCAATGATAAACAAAGCTGAAGTGCAGAGGTTAATGGCTGTTTCCAGCGGGCTACTGTCTGACTTTGAAGCGAGCAACCAGACCATGGAGGAGGCCCAGCAGGTGCTAAGCAAAAATGATCCGCGTTTCTGGTCTATCCTCCTAAATCAAGCCAACCTGTTGTACAGCGTATATGACAAACATACAGGTTCGGACATCAAAGAGTATGGGCTCCGCGCTCTTGCCAAGTACCAAGAGCTCCTTCACATGCCAAATCTACCTCCAGCTTCGCGCATCAGCGTTGCTTCTCTCGCAGCCAGTCTTACTTCGCATTTACTCGATGATCAAGCAAAAGCCCGAGATTATATCCTAGTCAGTCTTGACACGCTTCCAGAAGCAATCCTCATGCACGAAAGCCGGCTGGAGCAGCTAAAGTTTGTCCGAGCATGCCATTATGTTCCAAGCAGCGTGGCCGCGCTGTCTCTCAACGCGGGAGATCCGCCAAACGTAGTTATACAGCGTCTCGAGGCTGCAAGAGCCTTCATCTGGGACCGAATCGAGAATCAAACAACACAGATTGATGCTCTTGAAGCTGAGCATCAGGAGCTAGCGGGCAAGTTTCGCACAGTACAGCAGCGGATCTTCCAAAAGAGCGGGCCGGCTGGGAAGCGAGGTAGGGTGGATTTGGCCTCGGTCGCCCCAGATGACCTCAATAGGCTCCAACGGCAGCATGACGGTGATGTTTATCGCCAGCTGCTTCAGCAGATCCGAGCCCTCCCGGGACACGGCTCCTTTTTAAGAACCCCAGATGCTCCGCGGGACCTTCAGAGTTATGCAGCGGACGCACCCATTGTTTTCATCAATGCGAGTAAATATCGCAGTGACGCTCTGGTCATCACCAAGGACAGTATTGAGCATTTGCCACTCCCTGCTTTCAACATGGAGCGTGTTATGCCGTATGCAGCACGCTTCATGCATGCTTTGGATATGCTGTCCAGAGATGCAGAGCAAGCAGTCGCTCTGACGGAGTATCAAGGAGTCATGAAATGGGTCTGGGAATCCGTTGCCAAGCCGGTTCTCGATAGCATTGACTGGCAGAAATATGAGCCCGGTCCGTCCGGAAAACCGCGAATCGTTTGGGTGTCAACGGGATGGGTCAGCGTGCTTCCCATCCACGCTGCAGGCGACTACGAAAGCACCGCGATGAGCGATGAGCCCACGTGTGTCCACGACATGGTTGTTTCGTCGTACACTACGTCCCTCAAGGCTCTGGACGTCAACAAACATAATGCTCGACGAATCGGCACCGAGTCAGGCGCTGGTTCCAGGCAAGCGATGATTGCCGCCATGGCGACAACGCCCGGACTGGGTCCAGAAAACGATTTAGACGTCGAACCCGAAATTAGGTCATTTGAAAGGACACTTGGGACTTTATTCAAACTGAATTTGCTAAGACAACCAGACTCAAAGGTTGTGAAGCAAGCCCTGTCCACGGCAACCATTGGTCATTTTGCCTGCCACGGTCGCGCTGACAAAGAAGACCCTTCACACAGCGCTATCATGCTACAAGACAACCAGGCGAAGGTGCCACCATTTTCCGTGCGAGCACTTCTGAAACTCAAGCTGAAGACTTGTGGGCTTGTTTATCTATCTGCGTGTGAGTCCGGCGTCAGCAAGGACCTCGCAGTGCGAGACGAGGGCATCCATATTGGCGGAGGTTTCCATATTGCCGGCGTGCCACATGTCATCTCCACACTGTGGAAGGTATCGGATATTGTTTCCGCCCAACTCTCTGGGTTGTTCTATGAGCGACTCAAAAATGAATCGGGAGAAGTTGATCTTGCCAGGGCACCGCATGCTCTTCATATGGCAATAGGCGAGTTGAAACAACAGGGTGTGCATCCGATGCTGCTGGGGCCTTTCATTCATTCTGGCCCTTGAGCTGCATACGCATGTTCATATAAGCGATGATGTATCAAACTCTGGAACGAACTATTTGACCTATCTCTAATTTCGATTGTCATTTTTCTTGGCCAATGGACCTTCGCCTTCGCTCATGACATTACTCTTACAACGCGATAATCTAACGAATTCGCCACTCGGTCATATTATTCACACAACAACCCAGTAAATTACAAAAGCAAAATTATACAAGTAGTCCGCACAAAGGCAACAGCAAGCCAGCCAGTCGCAACCATAATCATACGTCGTAGCATCGTTTTCCGTTTATACCATTGCAGTAGCCAACATTAGCATGATTCCCAGCTGATCTGCGTCGGTATGCCAAAGATCCAGCTTCTGGGAGTTCGACCCATCCCCGGGATTCCGCTGCGCTTCAATCAACTCCCCGAAATAAGCCAGTCGAGGTCGTCGATAATTCATCTGACTCGCTCGGTATTCCGCCTCCCACACCTCGTGGCAGTTGGCGGTCCACAGTGAGTGGCCTGACGGTAATGGGATGGCGCGGTATACCTCGGTTGTGTCGCAGGGAATGCCCGTCTTGACGCAAATAACGCGACTTATGATGAACCAGAGACATGCGACTCTGCAATCAACAATTAGCACTTGACTCATGTGGGACGAGAGAGAAGCGACACGCACCTTCGTCGGGATTCCGAGAAAATCCAATCTTGCCAGGTGTGGTTGGGATTAGCCTGCTCGTCCAGCGCGAATGGCTGGGCGCATATTTTGCGAAATTGTTCGCACAGAAGCTGGGTTCCTTGGTTAACAATCGAAGTTCAGGTAGGGCAAAACAGGTTGATCTACCTGGAAAGACAAGAGCATATGCAAGTCATGCTCAGAATGCCGCAGAGTGTCGTCGACAATGCGCATGATCAGGTAGATGATGTATACTTGGATTGCTGCCAAGAGCTCTTCTCTGTCGAATGTTTCCATCTATTTCAGAGTCATCAGTAATGTCTCTTGAGAAGACCGACAAAGGATATGTACCTCACTTAGTAACCTGCGCTGCTCCATCCGAATGGTCTTCCAAACAAAAGGCTTGGTCTCTTGGGTTCGAGGCACGAACATCTGCGCAATGCTCATACAGTTTGCCAATGGGGCCTGCAGTACGGGTGAATGGCTATCGGTACATCTTTTGTAATACGAAGGATGGATAAAAGGAGGGAAGGTGGCCTTTTGAACCATGAGTTGCGGGAACGGACGCAACATTTGGATAATGTAGTTGGCGTTGCATTGCGCTGCAGGGCTGCTCATGGGCAGAGGAGTGAGAAACCCGGACGTCTCCAAAGTAGTCAAGGCAGGGGGGATCGTGATGGTCGAAAGAAAGTCGGTTTTGCCGGTGACTGGTGTCTCTCCAGTCGTGTAGAGCTCTTCCAGCGAGGCCATGGCTTGCGCATCGGACACTTGCGGATCCTCCGAGACATACGTACTAGTGGTCGCGGTCGTGGGCGCAGAGATTGTGTCGCACACCGGGGCTGCCGTCGACGTCGATTGATTAATTTGCAGCAGATCGAGATTAATGTCCCACGACAACTCGTCGCCGACCAGTTCCATGTTGTTAGCTATGATCTCGCTCCTGGGAAGCGGCGTCGGAGTCGACGTATCCACCGGGGTTGGCGGGGGCACGGCCTTGGATTTCAGGGCGGCAGGCGTTAGAGTGGCATTTTGCCGACCGTTAGGATGGTCATAAACACACTCCAGACCCTTATGACGGCAGCGTGAACACTGAGGTTGAAAGCTGCAGCGGGCTTTGGCGGCGCTGCAGGCCTGACACGACTGATGCCGCACGCGGGGACGATCTCGCGAGCGGCGACAGTAGCTTACATGGCGGTTCCGCGAGGCCTCGTGGGTGAAGGGTTTCTGGCAAAGGTTGCAGAAGAACATTCTAATCTGCGCGTCCATCGGTCCAGCAGGGATCGGCGACAAAGCCATTCATTCTTCAGGGGGGGGAGATGCGGCAGGTTTGGTAGTTAGAAGGAGAGGAAGGAGGAGGATGACAAATGGCCAGGTGGGCAGGGATGACACCCGATTGATAAGGCCGCCACCGCTAGGGTTTCCATTGGTCACGCCATCCCGGCCAATTTCGCCGTCTTTTTCTCTCTCTCTCGTATCGGCCATTTTGTATATACCCTCACTCTGGCCGGACGCTCGGTCAAATCGGTCACGGCCAGTTTCCCTTCCCACAGGTCGATTGTGTGCTGACAAACACCCAGTCTGCAGACTCGTAGTCAGGGGGCCAACCTGGCCAGCGTATACCTGCTCAGATATTAAGCGTGAGTCGAGCTCCCGGGCCTACTTTCGTTAGCCAGTCCATCTGTTCATCTCTCTTTTGATTGTTGCTGACGCTGTGCATCATGGACGAAAAAGACTCTTCTTCTACACAAATCCCTCCGTCGGAGGAGACTCAATCGCCGCCGCCCGAGCCCAAGGATGAAAGCGTACGAACAATTCATGGCTTTAAGGTGAGATATCTCGTCTTCCAATCTGTCGCTATCCTGACGGGCACTAATCGAGCCAAACCTTAGTGGTTCTTGGTTTGTATATCGCTATATGTCGGATCGTTGATCTATGGCTTGGACACCACCATTGCGGCCGACATCCAGGCTGCTATCATTAAGCGATTCGACAATGTGGACCAGCTGACTTGGGTCGGCACCGGGTTTCCCCTGGGTTCCGTTTGTGCTATTCTGCCAGCGTACGTATTGTCAATGGTTCAGCTCCTGTGTTCCTCATCGACTGACCGATGGCTTTTTGAAGTGCCGCTTTCTACGCTGTCTTTGACCTCAAGATGCTCTTCATCTCCAGTGTCGTTCTGTTTGAAGTCGGCTCTGTGCTCTGCGGTGCTGCTCCTAATATGAATGCCCTGATTGTAGGACGTGTTCTTGCTGGTCTGGGAGGATCGGGGGTTTACATTGGGTATGATACTATTTCTTGCATATCTGGGAAAGCTTCCACTGATCGAATCTCAAGTATCCTCAATTACTTCTCTCTCTGTACCACCAACCAAGAACGTGGCCGGTATGTGTCGGGCATTGGTCTTGTCTGGGGTGTCGGCGCCATTCTGGGTCCTGTGGTTGGGGGCTCCTTTTCTGATAGCTCAGCTACCTGGCGTTGGTCGTTTTACATCAATCTGTGAGTTCCTCGGGTTTCCATCTGAGCGATCGGCTGCTGACAGGTCCATGAAGAGTCATCGCCGCCATTTGTGCTCCGGTCTACGTCTTCTATCTACCCTCGGTTAAGCCGCCCGCAGCCTCCAACACCTCCGTCTTGAAGAGATTAGGGGCCATGGACTGGATGGGCTTCCTGCTGAGTTCCGGGGCCGTGGTGTGCTTTGTCATGGTCCTGACCTTCGACGGAGCGGGATGGGCCTGGGATGATGGCCGATCGATTGCAACCTGGGTGGTCTTCGGAGTTCTCTTAATTGCCACCGTGGTACAGCAGAAGTTCATGCTCTTGACAGATGAAGAACACCGGATGTCGCCTCCCGGGCACATACTCAAGAATCGTTCGCAGGTTCTCTTCAACATCCAGACCGCGGCCACGGTGGCGAACATCTACGTTCCTCTATATTACATCCCGCTCTTCTTTCAGTTCGTGCAGGGAGACACGGCAGTCAAGGCTGCAGTGCGGCTGTTACCTTTCATCCTGCTGCTTGTTTGCACCAACATGGCATCCGGGGCTCTATTGCCACGTATTGGCTACTAGTGAGTTTCTGTTCAGAGACACACACACACACAGTTGAATTGATGATCTAACCTTCCGTCTAGTTGGGCCATCTACGTCGTTACCGGTGTCTTGATGACTGTTGGTGGCGCTCTTATGTACACCGTGAACATCGATACCAAACCCGGCAATATATACGGATACAGCGTCCTCCTTGCTATAGGAAGTGGCCTGACGTTCCAAGCGGGTTACACTCTGGCCGGTATCAAGGTTTCCCTGAAAGGCTGGCCAGGGAAAGACATTCAGATGGCTGTTTCTCTCCAAAACATCTCCCAAGTCGGCGGCACGCTGCTCTGTCTTTTGATCTCGGGACAGATCTTCCAGAGTCTCGCCTTCAGCAACTTGAAAGCCGTTCTCGGACCTGAGGGATACAGCGATGCAGACATCCGTTCTGTTGTTGCCGGTACTCAGAGTTCCGTATTCGAGCATCTCAACAAAGAGCTGGCCTATGAGAGCACCAAGGCCATTACTCAGGCAATGAGCCGCGTGTACAGTATCAGCATTGCGGCCGGTGGGTTATCGCTCATTGCCGCCTTGTTGATGAAGAAAGAACGACTGTTCGGCAAGAAGTGATTTTCACGTCCATTAAAGACAACCATGGTTATTTGAATCGTCCAGTCGAGTCTTCGAATCTCCTCTCTACTCCTCTTTTTGCTTGCTTGGATCGCTGTGGCCTAATTTTTATCTCCGGTGAACCGTACGGTATCTTAGAATAGATTGATCTAGATTGAGTTTAGAATGAAGAGATATAATTCCTCGATCTATTAACCTTGTGAAAATTTCAAGAAATTACGAAACCCTGAAAATAAAGTAAAGAGAATCCTGCGAGCTTTCCATGAACTGGTAAACCAGTCTTTGAAAATATATATCCTTATTCGCGAGGATCGCCCTCAAATTATGGGACAAACATTAGGTCAGATTGGCTGAACGTCTAAGACAGGAGTTACAGTGTCACCTCTTAGACTTTAGCATCCATTGTACAACAGTATAAGCCTCCACGCAGTATCATCTTAATCACTAACAGCTTCCTCAATAACTGGATGCCTGAGGACCTCCCCGAGCGGGCCTTCCCAATCGGGAAACCCGTGCTGACCCGGTGCCACATCATCAAAATCAAAATAAAATCTACTCCTGAATCCCACGTGGGTTTACTTGGTCTTCGTAGAACCACAACCCTTTACTTTCGAAAGAATGGAACTTGCTCTTGTGTAAGTTATTTCTCCTTGGCGATCGACTGATCCCCTGGCGTTTCAGGCAGAAATGTCCCGTCCTGTTTATGCCTAAGGCAGCACTGCGACCGACCGGTTACTTCCGCCGGTTTTTGCCGATAATATCCCCCGGACTATACGGAGTTTGAGTTCGCGATATTCGATGAGTTTGGGCATACAGATGATTGACTTCCGGAGGATAATAATCTATAGCTTTCTCTGTATGTCTTTATCCTGGACTGCAGAATATTTTACCTCCGAGCCCACCATATGTCCTTGGGAGCAGACTAGGTAACATGTCATCAAAGGGCGCCATGATTCAATGGCCTCAACTAACAACGCAACTGTCAGTACTATATGCTTATCCTTGCGGTTCGTCAATTGAATCACGGTCATAACAGTAACCAGCCATCCAATACGCTCAACCGAGTGCATCCACCTCATACTTCAGCCCAGCCACGCAGTCCACTTTGACTTTCCACACATCGCAACATTTTACTTGAATGCCTGGCCTTTCAGACCCCATTTGACCCTTGAGACCCCTCCGTGACCCACAATGAACAACTGATCGTAGTCCGGACCACCAAAGTCGATTGACGCGGTGGTATAGTTGGTCTGGATCCGAAGAATGGGGACGCCCTTGGGAGTCAGGACGTCAATTCCGTGGCCCGTCGAGGTCACAAGATATCCATTCTCGGCGACCTTCAAGCCGTCGGGCACGAAGTCCACAGCCAGATAAATGGCCCTTTTGTTTGAGATGACAGTCTGGGTTTCGTCCACGTCGTATGCATAGATCGTCCGTTTTCCGGTGGTGTTGTACGTCAGATATTGCACCTCCTCATTTGGGACGGTGGGATCGGTGTTGGCCCAGTCCGCGTTGCTGTCGGTGAGGTAAAGAGTCTTGAAGTCCGGAGAAAAGGAGACCCCGTTCGGGGCACCGAGAGAGTCCTCAACGAGAGAGACGCTTCCGGTCTCCTGATCGAAACGGTAAGTGGCAGCTTCCAGCTGCTGCCATTCGGTGTTGAGGCCAACGTTCCGGCCATACTGGAGGTCGGTGATCCAGATACCGCCTTTCTCGTCAATGTCAAGGTCGTCGGCCTGCTAGAATTAGCTTTGTCAGATGGTTGCGTCAGGGAGTGGCTACTCACCGTGTTGAAGTAGTACCCGTAGTAGTTGTTGACAAGCACCTCGGACTTCTTAGTGACAGGGTCAAAGCTGACAACGCCCGGCCGGTAGGTCAGTCCATCCAGCGAGGTGTTACCTCCCGCGGTCGAGTAGTAGATCAGACCTTTACGGTAACGAGCACCGGCCGGAGCATAGATTGGGGGATCCGCGGTGACCCGGCCCAAGGTCGGGGGCTCGGTGGACAGATCAATAACCTGTTGAGACAGGCCGTCGACTCCCGTTGCGAGATCAGAGAAGTAGAACTCGTTGGTGTTTGGGGCATATCTGTTAGATTCGGTCAGCAAGACTTTCTTTTCAGGATGCAAGAATGGGGATACGTACACAGGAGCTTCATGGCCACCGGCAGTGATCTCGAACAGGAACTCGAGCTGATCATCAGTGCCGAGGAACTCTGCCGCCAGCTTCTCATCGAAAATGACGAAATCGGCCTTTTTTATATCGTCCCAGTGCGGATCGCTCGGAACGACGGTGTCCGTCAGTTTGTCCGGGTTGGCAAGTTCATTGTTGGCTGGTCGACGAAAGTCAGGGTTCAAGACACTGGCATAGCGATCGAGGCAGAGTACGCGAGGATAGTCGTATCCTACGCATTTCTTCACCACCGATCTAGCAGAGGAATTGCTTGCTCGCAGGGAAATGGCTGCTGCCGACGCGTGGGCCACGCAGAGAGCGAGGCCCAGAGAAGACCAGGATTTCGAAAAAGCAACCATGCTGACTCTGAGCAGGTGAGACGGGAGGATTGAAGGATTTGCTTAGTGCCTGCTCCTACACGTTATCTCTGACCGCTGGGGTAGCTGTTATATACATGCTGTCGGCAATTCGGCTCCCTGAAGAACCAGCAAGAGACAAACTGAAAAAGAGAGTGTATAGTTCACTCATGCACACCGAGCCGGCCAAGAATGACATGACGTCGAAAGCACCAGACACTAAGGTGCATCGGGCGAGACATCTTCACGGGCGGCGGACCGAGCCCCCGAATGGGACCATCCCAGCCCTAACGTCGGCCGCTCGCCGGATGAGGCTTTTTCTCTCTTTCCACGAAAATGGCCGGATGGGGTGGAGTTTGATCCTTCAGGATGAACGGGTGAGAGTGGGCTAGGCTTCGGAGATGAAGGCAGAAGCATATGAGAGGCGCTGGTTCCTGAACCAAATAAATACGACAGATCGACCAGCCCTAACCAGGTTTTGATCGACACAACGGATTCATCTACAGAGTCATATGTCTGCTGATAGCTCGTCATGCGGGGATTTCTGGGCTTCGTGGCTTCCTTCTATCCTCTCCTCGTGAGGGGACAGGTCTTTTCAAGCTGGGATGTCTCCAACGGAACCACTACGCTGTTAGGGAACTCATTTGGCGTGTCCGGCGTTGAGGCGGAATATGACTACATTGTACGTTGAGATCTTGCCTTCCCTCACAGCAAGACACTGACGCAATGACAGGTTGTTGGTGCAGGTACAGCTGGTGGCGCCGTCGCTGCTAGACTGGCTCTTGCTGGCTTCTCTGTCGGACTTGTCGAGGCCGGTTCGTTCTACGACCTGGACAATGGGAACAAGACCACGGTTCCGGGCTATGACCAAACCACCCATCCAAATGACCCCTTGGACTCCCTAGTTGACTATGACTTTGTGACCGAGCCGGAGCCGGTAAGTCAAGCCAACGATGTTTGTCGATGCAGCATGCCATTCTAACTGCGTTAGGGTTTGAATGGTCGTCAACTGCATTATTCGGCTGGAAGAACCTTTGGTGGAGGGTAAGTCGTCTGCAGAAGACAAAGGCTCATCCTTTTCAAGATACTAACACTTCCATAACAGTTCGGCCGTAAACCTCATGGGTTACCAACGCTTCACTGTGGGAACCTTTGATCGATGGGCCGAGAAGATTGGCGACGACTCCTGGAAGTGGGATGGAGTGTTCCCCTTCTACAAGAAGAGCGCAAACTTCACTCCTCCCAACTACGACAAGATAGATCCTCGGTTCAACATCAGCTATGACGCCGCGGCATTTGACGTGGACGCCGACGCTCCTCTACAGATCTCATACGGCAACAACTATCAGGACTACGGTCCCGGTGTTGCCGAAGGATTTGAAAACATGGGCTTGGATCACATCCCTGGGCTCAACAGTGGCTACCTCATTGGATATGGTACCATGAGCGCAACTGTTGATCCCAAGGCGGCGACTCGGGATACTTCGGCCACGTCATTTGTTAAGAAAGCGATCGACGAAGGAACCAAACTCAAGATCTATCAGACCACTACCGCCAAGCGCATTCTGTTCGACGAGAACAAGAAGGCCACTGGTGTGGAGGTTGAGGCAGTGGGACCGAGGCCCTTCACCTACAAGTTGAATGCGACGAAGGAAGTCATTGTCTCGGCTGGAGCGGTATGTGTCACGCCCGATTCAGAATGTGTGACGACAAGTAGTTAACTAGTATCGACAGTTCCGCTCTCCCCAACTGCTTTTGGTGTCTGGCATTGGACCGGAGAAGATCCTGAAGGAGCACAACATCTCGACCGTTGCTATCTCGGAAGGAGTTGGTCAGAATACCGAGGTAAAGCCTGTTTCAAGCGTAGACACATGCAAAATGCTGACAAGGTATCGTTGTTTAGGACCAAGTGTGGCTCGGCTTCTCCTGGGGAGTCAGTGTCAAGACCAAGACCCAGATAGTTCTGGGTAACCCCGATTACGTCGTGCCTGCGGTGGAGGAGTATCTGACCAACCAGTCTGGTCCGCTGTCCGGCATTGGAGCCGGAGAGTTTACAGGTATGACATGCCATTCCCTTGCGTCGATGACGGAAGCAGTCTCTCTGACTCCAGTTGCTGCATCACGTAGGATGGGAGAAAGTTCCCAAAGCCAATCGCAGGAATCTCAGCAACGCCACGCTCGAATGGCTGGACTCGTTCCCGTCAGACTGGCCCGATATCGAGTTTCAGGACATCGCCTTCGCAGCAGTGCCCGAGAACATCACTGCGGATGGCAATTATATGACTCTCGGTGCGGCTCTGTTGACGCCCAAGTCCCGCGGAAACGTCACCATCAAGAGCGCCGACATGAACGATTACCCGGTCATCACAATGAACTACCTGCTCGACCCGGTGGACCAAGAAGTTGCGGTGGAGGCCTTCAAACGTAATCGCGAATGGGGCCGAGGGTCAGGCATTCTGGTGGATGAGTTTGATCCTCCTGCCTCGATCAAGACAGATGAGGAGATCCTCGAGTGGCTCAAGCAGGAAGCGACGTTTATCTATCACGTCAGTTCGAGCTGTAAGTGGCGTCCTCTCTGTGCACTAACATGCAGGAATGCAAGTAATCTCCAGCTGACGTGAGTCTGTCAGGTGCGATGGGAAGGGATGATAACCCGGCCGCCGTGCTCGACACTGAAGCTCGTGTCCGTGGAGTTTCGGGACTCCGGGTTGTCGATGCAAGCTCCATGCCGACTCTTGGTCCCGGTCATCCCATGGCAACGATTTGTAAGTATCTCTGGCCCGTTCTGACGAGTCCATTACCGCGAGATTATTTTCTCACCGTTTCGATAGACATGCTGGCGGAGAAGATCGCCAATGCAATCATCAAAGGGAAGCTAGAATGATAGGCGCAGAGAGGTGCATGAGGTATCATAGGGGACGATCGCGGCAGTCGAAAGCGACAGGACAGGCGGTAACGAGAAGGAGGGGAGTAGAAGGATAAGATCATCTTTAGACCTGCATACTTGACGGGTAAGCTCGGCTTTGAAGGATCGCTGTATGTACTTAGAGACGAGGCAACTCAAATCCACTGTTCTTATCATAACACGAGTCTTCCTTCACGTATTCGTACCTTTCCTTGGAGTATGATGCTAGTGTAAGCAATGATTGTAATCAATCACCTCATTCTGGATGAAATGAAGGCACAGCAGCCACTTCTTCGACAGCAACAGAAAGTGCGGAGTGCTTTGGCCCGCTGCGATGAATTCATGTCCCAGATCCAACGAGGCATCTGCCTTCCTATTCGAGCAATGGATGAGGCATTGCACAATTCCCTCGCCGTCCCAAGCAGCAATGAGTTGTTTCATCGGTTAAATTAGACCCAGAACGGAATCCTTTCAATGTGGTGAGAATTTAGTCACTGGTTTGCCCGCGTGGCAGACTAAATTCTGACCAGCGTTGATAGTGGACGCCTAATCCGTTGATTCCCCCTCTATCTCGCCAAGTCACCGGCCGAGGAACTTTCGCCGTATTCAGGGTTTCGTGGCGTGAACATAAGCCCTGAATCTTGATGTATTTAGAAAAACCGAACGTCTGGAAGACTCTTGGCAGGCGATTCGGCTCAGTCCGTGCTGAGCTAGAGTTCAATCGTGGGAACCTATTCCTTGGGATATGACATGAGACGAAACATCCAGATCTATTTAGGGTAGAATGAGTTAAAAATCCTTTTCCTTGAGACCCGCCGCGTAGTGGGGACGGACTGCTCGGGAATGGAGTACTCCGTAAGAGCGACGATAAAAGCCCCCATCGGGAGGAGTACCCTGCTAGCTTTGGAGAATGTGCTCATATCGTGAGCTGCTAGTGCAGACAGTACTACTATCTCTTTTCTCCGGAGCCATCTCTCCCCCGATGCCCGACTCCTGCCAATCAATATCAATCCGTGGCCTCGTATAGGTAGCATTTTTCGGCCGGTAGCATAAATCCAGCCGAGCGGACAAGGAGACTAAAAGAACAACCCAAACGCCAAGTAGAAGGCCGATCATGTCTTCTGGATCACCGGGTGGGCGGGAGATTGCTGGCTGGAGCTCTCGAGGGCGCCGATCTCTCTTGGCGCAGACCGGAATTGAAGACCCTTTGTTCTTGTCAGATGGCAACTTCCTGTTTAGTCGGGTACTTTCTGGCAATTCTTCACGGAAGGAGGGAGTCTGCACTGTTTTCCGGAAACTCCGGATCCACCCTTGAGGGGTTAGATGTATAGGATGCGTTGATATGGAGTAGGATGGCTTTGGGTTATTGCCTTCTGTCTAGCAGTTGCAACAGGGGACCCCGGCTAAGACACAGGAATATGCCGCGTTAAATACCGAATCAGGCAAATACTATGCAGCGTTGCTTATCGAGCGGAGTCGCTCTGTCTCTGGAGGTTTCTATGCAGTAAACGGAGGCGATCTAACAGCACTCGCGAGTTCTGGTGGAGATTTGGACTCCGTAAAAGCTTACCCCAAAAGTCGAGACTAGTAGCTAGTGCTTTCCTCGAATTGAAACAACCCGGCCGGGCGTAGTGAGCACACCACCTCCTTCATAGATTCCCTTCGTTCTTTTAGTCATGCTCTAAAATCATAGCATCGAGAGGGGGTAGGTGGGTCGTTCGATCCGCCAGAATATCGTGATCGATGTTTCCGTGCCGCCGAGTAAGGTGTGGTATCTATATCTTCCTTCGCCTAATTTAGTAATCTCTAACATAATAGTTAGTTATCTAGTCAACGCCCGGAAGAAACTCTATACGTCGTTAAACTCTCCCGTCGGTCTGGTGTGAAATGATGTTGCATTAAACCCCGCCTTTGAATTTGTGTTCAGCCTCTAATAAAAAGAAATTCTTCACACCCCCTCCTCATAGGTATGGGGGGTTCCGATCGAAGGAACGGTTGCAGGACTCCACCATCAAGGTGTAATACATACGGAGTACCGGGTAGATAGTGAGGCCATGCGAGGATCGAAATAGCCCGCACATAGCCAGGCCCCCTCCCCTGCACAGAGCAAACTGACGTGAGACAAACCAAGGTCAGCCCAACGCTCTGATTGCACAATTCTTGTCTGGATCCTGGCGACATCTGCAGGCTCTATGGCGCCACTTTGGCCGACGATCCAGTCAAGAGCCGCCGGCGGCCATTTTCGCCGCGGGATGGCGGCGGGGTGGCGTTTGATTGAGGCATGCAAGATGCAACTGGCTTCATCTGCACGCGCTGGGCGCGTCCATAATCAGTACATCAGCGCTAATCCGCGGTTGAAACTGCAGCCTGTCTCGTCGATGACCCCCCCCCCCCCCCCCCTGTCCGAAGGAGGGCTCCAGACCTGGACATTAATCCTTCAATGGCGACTACACGTGTGCAGATTAAAAGTACCGTCTCGAATGTACGCTTGGCCGCCTATCGGAGGTGTCTTAGCGGAGAGAAAGGATGAAGAGGCAATGCAACGGCGAAGAACGGACATACAACTTATCGCGTCTTACGACAATGCGGACGGCTCTCGCGCATAATTGGTGCATCGAGGCCACAGGAGGCTGAGATAACTCTGTACAAATGCTGTATAGGCAACTCCGACTGACCGGGGGGGGCAGGACCCTGTGAATGGGCCTCCCTCAATTTAAATTGGCCGACCAGCATGATAGATATCACTTCCCTAGGCAAATTTCAACGCATCACAACCTGGCATCATGCGTACCTCTGCAAGACACACCGCCTGCACCTCCTGTCGCCAGCGCAAAGTTCGCTGCGACGGCGGCCAACCTCGGTGCAATCGCTGCGCCGTGCGTGGGGACGAATGTGTGTACTCCCGACACTCCTCACAGGACCAACAGGAACTTCTGGTTATGCTCAATGACCTCAACGAGCGTTTGTGTAAGTGCATGGTCTCTAATTACCTATGACGTGCTCGCCATGTTCTGGGGTGGCTGATTGTCGGGGTGTAGTACAAACCGAGAGTGCCCTAGCCCTTCAACGAGATAGCTACGGCCCGACTCCCTTGGAAAGTTCCTCCGACGATAGCAGGACTGCTGGTCAGAGTCCCGTGGCGACTCGACCGACATCCCCGCCGGTCTTTGCTTTACCCGATGATGTGCGCTGGGACGATGAACTCGAGTCAATGCTGTCGCTCAACGGGTTCAATCCGGCAGACGAGGCATCCTGGTACAATATTGCGCCTGGTATCTCAGGGGTCGATGTCTCCTGGAGCCCCGAGGACATCAAGCTCGACGACGTGAACTTCCTCCCGCCCATGACAGATATAGCCCCGATGACTCCCTTATGGATAGACGACCTTGTCCCTGAGCAGGTGCAAGTGGAATTGTACGTAATCTCTTATCATATGGCTTCTTTATCCCATCTGACCGTTCGGAATCCTGAATTGACAAGCCGCGACGCGCAGGCTTCCTCTGTACTTCGACAATGCGCACACGGGATGCTTCCTTATCGACCAAGATACCTTCCATATGCGCATGCGCACGTCGGAAACGCAGCCGGAGGTCGCCAGCCTTCGATATATCGTATTGGCTCACGGGGCGTGTTTCTCTCGTTCGTACGGCGATTTGAAGGATAAACTCTACCGAAAGGCGTGCGACTTGGTCGAACAGGTCGACATTGCCGAGCAGTTTGTTAGTATCGCCGCTCTACAGACCTGGGTTCTTCTAGCTCTCTACGAGTTCAAACAGGCCAACTTTGTGCGGGCCTGCAATCGGGTTCGTCAGGCGATCCTCATGTCCGAGATGCTCGGACTCCACAAGTTAGATCAACCCGGGTTGCCAGGGTTGAAGCAAAATCCGTTCACGGACGGACGATATTTGGAGGAGCAACGACGTGCCTTCTGGTCAGTCTTTAACCTCAGCTGTTTTGCCAGCATTGCGACCGGGTGGAACACTGGAATGCCGGATGATCCGAACGAGGTAAGGCACTTTCATGCTTGCTATGCATTGTCAGTATGAACGAGTCTCCGACTAACCATCAAGTCGCGTAGATCACCACCTTCTTGCCCGCCGACGGTTCCCTGAGTATGTATACCGTGGCGTCCGGCATCACGTTGCGAGATGCCTTCCATCTCGCCGGGTCCCAGGACCTCGGTGTTGCCCACGGCCATATCGTCACCTCGACGCTCTACCGACAAGGCTTCATGCACGTCAATCGCGCCTCTCTCAGCCAGCAAGCCATTCCGGACGTCTGGAACTACGACTTTTGGATGCACCACTATCATCTCTACGAACGGCTCAGTCTTCTGGCCGCCACCGAGGCGAAACATATCACTACCACCATGAGTGCCGACACGCTCTGTAAGAACATGGTCTTGCAGGCCACCCTGATTGCCCTCTACTACGCCGCCGGGATGCGCGCCCCAAAGACCGACAGCGCCATCCGACCTCCGATCCCCAACAACGCCGACGACAAATGCCTCACGGCCGCGATGAAAGTCAAGGAGATTGCCGAGCTGATCACGCATATGGATGTGGCAAGGGTATGAGTCCTCTCTCTCTCTCTCTCTCTCTCCGAGCTCAATGAGCGGTCACTAACCCATCGCTAGATGAGCCCCTTCATTCCCTGGTCGATCTTCGTGGCTGCACAAATTTTTGTCCGTCACCTCCACGGGAGCTCATCCCCCGGCGAGAGCCAGAAGAGCACACGTCTGGGGTACCTGGATGCGCTTCGGTCGCTTCTTTCGGCCCTATCGGTCTTGGAATCGACGAACCCCATTGCGGGAGTCCTGGCCAGCCAGATTCGCATGGAATTGAACGGCGGCAAAGCCGTGAGTGATACCCGCTCCATTGGTCGGCTGGACTGCGGACTGGAGTTGTAAGATGCACGATTGTATGACGATATGCCCTTAACGTTGCTTTAATCTCTTGCTTGCTTTCCCATTGTCTCGCATACCGGGTTGCGATCTGTTCATGTTTATATTAGAAAGTTTCTTTTCATATGCCACTATAAATGACATCTTAGAGTTCTATTGACCAAGTCGAGCACTTGTATATGGGTTTGGCCCCGCTGAACCCGCTGAACGTGTTGGTGGGGGCCGCAGTGAAGGCTTGTTCTCCCTTGGTTGATGCTTGACTACTTGTCCTCGCCTTGGAATGAGGTGTGGCGCCTGAATCCTTCGGCCCCAATCAGGCATCAACCGGCGGGCGCTAAGCCACTTCGGGTCGCCGCCAGGCTGCTGATTCATCGCGATTTGCCTGTTTGGGACGCCGACCAGCCTCAGGCTGCCATCTCTACGCGCGGACTTGAGGCCTCACTGATCGCTAGACAAGTATAAAGGTGGAATGGAAGACTGTCCAAGGCAGGGAGCCATGCACTCGAATCCAAATCCGCGAGTCCCATACCCAGCAGAACACATTGCAAAATGAATCCCGTCAACACCGAGGCTTACCAGCTGCCCGATGACGCCGTCTGGTTGAGTGAGTACAGATCTATACTATTTCTCGGGATTTGATTGATGACCAAACCCCCAGTCACCGGGTGTTCCTCGGGCATCGGCCGAGAAATCGCCAGTCTAGTTGCCAGCAAGCCGAACCAGCGCCTTATTGCCACGGCGCGCAACCCGTCCAGTCTCTCGTATCTTCCCGAAACCAGCAACGTTCTCAGACTCGCGTTGGATGTCACATCCCCGACATCTGTGAACGATGCATTTGACGCGGCTGCTAAGCATTTCGGAAAGGACTTTCGCCTCGACGTCGTTGTGAACAATGCCGGCTATTCCTTGTCTGGCGACACGGAATCCGCAACGGAAGAGGAGAGTCATCAGGAGATCGAGACCTTATTTTTTGGAACGGCGCGTGTGACCATGCGCAGTGTCGCGGTCATGCGTCAAGCCAAAAACCCCGAGACTGGCAGCTTCCGCGGCGGCTTGATCTTCAACATCTCCTCGTTGGCGGGTCTATGCGCCTTCCCCGGCCATGCCTACTACCACGCAGGCAAATTTGCCGTCGAGGGTTGGACCGAGTCGGTGGCCAGAGAAATGCACCCCGACTGGAAGAGTAAGTCCCGCCGTACTGTGTCGCAGAACTCATTTCGCTGACCCCTCCCCTCTACACAGTCAACTTCTGCATTGTGGAGCCCAGCGGCGTCAAAACCAACTTCGAAGGGCACAGCAAGGCGAACACGAAACCCCATCCCGAATACACCGACGACATGCCTGCGCGGAAACTGGCCGTGTGGGTGAGCAAGGGTATCCAGGCCGGCATGGGTCTCGAACCGTCGGCCGTGGCGGAGACCTTGTTTCGGGTCGCCAGTCGGGGCGAGCGCGTGCCCCTACGCCTTCCCCTGGGCGCGACCTGCTGGAAAATGGCCAAGTCCAAGTACGAGAGCTCCTTGGCAGAGCTTGAGGCAATCAAGGGGATTAGCGGGATGGGCGAGGAGCTTTGAATTGGCGGTTAATGCATGTCGATAGCGATGCACATCGGGTGTTTGCTCCCAGAATGAAAGCGTGTTTCGTATTCCTGGAACGGAGTACCGGTTTTCTCCATATGCCCCGCGCGGGATGGATTGGCCTCGGTCTCAACAGACTAAGGCGAGAGAGAGGTTGGAACGTGCCTTAACGAGGCGACAACCGGCGTACAGCTAGTCCGATAACGCGAGCAGCTGTTTCGGTTAATAGCATGCTACCAGGGGTCTTCTGGTCTAGACGCGTCTCTTAGAAATCAGCCCTTCGAAATTTTCATAACTAACCCGTAGAGATAGATACCCTGCAGATCAGGGACGCAGCTGTAGAGGGCTAAGCTTAAAACGGCCTTGACCTTGAGTCGCGGAAGAACTTGCGAAGATAGCAGAAGAGGGAGATGGTCCTGCCGCATGAATCCGTGGCCACCCGAGTTGCACAGTGCAAACAGGTCAAACAAACATTGTGGCTGCGGGTCGCGCCGAGCGGGTGGCCCCGTGGTTATTTTGGGCTGTGTTGGAAGGTTAAACTTATCATATGAGGTTGATTAACTTGATTCCTATAACGTTATCGACATACTCGAATGTATTTACTTGAAAGTATTTCCTTTGCCCAAGTTTACCTGTTCTATCTAAGAAAGTGGTTATCGCATATATCGATTCTTGTAGTTAGCCGTCCATGTCTTTGTCATGACTCATGATAACTATATATATTGTTTCCCGGTCACCAGGTCACAGAGACTTGGACAAAAGTATCTGCAGAGATGTGGATCAAGGCCGGCTAAGAAACGAGCCTACCTAAAACAGAAAAGGCACTCTAATCGAATGTAGTCGAAAATGGACAGACATGGGTAGTTCCCCTATTGGAAAGCGTCGCCCATACTCCGTACAAGGAAACCCGCATCGGGGCAATGATGCCGGTTCTGCAGAGGCGGGGCATGCGAGTTATTGGCGGAACATTCCTACACATCCCGTCCCTGCCATACTAATTTACAATATAGTACAGTAGAGAGAGATCAGCCGACAACTGTGGTGCGTATGTATGTACTCCGTACTGTAGGTACCTCCCGCGGCCCCTCCTGCCACACAGACCACCATCCAGCCAGCTCTAACAGAGTAATGCAAAGCAACGGCAAACCGGCTGCGGCTCGGCGAATACCCGGGAGAGTCTGCATGCTCCAGACTACATCGTATTGGTTGGGTCTGAGTCCCGAGAGCTGCAACGTACTGTAGCAAGAGATTTGGGCAGGACGCAAGCCTGAGGCCTCAAGGCTGCGGTGGGCAGCGGATGTGGCAGCCTGAGGTGTTAAGGTGTCGATAGGCGCGCGGTGCAAACAGGACAAACGCCACGTAGTCACCTGACTCAATCCTGCCGGATGAGGAAGGGGCGCGTCGGTTCCCTTCCAGGACTAGTTAGTTAGCGTGACTCGGCATCTGCGCTCGCCTGCCTCTACCGTTGCCATCCATGCGAGTCTCAACAGGTCATATTCAAGGTCATTCTATATGAGCAAACTAACACCAGAACTAACAACAGAAACATGCATTCTAGACAAAGGAGAACCTTGGATCATATCCCTTTCTTCCACCCATCTACTCCAGCAATCCCATGCTCTCCGCAATGGCTGTCGACAACGCCTTCACCGTCATCGTCGAGGCCAACAAGAGCTGGAACGAGAGATCCAACCCAAATTGCTTGAATAGCCAGTTGCGTAACTCCGCTCCGATCATACTGTCGATGCCGTAGCTAGCCACCGATCCGCCGTCAAACTCGAATTGGTCCAGACTCACGAGCAACATCCGTGACAGCTTGTCCATGACGGCCGCCCCGATGGCCTGAACCACGGCATCAACTCCTTCGGCCCGTGCTGCCTTCAAGGCGCTGGCCAGATCGCTATCGCCGCCACTTCCGCCGGCCAGAGAGTCTTCCGCCACCGACTCGACAGCGGCGCGGACGCCGCGAAGACGTGCGTCCGGAAGCCAGTATGCCTCGTCGCTCGAGTCCGACGCTGCGATGGCAGCGGCAAGATACGAGGGCTCCAGACCCAGAATGATCTGGGAGTTGCCGATGGTAGCGGGGTTGGTGGTCGAAGGCGCGGGCACCGACATGGCCGTCTCGAAGCCACGGAGCATCTCCTGCTCGTCGATCCCGTACATCGCCTTGCGCGTGAGGGCCAGCTCGATGTTCTCGTTATCGGCGACCACACCCACGTCGAGGATCATGGGCAGGATGAGCGACGTGGCCGGGAGCTGGTGTCGGTTGCGCTGCCAGGCGAGACCGTCCAGATAACTGTTGCCGGCACTGTAGTTGGTCTGGCCAGGGTTACCCAGCGTGGCGGAAATGGAGCTGGTCATGACGAAGAAGTCCAGCTCCAGCTGGGCTGACTGGATCACCCGGTGCAAGGTCTCCGCTCCGTTTTTCTTGGGAACGATGGCGGCCTGGAACTGCTGGAAGTTCATGCCGTCGAAGATACCATCCTTGAGGACAGTTAGCACCTGCTCGAATAAAAAGAAATGCATGGAAGGTTCATACCTGAAGAACCATGGCCGCGTGCACGACACCGCGAATAGGACGGTGGCTCGTTACGGTGTCGATGACGCGAGCAACGTCCTGTTCGTTGGAAGCATCGGCGCGGAAGACGTCGGCAACTGCGCCGGCGGCTTGGATGGATTCGACAAGCTTCAGGATGTTATTAGTACGTGCGTAGGAAAGGAAGCAGAGAAACAACGTACTGCCGCGGCTTCGGGCTTATCCGTGCCAGACCGAGACAAGAAGACAAAGTCTCGGGCTCCTCGGTCCATCATCCAGCTGGTCAAGCTGCGTCCCAGTCCACCCAGACACCCAACGAGAAGGTACGTTGCATCGGATGAGAACTGGAGTTTCTCTGCTTCGGGTTGGATCTGGGAAAGGTGAGTGGATGTCCGAATTGAAGTAAAAGGCTGCAGAACCCACCTTGACGACGATATCCTCTCCATACTTGTACTGTAGGACCGTAGCTGAGGGGGATGTCAGTTGCTCCTGGACGCTGGCAACATCGCTCAGCGCCGTCACATCCACAATCTTGGGTTTCTGGACGAGATCTGGGTACTGGCGAAGAATATCAAGTGTCTCGTTTAGGAGATCGCCCAGCCTCTTCTGGTCCTTCTTGTACAGCGTATCAATGCTGATGGGCAAGAAGGTTGCGCCGCGGCTGAAAGGAAGGACATCAGGGGTGTCTTCCACAATGCCGGAGGCGATCACAAATCGACCCAGCGGCGCGATGAGTCTCCAGGCCTCCTGGGTCAGAGTGGAGAAGTCGTTGGCGATAATCACTGTCGGCCTCGAGCCACTCTCCGGGTGCAATCGGTGCAATGGCTGAGCGCCCGACACGAGGATGTTCACCTTCGCGGACGATGGAATTTCGCGGAGGATCTGCTCGCGCTCCCCGTCGTTGGTGGCCAGAATGTCCAACTGGAAGCCGAAAGCAGCTTGAAGACCCGCCACACTCTGGATAAATGGCAGAGGGCTGGGAAGCAACAAGACGTGGTCGTGTGCCTGCACACGCCCTGTCTGGCGAACAGCGAGGACGGCGGGCAGCAAGCTGGGGAGCGTCGCGGCCAATTCGAGACCGTCAAAGTCAGCGTAAACGGCGGTTTGGCTGCTGGGGGCGGTGGCAAGCGTCAACAGTGAGCTATACGCATAAGTGACTGCCTTTTGTCCCACGAGTCCCGCGTCCAGGCCTGGACCCGCCGCGCTGATGGTACCCGTCACGATACGAGGGCCCGCAGGGGCGGTGGACTGGATGTCGCTCCTTTCCAGTTCCGAGGCCTCGACTTGTAGCTGGATCTCATTTGCCTTGGGGCCAATTAGGCCCTTGGAGTGGAAGACCAAGGAGCCCTCGACAACAGAACCGTCCAACGCCCGAAGATGCTGCAGCGCTTGCTCTTGCACGGGTTGCTGAGCGGCCGCGAACCGGTCGTTGAGAGGGACATTGGGAACCACGCGAGGCACGTGGAAGGTGTTATTGTGCAGCCAGAATTCGGTGTCTTCACCCGAGTCTTTGGTCTCGATGTGCTCGAGACCTTGCTCGACGGCGATCTTGAGCACAGTCGCGTTGGTAGCCACGTCAGTGTCCAGCAGGGTAATCTTGGCCGTGGCTTGCTCCGACCGTACGGCACGCAAGAAGCCCTGGGCCATGGCGGCAGAGGGCGAGCTACCCTCTCCGATACCCGAAGTCAGCCAAAGGACGGGCTTACCGGAGGTAAGGATGGTCTTGAGGGCATTGAAACTGTCTTCATTCAGAGTCGACAGCAGTAGGCCGTCGGCGTCGTAGACGATGAATTTGGCAACATCGTCTGGGCGGACGGTGACTTCCGAGAGGATTTCGGCTTCAACAGCACCACGACCATCAGCCAACAGGTTCTTGAGAACGGTCGCTTGCGTATCAGTTTCGACGCCGCGGTGGAAGATGGCCACCGGGACGTCAGAAGGCGCGTGGCCATTCTGGTAGGGCTTGGGGTTAGTGGTATACAGGACAGTGTTGTTACCAACCGGCACCAGGAGGGGGTTAGTGAAACCGGTAAGCGACAGTTCCCTCGCCAGCTGAGAAGCCTTTGAACTCTCTACCGATACGAGGGCTTTCCCATCCTCAACGAGGAAGGACTTCCAAGCGGTAAGGTCTGTGCCAGGACCGAGGATGAGGAGCTCGGACGGAGCTAGCTCCTCAGTCGTGGCGAGCCACGATGCCGTACTCGGCAGGCCAATGTTGCTCTTCAGCGACTCGAAGTATTCCTCCGACGCGTCCACGACAGTGATAGTGCCGGCAAACGGAATTTGAGTTTGCACGGCCTGAATCACTTCTTCACTTGGCCGACCAGCGAAAGTGACACTCTTGATAGGCTTCTTGTGATCAGCCAGTTCGACGATAAAGGCTGTTGCCTCTGCCTCGGACTGGGGAGACGGCAGCAGCGCCGACAGCTCCTCGCTTCTGGTCAGCGTCCACAAGTCGGGCTTCCACACGGTCTGCATGTATGGCTCGCGGGCGCGCGGCTCGCCCACCTGGGGAGGCACCGCCGCCTCGTAGGCAACACATCGGAGGCTCTTGACATCCAGGACGGGCTTGCCGCTGGGAGTGGACAGCTTGGTGTGCGTGTTGAAATAACGGCCGCTGACCTCGTCGGTCCATGCAACGGCGCTTCCAACGGTTTCTCCTTCCCCTTCAGGAGACCAGATGGTCAACTCTTCGATGTTGATCGGCACAACACCGTGCGGCATCTCCTGGTGACGACCGCGGTTGATAGAGATGATGATGAGCTGTAGACATCCATCGATGGTCGAGGGGTGAAGCAGATATCGCGATTCGCCCACAATCAGTCCGCTCTCCTGCTTGATGTCCACCTGCGCGGCGGCTTGGTAGCGATTGGGGTTCGTACGGATGGCATTCAAGGGCTGGAAACTCGGGCCGTATTCGAAGCCGACGCGGTGGAATGCCTCATACCAGCGAGGCCCGGGCACGCGGCGGGTCAGCTCGGAGACGTCGACGGGGTGGTCATTGTGCTCGGCCGCCGAGGGCTCGGGGTTATAGTTCGCTGCGACTTTTCCCTCGCAGTGCACGTTCCACTGTTCGTTGGAGAAAGAGCGAACGGCGAACGAGTACCACTGCCCGGCCTCGTTGCTGGGCTGCAATGCCGTAAGTTGCACCAGGATCTCGATCCCATCGTCCGACTCTGGCACGACCAAAGCGACCTTGATCGAGACGTCGCGGAAAGTGATGCTCGACAGAGAGAGACCCTCCTGGTCCCAAATTTGGTGGACAGCCTCGTAGGCGAGCGACAAATGTCCGGCAGCAGGGAAGACATCGGACCCGCCAAGCTAAGCATCGTTAGTATAACAATAATATCGCCCCATGGGAAGAGACTTACTCTGTGGTGGGCCAGCCAGGGCACGTCGCGTCCACGCAAAACATTTCGCCACACTAGGGAGCGGTCCGAAAGTCCTGGCACTTTCCGTCCCAGCAGATCGTGACGGAGATGGACAAGACTGCGGAATTCGCTACTGGGCCGAGGCTCGGCCCAGTAAGTCTGGTCGTAGTTCCACTGGTACGGAGGAAGGTCGGTGAGGACCAAAGGCCGCTGAGGCTTGAGCAAGCTGAGTCCTTGTGCGACTTCGACGCGGTTGACGCGGTCAATGTCGACGGCATAGTTCTGTGCCCATAGTGCACCGGCCGTCTTCAAGAGCTGAACGGCGCTGTCCTGGCTACGTAGCAGCGAAGGCACATAGGTGAAGCGGTCGAACTGGTTCTCCTTGCAGATCTGCTTGAAGGGCCCGCTGAGAGCGGAATGAGGTCCAACCTCGATCATGACGTTCACGTCCTTCAACGCATCAAGCTTACCAAGGGTGGCAACGGCCGAGTCAAAAAGCACGCGACTGCGCAAGTTCTGGCTCCAATAAGTGAAGGGCACATTTTCTTCCTCGATCGCCTCACCAGTCACCGATGAGACCCAGCTGGCGCGTGGGCGGCGTTCCTCCAGGAGATCGGGGGACAACGAGTGGTAGGCGTCTTGGAGCAGGACGTCATACACCTTGGATACGGGGTCCATCTGCCACGAGTGATAGGCCTTTCCGGTCTTCAATTCGCGCGCGAAGATGCCCTCTGCCTGCAGGCGGGCGGCGAGCGCTTGAACACCGCTGATTGTGCCACTCAGAGTGACGCTGACGGGAGAGTTCTCACAGGCGATGACAACGTCCCCTTCAGTTTGCTTCAGGTAGCTCGCGACGCTGTCGCGTCCCAGACCAACAGCCAACATGGCACCAACCGGCGCGTGGTGGGTCACGGCAAATCCACGAAGGTACGCCGCTACGATAGCCTCAGCGGAGGAAATGCGACCGGCAGCGTAGGCCGCAGCAATCTCACCGGATGAGTGGCCCACAGTGACGGAGGGAACGATGTTCCACTCGGCAAAGAGGTCAACGATGGCGATCTGGACTGCCGTGCAGACAGGCTGGGAAATCTCGGCATCGTTTACCCGGGAGGTTTCCTTCGGCTCCAGCAGGGCGCCTTCAAGAGTCCAGGCGGGAGCTGATGGGAGCTGCTCCAAGACCGAATCCAGGCTGCGGATGGTGGCCAGGAACGAGGGGAATATCTTCATTGCCTCTGCCCCCATGCCGGCCCACTGCGCACCCTGTCCCGTGAAGATGAATCCTAGCTGAGGCGCATTCTTGGGTGCAACGCCGAACTGGAAGGAGGACAGAGCGAAGTCGGACTCGAGGGTCTTTTCGGATGCAATGGTGAACGCCCGGTGGGGAAATTTCGTGCGGCGCTGCAACAGCGTGTAGGCCAGATCGGCCAGGTAGAATTTATCAGCAACCTTGGCGTGAGCGACGATGTTGCGCGACAGAGTCGCCTTGTCGTGCGCTGAGAGACCAACCAGGAAGGGTCGCGAGGCCGAGTGATTGTAGGTGGCCTCGTTCTTGGGCTTGCCATGCTGATAGTGAGGGTAGATCGACTCGATGCTCTCTACGATGACGTGGCCGTTCGTACCCCCGTAACCGAAGGACGACACACTGGCACGACGCTCGGGGAAGTCCTCTGGCCAGGGGATCGTGTCACGGTTGACTCTGATGTTCCAGTTTTTCTCCTGGATTGCCGGGTTGAGGTTCTTAAGCCCAGACACTCCAGGGATAACGGCCGCCTCGGTCATCATGGCGGCTTTCATGACGGCGAAAATACCACTGGCTGCCTCACTGTGCCCGATATTGGCCTTGATAGCACCAATTAATAGCGGCCGCTCCTTGCTCCGAGTATCGTTCATGGCCATGGAAACGGCGTGACTAGAGGAGAGTTAAAACGGATACGATCATGTATGGTAAGACGCAACCAACCTCTCGATAGGGTCTCCCACGGGAGTACCAGTACCATGGCATTCCAGGTAAGCAGTTCTCGACGGGTCCAAGCGAGCCTTCTCGTAAGTTGTTCGGACCACACGCTCTTGGCCCTTTTTGCTGGGATGGGTGATTCCCATACCGGGGACTTTGCCGTTAGTGTTGACCGCCGAGGAGCGGATGACCCCACGGATCGGATCGCCATCGCGAATAGCATCGGACAAGCGCTTGAGGAACAACGCGCCTGCCCCCTCAGCACGGCCATACCCATCAGCCGTCTCATCGAACGTATGGCAGGTCGAAGTGGGCGAGAGAATACCCAGCTTGGCGGTGTTCATGTGCTGGTCAACGGTGAGAATCAGGTTGACACCACCCACCAGCGCTGCAGAACAGTCCCGACCACGAAGTGCATGGCACGCATTGTGGATGGCATAGATCGAGGACGAACAAGCAGTGTTGATGGTGAAGCTAGGGCCGTTCAGGTCGAAGACGTTTCCGATACGGTTACTGATCAGCCCGGGGTCGACACCAGTGGCCGCATAGTTGTGGCGGAAGTCAGGCTCGCGAGTGGACAGCTGCTGGTAGTCACTGGTGAAGCTGCCGACGAAGACAGCCGTGTTGGTGCCAGCCACCTTCTCCATCGTTAGACCAGCCGACTCCAGACACTCGTACGTGACTTCGAGCATCTTTCGCTGCTGGGGATCCAACCACCGCGCCTCGATAGGGGTCATGTTGAAGAAAGTCGGATCGAAGCTCTCCACCGGCTTGTCCAGGAAGTAACCACCGGCGACATTGAAACTTCCAGGTCGCTCAAGGTTGGGATGCAGGTAGGCATCGATGTTGAACCGTGACTCCGGGACACGAGGAGTCTGAACAGAGCCCTTGTTGACCAGAAGGTCCCAGAGGGAGGACGAGGAATCGACACCACCAGGAAGGCGGCATGCTATATTGATCGTTCGATTAGAGCACAAAACGAGTAACAACTGAGCAACAGAGGAACTTACACATTCCCACGATGGCGATAGGCTCGAGGACAGTGTCCTCCACGGACTTGGTCTCTTCAAAGTGAGGCATGTTGATTGGCCGTGCGGTTTGATGAATCGTATGAGCAGAACTCGACGCACTAGACTGGAAGATTAGAGAATGGAATGATTGAGTGCACTGGAACGAAAATCAGACCACCGTCTGTCTTGAACGGCTATATCAATATACAGTTGAGGTTGTCGTGCCCCCACACAAGACCGGGATTGGATTTGTTATTTCCAACGGCGTTTCCAGGGCGGATTCGGCGGCGCGCCGCTGCTCGGACGGAGAAGACGGATTCGATTGGCCCTCAGTCGGTCCGAAGAAGTCAGATTGGCGAAACTTTGATTACTTTCAAGATTTGTCAGGACGGTCATCGCTCGAAGTCTGTTTCCGGACTGCTGCATCGTACTCGGGGGACTCGGCGAGGCTGACGGAGCTCGCCGGGCAGATGGCACATGGCTAGTACATGACTGGCAGCAGACTATCTCGACAGAGGAAGCCTCTTCTTTCCTATTTCCTCAACGTTTCACCCCTTGCCACGGCGCGGGGAAGTCTGATGGCCCCTCTTACCCATTTTGTCTCTACTGTATCCTTACGTGCTTGCATAATCTACCATGTCATCTGTTAGCGGAATCTGGTTTCTGTTTCTCGCCACTGCTGCAACGTCCCTCCTGTGGGGGGTCAGTATCTGGAACGGGACTGTCAAGGAACTGCTTCTGACAGCTTACCGTGGCAAATTTGAAGATGGCACCCCGTTTCATACTGACTATACTGGCTTTCTGCCACTCGACTTCCCTATTGCTGTTCTAGTGGCCTTTTTCTATTACGGAACAAACGGGTCGCACCCTGGCTACCAGCAATTCCTCGTGGACGCGTATTCGACGTTGCAGCTGGCTTTTGTTTGGCTGTATGCTGAAGGACTCCGGCTAGAGGACAAACCATATCCGATTGCAAAGTAAGCCTCCTGTAACGTTCGTACATTCCGAACTGAGAGTTTTGTATCAACTAACCGCAATTTCAACCTCCGTGAAGTCCTCTCATCTGGGGTCTCCTTTGGCAAGCACTCGGCGGCGCCATTGCCTGGCCTATTTATTTCTTCTATCACATTCGATGGTCTAACTCTCGACAAGGACAGCTTCGTCCGCTTTCCCTATCGTCCGCAAAGGCACTTCCATTCAGCTTTCTTCTGGGTGCGGTTCTGCCAGCTGTGATAGGCATGCTTCCAACCTGGTACCCTCGATCTCCTCATGTCCATCAGTCCGTCCTAGCAGCATGGCAGCCCGACCCTGTCTGGGTAGCAGTCATTCAAACATTCCTCACAAAGTTGTTCTCCGCACCGGAAAACGCAAACCAGGCCGTGTGGTGGACGCGGGCCTCCCTCTTATTGTCAGCGGTGGCGTGCACGATCGGACATTCACACACTCTTTGGACGGTTATCACATCGTCCGATGAGCGACTTAGCTTTCCACGCATGTATATTCCGCATCTGGTGAACGGACCACAGGACGCGACGGTCCGACTAGCAAGCGGTCCCTGGCTCTTCCTCCAATACGACCTTATTATATACTCGTTGGCAAGCGTGTCTTGGGCATATATTCTTGTCTCGCGATTGGTGACACCGGGAGCGCTGCCTCGCCTCGTGGTGTTACCAACGCTTTTCATAGTGGGGTCGGTGATCCTGGGGCCTGGTGCCACTGTTTCTTTGGCGCTGTTTTGGAGGGAAGGAAATGTTCCTGTGAGCCGGAAGGATCGGAGATTACCCAGGAAGTCATTCAATAAATTGAAGCAGTGAAGTGGGACTGCCTCTTGACGCTGTGGTGGGGACATATCATTGATCCCGATAGGGCTTGCTACAGGACTTACCATAAACGTCTCACTGATTACGATATATCATATTTGACTCTAGAAATGAATGATGGTCTCATGTTCAATTGAAGTTCAGACATCAGAGATAGGTTTGTTTCCTGAGCAGTACGTAAGCTGTAGCCTCACCATAAGTGTGTGAGATGACCCGAAACAGAGCCTGGGGGCCCTGTATTACCGGCTTCAGCGTTTGCATAGCCTACAAACGGATGATAATTGGATTAAGCTGTTGCTAATTGACCACAGGGCATTACCACGTTGCCATCCATCCGTTCACAGTCTGGATAGCGAGCGCCACAAGCCAAGAGCCTCTACACAAATGCTGATTTCCCCCTCGCTCATCTCAGCAGTCACCAGGTTCGGAGACCGCCCCGGCGGTATCTCGGAGTACAGTAGGGCGCTGGACCCCTCGGTCCGGCAAAGGGATCTGACTGGGTATCGGATCCCTTATGCAGTGATATTCGGACCCCAACCCGAGGACTGGGTCGTATTCGAGTGTAGCTCCCACCTCGCAAGGAGGGGGGATCGATTATCCATTAACATGTGTTTCTTACGTCGATGGAGAATAGTCTTGTGATAATACTGTTATCGGAGATTATCCTATAATTCGTCTAAACTGTCGTGGAAATCCCCATTTTCTTCGCCTGCTGGTCTCTCATTCGGATTCGAGACGAGCTGGTCTTTATCACCCCATGGAACCTTTGACCTGAAATTCCTGCTATTGTGAAGAATACAACGCAGGATGGGATCAATCGAAGTTCAGAAGGTCGATGTCGCAATTATCGGGGCAGGTAAGTGAATCTGGATCCAATCCGCGCCTCAAGAGACCATTGCTAATCACCCCTGGCTGGTATGAACAGGATGGTACGGCCTTGTCGCAGCCAGAACATATCTCCGTCTCTGCCCCAATGCAAAGCTACTCGTCATTGATTCCGACTCCACCGTGGGCGGCGTTTGGAGCGAGGACAGATTATACCCAAATCTAGTCGCCCAGGTCAACCTTGGTCTGTTCAACTACACTGATACGCCCATGCCGGCGGCCGGAATGACCAAGGACCGACAAGTGACCGGTCGTATGATCCACAACTATCTGCAGCGATACGCCGAAGACCACGATCTCCTTCGCTATATCCGGTTCAATACTTTCGTCAACCGAGTGGAAAAGATATCCGGCGGATGGCGTCTCCACTTCCGCGAGTCCGGCGACATCGTCGAGACTGCCAAGTTAATGGTCGCGTCGGGGGTCACGTCTATCCCTAACATGCCCTCTCTGGACGACACCGATGTGTCCGTGCCGGTGATCCACTCCATGAACCTGGGTGCGTCGTTTGAAGATATCAAGAGACCCGAGATCAAGGAAGTGGTGGTTGTCGGAGCGGCCAAGTCTGCATACGACGCTGTCTATCTTCTCTTGACCATGGGCAAGAAAGTCACTTGGGTGATTCGACCAGGAGGTGCCGGTCCTCTGGCCATTCTCCCGTCCAAATTGCTCGGCTTCTGGACGAGTATTGGAGTGGCCTCAACGCGACTGATGACCGGTTTGAGTCCTTCGATCTTCAATACCAACGGTCTCCTGTACTCCGTTTTCCAGAAGAGCCCCCTGGGAAGATGGGTGACAGGACGCTTCTGGGACACGGTGGCACTCCTTAGCGACATTCACGCAGGATACTATAAAGGGGACCATGTGGCCAAGCTACGACCGGAAATCGACGGCAAGGGGTAAGTTTGTCCAATCCCATCAACCGCATGTCATGCCCTAATACCTCTCATAGCATCTTCTGGGCAAACTCTGGCCTTGGCGTCGTCACCTTGGACGACTTTTGGTCCACCATCCACAAAGGCGACGTCACCGTGATCCGTGACGACCTGGACAGAATCAAGGGCGACACGCTGAAGCTCAAGTCGGGCGAAAGCGTACGATCCGACTACGTCCTCATGTGCACCGGCTGGGGCGACCACTTCGCCATGTTCGATGACGCCACGAAACGCGAAGTGGGCCTGCCGGTGCTGACCGCGAAAGGGGCCGTCGACCCAGCATGGGTGAAGTCCGACGCAGAGGCCGAGGATTCCGTGAATCGCAAACTGCCGTTCTTGGCGAAGTCGGCGGTGGTGCGGAATCCCAAGAATCTCCTGCAGCCGCAGAGGAAGTGGAGATTGTATCGTCGCGTGGTGCCTATTAAGATGGCCGAGAAGGGAGATCGATCGCTCGCGATCCTTGGCCAGATCCACACGGTGCAAACACCTCTGGTTGCGGAGGTCCAATCCTTCTGGGCTATTCTGTATCTGCTGGGCAAGGTTGAACTGCCCGATCATGATACTATGGTCAAAGAGATTGCCGAATGGAATATCTGGACGAAGAAGCGGTACTTGAGCCAGGGACAGAAGTTCCCCTACTCGCTGTACGATTTTCTTCCGGTATGATGATCTGTGTAATGACAACTTCCCATTATCACTAGCTAACCTGACCCATAGTACGTTGACACTCTATGCAAAGACCTCGGCATCAACTCCCGACGCAAATCAAATGTTCTGGCGGAGATATTCTCTCCTTACCGGCCAGAGGACTTCAACGGATTTATTGACGAGTACATGTTAAAGAGACTGAACGAGTCAGTCGGCAAGCCTAAGGAAGTCCAGTCTCACTTGCTTACTCGGTTGTGGGGGGTTGGCTTAAGCCTGGTTGTTTCTCTGGTTGCGCTGAGCAAGGTGATTACTGCGTGATAAATAGATTTTTTGATTTTGTTTCCATTTCCTAGATCTACTTGGCGTGCTGTTTGTTTCCCTTGATTAGGGCCTGTAGTTGGGCCTAGCGAAGTCTATACATCTAGAGACAATTTAGCTATGTTGCTGGCCATAAAGCATTTTAACTTAGGCAGACATAGAACAATACGTCAGATAGGCCGTTAAGCAACAAACATCTTCAACATTGAGCACATCTTTAATCCCTTGGCAGATCCATGATCTCTCGATAAAGGCTCGTATGGGCTGCCGGCTTTTCCTTCATTCCCGCGCACGGGCTCGGCCCGAGCGTCAACAATGCCAAGAATACGGCTGATGGGTGCTTGCTATCATTGGCTCGGGGCCTCGGGCCGGATAGATGAAGTGGGGCTGTTTTACTTTTCTTCTGTTTTTGGAAAATCCTACGAAATAGAGAAATGCCGAAGAAAGCCAAAGAAGAAAGACTGCTATTGCTATGCTAGAGTGTTGCTATACCAGAGAGAAGTATGCAACCCAGATGTCTAATGAAACTTCTTGTATCCCTTTCCAGCCACAAAGGTGTCCATCCATTCGTGCTGCGTGCGATCCTGACTCAATTCCCAGTATCGTTCGGCGTGCGCGGGGCCGCTGATGGCACCGCTGGCGTAATCGCCGTTGTCGAGGCGCTCATCTCCATAGTAAAAGCTATTCCTGGCGTTAGTAAAATCAGAGAAAAACAAGGCATGTTGAATACATACGTATATCCCTTTCCCTTGAATGCAAGCACCGCATTCTCAATGACATGGCCCATCGCAATCTTACCAACACCCAAACTGACCAACCGAGGCTGGGGCTTCAGGTTCAGTCCGTTGGCCGTGTAGATGAAGGATTTCGGAACGTCATCAGGAATACTAGCGAATCCCTTGACGGCCTCCTGGGCAGTCAGGTACGCAGACGTAAAGTTAACCGCGAGATCATGCTCCAACTCATCCTGGTTGAGAGTCAAAGGGTTTCCGGGGGCGGCAGGAAAGACGTGATAAGCTGAAACGTTGCGTTAGCACGAGACCATTGGGATGTGTTCAACTTCAAAAGTGGGGGCCTTATCGATGCACCATTATGAATGACGACGTTGGGCGGATTCCCGAACTTGGCCTTTACCTCCTCAAAAGCCTTGTGCACGGTTCCCGGCGCCGTCAGATCAGCTCGGATGTGCGTGTACGAGGAATCGAAGGATGCGGAGAATCCACGGCTCACAAGCGCAATCTTGTACCCTTGAGCTGCGAATAGTGCCGCCGTGGAGCTGGCGACGTTGGGTCCGGCGCCCAGGATGAGGAGGATCGGGCTAAAGGTCATGGTGTGGGATGGAGATTGGACTGGAATGTGGGTAAAGGATTGATGGATTTTTGAATTGCATAAGGAGCGAATTGGAAGTATAATATATAGACTTTTTGCAAATGCGACTACAAGGAGCTAAGAGGAGTGGGATGTCGTCCTCGGAGGGGTACAGCGCAGGGGACGGCGAATTTCGCCGACGATGGTGATGATGTCACAGCTATTATTCGGTCATCGGGCGTTGTTATTGGTTTAAAATGTAAGCAAAACAAGCCTACGAGTTGGGATATTGGCGTGAAAATAATTTCCTTGATCCCACTTCCTTGCATGTAAGCCGCAGTTGTGCTTTGACTACTCAGTGTACTGCTGCTCGACAATGCCTGGAAGCAGGGTGTACATGCATAAGCAGAGCATAATTTTGGAGCCAGAGCATCATTAATCTAGCTTAAAAATGCAGAACTTATTCTATGTTCAATTTAAGGGCAATTTGCGATTATAATAGCAACGCTTCATTCTCTAGGTCTCGGTTCAACACGGCACGTTAGTCGAGACAACATCCTACGTTTGCACCATGATCTCTACAAAGCACCGTATCCAGGCGTTTCTAATCAAAACCTGTAGCTGGAACCACCTTCGAGAGACGGGACTCGACCGTGATAACACGGGTCTTCTCGTCGACCAACATCCGACCGTTGCCAATCAACGTAAAGTTCTGCAATTCCTGGAGCTCAGGGTCCCCACTGTGGAAGGTATGAGCGCCAGCTATTATCGATCGACAGAAAGTGATTAGTAGAGTGTGGCATTAAGAAAAAAGAGTGGAATGTCATGACATACTGCTGAACCCGAACGGCACACTGACGGAGTCAGGTTGCTGATGGAAGATCTTGAGGACGGCCTCATTCGTATCAATGATGCCAGTGTAGCCGAAGCTAATCTCCTTGCCATCCTCAGTTCTACAATATGTATTAGCTCTGCGGAATCTTTCTCGAAAAAGAGATAATAATACCGGGCGATCGCCTTCATGTTGATCCGCGCATGTTTCTGGTCTGGGTCAAACTCGAGCCAGTCGGCGCCAAAGACAACGTTGGCTTTGAATTTAGGCTCAAATCCTTCCACAGTCTCGACTGTGCCGGTGGGTGTTTCCTGCCATTCAAGGATATTATATTAGTTGCTGAAAATGCATGTTTTCCTGGACCTGGAGGTTCGCACTTACAAAATGGATCAGAGTAGCACCGCTCTGACGGGGCCCTAGACGAGACATTAGAGATACTTCGTATAACTCAAAAAAGTGCAGAAAGATAAGAAGACTTACCAATGGGGTGGCCAGCACCCACATTGACCTTCCACACAATGGCAGGCTGAAGGGACGGAAAGTTGATGATAGGGGGACTCATTCTGGTGGTGAAGCAATATGTTTCAGCCAAAGATAAAGCTTCTTTTTCCGGTCCGTACTACACATTGTTCTTTATAAGGTATATTCAGAGCCCTCAGTAGCCTATTGCGGTCCAGTCATCGGACACGTTTGTATGAGTCGGACCGGAAGCCGAGCGTGAGACGGAGAGTAAGCGTTCACCCGGAGTCGTTCGCCGACTACTACCCTGCTGATTATCAATATCAACCCATGCCGATTGCCAAGCGCGTTACAAGGGGGTGGAATTGCTTAATGCGCATTCATATGGTCTGTCGTTGCCGCTGTTTGAAGACGAAACCGGAGTCCCTCGAGCCACAAAGCGTCCTGTTTATCCCGCCTGTCCCTTCAATCCCCTCTTCATCCAAATTAAGAAGCTCAAAAGAGAGCTTGCAAGATGGGATCTGCCGAGAGACCGTTCCGTGTCATCGTCGTTGGCGGTGGCGTGGGAGGCCTTACTGCCGCCCACACCCTCCACCGAGCTGGCATCGACTATGTTGTTTTGGAGAAAGGACTTGTTGCTCCGCCTATGGGTGCGAGTATTGGTATCTATCCCCATGGCTCTCGAATCCTCGAACAGATAGGGTGTCTGGCAGACGTGGAGGACGAGTGCGTCACGCTGGGCAAGAGTCAGAATCTCTTGCCGGACGGACGGACTATCTTCAGCAGTGACTTCTTCAAATACAGCAGGCAATAGTATGGTCGCATTGCTCTGGTCATCCGTGAAGCTATTGACTGACACATGAGTAGTCATGGGTACCCCATTCCCGTCCTTGAGCGACGCCGGTTCCTAGAAATACTCTACGAGAACACCCCGGACAAGTCCAAGATTAGGTCTGGAACCGCAGTGGTAGATGTGATCGACCACGAGACGGGTGTCAAGGCTATCCTGGCTGATGGTAGCGTGGAAGAAGGAGACTTAGTCTTGGGTGTTGACGGTGTTCACAGCAACATCCGAAACATCATGTGGCGGAATGCCAACGCTGCGGTCCCAGGGTTGATCACGACCGCAGAAAAGAAGTGTAATCTCTTTACCCTTGTATTCATGATCACATGAACTGCAAACTGACAGAAATATATATAGCGTTGATTTGTGACTGGACAGCCCTTGCAGGTTTCAGCCCTACAGTTCCAGGAATGAGCAACTGCAACATGACTTGCACTCATTATCCCGGCAAGTCCTTCCTAGTGATCGGTCAGAAGAAGTACACTTTCTGGTTCGTCTTCTTCAAGAACGAAGAGACACGCTACTGGCCCAGCTCTCCTCGATGGACTGCCCAGGACGCCGAGAAGCGAGCCGCGGAATGTGCCGACTGTCCCATCTCCGACACTCAGGTGTTTGGGGAGTTGTGGCGATCTCGCGTTCGAGGCGACCTGGTCAATGTAGAGGAGGGCCTGTTCAAACACATGTACTTTGGTCGGATTGTTCTTGCGGGAGATGCCGTTCACAAGGTACCTCCACCTCCCGTTTTGGTTATGCTCAGACCTTGCTAAGTAGCATGTCAAGATGACGCCCAACATCGGACTCGGCGGCAACGCAAGCATGGAGAGCGTTGTCGTTCTTTCGAACCTTCTGCATCGCGCCGTGCAGGCCCATCCGAGCGGCAAGCCTGATAAGAAGATGCTCGAGACGATCCTGGAAGAATATCAGACCCTGAGATACGATCGCATGCAGAAAGTCATCCACTTCTCCGGCGAGGCCACCAGACTGCAAGCCTGGGACAGCCTGTACTACAAGACGCTCTCCCGGGTCATTCCTTACTTCCCAGATACGACGTCTGCCAAGAGAACAGCAGAGCTGATCAAAGCCGCAGCCAAACTGGACTATGTTCCAACTTCTCCCGCTCGGAAAGGGACCGTGGCGTGGGAGGATGACGGGCAACGGGCTTTAGGGGCTCATCAGGCTGCAGTTAGCAGCGTGAGACGGTTGATTCAGATCCCGGTCGTGCTGCTCTCTTTTGGACTCTCGTTCTTCTATCTGTCTGGTATCAAACTGTGAGGATTTCATTTCGCTGTTGCTCATTGGTTTGGTGTGGAGGATATAGTGAACGCATTAGATTGGACAGAATCAGATATGAATTTATTTACGCGAGCAACTTGACAAAAAAGTCTACTTATTCGGGCTAATGGTAGCTGGTGAAGTGGATCTAAGAGAAAGTCAAAAAGCGAAGCACGGTATTCCTGTGCGTCACTAATCGACAAGATCACGTTGAAGATGTTTTCACAATCGTTCTCTCTCTGACTTTCATATCGCGACATAAACATGTATCTGTCTTTTCCTATTGCTATTTTTGTTTTTAATTTTAATTTTTATTGTTATTTCTTTGTTCCTCCCATCATATCCTTCTCTTTCTTTGATTTTCTACAGGAATAATATCGGTTTCTCTTACATATCTGTGACAACGGTGAACTCTATATATATTGCTCAGTGAGGCCAACTTGATAGGTTGGTTGGCCAGGTATTGGATTCAGTTTGCTGGGGACATATTCCAAGGTGATCACCAAATAGCCTATGTGAAGGAAAAACTGTTGTAGATGATCAAAAATGAATTCATCCAAGTAATGGGGATGAGGATAGGGCTTGGCGGATGGTAGCCTCCAAAATGTTTCGAGGCGAGACCACAGATTCCGCAAGGGAAAAAAAAGAGAAAAAAGGAGAGAGAAAGAAAAAAAAAAACAAAAAAAGGGAAAAGAAAGAAAGAGCAAAAGCCGCACGCTTGAGTACTTTTGATTAGCTGCAAGGAAACGAGCTTACTCCGTACAGTGCGTTAGGCCTGCGGACGCCAACGCTAGGAACGTGGCATTCCCTGATTATTGGCAGGGCAAGTCGACGCCGAAGTTGAAGTGCGGAAGTACTCCGGAGAACGGATGAAGATTAGCAATCGTCGTAAGCAGATATATATCGAGTTGGATACTAAGCTTCTGCATGCTGTAAAATTGACCCGATATTTTCACTTGCATCTACAACGTGTAACGTCGCTACAAAATGCCCGAGATCAGATTTTTCTTCGCCTCGAGGCCTGCTCACTCTGCCCCCACATTCTCCTACATGAAATTGAAGCCGACTTCAAGCCTTTCCAGGTTATCAACAAAGGCCCGGAAGTGAAATTCTCAGATGACTTTCATCGGATCAACCCCAAAATGCGTGTTACGATGATCGCAGTCGACGAGCAAGTGATCACCGAACTTCCCGCTGTGGCCACAATCATATCCAGTTTGGCGCCCGAAAGAGGGCTAATGGGGAAGAATACCCTCGACACTGTTCGTGTTTACGAGTGGATGAATTATCTATCCGGGACATTACATGCCGGAGGATTCGGCCACTTGTTTCGCCCTGATCGCTGGACTACGGCGACTGATCTTACGAGTTTGGAGGGAGTGAAGCTCAAGGCCCGGGAGAGGGTGGTGGAGAGCTTCCAATTTATTGAGGAGAGACTAGACGAAGATCATACAGTCGGAGGGTATTTTACGGCCGTGGATCCGTTTCTTTACGTGTTCTATCGATGGGGGACGATGATGGGTGAGAATATGTCGCTTTTTCCCAAGTACGGCGCGCTGGTTAAGAATCTGGAGACACGCCCTGCGGTACGAGTGACTCTGGAGAAGGAAAAGCTGCCGCTAATCTGTTGAGAGATAGACCGGGAAAAGCAGTAGACTTTGTACATATCTCCGACCTGTATAATTGGCATTCTTTGCGTCCCAACAACTTGAGGCATGCTGTGACCTGAGAGGCGAGATGTATTCTCGCAGTGGGAACGTTGCGAAATCTGAACGACTAGAGGGTGCTAACGTCATCAAGAATTCCTAGGTTTCTGGCCATAAACATGAAACCACTTCGCATATGTATGAATGTTCCGATCCAAGAGTTCTGTTCGGGCGCCATTCAGCAGCACACGTACATCCTCGACAGGCCAATGCAGCACCCGCGTTAAAAGCGCTAAACTATAAGCATCCAGCGATTCTAGCATGTTAACCTGATAATATCTACCGAGTTCCTTCAACTTCGCATCCTTGGGCCACGGTGACATGGGCATCTGGGAATGCAACTGGTCAGAGAGCGACCGGGGGCGGCACAGCAAGAGACGTTGGCTTACCTTGTAGACGTCTTCTCTGATGTTAACAAAACCCGCGTTTGAAAGACGCTGCATATGCTCCGTAGCCGTTCCCATTATTCTGCCCATGCGAGCACTGGCCTCCTTCACGAGTCGGGTCGTCTCTTTGAGGCTCTTTGCTTGCTGGATCGTGTCGTCGTCACCGCACACAATCAGGTCAACCTCGGCAAACTCAAACCACCCGCCTGGATTGAGCTGATTGTATGCCTGGCTGACGAGGCGGTCGTAATTAGAGACGGAGCCTTGAAGGTCGCGCGCGTGTATAAAGTCAAACTGAGTATCATGGCTCCAGTCGGCTTCGAAATCGTCGACCTCGAAGTGCAAATTTGGAGGCACCCTGCAGGCCGTAGTCAGACTAAGAGCTATAGGACGTAATGGTTGCTGTAGGGATTACCAAGGAGGTTGTATTGGACTGAGGTCATTGCCTGTGCGCTATTAGGTGCATGACTTGACCCAATCTATGAAATCGGCGCTCGCACCTATGACCCTGGCATTCGGGAATTTGCTACAGCAAGTGAGTTAACTGCTCATAAAAGCACGATGCAGCAACCTACTCTGCCATTTCAATTGCCCAGACGCCAGTGCCCGTTCCCAGGTCTAATATCGTGGAGATGTTTTGGGGAATTGGGGAGCGGTAAAGGTGTCCACCGAGTTTCAATCGATGAATGTGGTGATGCTGGTCGACGATTAGATACTGTGGTAGATTTGCGAAGATTGTGGTACAAACAAGCTCGAGTCGCGATTGCTCCTGCTCATCGTTGGGCTGGTCAAGTCAGCCCTTGCTATCTTGAAATACAGGACTTTTTCCTTTACCATTGTGTAAAGGCCTTCTTTGAACGCATGATATCGGCGACCGTTCTGCAAAGAGTTGGTCAAATGTGTGAACAGCCTTTACTCGAGGGAAAATTGCTGACTTCATATCTACAACCTGGTTAGCCAGTGTGTGTGTGTGTGTGTGTGTGTGTGAGGGAAGAGGATTCGAACATACTGGTAATTCCTAATGCTGGAGGCAATTGAAGTAGTTGAACTGAGCCCTGAGCTGGTTTGACGCTGATTAGGTCCTATCCGGTGTATCCGACACAAACCACGCACCTATTGACAAATGAACTCCCTGCGTCATCGTACAGAAGATCGTCGTCCTTGATATTGTCATGACCAAAACGCAATGCAAACCGGCAGGTAAATCGAACTCACCTCAACTTCCACGCCACTGTCAGGCCCCTCGCTGAGGCCAATTTGGAGCGGCATTATTGCAGTGAGTCAAAAGTACGGAATGAAAGGGGGGGAACGTTCGAGCATACAAAGAAAAACATCATGCGTGGCCAAAAGGGTCATGCTGTTGTTTGCCGAGCGCCACTTTTCAAGAGACCAAATCCCTGCACCGACGGACAAGGATCAGGCCAGCAGCTGCAAGGCGCTAAAAGAAGGCCGTGGAGAAAAGAAGGATTAGTGGAGCCTCGTTGATTGGCACTGGGCAACTCATTTGTGCAACGGTCGTGTTAGTCGTGCATTAGCGAGAATTGGCGCTGAAATCCCCTCTTTTGGTGAGTTTCCCGCGTGGGATACGTTTTCCTCCCGGTGTGAGAATTCTGATTGATGTAGGAGAGTTGATTTGCTATAATAACTCGCTTTAGATTGCCATGCGGTGGAGTTGTCCATCTGCCGACAGTTGTGAAGATCACAGAGACCCCTGAGCCGATAAACTTTATGAGACATTAGCAGAAGAGACTAATTACACTGTCGCATAAGACAGCATCAAGGACTGTTGACATCTGTTCTGCGCATAATAGGTCTTAAAGTACGAATGGAAGTCACCGGAGCGAGATTGCAAATATCATAAACAAGGATACCGTGAAGCTCTGCAACAAACAAAGACTGGGTATATGGTTCAAGCTGTCCTGGAAAACATGCCAATATCAAAGCAAAAAAACATCGCTACTCACACAGGATGTCGCTTCAAATGCCCCAAAAAAACGCATTCAGCCAAGGATTCTGAGACTTGTAAACATTCAACGCATTCGCAGAATGGAACGGCCCAAAGGGATCGCCTTCCAAGGTATGAATCCGGAAACCGCGATTCTGCTCGCAGCAGATACAAGCAGAAGTACAATGTCCTGTTCCCTTGACGATGACTTGAACCTGATAGCATCCACATCTACGAGCGTAGCATCCACCCCTCCTAGCACATTGCGACCGTAGCCATTTAGAATTGTCCCACTGTGTGTTTCGTCGCAGGGACAGAATGGCCCTCTTCACTGGGCTTTTCGGAAATCGATCCAGATCATCTTGAAGGGCTAGCTGCATCGTGAAAGCGCACTGATTGTAGGCCGCAATTTTATCCTCCAAGGGAAACAGCTCACTGTCAGAGGACCATTCGCTTGTGAAACTTCCGTTATCGTCGGGTCGATATAACTGCTTCCACCTGTATTTCCCCAGCCGTTGAACAGTCAAATCGAGATCAACGCGCATTTGTATCCACTATTTTAACTTCTCACAGTGTACAGGCTCGAGGGCAATGTGGTGACTCATTATTCGGCGAATTCGCTGGGCGCATTTCCTTAAGCCGACGCACTCGAGGAGTGTCTCAAAGAACTTGGCGTGGGCTTCCACAACCTTCACAAACTGGGATGCGCCTTCCATTGCAACTGATTTAAAAGGGAGGTTCGCACATGTGCAAAAGTGAAGATGGACATAAGAGCCCGTAGGATCGAAGTTTCTGAGATTAGGGTCAACATCGTAGGATGAAGTTTGGTAGGTAGTATGTCATCTGGTGTCATCAAAAAGTTAGTATGAGGATATTATACCCGAACAATATCTTGTGGGATTTAAAATAATAAGAGTTGAATAGTCTAAAGATAAAATGTTCAAATCTTAATAAATTTATCGAAATTAAATGCTCTGCCTCACGATAGAAAGTTAGGTTGAGTCGATGGGTTTACAGCCCAAGAGACGCCCCTATTAGTCCATGAAGCGGTACCGTAATTGGAATTAATCAATGAGATGAGTCAATCAGCGCGACCTGGCTTGAAACGATGTTATTCATTCTGTTTTGCTATCGATGGTTGAGGGTCATAGGTGGCTACATTGGTAAGAGAATGTATGGCAACCATGATGGCGCACAAGGAAGAACGGATTTGAACAGATTGGACTTCTTTCTTTCATATAAAAGGAGACGTTGAAATTCATGAGTGAACTTCCTCCGGCAACTCCACGTACCAGGACAGATCATTCTCCTCGTCCATCTCCCAAGCTGTGAACCCATTCCCCATGAACCGGAAGGGATTCGGACTGTTATACTCAATCTCAAAGTCCTCTGCCCGAATATCCTGGAGTATGCGATTAAACAACACTGCACTTCCCCCGAACAGCGCCGTAACTCTCCCATCAACTCGATTGAATATGGTATGCTCAACGTATTGCTGTAACTCTGGAAAACGATGTTGTACTTTATGGGCCATCAGGAGACCAGAAAAGCCGGCCCCGATAGTCACGACGCGGAGTTTGCGGGGTGTGTAGGCATAGTCGGCACTCATCGGGATGGTGAAGGGATTTTCCTCAGAAGCGCTGTTCGTATGAGAGTGGCCATGTAGCTTTCCTGTGCCGTTGATGCCGTTTGTCTTGTGCGCCCAGTTTGTCCTATTGGAATGGGGGGTCCCGTTGGTATGAAGGGCATTAGGCACTTCTCCGTCTCTGGGGAGAGCGGTGGTAGCGACTGTCATTGTGATTGACTTCTTCTCGTTATTTGGTCTTGTTGTCTGCGAGTGGAAGTGTCGATTTTATTGAACACCTTGTGAGAGGTCAAAGCTATGTCAAGCGATGGTGTGACTCTGCCTCATCCCAATTGATGGCACAGAGAGCCGAGCTCCAAGGGTCTCGGCATTAAGAAAAGACCAAACAGTACTGAAAGATAGGCAGGACTAGATTTGCTTCCCGATGCTCCGTCCCACTTATCAAAACACTAAGTGTGAGTCCTTCTACCCGGTTCTCGGCTTACCTGATTAGGAAATTCTGACCCTAAGTCTGTATATCGAATACTGCCGGTAGCTTCATGGTACCCCATCGACATGTTGAGCGGGGGAAAAATTGGCTAAATGCCGTACCTCTACGCCATGGCCCAACTTGGCCGAGAGAATTGTACATCATCTGCTGGAAAGTGGCTCCAAAGAGAATTATTCAACTAGATTATCGTGAACTATGACATGATTAGATCCCGATATCCCCTCGCAGCCACAGCATCGGCTCTTTTCCTATAGCCAGGTGCAGGTCCATTGTACCGAGCGACGATTCGCTTCTGCTTATGTGCCAGATTCTTATTTACACCACTCATCCAAGAGTCCACCTCATTTGCCAATAGCCCCTCGGCGCATTCATGAACATGCTCAGTCCACGCTACAACACCCTCATGCGTACATTCGGCACATGTAATTCCATGATCCCGAGCATAGCGAATGAAGTTTGCCACCCACTTGGAAGAGTACTCAATGCTGCGCGGAAAGTTTCCAAACATTTGATGTGGACCCATTACCATCATCATATTGGGGAAATGCTCAGCAAAGATTCCCAAGAAGGTTCGGGGACCGTCGCGCCATTGATCTGCCAGCTGAACTTTGTTACGTCCTTGGATGTCCATGGCTGTGAATGACCCAGTGACTGCGTCAAAGCCGGTCGCGTAGATGACGATGTCAATTGTGAAGTGCTCATCCTGTGTCTGGATACCTTCAGGTGTGATCTGTTGGATAGGATTGGTTTTCGCGTCAACGAGCCGGACATTCAGCTGGTTGTAGACTTCAAAATAGCCACTTTCAAGAGGCAGTCGCTTCGTACCAAACCCGTGGCATTTGGGAATCAACAATTCGGCGACCTTAGGATCATGGACGCGTTGGCGGATTTTGTTAGCAATAAACTCGCTGTAAAGAGCATTGGCCCGGCGATCAGTGGCGATATCACCAAAATTGCCCAGCCATTTTTGGAAGCCTCGAGTCTCGTATAGTGCATTCCACAACTTCTCTCGCGATTCCGGGTCGACATCAAACGTTCGTCGCTTGTCACTGATATGTATGAACCCAGAGTAAGATTCTCTGCATCGCTGGAATATCTCCGGATATCTTGAACGGATTTCTGCCATTTCCTCCGGCGATATCTTCTCGTTATTCAACGGTGCACTCCAGTTCGGAGTGCGCTGGAACACGGTGAGATGGCCGGCTGTTTTTGCTATTTCCTGAATTGCTTGAATTGCTGTCGCGCCTGTTCCAATGACGGCGACGCTTTTATTCCGGAAGTCGACCGGTTGTTGAGGCCATCGCGCTGTGTGATACGAAGGGCCGCTGAAATCGTGCACCCCGGGGATATTCGGCCAGGTGCAGTTGTTGAGAATTCCCATGGCCGTCACCATAAAACGACTGGTGTATTTCCTGCCCTCCTCATCGGTCAAAAGCCACGACCAACTCTCTTCTTGGAAAAGGGCTGCCTTGACTCGCGTATTGAATTGCATGTCTCTGCGAAGATCGAACCGGTCACAGACAAATTCGCAGTATCGTAAAGTCTCCGGTTGGGCAGCAAAATGCTCCGACCAGTTCCATTCATCGAGAATATCCTGGGAAAAAGAGAAGCCGTAAGAGTAGCTCTCCGAGTCGAACCGAGCCCCGGGATATCGATTCCAATACCAAGTTCCTCCGACCCCTCCGCCGGCTTCAAGCACCTTGGCTCGCAAACCGAGCTGGCGCATCTGGTAGATGGAATACATGCCAGATAGGCCTGCCCCGATGATGAGGACATCGTAGTCAAGGTGTCTGTTTAGTTGTTGGAATGTTGGACTCTGTATACTGCCCATTTTGGTGATATCGTTTGTTCGCTGTGTGGAGTCTGCGCAGGTTCAGACCTACAGCGACCCATGTAGTGTTCTTATTTAGTCGGACTAATCATCCTCGGTCGTCGTACAGGACTAAGCCTCAGATGGTTAACCGGTTTGCAACCGGCAATCCTAGCGCCGGTTCCCCGCAATCCGGGGAAATTGCATGGTGGAGTAAATGTGGTGGATACAGTTCACGCGAGCTTATCGATACGCTCGCTTGAACCGTTCCATGGTGTGGGTCCGCCAAGACCAGATTTATAAGCAGAACGATTCGCATGACCTTTTTGTATTTCTATTTCACTTATTTAAAGTAAAAAGAATAAGAATCTACTAAGTAGTTTCTAAGTATCATTAAGTACTTATACGCTACTTATTAGCTACTTAACAAATACTTAATAACTACTTAAAATATATACAATTTTCTCTAAAGGACCCTAATCCCTAATAACCCTACTAACCTAATAACCCTACTCTAATAATTACCCTACATAATCCCTAATTAATACCCTACAAGTACTTTTAAGTGCTTAAAAACTACTCACTAAGTACTTTGTATACTAAACAGTTATCAAACACTTAGTAAGTACTTATTTATTATATAGTATTTATTCAATAAATTGAATAAGTCAAATAATGTAATGTATTGAAAGAGGTCGTGTGAATTGAAAAAAAAAAATCAAGTGTGGCAGAAATGGTCTTGGCAAAGAGCTGATTAATACGCCGAGTTTATATGATCATCTGCAACGATTGAAGGTCTTGATTATTCTAATCTACTGCAAAAAGAAGCCGATATTTATGCAATTTCAGGGGCTTCAGATATGCAATAAAAGGGCTTGATCATACGATTCAAGCTCTATAATCGTACGATCAATATTGATCGATTGCTCAATCGGTTGAGCAAGGTGATGAAGTAATTGCTTAGTCAGTTCCGCGGCCACATCAAGCTTGTAAGGAACATAAACCATTGAACGTAGGTATGTATTAGCAAAGAATAAGCTGCATGGGTTGCAGCAGCTGGGTGTGGGCAGAAGCCCCTATTTATGATACTGCCTACTACCAACATGACTGCCAGGAATCGGGAGATTCCTGGCGGGAAGTTCCATACGGAGGGATCCTACCGGCAAGTTCCTGGGAACAAGCCGGAAGGTTCCTGACAAAGCTGGTGCGAACATCACATGACCAAAACCTGCTGATTAAGCGGTTTCGATTCGCGGGACCCACTTTCAAGAGGTCAGGTCAGCTGTAACCACGTAAATGTGCCATGTCATGTGGACTATTATAAGAGCACATTAGAGCAAACAAAGTATATTTTAGTAAGTCAGGCAATTACCTTAGGGTGGAGAACAAAAGCTGCGTCGGGGAATATGTGAGCAAATGGCATCAAGGGAAGCATGTAATTCTAGAAAAATTCGTCCTTAGCGGACAAGCCAAGTTGAACCCGACCATACAGGGACGCAACTCCCTATGCCATGTCATGTTCATTCTTTAAATACTCGTAATTTACTGTAGTTCAGGCTGTTGAAGGCCAAGACTGGCATATCCCGGCAATGCTTTAAGGCAGTCGAAAGACCCATTCTGTTTGTCTTTCCCGTCTATCCCTAGATTCTGTTGTCTTTGCAAGATGTCGCACTCTCCCCCTTCGCAGGACTCTGTGACAGAGGAGGGCAAGGGAGGTGATGCCAAGCATACTGAGAAGGTCGAGGTTGTGGACACTGTTCATCAAGATGAGGCTCTCAAAGTCCTAGAGAACTATACGGGCGTTGTGACCTGGACACCCGCTGAAGAGAAGAGACTGGTGCGAAGGATTGACAGAAAGTTACTTCCGCTTCTTTGTCTGACATATGGACTCCAGTACTATGACAAGGCGATGCTTTCGCAAGCCGTACGGCTATCGTTCCCCGACTGTCCAAGGTCTTGAATTGAATTCTGATAATACTTATAGGCGTTGTTCGGGCTTCGCGATGACCTGGATATGATCGAAGGCAGCCGTTACTCCTTCTCAGCATCTATATTCTACCTGGGCTTCATAGTGGGGGCATACCCGGCCATGACCCTCGCGCAATTGTACCCCATTGAGCGTGTTGCTTCTCTGATCACGACTCTTTGGGGCATCTGCTTGACACTCACTCCTGTATGCTACAATTATCAAGGACTCTACGCACAACGATTCTTCCTCGGATTGCTAGAGGCGGGTATCAGTCCTATGTTTATGCTCATCGTGGTATGTCTCCCTGAGTTGGCTTTAGGCTTAGTGGCTAATCTTGAACAGGGAAGTTGGTACAAGAAGGACGAACAAGCCCTCCGCATGGGGTAAGTCAATCAAAACAGGATGCGATAACAATGGTTCTAATATCCCAGTGTCTGGTACTGCTGGACTGGATACGTTTCCATTTTCTCTCCCCTTGTAAACTACGGACTCGGCCACATCCGAGGGACTCTCTCACCCTGGAAATATATGTATCTATTCTCCGGCGCAATCACTATCCTCTGGGGAATCGCTATTCTTTTCCTCCTCCCTTCAGATCCCATCCGAGCAAAAGGGTTCGATGACCGCCAACGATTCATTTCCGTTGCGCGTCTTCGCGTCAACAACTCCGGGGTACGCAATACGCACTACAAGAAAGGCCAAGTAACCGAGCTACTCATGGACGTTAAATTCTGGCTCATGTTCCTCATCGCGTTTCTGAGCATGATAGCAAACGGTCCCATATCGGCATTCACGCCCATCATCATCTATTCGATGGGTTTCAATACTTTGAATTCGTTGCTGCTCATGATGCCGGCTGGCTTCTATGCTGGGACACTACAGCTGCTTGCTCCATACTTGGCTTATCGATATGCTCGTGTCGGAATTCGGTCGTGGCTAGTTTTCGTATGCCAGGTCGTAACTACACTGGCTTCTTTACTGTTGTTGTGTCTGCCATTCTCGGCGACCGGCGGACTATTGTTCGCATGCTATATCCTTGGTCGGAGGTGGATACTCGGTCCTCATGGGATTGCAAATTGCCAACATAGCGGGGTATACTAAACGCGTGATGGCATCAGCTGGATTGTATATCGGATACTGTCTTGGTGAGTTCGTCCGATATGGCGAGACAGCCAGCCAGCCTGACTGTGACAGGAAACTTCGTCGGGCCTATGGTATTTGAGGAGAAAGACGCCCCTCGCTATGCTCCTGGGTTTATTGTAGTCATTGCGACCTCGATAGCAGCTGGCCTTCTGGTACTTGTGTATCGATACCTTTGTGTCTGGGACAATCGACGACGCGACAAGCAAGGGGCTGAAGGGTTCGGTAATGCTTATCAGGATGATCTGACAGACATGACGGTGAGTCTACAGAAGTGCTGGATTAAATCCTGCTAATTGTGACCAGAACCCGGAGTTTCGTTACATTCTTTAATGCAGCGTGTTGTTTGTTTGATTGGATCACGTTTGCAGTTGACACGATTACGTTTCTGGGGATACTGTGTGCTCTGGAACTTCTTCTTTTCTCTTACTTGAACTAGAGGGAGAGAAATTCACACGTTCGTCGGGAAGTCTTCTATCATTAAGTTCGATTTACATAGCAATGCTGTATTTAAATTGATGGGGCATACAGCCACAGAAACGGTTCCTTAACAGATATTTCACAAACCCCAAACATTCCGGATGTTCAGTCGAAGAATGTTAAACTACCCCCTTTTCCCTCCAATAATGCTCCAAAACTGTGAGAAACGCCCATTTCAGGTTCTTTCCCCATCCATGCTCTTTCCATCCCTTCAAGCTAGCCGGGAAATGCGGCACTCCATCTCTAACTTGTGCGTCGTGCGCAATGATAACGAAGATATTCTCATTGGCATCTGCCTCCTGCAACTTCCCAATCGTCCGTTTCGCCAACGGAATATCATGTCCGAACGTTGGATCATACAGCGACTGAGTGAGATCTCGGCCGCGAGACAACTGTAGTTCTTCCCATGCACTTCCTGGACAAAGCCCAACGCTATCACCGCCCAGCACGGGATGTGGTACAATGGATGCCGGTATTGGAAGATGAACCGACGGACGAAATATCCCTGCAAAGTGACACACGTCGCCACCGAGAAGGACGAATGTATCCGGGCTTGTGGTTGTGCGGGCAAGACCGCATAAGTGACCAACTGCGTGACCGGGACTATCGAGGAGGTAGAATGAGCCGTCCTCAAAGTAATCCAATGCCTTGAATTGGCCGACCATGGTTAACCCGGGCTCGGTGAATGTGATCTCACGGAGAGTGCGACCACTGTACAGGTTCAGTCATTTGGTGGTGCAAGTTGAACAGACTGATGCCTTATTTGTAGTCACTTTCAAGTATGGGTGAGTCTATATTTGCAGGAGCACCCGGCAGCAGAGCTTCCTTGAATCCAGGACCCACGATCAAATCAGTTGAGGGTGGGAAGGTAGATGGATCGCCGATATGATCCCAGTGCCAGTGGCTTGACTGCCTATCAGCTTTGATATTCACAAAGACATGTCAGGTAATCCGAACCATACCTCCATATCACTGCCTCTATATCCTTGCCACGCACACCATGTTCTTCTAGAATATCTATAACATTCTGCTCCACATCGATGCGGTAGTTCGTTGTGGGAATATATTCTGCGATTTTGGGTGCATAGTTCTCATAGTCCTTTCGAATTCCCAAGTCCCAAACCAACTTCCGTCCAGAGGGATGCTCTAACAAAAAACATAATGAAGGAAACGAAGTGAATGTTTCCAGGCCTGAGACCGGCGGTGCCATAAATCGGTTCAGAATGGCCGGACCCGCATTTACCGGGTTGATGAGTTTGACACTGATGGACGTATCCCCTGAAGGGACAGGAAAGAGTGGACCGTCTGACATGATGCGTGTTAGTGGTGAGTTCAGAAGCGCCGGAACTCGATAATCTAGAACGCATGGGTGCCGCTATCACAATATCCTGTCTTACATATATTCGTGATGACCGCACCCGCGACAGTTTAACCGAGTGCCGGCATTGCCGACCAATTGGCACTTCCAGTGGTTGCCTGGCTTACGGAGTAAGGCTTCCTGCAGCTGTGGCGCTCACTTATTGACCGAGTTGCAGATTTTATTTATCCACCCTCTCGGGGGTTGTCCGAGATTGACTCCTACCAGGAATTGTTCTATAGACAAATACAGCGACTCACGAACCACCATATAGAAATTGGGAGAATTAAATGTCACTGGAAGTTCATCCGCCGAAAGAGGTCATATCCAAAAACCCGTCGAAATGTCGAAACAGATCATTCACCTCGAACGTGCTAAGTTCCAAGCCCGCCTGGTCAAGCGGCAGCTCCATCTGTCGATTGTTCAGCAGAATGTGCGCTAGTCCACTCGTCTGAGTCGTCACAAATGGGAAATACCTCGTCCATTCCATTCCATGAATCAAACTGATATCTTCTAAATCGAATGCCTCGTCAGCGGACGGCGATTCGGCCGCCGTCCTACGAAGCCGCTCAAATCCTTGTAGGAATATATCGGCTGTCGGCCACATAATCCTGAGCTATTGAAGAGCAAGCAGAACAATCCTGACGTCTTCTTCTGCACATTTTGCTAGATGGGGTATGCGTCGTGCGTGCAGGAGAGCAAGCATCGCCATCCCACAATACCAGCACGAAATGCCCATCAGGTATCGAATCCGACCGCGAGCCAGGCAGTCCTTCAAGATCCGAGCTATACAGGACGCTGCGAGTATGGCTGCCGGGTACGCTCGAGGAAGAGGTTTGGTTGACTGGCTCAGGTGGAGCACGATGATGGTTGCAAGATACGGCAGGTGTAGCTGGTGCACGTCGCGATTGAAGGACACGGTCAAGTCAGATTCAATAGGCAACGAGAGGTGGTGTGGAAGGGCATGCGCCCATGAGATGAGCTCCTGTGCATGGTGGACAGGAAAATGCAAGACCATGTTGTTGCTCGTGCGCATGAGATGCTTGGCGATATTCCCGACAATGCCGCAAAGCTTCACCCACTGAATGAATATCTCAGCCCTTATGTCCTGAACAGGGAAGTCTTGTAGGGTTGGTTCAGCGACGTTGCAATCTTCTATATCGATAACGCACGGGCGGCATTGGCATAATGCGGTCAATCGTTCTCGTGCCTGCCCATTAACAGATATCCATCCTACTACGGCCATGACAACTTACATAAAATGTCCACCAGAGCCTTCGTCGTAGACCGGTGTAAATCTGCGATCGTTCCAACTGACCAGGCTTCGGCTCCCTGTGAAACCCTCCGTGTTGGGCATGTCGGATCGCGACCGTTGTCCACCACCAGGACGAGTCGCGATGAACTCTAGATGGGGGGCGAGGACTCCACCAATAGACCAAGGCTATTGCTTTCAAGCACAGCAGAAGATTTGGCTCATGGTCGCCATAGAATAATTGCTTCACGCGATCGTAGTAGCTGGCAGGCTCTGCATGGATAATCACGGGGGGCTGCACATGGCTTGCGGCCAGGGAGAGTGCATTCATGACCAATGGCGATGCCTCCAGGTCATTTTGAACCGTATTCTTGTCAAGGACGGGGCACCAAGTAGAGCAATACTCAAAGTATGTTTCCTCGAATCCCTGCACAAGCTCTGGCGGCGGCAAATCAACGAAAGGTAGCGGCACCTCCGCTTGCCTCCTTTGATCATCGGCATTGAGTCGTATCTCTGAGCCATAGATCTCGCCGTATCCAGTATCTCCCAGATAACTGTCCGCAGCATCTGCTTGATGAGGAGAGATCAACTCCCTATCGAGCTGAGAAAATGTCGCCTCGTTACCTTGGTTGTCACTGGTATAGTCGTCTCTTGCTAGCGAGGCGGCCGTGCACAGGTCATGCAGGCCGAAAGACGATATGCCGTTATTGGTTCTCGAGGGGGTGTCATTTCTGGGAAGACCCTGACTGGAGCTATTTGATACCGGAGGAGTTGCACACGGGACAATTCGATTCTCGTTGGCAGGAGTTGCGCCCAATGTCTTGCTACTTTGGCCCTTTCGCTTGGATGGCCGGGTGCTGGACACAGCCATGTCATTAATGTGCGTCTTCAAAAGATCAACACGGAGCTTACCTGCAAGCTACCCCAGCCGCTGCGCAGTTACTGCACTTACTGCGCCCTCGTCCGGAGGTTTCCTGCAGATCGCATCTCACCTGCGATGCATCAGTATTGCCACCAGACACCCACGGTCGGCCATACCTTTCTCTCATGACAACCGATACAGACAATAGCTGCTCTGCGTTTTCTTGTTCTATGAGCAGCGAATTCCTGAAAGCGATAACCGTCGGTCATGGTGGATGTAGGAAGATAGTGAGCAGCAGTGCCGGGAGAGCCAGCAGAGTGGGGATACCCAACTAGGGCTCGAGAGATCATGCGGGGAAGCCATCATGCCGAGACAATTTCGAGACGTGTACCCTCTAAAACGCACGGGACATTCCACTACCTACCATCCTGGGGAAGTTCCCCAAGCATCTCTCCATGACCGACGCAGCCGAGCAAGGAGCAGATCACCTCGGCGCGATCGAAGCGGGGCATTTTTCGTCATTTCACCTCATTTCCCGTTCATCCCTGACTGATTTATCCAACAACTTGCAATTCCCACACCAATCGCAGCATCTCCGACCAACATGGCTGACTTCTCCCGATACACCGGTCCTAGTGAGGAGTGGCTGGCGTTGGAAGCAACCCTGCCAGCGCTTCCGGATTTCGCCTCCTTGGAAGCTCTGAAAGCCGAAGCCAATGCGGGGCGTGAAGCCATCGCTACGAAGGCCCTGGTTGCGGAGGGTAAGAGACGCTCCCTTTCATTGTGACAGGAACTAATTCAAGTGACCAGGTCTCCAATCGCAGGTCTCCTTCCGAGACTATTCCATCCCTGCTCGCGACGGGGCAACTCTCGAGGCCAGAACATATCGTCCAGCCTCTCTGCCTTCCTCGCAGCCTCTTCCTGTGTATATACACCTGCACGGCGGTGGCTTTCTTCTAGGAACTCTTGCATCGGAAGATGCAATTTGTTCGCGTATTGTCGTCGGCCTGGTCGCTGAATCAACCCCGGTGGTCGTAATCAACGTCAACTACCGGCACACCCCGGAGCACAAATACCCGACTGCGTGGAACGACGTCGAAGATGCCTTCCACTGGGTCCACGACAACCTCACGGAGATCGGCGGCGACGGTGATCAAGTCGTCGTCGGTGGCATATCGGCCGGTGCTCATCTAACTGCCTCCTTGGTGCTGGCACAGAACCTCGGCACTGACGAAACCTTGTCTAAGCGACCAAAGATAAAGGGTCAAGTGTTGATGATCCCGGCATTAGTCGCGCAAAACTGTTACGCGAAACAGCTTGCGAAGCTGAAGGCCCCGGAGGTGTCGAGCTATGTGCAAAATGAACATGCCCCGATCCTGCCAGTGACTCGGGTTGAGTTTTTCAGTGGACTTTTGGGACACCCTGGGGTCGAGACAGACCTGCGATTGAATCCGGGAAACGCGACGGCCGAGCAAGTGCAGGGATTACCGCCGACCACATTCGGTATTGCAGGTAGAGACCCCTTGAGGGACGAGGGGCTCTTGTATGCGATGTTGCTAAGTGAAAATGGGTAAGCAAGTTCCAGCAAGTGAACGCCGCAAACATCCTGCTAACTATGATGCCAGTGTCCCGACGGATGTCAATGTCTTCACTGGTCTGCCGCATGGGTTCAGAAGACATGGTACTCTTTCGGAAAGTAAACGATGGGATGCAGTGATGAACCGGGGGATCAAGTGGGCCTTGAGTGGTCCTGCCGCCACTGGGGCCTTTGTGATTAAGGAGAAATGAGATACACATAGTCTTGGATTTTACTTGGGCTCTTTTGGATACTTCCGTCGGATTTAAATACAGGATTGAAAGTACAAAAAGGACTCAATGACTACCATTCACTCTGCTCGCTCCCTCGGCGGTCCGGGTCTTGCTCCATCCTTCAACCGATCTGTCCTCGATGATTTTTAGCTGAACCTCCTGCGTTCTTTTGAAATACCCTGCGTGAATGTGGTCATCCATATGCACATCTTTATAGCCTTCCTTTGCTACAGACTTTGGCGTGACCATCAATGAATGACCTGGCAATGTCAACTAAACGTATTACGTGAATTTCCAAAAGGAAAACATACCGTTAATTGTTCGATCTGTGGCCAGCTTCATCATACACTCTGCCACATCTTCCTGTGGCGCAAACTCTACGCCCTTTTTGGTTAACTCTGCTTCGTACTCGGGCGATCGTATGGCACTTTTAATATAACTATTGAAGTTAGCTGCACGTTCATATCGCAGTGGATGAAGGGAAGTAAGCTACCATGGGGCAACGTAGTTGATGCGAATTCCCTGTTCCCACGAGCTACGTCGAGCGACCCTCATCAGCCCTCTGAGGCCGTACTTGCTGCATGTATATTGCCAGTTTGCCTTCAACGGTCAGCATTCCTTCGGCCACAAACCAGGGTAGTTGACGGAACATACAGGCGAGTCAATCCACGCCACCATGCTCCCGGTAATAATAAAACATCTGTCTCGGTCCGGTGTATCCGACTGTTTGCGGAAGTAGTGTACCGCCAACTTCCAGGTGTAAAGAGTCCCGGTCATATTGACATCCATGATGCGCAGCTCGGGCTTCACAGGAGGCTGGTTCGGATCTATCGCAGTTAGTCACACCCCGAGAATCCTCCTGAAATCATACCATCCAGTGGCCACAGATCATCTCCGCTCGCGCGACTGATGCCCGCGTTGGCGATGACAACATCACAACTCTTATGTGGAGAGCTGGAAATGGCCGCTTCGAAGACTTGCACTTGCTCTTCCCACGACGAAATGTTGCATTTGACGAATTGCGCGTTTCTGAATCACTCAGGTTTCATGTTTATTGTCGAGGCATGAATTAACTCACGGTCGCAATTCAGCCGCGAAAGTTCTACCACGTTCTTCGTTGACATCGGCAATCTTCACAAAGGCCCTGGTCATGTCAGTATACTATTGTCACCAGAAGAAGGATGCGTACCCCTCTGCCGCAAATGCACGGACAGTGGCCTCTCCCATGCCATTTGCACCTATTTTCATTAGCTCTTCATAGCTACATTGGCTATACCAAACTACCTCCAGTGACAATAACACTCTTTCCTCTCAATTGCGTGCGATCAGATGGGATGCTGCAGTCAACCGGGCCGGTGTACTCGTAAGGCGGTAATTGGGGCATGTTGGCTATTGCGTTTCGGTCACTGGGTGGATTAGAAACACCAGGGCTAATATCGGCGTGATAGACTATTTTAGATAAGTGAATCCTCCTCTCAAGTATACTTCGTTTCTTGTCTGGGCCGTCCTCTACTTCCCCGCATTTCCGGGTTTCAACCTTGCGGGGATGTCTTGGCTTCCCGGTTTTCCTTTTTGGGTTTACCGGAGAGACAGAATCGGCTCTACCGAGGAATGTAGGGGTAAGAGGACATGTACACCTTGTTTGAATACTATGAAGCAACTGGTCGGATAATTACACATTGATCAAGGCCACTCGATCTCTGATCTTGCCTCTTCCCAAATCTTCCAATACGCCTGGTAAATCCCTCAATCCTTTCGTCTCGACCTGAGGTCGGATAACTCCCTTGGCGATCAGGTCCAGAACCTCAACCAAATCTCGATAATGCCCACCGTAGGAAAAAATGATGCTCAACCGCTTCCTAATCCCAACCTTCATCTCAAGTTGGTTTTGACGATCGCCAGTCCCTATGCACAGGATCTTTCCACCAGGCCTTACTAGCCATGGTCAGCCGGTCTTCCATCATTCATCAGTCAATGACAGTGAAAGCTTACCAATATTCTGTGCATCTCGAAACGTTTGATTCGAGCCAACAAAATCCAATACTGTATCTATTGTTCCCTGCAGGTTATTGTGCGTCACGAAATCCTGGATGCGTGTTCCCACTGGGACGGTATCCTCTGCTGAAACCCCAAGCTCCGCAGCAGCTTCAAGCTTCTCTGCTCGGATATCAGACACAATAACCCTCGCACCTATTGCCTTAACAATCTGTAAGGCATTAAATCCTAGTCCACCGAGACCGAACAAGAACACCGTCTCCGATTTTCTAACTTCAGCTCGCCGTACGATACCATGGTATGCCGTGGTGACCGCGTCTGTAGCAACGGCTGCAACAGCGGATGGGACGGCTGTATTCTGTCAGCATCTCGTAGGTTACCATTTTGGATGAAAGGCTCGATCACCATCTGGTAAAGGAATAGCAGCTCGCACATCGATAGCCACATATTCCGCATAGAACCCGTCCTGGCCAATTCCATGATGCTTGCCAGTCGGGCAGAGCTGAGCCAGATCCCGGGAACACTCGCTGCAGTCTTCTTTACCGCAGCCTGGGACAGCAAGTATTGCTATACGGCTTCCCTATCTCGTGTCAGTCTTGCATATCTTGCTAGAATAGCCGGTGAGACTACTAATTCAAATCTTGTATCGTCAACGCCAGTTCCTATTTCCACTATTTCACCACATCCCTCATGCCCCTGCATTACATTAATCTTTGAAAACAAACAAGGGATCAAGACTTACTAAGATATATTTCTCCTCGAATTGAGGACGGTCTTCAACATCCAACAGGGCTTGATCACTGTGGCATACTGCGAAGCGTCGGTTGACTGGAGAACGTGTGAATCGTGATCAGGTAACATACCACCCGCGGCCAACAGCTTGACCAAAAACCCGGTAGATGGTGTTTTGGGTACAGGGACTATTTCCCATACCTTCGACCTTGGGTGGTGAGCTGTAACGTACGAAGTATATCTGGTTGATATTTGGCGACTTACCGGTTTTGAATTACCCTTGTGCTTTCTCCAAGCGTGCATAGTTTGCGGAATAGGAGTTTTCATCTTCATTGCTTTCGAGTGAGATTGTTAGATGTAAAGCAGTCAAAATAGCTTGGATGGGTTCCTACAAAGGCACAACAGCTAGACTCTCAGGTTTGCCTAGGTCTTTATACCTTTTTCGTTAATTTCTACGTTGGGATAACCGAGATTTGGCTGTTTCCATCCCGAGAATTGGACCGACATAGCGCCTAGTAAACAGAGTTTCTTGCTTTCGTAAAACAGGTTGAATAAAGTTATCGTAGAAAACAGCAAGGCAAAAGGGCAAACACGTCTGCCATTTAAATATATCTACAAATGTTATACCGCCTCCAGATACAGAAATTCAACAACAATCAACAACCCCATTACCAGGCCAAGCTACCTCCAGCACCGTTCTGCTTGCAGTAGTAATTCAATTCATCTCCGCCAATGTGCTGCCCCTCGGACTGGCAGTAGTAAAGGAGATCCTGGTCACTCAACAAGGTGCAGTCAGGGCACTGATCCCACTGCTTGTCGCCAGTGTTTCGCTTCTTGTATGCAGCACATGCCTTGTCCGTCGCGTCTTTGTTGTACACTGACTACAGAATATCAGCAGCCGGTCATTATTCCAACATCTAGGAGGAACTCACAACGCCCTTTCCAGGGGAGTCATAACAAATGCCTGTGTAGTGGAGGTCGGCGAAAGCGCTGTGGATATTAGCATCAGCCCAAAGGTCATGGCAAGGTATCATACCCGATGGCAAGGGTTGAGGCAAGCAGCGAGATGGAGAGCTTCATTGTGATGAATTGTTCGAATTGCGTTGTTGGCTTAATCTGAACTCGACGGGATATGGCTGGTCTATATTCAACTTCCGTGACTGCCTAGGTAGCTACCTTTAAGACAAACAACAAGTCGCTGCTTCTCGGCGGTATATCTTCCGATCCCCTAGTTTGAAGCTACATCCTGCCATGACGCGAAAGGCCGAAGATTCTCCAGAAAGACATGCAAATCAACCCCAAAAGACAATGTCTACGAGCGTACCTGACTTCAGCTGGACATGGTGATGTTTCACTTTGGGAACTTGGAGACATTGATAAGACGGATCGCATCCTTTGCCACCGCTTTGCGCCTGAATGTCTCACTTGCAACTTAATTGTGGTCTCGTCATGCTATGGGGCTCTATGAATTCGGAAGCGATCATCGCGGCTAAGAAATTGAAGTTCCGAATGCAGGCCTGCAGATCCTTATTCTTTTTTCCGCAGGTGCACAACGCCTAAAGAAGAACACCTTGGAGGCAGCTTTAATTTATTTTAATCTAATAAGATTGATAGTCATGGCTATGTTGACTGGGCAGACTCCACTTGGAAAGGTTTCTTCCCTAACCATCCGATGCCGCCGTTGCACCTTTCTCTATGTATTGGTCCACTGAAAACGATTGACAGGCACATGTGCACTAAGCATAACGTTTCTGCAGACATCGGGGTCTTCTCATCCGCCGTTGTCCGGTTATCGACTCCGTTCAGCTGGTGTGATGATCTGCATGCAAATGCCTCATGGATCATCTTTGTCCGGGGTTACTTCGGGAGTTTCATCATCGAAGGATTCCATCGTTCTATCATGACAGGCACAGGATTTACGTTGGCAGTAGCGGATCGCAGCGGTGAGCTATCGTGCGGTGTCGGGATGATTGCCTAGGTAGAAGTCAAAATGGTTATCTTGTTCTATATAGACCCTCCTTCCTATAACTATCTCCCCTGTCCTTCTGCAGAAGTCGACACCATTCCTCTGCTCCTTGTACATATCCAACCACCAACATCATGAAGGCCCCATTCGTTCTCTTTGCCTCGCTCTGCGCGGTTGCCTCCGCCCTACCTCAGGATCACTCGGAGACCCTGCAGGACTCCGGACTCGACAAGGCCACCATCCTCCTCAACGATGGCAGCACCGTGACCGTCGACAAGAGAGACCTCTCCTCGCACCTGGGCAGCGTCGCACTCTCTCCTCCAAGCAACGACCTCCCCAAACGTCTTGCCAGCAGCCCCGTCACCCACCTGACCAAGCGCGGCTCCGACGCCCAACTCATCATCCCCCTTCCGGACCAAGAATTCCTCGGCTGGGACATCGCCATGTCCACCGTCACTCACGCCAACGAAGCGGACGCAACCGTCGCCATGGCCTCGGGCCAAATGATCGCCAACAGCATCACAGTGGGCAACTCGTTTGGTGCTAGCGTGGAAGACTTCCTCACCATTACCACGAGCATCGACTACGGCCACACGGAGACCAGCACGCTGACCGGCACCGTGACCATGACGATTCCGAAAAACAAATGGGGTGCCATCGTCAGCAACCCCTTGACGCAGCGCAAGCGTGGATACGTCTTCAGCGGACAGCCCGGCAGTGGAAAGTTCGAGTACTACCAGGCGGATTCATACAACTCGGAGACTTACACATATGGCGAGAACTCGTTGTCGTGGGTCAAGGGTGTCATGACTACCTGTCTTGGGGATGGATATCCGCTAAAGCGCTGCAATGGTGAGGGAGAGTTGAAATAAATGCCCGTCAATTGGTCTCGAGGTAGATGTGATTGTATGGTAGGGAGTGCTGGGTTGTTATGTGTATGGGGGTTGGCTTTATTGGCATCTCCAGTGTGCGTGCTTTGTTCGAGTTGTATATCTTCCCAGTTTGGTGCCGACCAAGGCATACCAAAGCCTGTATATGTCAATTTATCATTTAAATCTCTTCTGGTCATCCAAAATCCAGTAGCTGACCAATGTATTCCATAGACTATCCGTATGTCCGACCCTGCCACTCCCTCAACCTGCGAAGACATTCATCAAATCAAGCAGTTCTTTCCAGCGATGATCGTCCTGGACCTCTACCTTCCCTTCGGGCGTAATGACTTTGTATTCATCTTCCTTCTTTGTCCCGTAATCGTAACCCTTCTCGTTACCAACGAACGCCGACAAGTCGCGGATCCAGTCGGTCATCAGCTGTCGCTCCGCTTCTGTAGGGCCCTGCATGATTGAATAACTGCAGATGCGTTAGAGTCTCTCATATACCATATAGCCTCAAGTCAATGACTTACTTCCAGAACGGCCGATCCATAGCGTGGCTAACGCCAAACGATTCTGGCGCCACCTGCGGCGTGATGAATGACAGACGATACGCGATCAAATACCGCCACACATCTCTAATATCCACACCGTTGGATAGCAGGTTGTCGACTAGGAAGCGCGAAGGAGCTCGGACCTGACCGTCCGACACGATGCGCCCAAATACGGCTTCCCAATCATTTTTCTCAGTCGATGTCGGCAGAGAGTAATGCTGCAGCAGACGCGACGTTGTAGACGGAGAGTAATAATTTGAGACCTGTAACTCGAGAGACTCGCGACTCGCCTCTGGCCCATTTGTTACGGCGTAGAGTGTTTCTTCGTTTAACACCTCTCCGATAAAGATACGCAGTCCTCGACGTTTGAACTCGCGAGCAAACGACCCGTCGCGGTAGTAATTGAAGATATTCGGGTGGATGAAGACTCCGTCAGTGACCGGACGGAAAGTGTGATGTTTCAATTTCATGATAGCATCGCACAGGTCCTGGGCACTGACCTGACGCAGTGCAGTCAGCTTGTCCGGCCCTGGGAGCGAGGACGCAATGCCGAAATGCTCGCACAGCTCGTCAAACTGCGATTGGCAGTCCTCTGGTGTCTTTGGTTGCGTCGGAATTGCATTCGAGTACATGACCAGCCGGCGAAACTTGTCCCTTGACGCCTCGGGGAGATTTCCTCGGAAATCGTACAGAGTCTGCGCCTGAACGGCGTAAGCACCAGCACTTCGTCCGGAGAGCGTAATATTCCCTGGATCGCCACCAAACGCGGCGACGTTCTCGTAGACCCATTCCATGGCCAGTCGCTGATCCCACAGACCGTAGTTACCCACTTCTCCTGCATGGCTCTCGTCTCGCAAGGCATCCCCCGCCAAGAAACCAAACACGTTGAGACGATATCCGACGGCAATGAACACGGCATTCAGATTGCCAGTCGAGATCAACTCCGTCGGATTCATGGCCTCTTCCTGACTGGGATCGCCGATTTGGAACCAACCTCCATGAAACCAAACCATCACCGGCCATTTGGGGTCGGTTTCTCCTTCTTTACGAACGGGCGTCCAAATGTTGAGTCGCAGACAGTCCTCCCCGAAGACATGCTGAGGGGTCTTCTTCTTCACCGACGCGGAATAGTTTGGCTGGGGGCATACCTGGCCAAATGCAGTCGCATCGAACGGTTTCCCCTCGGTCGAGTACGAAAACGACTCGGGCAGGGCCTCTGGTTTGCGCCATCTTCGCTCACCAGTAGGAGGCAGAGCATATGGGACGTTGGCAAAGCGACGGGCTTTCTGGCCGTACTGTTGACCCTTGATACTTCCTTTTGAGCCGGGGAGTTGTACCTCGCACTCGGAGGATTGGTAGGAGATGTTGTTGCCCATGTTATACCGGATTTCCAAGTAACTGCTTCGAAGGATGAAGTGAATTTAAGGCCTCGCGCACCGTTAAGCTGGCAGAAGACGCAATCCACCCTCGCTGTCACGACAAAAACCCATGATAACCCACTTTCTCACATGCACTATTTAATTCCCCTCCTTCGCCTGTCAAATTCTCCGGTTTTCCTCCTTTTTTTGCGTCTCCAACTGCCAACGCGTTGCTGATTGGTTCATTTAATCGACGAACACACTGAGTCAGAGATGAGTCAGCATTGGCGATAAGCGGCCTCAGGCTCCTTTCCTCCTCTTATCTCCTCTCTTTCTGGACTCTGTAACGTCTTTGCAGTCATCTCCCTGGCGATAATCGATTGATGTTCCTTGAGGCAATAGATAGTAAAACCTCGACTCCAGCTGATCCGTCTCCCCTACGATACGGGAGGATGAAGAACCCGCACAGGTTGCATCCATGGGTCCCAACGATGGTGCTGCAGGCGGACCGCGTCGTGCACGAGTGGAGCGAGGCAAGCGCTCCAAGAACGGTGAGTTCTATTACTATTTATCTTGCTTCAACGCTAAGAGAGGACTAGGCTGCGCAACATGTCTCGCCAAGAAGGTCAAATGCGATGAGCAGCATCCCTACTGCGGTCGTTGCGTGCGTTTGCACTTGACTTGCGAATGGACCCGACCCAAACCTTCGCTGGCTGAGAGGCGTCGAGGTTTGGGTCCTATCAAGCGCCGTGATAGGCATGTTTGGTCCCCTTGCTCTATTGTGCCAAAGGTGCAGTTGAACCATTCGCCAAGTTCGGATGAGTTGCCTTCATCTGCGCGCAACATCCATCCTGCAGTCACCGATGCCGGTGATCAAGCATTCGACAGCAGAGCTGCACAAATTGCTTCTCGCTCACTTGCAGACTCGGAGGAGATGATTGAGCAAGGCCAACTCGCTGCAGTGTCTGTGCCCAATCAAGACGAGCGTGATACGGTACTTTCAGCAGGCTATGGAACCCCGGTCTCCCTATCCAACAGCGTCCACGACGGTCTGCAAGAGACTATTTCCCTGCTGCAACTGCCTATGTCGCCGCATATATCTATGCCGTCTAGTACATCTTTCATTCATCTCGCCGACATGGCCCCTGCTCTCGGCAGTAATGACAAACAGGCTCTTATCTTTCATCGCGCGGTCTTTGCCCCTTTGAAGTCCACTCGACATTGGACCTGTTCGGCACAGGCCTTGTTCGTGGACCGCGCATTTGATAAACGCATGGCTTTCCATTTCTTGCTCGCTCTATCCTATAGCGAGCTCGCTATTTACTACGGACACGGTTCCCGACCGCCGCAGGAGTCCAAGAGGCACTTCGAACAGGGCTCTCAGTTGTTTTTGCAGACACAAAATCCATTCGCTTCCCCGGACCACATCGGCACAATGCTGTCCTTCCTCTATCTTTATATGTTCTGGATGCGACGTGATCGGCTGGATCCGATGAAACTAGAGGACCTGAGCGAATCGGTTAAGCTTTACGTGAGAGCGCACGAGCTGGACGAGCTTTGCGCCAGCGAGGATCTTGCTTCGCTCACGGGGACCAATTGCACGAGCCTAGCCTCTCCACCTGACCAGGCTCTGTTGGCCAGAATTCTCGTCTATCTTTACGATCGCGATGGATTTTGCAGCTTCTTCGGCTGCGGTGGCTCCTTCGCGCGGCAGATGAACGAAGATGCGGAAAAGCGACGAAAGATTTGGATTCGGTCGCGCACTGCGTTCCTCCTTCCGCAAGCGCCTTACAATGTATTTGACACGGAAGACGCTGCGACCCTGGACGCTTACTTTGACTTGATCGTTTTGCATCAAGAAATCAACGAATACAGCCAGTACTCGGAGCAACAAGCAGCCGAAATCGAACCCCGACTGCGACGTCGAATGGAAGCGGTTCAAAAGGTGAGTAGACCCATCTAACTCACGATTGCACTCTCACAGACGGTTTAGGACCATCTCTTTCTTCCATTTGCTGGACCGGAAAGCAACGCTCGACTCTCGCTTATGTCGTATGTTACGATAACCTTCTTCCATGCCCTCCAGGTGTATTTCTACCGAAGTCGTGCATCTGGCTTCGGGCAGCGACCGGTCTCAAGCGAGCTGCAGACGGCTCTAAACACGCTAGTCTCGACTGCATATCACACTATCAATGCTGGATCGGTCCAGCTGCTGGAACGATTCCAGTGGTCGCTGTTCATTGGGGCCCTGGAGACCCATGACCCCGTTCATCGGCAGTGGCTCGTGGACCACATTTCTGATCCGGGCCTCAGAGAAGGGATCCAGTTGATCCAGACGATCAAGCAAGCATCTGCCAATTGCATCACGATGGCGAAACTCAGATGGCTGATCGGCGGAACTAACTCGGGCGGGCTAGTTGGTGCGCTTCGGTAAACAGAAATTGATTCCTTTCATTCTCGCTCACCACTTGTTCTGCAGTGTTGTCGAGCTGGTCATAGGTTTCTCCGCGATGCACGGATACTACAAAATATTCGAAGGCCGATTATCTGCACCAATAACCAACCGAGGAAGGCATATTAGCATGTTATCTCCAATCCCATCGACTAAGTGGACCGTCGAACCGAGATCGGCCTCGTCGCGTCGATTAATCGGACCAATAACATCAGTTTTTGTCCGTTGCAAAGATCCCCCGAGCTGAATCGTCCGGGTTTATTGACTATCTGGACGACCAAAAAACATGGATGCAAGAGCCGACCCCGATTTCTCCACTTGTTATCTGCTGCAGCTGCATCCCCGCGTCCTCCCTTTCCCTAGCGCTGACACCCTGTATTTACAAATTTCATATATCAGTCCGGTGCCCACTCGTCCCATGGTTTGTCTTTCGTGCTGTCCCTGAGTTTGCGATCGTCAGCCCGATTGTGGATCGGTCCAAGGAGGTTTTTTCTTCTCCTTCCTCACCATGTCGGCGCCTCAACCTACTGCCGATATTGAGGCCAAAGAGACCGCACAGAGCGAAACCATGCCTGTCGAGAAGGAACCGGGGACTACGGATATCTTGGGCCCCGAGGAAGAGAAGAAGCTCGTTAGAAAGATTGATTTCCAGTATGTTGCGTCCGTTCGATATTTAGAGATTCAGCTAACCCGACCAGCTTAATGCCTTTGCTCATTGTCAGCTACGGCCTGCAATACCTCGACAGTAAGCTTTCTCAGGATGATAGCTGGTTCATGACTCATCGATTTTATAGAAACCAGTCTGGCCTACAGCGCGATTTTGGGCATTCGCGAGGATCTGGTATGACCCTCTCCAGTCGGCACGGACGATGGCTAACTCGAATAGAATCTCGTCGGACAGCAATTCAACTGGGCGTCAAGTATCTTCTATATTGGATATCTGGTCGCCTCGTGGCCGATCTCGCTCGGCTTTGTTCGGTTTCCACTAGGCAGATACCTCAGTCTCTTGATGTAGGCGCATTCATGGCTGTTGCTATACAGAGCTAATATCATCCTTAGCTTGCTATGGGGCATCATCCTCACCCTCCATGCTGTCGCCGGGAACTACGCCGGCTTGATGGTCCTAAGAACTTTCTTGGGTATCTTTGAAAGTGCCATCAGCCCTGGTTTCTCGCTCATCACTGGAATGTGGTACACGCCCAAGGAGCACATGTCTCGCCACTCGTTCTGGTTCGCAGGCAATGCCACCGCCAGCATTATCGGGTCAATGATCGCATACGGCATCTTGCACTACGGAGGAGGGTTTTCTCAATGGAAGGTGGGAGCCATTTCCACAATCTCTCCACTGGGACTCATCTAACCTGATCCTGTCCAGATGCTCTTTCTAATCTTCGGTCTGATCACCATCGTCTGGGCCGTCGTGTTATGGTTCTACCTCCCTGATGCGCCGTCCAACGCCCACTTCCTCACCCCGACAGAGCGAGAATTCGCCTCGCTGCGACCGAAGAAATTCCAGCGCACCACGCAGACCAAGCAATGGGACAAGACGCAGTTTATCGAGACCTTCACAGATCCCAAGACATGGTGGTTTCTGCTATTCTCGTTTGTCATCTGCGTGCCTAACGGTGGTATCACCAGCGTATGCCCTCTCTCTCCGTCTGTCCTCCTTTTCTCTCTCCTACTAAACAATATAAACAGTTCAACTCCATCATAATCAACAGCTTTGGCTACGACAAATTCCAAACCATCCTCATGGGCCTCCCCGCCGCCGCATTCCAACTAACGACCGTAATCCTCGCCGCGGTCTTCACGACACTATTCCGCAAATCGCGCCTCTGGGCCGTCATCGCCACCTTCCTCCTCGCCATGGCCGGAGTCCTAATGATCAAGCTCCTCCCGACAGAGAAGAAGCTCTCTCGACTGGCAGGCTACTGGCTTGTGACGGCCGTGTCGCCGGCATTTCCGCTCATGATGTCCCTGTTTGCGAGTAACACGGCCGGATTCACGAAGAAGTCGACCGTCGTGGCGCTGATCTTTGTGGGATACTGCGTGGGGAATTTCGTTGGTCCGCAATTCTTTGATAACAAGGAGGCGCCGGGCTACGAGGTATGTAACTGGACATCTCGCTTCTAACCCAACCCAAACCAACACCTCACTTCCTCATGACTATTTCCCCTCGAGCGCCTTCCCATGCTCCAACCACCCTTCCAAACACAAAACCGCAACCCCATCTACAAAACCCAATCCTACCGAAGAAACTAATATGAAAACAGACTGCATACACCACAATCCTAACCTGTTTCGCCATAACAATCGTCATGGCGGTCCTTCTCCGTATCTACCTCTCATGGACGAATTCGCGTCGAGACCGCGAACAAGGCATACACATTGACCCGGAAGACAGTCGAGAGATCGATTTACACGCCGACGAGGAGCTCGAGGGCGTGGATGAGACGGATATGCAGAATGGGGGGTTTAGGTATATTCTTTAGTTTGATCACTATGGTCTGTTGGTCCCTTGGGGGGGGGAAGGAGCTTGTGCTATATTGTGGTGGTAATTTATGAATGTGGGTCACTATGGTTTATCTAGTAATGAGATGCAGTCATGAAAGAGGAGTACTTGGTTAGTATTAATGATATGATTATTTGATGGAACGCAAGTCCTTTCTTGGGATTAGAAATGCATTTGAGTAGAGCGTTAATATCCGAGACTTATAATCGTGACTCAGGATCGCGGAGAATGCGTCGCAGGTGAAAGCCATCAAGAAGAATATAAAAAGACAGATAAAAAGGTATAAAGAAATTAAAAGTAGAAAAGAGAGAAAGAGAAGAAGAGTCAGCCAAAGGGAAGGAGCGCATCTGTATCTTACCTGAGGAAAAACAAGTGGGGAAGCCACGACCGAGAGCTGCGAATAGCGTCAATTTTGCCGAAAGAGGAAAGAGCAACACTAAGAATGCTTTGAGTCGAAAGTTTGGGGCTATGCTCATAAGCCCCGTTACGTAGGTGATCTACAAAGTGTGACTACTGCTGAATTGCGACGACGACAAACGCTGAAATGAATGCAAGTTATCAACCGACCAGGTTTCACATAGCCGGGACATTATTATCGGTATCTAATCTATCCACAAGTCCCAGTATAAAGACGGACTTGCCTAGGATTTGTATATACACCAACCACGAGGGCTGAATACCATCGAATGCATGCAAGTATACGGGTATCAATTCATGCACGATCTCAAACAAAAGCCGAGAAGCAAGAGTTCTTAGCATCCTCCTCCTTCCAGCCAATACATTTCCAGCAGTTGAGCAGACCCTTGGGATCGTACTTGGACTTGATCTCGGCGAGCTTGTCGTAGTTGTCTCCCCACCAGGCCTCCTGCCAGTCCTCGGTGAAGGGGTTGGCCTCGTTGCTGTAGGCGCCGCTGCCCGGGGTGATGCGCTCTAGAGTAGCTGTCATGTTCTGGATGCTGGAGATCTTCTGCTCGCGGGTCTCGAGCGTGCTGTTCCAGGCCCAGGCGGCGCCGGAACCCAGCTCCCAGACGGCGGAGCGCCAGGCGGGAGTAGCGCTGGTGGAGCCCTCGGTGTAGTTGTACAGGACGGGGCCGACCACAGGGATGTAGGGGGACTGGCCGACGTCGAGAATGAGAGAGAAGAAGTCCATCAGGTTCTGGCGACCCTCGGCGGTCTCGAAGACGTTCTGGGGGATCAGACGGCTGCCGGCGAAATGGGTGACGCCGACGCTGACGGAGCTGGAGGTCACGTACTTGTCGTAGAAGTCGTACCATGTCGAGAACTCCTCGATGGTGGCGGAACCGCCCTGGGCCTTCGCGTAGGAGATCACCTCGGCGAGGGATTCCTTGGCTTCGTCGATGGAGAGCAGGGGAGAGACGTTAACGAGGGTGTTTCCGGTGATGTGGCCACCCCACCCCTCCTTGGCCCACTTGAGGGTGTTGTTGACAACGATGTCCATGAAGGGCAGGACATTGCTGTCCGTCTTGGGAAACTTGATGTTGGCAGACACGAAGCTGATCGCGGGCTCGACCTCGTGGGTGGTCTCCATCACCACGCCGAAGGTACCTCCACCGCCACCACGCAGAGCCCAGAAGAGATCTGTGTTCTGGCACTCGTTGGCGACGCGGTACTCTCCGTCGGGAGTCACCACCTTGAACTGCAGCACACGATCAACGCCGAGACCATACACGGGGGACAGGATCGAGTGACCGCCGTTCTGCACCCAGCCCCCGGACAGACCGACGGTGGAGGAGTAACCACCCAGAATGGTCACCTTGTGCTCATTGGCGAATTTGTAGGCCTCGTCGAAGTTGACACCAGCACCGCCGGTGATCGCCTTGTAGCTGGTTGAGCATCCCTCGGGCTTGAACGCCTCGTCATAAGACAGGTCGCGGAGGTTGCGAGTCCACAGCGCCAGAGTGTCCTTGCCGCTGCTGCGGGTCAGGTAGTCGTGGCCGGTGTTCTTGATCACCAGGCGCTGACCGGAGCAGCTCGAGTACTTGAAGGCCTCGATGGCGTCGTTCTCATCCTTGACCTCCAGGTAGTAGGAAGGCATGTTGCCCTGGCGGCAGTTGGCATTATCAAAGGCCAGGCCATCGGTGGGGTCGCTGCTATCGAGCAAGCACTGATCTTCGGGATCCGACGAGCACATCTCCACCTGGTTGTTCATGTAACCATTCACACTGTTAGTGCGCATCCAGGGGCTAGTGTAGTTAGCCTGGACGGCAGCACAGGCCGCATCATCCGGAGTCACAGCGTTGCCGTTGTACTCAGAAAAGCATGGCAGGGAGAAAGGCGTCAGGGGCTGCACGCGGCCCTGGACGGTGGCATTGAAGCTATCCAGGGTGCACTGCGACCGGGGAGCCTGGCAGACTCCATCAGCCACGGTCGAGCCCAAAAACTGGACCGCCAGCAGGGCCAGCGAGGACTTGAATCCCGAGACTGTGGAAGACGCCATCTTGCCACGCGAGGATGAGACAATTCTGGGGAGAAATGAGGAAAGAGCGAAGATCTCTTCCACAATTCGAGAAGTGCGGCGGGTTCCAATTAAAAACAGTCGGAACGACGCCAGGAACGAGGCTAGGGAGGAGGAATTTTCCGGAATCCGGCACTCGAACACATAGTATGATCTTTAGTTGTGGACTGCGAACGTGGCCGACCCTGAATCAGGTGAATCTAGGGTGTCAATAGCGTACGGGTGCCACGGAGAACGGACATGGAACGCTCGCTGAAATCGTGATGACTGTCCAGTGCTAACTGCTAACTGCTAACGCTGTAGGAAGTACTCCGTGGGAGCGTTTATCGACATTCGATGGTGCCTGGGGGTTTGGGGAGACGCGGCGTCGTTAGAGTTGTGACGAAGGAAGGAAGGCTCCACCAGCAACTCCCCAGGTGGCCCCAAGTGGCCCCATGAGACCCAGAGTGGCCACTCAGCTGGTCCTGATCGGCACAGCTGCATTCCCAAAAGAACAAGTCGGACCGACCTCGGGTTAAGCTTTCCTCTAGGGCTTCGGTCGATTTCCGAGTGTCGTAGAAACATCTTGACTTTTTGTATCGCACGGTGTGGATGGGTGGATGTTGGGCGCCGCGCAGGGACCGTATATCGCCATTCACCCGGCAGATCGACAAACGCTCACCGACGAAGTTCATTTTGACCGTCAAGAGTGGCTGGTATGACAGTTGAACGTGCCAAAGAGTCGTCCAACGCGCATTACTTCGACATATCAACCACCCTTGATAAACAGTTGCAGTGCCCTGCACGTATCGGATGGGTGGAGATCAATATGTTTAGCACTCCACTGGTCTCCATCTTATATTATGCATCGGAGCACACCACGTTGTTCGGTGGAACAGGGCAAATCAGACCATCTGAGCAATCTAAAGTGGACGCTCCGTCCCAACACCATCCGAGACCATTATTGTCTTGCGTAGACCGAGCAAGAGATTTCTGATCAGAACTAATCCGCATCAGTGTCTCAAGCCGATAAGTTCAGAAGCTAGAATAGTCTCGTCCGGGACTATGGAGAATTGGAGATTCTTCGGGATTCCTCAAGCAGGAGCCGAGATCGCAGACAATCGTTGCCCCTTGCATAAGAATGAATGCCGTACGAACTCCTTCCTTCGGTCGAAGATCTTCCTGCGTCCACCCCGGAGTCGACCAGGACAGAACTTGGATCGGGGCGTTTCAGGGAACCTCCAAACCAGGGACCAACAAGTTGTTGTAGTGATTGTACATACGGACTGGTATGTTCTATTGGCAACCATTTCGTCCTAGCTCTGTATGGTAATGATCGCGGAGAATTTGCCATCTTGAATCAACTCTTGGCGTCCACAAAGTTTGGCATGACATCAAATCACCCAAAACCTCGCGCCGGATGGGGGCTTTGCCAAAGTTAATCGTAGAGTGTCCTGTGGTTATGCTTGAGCAGTAGCTCCGGACCTAGCCAATTAATCTGCTTAGATTGCTGGCCCCCTTCTGCTTTCAGAGCACACGGCACTGTGTGCACCAGATCGAAAAATAATGTACCTAAAAAAAAAAAAGTTGTCTCAAATATAACCCGGCGGTCGCCCTGACTTGCCGCTCGATGGAATTCCGATCCGCATTGTCGATCGTCAGTGCGCTGTCGTGGACAACCACCTGAGTCGTGTCCCTGGCAGTGCAGGATGACCTACGAAGAGAACAAATATTGGAAGAATGTGCTCACGGTCGTGCCCATTGTGGGTGCGGCTCTAGCCACCATTTCATATGCCCTGCGGCTGTTTTCGCGAAAATTCACCGCGGCCGGGTTCAAGTTGGAGGATCTTTTGATGGGCATTGGCTTGCTGATCTCCTACTGTGCCACTGCCTTTGTTGTCTACAGTGAGTGTCCCTTCAAGCGCGACGCTGCGCCCAGTGACTAACATCTTTGCCTGTGTCAAGCGGCCTTCAATGGAGTCGGTATCCCGGTCAAGACGCTTCCTCCGGACGAGCGACATCGAATCCAGTTTGTACGAACACCGTCTGGCCAGAATGCAACATCTGAAATGCTAACCGGGTTGTTTCGCAGGGATCGTGGATGATCCAGAAATTCTGGGCGCCGTCAATGGCCTTTATCAAAATCTCGATCGTGGTGTTCCTGAAGCGTCTTTTGGGCACCCTCCGAACGTATTCGATCCTTTCCAACTGCTTGATCGTGTTCATCGCAGTCTGGGCCGTCGTGGCTCTGCTGGTGAACATCTTCCAGTGCACTCCGCCTCAATACTACTATGACAAGACACTGAACGGGCACTGTATGGGAGGACAGCGCGCCTTCTTCCAGTCTATGGGATCCATCTCCTTGATTGAGGATGTCATAATCCTCTGTCTGCCCATCCCGGTGGTGTGGAAGTTACAGATCACTTTCCGACAAAAAATGGCCATTACACTGGTGTTTTCGCTTGGTGGATTGTAAGCTCTCGCCTTCTAGTTCAATAGGGCGGATTTGCTGATGGTAAACAGGGTCTGCATATTCAGTCTATTGCGTCTCATCGAATTTCGCAATTTCGTGGTCACCGATCTAGCCTGTGAGTTGCCCCGGGTCCTCAGTCTATCGCGCGTTATCTAATCCCTTCGAAGCCTCGAGCGCCAAAGAGTCTGTCTGGACCTGTCTCGAAATCGACGTCGCCATCATCTGCGGATGTCTACCTCTCATGAAACCCCTGGTGCAGGGATTTCTGGGAAAGGTCAAGAGTGGGGTGTCCAAGGGCCGATCGCATCCGTCGTCAGGCACGAAGCTATACGGATTCCACTCCACCGTCAACACGCACAACGACGGGTTCCAGAAAATTCACGATCCGCACGGCCTATCGCAGGCATCCAAATCTCCCCATGTGCAGGGCGGGTCGAGTCGGAGGAGTTCGGACTTGGAGATGCAAGCCATCGCGGTGCATACGACCATCCAACAGGACACGGATAGTCGGTCGGACCTAAACAATGCGGACGCGGTATCCGGTCATGTTTGGCCGCGGTAAATAATCAAAAGTTCTATAGATTTAGTAATAATGATTCAGAGGGTTGGGAAATTAGACCGTCCAGAGCGTGGTCTCAAACACTGTCGGCAGGTCATTCCCCTTCATTTCCTTGACAGCCTCGTTATGTCGTCCCAGGGCGACGGTTAGGCAATTTCCCAGACGGCTGGTCAGGTAGTCCATCCTTCGTAGTCGATGGCCGGACCATCTTGGCGCGCAGTCCGAGTGTCGCAGAGAGACGAGGCTTGATGGTGGATGACGGATTATTTCAAGGCGAAGGAAGGATCGAAAGGATCGACGCGTCGTGGAGTTCGCTCAATCGGGCAACTGCCTCCAGATCACGTGAGACCCACCGGGCGGGATATGCTCTTATGTAATTCGATCACAATCCGATTTATGTATCCACTTATGCTTCCCGTCAACCTTTACTTACGGTGTATGATGGCAACCAGGATAAGGGCAAAGGACAAGCAAATGCTGACATCAATGATCAATCCCAAACTTTCTCTCTTCAATTTGACTTCCGCCAGCTCCGGAACGCCTTCCCCGCGTCATTTGCTCCACCGGCGCCGAACCTTCGCGGACCGCTATCGCCGCCTTCCCCCGTTCCCGCTGGAACGAACTCAGTTGGTATTAAGTATTGAGTGGCACTGATTATAGGATTACGCGTTTAAGAGACTAGATAAAATTGGCACCCATATTGTAACTCGACCGAATATCAGATGTGACATTGTGGTGTGGCTCTACTCTGTGGTACTAGACTATGCTTGAGGATCAGCTATATATAATAGACCCAAGGAGAGAACATCGTGTGTACGAGGAACAATGGCTTGAAGCAAAACAAGTACAATTCTACCTCATATCTAAAGTCATAAAACCCACCAATATCTTGTATTGTAATCGAGATAGGAAAGAAAAAAAAAATAAAATAAAATAAAATAAAATAAACAAGTGAAAAGTGTATAGTATCCCGGAAAGAATTGACTGATTGAACGAACCCGTACCGATAGACCATATGTCAATGGGCCCGTCCTAAATTAACGAAATGAACTTGCGCCACTCTCCGGAGCAGACCGTTCAGAAAGCCGAACCATTCACGGCCGATTTAATATCCCGAACACCCTACATCTCAACAAGCAGCTGAATAGACATCACAAAGGCGAGCAACAATGTCACGAATGTCCATCTGCACAAAGCGCGGTGGAGATCATTCATATAGTCGGCGAACGAATCAGCAATGCTGGGCTCCGGAGGGAAGAAGACAATGCTACTCGGAAAGAGACATAGGCCCTGAGAGACAAAGTTGAAAAGATAGCAGGTCCAGATAAGACACACGGCGGAGGTCAACCAGAGGATGAGTCGGAGAAGACCCCAGAAGAGCTCTGTCTTGAGTGCTCTAAAGCTGAGCGTGCGACCGCGGACGAGAATCAGCTCGAAAACGGGTACGATGACAGAACGGACGAGGCATGTCCAGATGTAATTGTCTAGAATTGCTCGCAATATACATTGGGGCCGCGTATCCTCTGTGGCTCTAATAATGGCGGCGATTCTGATCCAAAGAACGAAGATGTAGAGGCCGCGGATGTACACAGTGTCCATGGCAGAGTCAGTTGGCAGCGAAGTATCTGTGTGACCGCACGGGTAAATGCACATTGTTTAAAGGGTCATCACCGATGGAATGACCGCGTTTATATATTCTTCCGTTTAGGGGAGAGATCCGGCACATTTGGTGCCTTTAAACTTGTCTTTATATTCGTGTTCGTATTGAACAAAGAAGGACACCTCCAGCTCAAACGCGACGCGATTGCACCTGCATGATAACCTTTAACCTCATCCAGCCAATCGCTGAGTTCGTCGAATTGCATAATTCAAACAGAAGACCTCCGTGACATAATTTGGTTCTACTCATCATCCAGCTCCCCAGCCGCGATCCAGAAAAACACCAATTGCACCACAGCTTGGACAATGAACCCGACGACAGGCGACCAGAAATAAAGACCCCCATTCCACGCCAAGGGGCCATATTGAAAGTAATGAGCAGCCCAAATCCCTATACAACTGATGGGGATTGACCAATGAACCCAAGCCAGCCAAGAGGGAAGGAGAGGTCTTTCTCGATGGTCCGACCGAATCAAGATTCCGATTAGAACATTATGAAGAATCAGCACTGCGATTAACAACGTAAAGTATAGCCAGGCGGTATCACTGATGAGTTGAATCAGTTGGGGGTCGCGGTCGTGACGGAATGTGAATGTGCCAAATAGAAAGCCTAAAGCCATGAATGCGAGCCCGACTGCGAATCCCGAGGTAGTTTGAGCCATGATGAGAATCTGGTTAACTTTTGGAATGCGTAAGAAGACCGCGGTCATGCCGAATGCGTAGAATGGATTGAAAAGCAAGGCTAGAAACGCAAAAGCGACGCCGGCTCGAAAGCCCCGATAGTGATCTTGGTAATGTAGAGCCACGGCATCGTGCCCTAGGCCTGGATGAACCGGAAGTAGATTGACTGACGCAGATTGAATGGCGAGGACAAAGAGAACCGATATGGGCCAGCATAGGAACCGAATTTGAGTGGCGGTTAGTTTGTATAACGGACACCAGTTGGTGTTGGCGCCAATTTCAGACTCTCGAAGAAGGGCTTGCTTTATATTGGGCATAGTGTGGAAAATGTAACGTCTCAACAAAACTAGCAGTTGTATCAGAAGCAGAATCAGCCAACACAAATACAAGCGGCCGTGTTTTTCAGATATGTTCCGTGGCCGAGATGATATTGAGATTGTGAAAGACCACCTTAGGTCCAAGGTTTTAAGAGCATCATGTTCGTTACACATGCATCAACCAATAGGATAGTTTCGCTGCACCTGAACTCACGTAGTTCCACAGACAGAATGCCTTCTCCTATGACGAGGCGTTTGCCTCTTTACTAGATGGCTGGGTTGGGATGGGTTTCCAAGGAATGCCCAATGTTTATATAGAATGGCAGGACATAACTGTGGCCTAAGAAAAAGCCCTGACAGTTGGATAGCTACTTCTTATCAACAAGTAGGAACTTCATCAGGAATACATCTCGGCGATTTTCCGCTGCTGCTGCCAGGACCGAACACACCCGACGGTCGTATGTCGGCTGGGTAAACACGCCAATATCGGCATGCGGGCAAGGTCTATTAGCAGTGTAGCACACCAGGAGATCCGGAAATCCTCAATAGTTGAGCACCGATAGAAAACTTCTAGCTCAGCTAGCTGGTTGCCCAAAGGGACAGACCGAGCGAAACCATCAGTATAGTTTGGGCTGTCTAGATATGGATTCTGGCCATTTATGGCTGATCACCGAACTGGTGCATGGATCAGCATTCACCGCAAGGATGCTCCGTTGGAGCTAGATGCCCAACATGCCATTTCCCTGGAGACAGGCGGGATATCCACCGGTGGAGCCGCGAGCCGTGTTATTCCCACGAGATGCTGGGCTACCATCGGATGCTCCACCTGGGAGGGTCTTGAGAATACTGCGATTCAAAACAAACATTCGAAGATTGAAAGTACTCAATGAAAATAGTGTTACCAGATTGTTGCGCTTGTGAAACGTCGCATCATAGTGCGACAGTCAAAGTAACCTGAGAATGAGACCAAGTGTGCAGGACTGCAGGATCAAAATAGGAGTGTCTGAGCCACAACGCCCTAAGTCTGGGCTAAAGATGAAAGGAGAAACCGACCAACTTTCCGGAGGACGGAGTAGGAGAATACCAAGCCCGTCCTTTCTTCGGCCGGACGATAATTTGCACTAGAAAAAGTCCGCTGCATAAGCTGTGCGAATCTAGATTCCTAACCCTAGCGCATGCAACCCTGCAAGCGTGCGATCGTCACGGCAGAGATGTCACATTGAAGCCGGCAGGATCCGGGAGATGAGAATGATATGCCATGTCAGTGGATTTGATATAATGGCCCGTGTAGGTGAATCTGCTGCTCCTTTGCGGGACGAGCTCGTGTGTAGCTATGTTCGGACTGTTCACTACCCACATCTGGCTCACAGTCACAGGCCAGTCAGCTCGCAGGTGCTGCATGTGCGCTTGAGGGGTTGGGAGCAACTGTGGGTCTAAGTTTATGTCCTTAATGGCGAAAGCTGAGTGGTGAATCCCTGAGATAGGGGGTTCGTCCAGATCCCCACTCCGTACGGCCTGCTCCGTGTCTCAGAAACCTAACCACCCCCTGTTGCCTTCTGAGTCTGAGAATGACAACGGGATATTGAGAAACAATGCTGATATAGACAAGGAAGCCCTTAAAGTCCAGGGGTCCACGTAATGGCGGTGTTTAGGTAGTGACAGCAGGGGCGACAGACGGGAGGCGGCAATAGTTCCCTCCACTTGGCATGAGAATTCGAATGTCTGTTCCAAACAAATAAAGGGGTCCGGTCCAGTAGACAATGGCGATGTGTAGACTGGACGCCGGAATAGGCAGACCGTCGCAATTAGTTCCCGACTAGATCCAGAGTGAAGCGCCGAAGAGGCAACTGGGTGAAGCTTAATAGATGGACCAACATCAGCGGCGTGGATCGGCCAAACCCTAAAAAGTCTGGCTCCTTTTTTATTGCCGCACCAAGTCCGGTTATGCTTTCGCCACCAAAATTCCAAAGTACGGAGGGCCTCCTATCCAGCTTGGATCTCTGGAATGAGGTTTGTGCCCAAGAATGGGCCCTGCCGAGCTCAACGGCGTCGCGCCGTGACGTCCTGCTCATGCCGATCCCTAGTGCTTTGAACTGCGCCGCCCCCCATTTGCTTGAAAATACGAGATCTGGCAATGTTTGGCGGGACGTAGATCGACGGCCCCTGCAGGTCGATTAGTCGCCATTATATCGCATGGTTTGCCCTGGTGGTTTGATTTTTTTCTTCCTGTCACCTACTCCTCGCCGGAGATCTGCCAATAATGCCCTTGAGCCCTTCCCCACGATATCGCAAATGATCTCGATCGCTCTGTGAGCACTGAGCAGCTTCGTAATTTGTATTTCTATTCTCCTCCCCTTGTCACCTTACAATGGCAGGCGAAACAGGGCCTATAGCCCTCTCGCGGGGGATGTCGATGCTCATCGCCGCTTTCTTTGCCATCTCCTGCTACAACGTGCTGGAGATCACTATCACGATTTTCACGACATTCAAGCGACGACGAGGGCTCTACTTCTGGAGCATGCTGGCGGCCAACTGGGGAATCCTGCTACATGCCATCGTCGTCTTTCTCCGATTCTTCGGCCTAGCACCCAACCTGCCCATGTGCGTCCTGACCGTGCTGGGCTGGTACGCCATGGTTACGGGGCAATCCGTGGTGCTCTATTCTCGACTCTACCTCGTCACCGGCGACACACGACGATATCGCTGGATCCTGTACATGATCATCACGAACTTCTGCATCCTGCACATTCCCGTGAGCATCCTCTTCATCGGGAGCAACGCCGGCGACGACCGCTTCGTTAAACCATTCAACATCTACGAGAAGATCCAGCTGGCTGGATTCTGCGCCCAGGAGATCCTCATCAGCGCCATCTACATCTGGGAAGCCACGGCAGTCCTCCGCCCCGTGTTGGCCGTCAAGGGACGGAAGGGTCACTACGTCTGGCTACATCTCATCGTAGTCAACTGCTTCATCATCCTGCTGGACGCGTCGCTCCTCGCAACCGAATACACGAATAACTTCGACGTGCAAACCACCTACAAAACCGTCGTCTACAGTGTCAAACTGAAAATGGAATTCAGCATGCTGAACCGGTTGATCGGCGTCGTGCGGACCAACACCACCATCGACGACTGCGTCGTGGACTCGCAGCAACACCGGGACTCGGATTCCCGCAGAATGAACACCCCGGACGGCGGCGCCGCCTTGAACGATAACCTGCGTCTTCTCCCACGCGATGGACATTACGGAGACAATCACGGCGACTTGGTCGTGGAAGCGTCCTATCAACGGACAGCGCCGCTTCCACCACTGGAGGATGATACTCGAGTTGTAACATATCCTGTGGCGTTGCATCCAAAAGTTTAGAGCGTTCCTACGGGAAATTGGGTCGGATATTCTGTATTATGGTTCAGCGATTGTTTCGACATGTCGAACGTTATATACCCTTTTTAATTCACGATTTGCTGGTTTGGTTACTTGGCTTTCTGCTTTCGTGTTATGAGCGCTCATGTCTTTGTCGATACTTGCGAATAGATTTACTGCTTATGGAAGCTTACCACCCAGCATAGCCATGGTGTAACACAATGAAGTGAATGATGGTGTCTTTCACGAACCTGCTAACCAGAAGAGTATTCTATGTTTTGTCAAGAGGAATACTACGTTAAACCCCTGAATTTGTAGCAAGATATCTCCCTTGGGGCACATAGCACCGACAAAACTAGCAACTACGCGGCGAGGTCTTACGCCAAAAGAACACAGTAGATCATGGCCGTGATCTACAAATTGACAAGCCATTACGATCGATAGTGTTTCATGGCGTAGAGCCTAGCGTAGTACATACATCATCAGTACTCCACCATGTGTGAACAGCACATTCAGAGTCCATCTTCTCTCAACTCCTAGTCACGAATATGCATCTGTTATACCATAACGATAGAAAAGGGCAATGTAGGTGCTAAGTTATAATAACAACTCCTAGGCGATGGAGAAAGGAAGATGACGCAAGGCGTATGAAGGCATATACGCTGTGGCTAGATTGATTGGTGTCCGCAGAATATGAGCTACATGTCTCATGAGCATCATGATGTTCAAGCAAGATCCCGCAAAGCTAAAATTCAGCTATCTACCGGTATTGCAGTAGTATTCATCATGACTCTTATGTGTAAGCTAGAGCAACTCTTTACACAGGCTATCGTCACATAGACATGCACTGGCTAGGTTCCCTCAATAAGCAGCACTGTCCTAGTCATATCGGCTTCCACCCCGAGAGCCGTACGAGTCATTGTTCGAAGAGCCATACGAAGTGTTACCGGAGCCGTAGCGGTCGGAAGATCCGTACGAGTCGTTATCACGACGGTTGGAACCAGAGTTCGAGGAGCCGTACGTATCGTTTCTCAGGTTGTCAGAGGAACCATATGAGTCGCCGCCAGAGCCGTACGTGTTACCAGATGACGAGCCATAGTTATCACCGGAGCGGTTGCTGGATCCGTACCCTTCCTTCTTGGAGCCGTAGGAGTCAGAGGACCCGTAAGTGTTGCCCGACGACGATCCGTAGGTATCATTCTGAGAGCCGGATGAACCATACGATTTGTCATTGTCGTTGTCTCGGCGACTGGACCCGTACGAGTCATTGCCGGATCCATATGTATTGCTGGACGATCCGTAGTTATCATTCTTCGAGCTGGAGTTGTTGCCCGAAGAGCCGTAGGAGTCATTGCCAGATCCATAGGTGTTGCCCGATGATCCGTAGTTGTCGCCCCGAGAGTTTCCGGAGGAGCCGTAAGAGGTGTTATTGTCGTTGTCCCGACGGCTGGAGCCGTACGAGTTGTTGCCAGAGCCAGAGCCAGATCCATAGGTGTTGCTTGAAGATCCGTAACTGTCGCTCTTCGAGCTGCTATTATTGCCTGAGGACCCGTAGGGGGTTTCGTTGTCATCGCGGCGACTAGAGCCGTAGGAGTTGTTGTTGTCATTGTCGCGACGGCCGGATCCGTAGGAATCGTTGGACGATCCGTACGTGTTTCCGGACGACCCGGAAGAGTCATTGTCGCGACGAGAGGATCCGTAGTTGTCCGAGGAGCCGTAGCTGTCGTTTTTGGAGCCGTAGGAGCCGCCGGACGATCCGGAGGTGTTTCCACTGCCAGAGCCATAGGTGTTGTTATCACGACCGGAACCGTACGAGTCGTTGCCGGAGCGGTTCGAGGAGCCATAGGAGTCGGTGCCGCCGTAAGAGTCAGAACCTCCGGTCCGGTTGGACGACTGTAGTCCATTTATTAGAGATATGTAAGAAAGAATTTCCGAGAGACTTACTCCGTAGCTATCGTTGCTACCGTACTCGCCGTAACGGCCGGCTTCCTAGTGACAGTTAGAAGGCGGAACTATTCAGAAAGAACAAGGACGCATACAGTATCTCTGTTGTAAGACATGATTACAATGGCTGGAGTTCGTTGAACAGTTTTGACGAGCGGAAGATAAGAGAGGATGAAGAGAAGATTGAAACAAGTGAGAAAGTCAGAAGAGCGAAAAGGGGTCAACAGAGCAATTTATGGACCACACAGCTCCTCCAAGACGCTTCAGCTCGGTTCAGCCCATTTCAGCTCCAGAGGGGCAACCCATCGCGCCATTCAGGCTTGGCGGCCATGGAAAAGGTCCCCGAAATCGTCTAACCGTAGGGCCGATCTGGGTCACGATCCATTCCCCGGAAGATTGCGCAATGATCCCATCGCTAGGGCCACGCCACAGCACCTTCTCAGGTGTAGATCCAGCTGGACCTGTGTGGCGCAGTCCAACTAGGTTCCTCGGTGTGCGCCCGGTGGAGTTAGTCAAGTGGGCCTGGTGTAGGCAGAATTGTGCGATGTGTGCGTGCACAGGTACGGATATGCAGTGGAAGCGACCATTGAATTGGAGTTGAGGAATTCAGAGCTGCCATATCCGCAACGATAGCTGGCCTCGCATGGAATCCAGAGAGGGAAATTGTATCATTGTGAGGCCAGTGTAAGCGTGCAAGCACCATCCATCACCCATAGGAGAGCGTTCTGGCCCGGAGTCTCGATCTGGGGACAAGGTGCGAGCGTCGGCGTCAGAGATCTGTAGCGCCGGCAAGACGTCTAATTGCTGCGCAAGTTGATGCGGTCCAGTCGTGGTCGTCTGTTGGTAGAAGGGAGGTAAGGTGTATCCCGCATCATCCAACATTTTCTTTGCTGCACCAAAAGATGGCAGAAAGGGGGAGCTGACTAACACGAGCTTCACGTGACTGTGTCGATTGTCAACACGTCGACAGCAGGACAACTTCTTCTCCTGCATTCATTCGACTTGACTGACCTCGAATCAATTGCATTGTCGAGGCCACAATTATCGTCTTGTACATGTCTGAATATGCTTTGCTCTAGACCCTGGCGGGGCAACCATGTCATTTGACAGTGTACAGCAGTGGCTGGACCAGGTTGAGTCCCAGCGCGCTTCACCGAGCGATAGTCGAGATGATGATAGGTCCAAGCACCTGAAGATGCCTACCCCTCCATTGACGTCGCTTCCCCCCATAGGCACGGCTGCCAAACAGAAGCATGAACCGCAACTACCGTTGATGGAACCGCCTAAAAGACCACGACGTGGAGCCAGGGACTCAGAGACAAACTGAGCAACGTCTTCGTCTATTCTTCCCCTGCGCGATGAACTCACTCTCTCCCCGTCTGTGTCCACAGCCAGTCAGTCAGAACGTCGGCGGTCGACCAGCCCAGCCCGACACATGAGGCTCCTGGAGTATGCCACCCCGAGAGTTCGCTATCTTACGAGACGTTCTAGCAGAGGACACTCCTGACTGGGAGCCGGATCCCAATAAGATCCAAGAGGTGCTTACCGGCTCTCGGAAATACGTGACCCAGCAGCGGAGTGAACTTTCCTGGATGACCGAAGTCAGTCGACCTATACTTCAAGCCGCAATTGGTGATCTACCTCTCGAATCTTGGGGCGTGTACGTTCTAAACTCCTAGTCCTGGCCTCTAGCTGGCCGTACTGACGATTTTCTCACCAAGCCTAACGGAAACGGCCAGTGCATACCAACCGCTCTACACAGCCCGAGATCACTACGATCGCAAAATAGACTGGGTCGTCGGATTCCCCGAAGAGCAATGGGAGTCTTTGTATGGTAGCGCCGCTGCCAAATTTCGGAGCCCGTTCATAAATCATCTCGATCATCCTCATACAGGCACACAAGTGTTGGGCTGTGGTTGTGTGATCAAACTCCGAGATGGCAATTTGCTTGAAGCCCAGGTTCAACTCGGGGTCTTTTCATGGGCCTTTCAGCATCGGTCTGGAACCCAAAACCCACCACCAATGATTAGAATTATCTCTGTAGGTGATATTTGGGGTTTCTATATCATATATGCCGTTCAAGAGGAGGCAAACGATGGCGTGAAACGAGATGTGGGCGAGGTCCGCGTCTGGGGACCTTTCCCTGAGCTCGGCGGCCGATGTTCCAGCTAGAAGATGTGTGTTATGCTGGTCAAGAACGTCCGCCGAGTGATGGAGTACGTTTGTGGTGTATACATCGACTAACTGCAGAAGTCCGTCTACACGTGATTTACCGGCTTGCTCATTAGAACGGGATTTTATATTCAAAGACGGAGACAGCAGGATTTTCTCCGCGGATGAATACCTTCGTGGAAGTATATCTTGAGATGGTGGCACATGCCGACTCCTTGAGCTCCCTAGAAATTCGGTCCTCGAAGCAGCAAGTTCAAGGACCATCGGCCACTTTAGCCTACAATCTATCCAAGCATTGAAATAAAAGGAATAAATTGTGCCTAGTCAGGCCTGGAAAAATATGTATAAGAAACAAAGCGAAAGAAAACTAGCAGTCAAGTGCTAATGTTACAGTCTAGTGAATCGAATGAAATCTCCACCACCTAGGCGGTCCAACCCGACGGACGATACCAGAGCACAGTCCATGCAGGTTTGAACCTCGCTCAACCAACGCTTAAGCCTGAACGAAAACGGCGGCAACAGCCAGACCGGCCCACAGGTACGAGTCCATACCCGCGCGCACGGCAGCACCGGTGGTGGCGGTAGCAGAGGCAGAAGCAGTGCCGGAGGCAGAGTCGCCAGTGGTGGCGCTGGCACTGGAACCGGAACCGGTACCGGAGGCCTTGACGGCGTCGGTGGACACGGCGGTGACGGTGTGAGCAGACGAGCCGGCGGACCAGGTGATGGTAGCGCTGACGGGGGAAGTGAGGGAGCCACTGGTGTTGGAGAGGGTGGCGTTACCACCCTTGGGGACCTTGCCGGGCGCGTAGTAGGTGTCGAGCTTGGGGAAATCGAACTCCTTGGCACAGTCGAGGTCTTTGAGGACGTCGGTGCACTGCTCCCAGATGTCGCCGAAGAGCTCCTCCATGCCGTCGAGATTCAGGTCGGAGGGGTTGGCGTTGGGGCAGGTGTTGGGCAAGCTGCGAAACGGTCAGTTGAAGTGACAGGAAGTCGACGGGGACAAAACGCGATACTTACGCAGAAAGCGCGGCACTAAAACCACAGCAGGCACACCCCTGGATCTTGCTGTCATCCGCGGAGGCCTTGAGGCCACACTGTTTCTCTACCTTTGCCAAGGCGCCGTATGAGATCTTGTCGACCTTGCCGACGTTGCAGGAGCAACCACCGGCGGCATTTTCGGGGGCGGGCCAGAAGGGAATATCATCGACCGACTGCTTGTCCTCGCAGGACTCGAGCAGGGCGCCGACGGTCAGGTCGTACTCGCAGCTGTAGACCTATCGAAACGGCGGTTAGCAGGCACGCATCACAGAAACGGCCGGAAATCCTCCACATACTTGGTTCCAGCAAGAGCTAGCCGCGCAGTCAATCTCGGCCTGGTGCTGGGTGCAGGAACACTTGTCCAAGCAGTCGGAGTCGCTGCTGGTCTTGCCGTTGTCCTCCTTGTCGCACTTCTTCTCACAGTCGCTGTAGGTGGACTTGGCCTTGTCGTAACAGGTCTTCATACCGGACGGGTCGGCACATTTCTCGGCGTCGAACTTGCCAACTTTGGCGGCTATCGAGACGTTGGCGGCCAGCAGACCGAGCAGGACACTAGTGGAAAGACGCATGATGGGTTGTAGATGGACCTAACGTGACGTTGGCGGGGTATAGTCGACACGAAAGGAACGTTGAAGGAATGGATTAGTTAATTATAAAAAAAGAAAATCAAGAGAGCGAAGGGAAGATCAGGTCAGGACGGCAAAGAGCTGGCCAGGCGAGTTATAAGCAACGCGGGCGTCAAGTCGAAGCGGCCTGAGGCTGAGAGGCAACGCCCGGCCAATCAGCGGGATCTACCGGGGCCAAAGGGGCTAGCGGAGGCTTGGCGCCGGCGCTAAGCTCGTATGGCCCCTGACGCTAGGCCGCTTTGGGTCGCTGGCGCCGTCAACGGTGCGCCCGGTGGTCACGTGCAGGACACCTCGGGCCGTCATTGGCCGCTCGTGGCCGCCCGTCAGCCCTGAGAGGCACTACGGCTTCATCTCCCATCCAGCCCTTGGGGGCCATTCCCAGTAGTGTCGGGGGCGAAACACCCCCCTGCTGTCTGGCATTGGGGCCTTATGCCCTGCTATTCGGCATACCGTTGCCCCTGAATTCCTGGCGGCTCTCAAATTTCGTGTTGGTCTACTAAGCGTGAGGAAAATCCCTGCGTCGATGAAACTTGAACATGTTTGTTTCGAGCAGACTCGACAGCCTCGACAGCCTCGACAGCCTCGAGAGCGTCCATTCTGATCTGACCGGTACTGGGCGGACAAGGACTGACCATCTCATGATCTCATCCGTTTACACACCGCCACGACCATCGGCCCAATGCAGGAACGTGCATTGCATCGCCTTTAGGCGGCGATGCCTGACTTGGTTCTTTGTTTGCTGGCAGACAAAGAACATGATAAACAGCACTTCCGGGGATCCATCGCGACCCACAAACCCCTCTAACCGACCCACCGATGATCGCACAGCGGAGAGCCCACTGGCAAGATTTGTCGCTCGCTCCGGACTATCTATCTATGGAAGACGCTACGAAAGCGTGTATCCCTGTTGCTGACAGGGGTCTTCTGGTAGGTAAGCCAGTTTCGGTCGCTGACTCGCGCTGCTACGCGCCCCTTACGGTGCGCTGGCAGTGCCCCAACCCTTGCAACGGCCCTTTCAGCCTGTCATCTGTGTCCAAAGAATCGCTGCGCCGACCTGATTGGGATAATGCTGGTTCGACAGGCATCCCAATATATCGCGCAGGGAATGCACAAAGATTCGCCCGACGCACAACCGCGCGCGAATAGCATCCAAATCACAGGACTGCGTGGAAGCCACAGCCCTACGCTGTAACCGCCAAGGTTCCAGGATACTTCGGATGTAAGGGACTGCCATCATCCGAGCGGCGATGCCCAATGGAAACGACCCTTGGCACCTTGATCCCGGCTGAATTGGTCATTTTACTGGCGGAGTGAACCGTCTCTTTTCCTTGTGCACTCTCAGGTTCTAAACCCAAGCCAGATATGGCCGATTGTCGTATTTTTAACCCGCACCGCCATCGATGTCATCGAATCTCGACGTGTAACCCCCGCACATGGCGCTGGCATTGGCGGATTCGAGAACTTGGCAGCCCAGCAGGGCGATTCAATTCCGAATGAGACCAGCAGGGATCAAATAACCCGATATTATACGTCTATCACCTTTTATGAACCTAAACACGGGGATTATCCCGTCGGCGAGCGGAAATGAATGAGCCATTAAAATTATGGGTTACGGTACCAACCTGACACACTAAACGATTTTTTATGAACTCTTAGCCATCACCCTGCTTTGGTCCAAATTTTCTCTCCTTTTCGCCGTTACAAAACTGTCTACTTTGTACTCCGTACATCGAACTCCCATGAACCCTTCAAGCCTACGCGAAGGAGCGAAGAATCTTCCTGCCAAGCTGTTGGCCATGAACCCCTGGCTTGGACAGCCCCTGTCAAGATTAGGGGCTATGCAAGATGCACAAGGCTGGATTACCGAAATTAATAATCTTAAGCGATCACAGCAGACCCACATGGACGAGGCTGTGTCGGAGAATAGTTGGTCTATCTCGGGTGATGTGCGTAGCTTATCGTGAGAGGCCGGTCTTGTTCTTCCTGGCGTCACTGGTAAATTAATTCTGGGGTCGGTGCCTTCGCCAGTTTGGTTGAGATGCGGTCGTGGTAGCCAGCCTCTCTTCAATGTAACCCAAGAAGCGAAGCGCTCTCCACCTCCCCAGTCGACGTGGGATGATATGGATCGATTAAGTGATGTTACTAGGCTAACTGTATTGTTAGATCGCGGCGAAGCGAGATGAGGTTATCTACGAGCTGAAAATGCAGGCTGTACACTCTCAATTATCGCTTCTGGACAACCTCTTTTAGGGCATCACCAAATCCTACCATACAGATCGTAGCCCACGCTGCGACGCCGATTCGAGGCACGACGCCTCGAAAGAGTCCTCGTACACCGGACGTCTGGAGAATGTGTCGGAACGTCGAGATCATAGTCGGGGAAACTGGACGCGTAGGGTCCTTCTTCATCGATTGCATCTCCACGCGAAGGACCTATAGAATGTCAATACCTCCAGCCTGACACCATATAAATAAAGCTCACCTCAAATGGCTGATTCCAACAACTCAACGCACCACCAATCGTCGACGCCAGCACCTTCTCCCAAATCAACAATTTCTCGCCCTCCCTCTTCCCCGTAGCAGAGCGAATACTTTCCTCCGCGAACCGCGAGATCCCAATTCGTGACGACCACCCGGTCACCTGTCTCAGGGCCACGGCATTCACGCCCATATTAACACCACGGATTCCCTTCTCACGCAGCATATTGAAGAACGTCTCCATCGCATTTGGCACCTTCGCGCCTTGCACACTCAACTTAGACCGCGTCACCTCGACCGTTTTCATACATGTCGTCATGCCCATCGTTAAGTAGGACTGGGCGATGCCGCCGCCGATACCTCCCAACACGCCGCACATTGTTGGGGACGCGTTGAAATTGTTTCGCGCATGGTATTCGATCTCGCTAGATGTTAGGACGAGGATTGCACCTTTCGTGGAGGCTTCGAGCCAGGCCTATGGCCGGTTAGTTGGTTTTCTGTCGTGGAGATTCGGAAGTATATATTTTTGAGGCTACTGGCGGTTAGAACGTACCCACGGAATCAACCCTTGATCGTACGCAGACACACCCCCACGAGTCCAGGTTTTCGAAATAGCGTCGCGCAAAGTATCATGTCTATTAGCTGCCAGCTATACACGTATTAACCTTTCCGCCCTGAGATTGGATTTGGTCTTAACGCATACATGTGTTTTGAGAACCTCCATGGGCTGACCGAGAGAGGTGACTGATTGTCAATTCGTAAGAACGTGTTCCGTTATTTAGAGTAGAGTGCATACCTTGAAACAGATTCATGAACGCGCCCACAGCTAGATTTCGGAATGGGATTGGACGTCGTTCCTGTTTGTCGGGGGCATGGGCGCCATGTGATTGCGCAGTTGGGGTGGCGTGGAGTGCCATTGAGAATTTGCGACCGGGGTATTACACAATCGGCTGGATACTGGAGGGTCGAAAAAGCATCTGCTATTATTTCTTTAGCTGATTGTTCTGATATATTGATTTAAAAGTGGTGAACCTCATGCTCTCTCCGGTCGGAAGCATCCGAGGCACGAATGGAAGCCAAAGTGGAGTATGTCGGACTCATCCGATCAGTAGTAAGGCGCCAGGTACGGCTGGGAAATTGCCTCTGGGTCACCTTGTTGATATGCATAAACGACTTAATGCCAAATTGTTGAGTGATATCGCCTTTTAGATCATATGGAAAGCCACTCTGTGAGACTTTCAATGGCCCCCACGTATCGCAACCAGCCGGACGACGAAAATACAAACTCGATGCGACACCTCCAATCTGCGTCCAATATGATCAAACGATCGAAACCCTTCTTCTTACCACCAGGGGCCTTCGACACGCACGCCCACGTCTTCGACCCTTTACTAGGCCCATACGCTGCCGGCCGAGCATACACCCCGGAGGATGCACCCCTCCAGAAGCTCCTCGCATTCAACCAGATGTTATCGACCGAGCAGAAACCCACGAAGCTTGTCCTTGTTCAACCATCGCCATATAAAACCAACTGCACGGTTCTCATAAAAAGTCTACAGGAGCTGAACCGGCGAGAAGTCACGGCATATGGAATAGTTGTTGTCGATCTGGAGCGTGTGACTAACCACGAACTGGACGAGATGCATCGGCTAGGGGCCAGAGGCATCAGATTGAATTTCCAGGCGGACGGGAAGGAGGTTGATACGACGAAGTTGATATCTGCCTTGCGACAAGCTGCAGAGAGAATCCGCCATCTACGGGGATGGATGATTCAGCTATTTGTTCCGGGTTGGACATGGGATGGTCGGTAGATCCCTGAAGAGTGAAGCTCGTTTACTGACGTGGGATTCAAGTTCTGCATGACGGTATCCAAACTCTTCCGGTTGTGATCATTGCCGACCACCTTGGAAGTATGCTTGGGACATCTAAGCTTGGAATTGAATATCGAGGCGACGCATTGTCACAGCCGGGATTCAAATCACTCGTATCGCTGGCACGTCAATCCCGTGTTGTGATCAAAGTGTCCGGGCTGTACCGGGTTTCGAACGAGTCAGCGAGTAGATATAGTGACCTGCGACCGCTCATACAAAAGCTTGCAGAGGAGGCACCCGGGCAGATTATCTGGGGGAGTGACTGGCCACATACAGGCGAAGGAAGGAATCGATTAGGAGGAAAGAATCTTGATGTAAAGGAGCCCTTTCGGAAGATTGATGACCTTGGTATTTTGCAAAGCTTGAGGGACTGGCTGGGAGAGGAAAAGATGCGACAGATGCTAAAGAATAATCCTGAGAGGTGGTATCAGTAGGCAATCGCAGTTCAAACAGTATTTGTTCCTCTAAAATCAACCTCCAAACAAGTATCCAAATTGTTGCCTTAAAACGCCGGCTGCATTGTATACTTCCCACTGCAGCCAATCAACAGCCGAGATACCCCACTTAGTCATTACAATCACGTGCCATCTTTCCTCGTTGTCGCGTCTCCTGATTGGCACTTCTGCATCTTTTCATACACTTCTCACTTCGAAAATGAGCGAAGATTCTCCCAGGTCTCTAGCTCGGCGCCATCGGCGCGGATTGACGCGTAGCGCTGCAGCCTGCCAGCGCTGTAGGAGGCGAAAGCAAAAGGTAGGTACACGCTGCCCGATCATGGTCGGAGATGGCCTCGCCCGCTAATGAATCGGCAGTGTGACGGCAAGGCCCCGATATGCAGTCCCTGCGCATCGGTGGGTGCCGAATGTATTCCGTCAGAGCGCTTGGTGGTCCAGCAGGTCAGCGATACTCGCGAATGTGACGCGCTTCGGGCGCGTTTAAATGCACTGCAGTATCGCTACGATGACCTGCTTCGAGAATTCGAGCAGATGCGTATGCAGCACAGCACTGTCTCTGATCCACCAATCTTGGCACCGAACACATTGAGCAATAACAATGGCTACGTCGATATTAGACCACATATCAATGGTCACTCGCCCGTAGGGTTGGATTCCCGATCATCTAGCCGCATTCTTCGGCCCACCTTCTCCCAGCGAGCTCAAGCAAAGGGCATGAATCGAAGTGCCCTTAGTAGTGCATGGGAGCTGTGGGGAGATGATATGACACCCGTAAATGCCACATCACAAGCGGTCAACCTGCCAGAACTCGATCGAGCTGCATACGAGGACCTCGTGGATGTCTTCTTCACCTATAGATTCCCTTACCTACCAGTGCTTCACCGACAAAGCTTTGTCGGTAAGCATTTATCTCCGTTCCTTGGAGGTTCCAACGTTAGCCCTGTGTCCACATTCATGGTCAACATCGTTTGCGCCATTGCAGCAGCCGAAAGGTCCGGTGTCAGGCCAGGTCATAATCAAATTCATCGACTGTTTTTCGAAGCAGCAGTCAAACATCTGTCCGTCATCATGTCAACCGACGACTTTGATTGCATCCAGTGCCTACTGCTTCTCTGCATGTATGGCCATAACGAGCCGCAGTCCGTCAACATGTGGTATACCATCGGCATGGCACTTCAGTTGGCTATCGGAATCGACCTTCATCGCAAAGAGAGTTTGTCTGGTCTAGACAGTCTGCACGCGGAAATGGTTAAACGTGTGTTTTGGAGCACATATGTGATGAACTGCAGCATGGCCATCAACATGGGCCGACCGTTGGGGATACAAGAATCCGATATCACGACTCCACTGCCGCTCCAATTGACTGACGACCAGTTGAACCTCCCCCAAGCAGTTTCTAAACCGATAGAGACCTTGATACCACAGACAACTGACACGTCGACATTCATCCATATCATCAAACTGCGCCGTCTGAACGCAGCTATTTACCAAGAATTCCATTCATCTGGCAGCGCTACTACCCAGCAAGAGGAGCTCCGCAAGCGCCGGGACTCGTACTTTTCAGAGCTCAATCACTGGTTGATCACGGCGCCCAGATACATCGGTACTGCGTGCACCTTTCAGTCCATGGAATGGTTCCAGATCGCCTTCCATCACGCCGTCTTATTTCTCTACCGACCCTCCCGCGCTGCTCCCATGCCTTCATCCAGCGACCTGCGGGTGTGCACCGAGTCTGCAATCGGCTTGATCAGCTCATACAGTTCGCTCTACGCGAGGAACAAAATTAAATATACATTTGTTGCTATCCACTCGCTGTTCATGGCAGCGGTCACCATGCTCTACGCCTTGCGAGCCTCTCCCCCACTTCGACAGGAACTCACCAAGCCTGTCGTACAAACTAACGTTCTTACATTCCTGACCTTGTTCCGGGGAATATCCAACGGTCGGGTAGTTGGCGAAAAATGCTCCAACATTGTCGAACGACTGGGAAATGCGATTCTCACTCTGTTTGACGATGTATCAGCTTCTGATATTGTCATGGATACCGAAGTGGACACCGAGTTTCAGTCATGGTTCGGCCTTCAGACTCATACAGCAGCGCCTTCAGTGACGCATCCAGCACCCAGCGAAGATGCTCATGGCGTATCTCCGCATTTCCCTGATGTCCGGGTCGACATCCCATGGTCTGATTTGTTTATCGAGGGGATTGATATTGGATCTACAAATTTCTGGAATATTTTGTCCTAGCAATACGGCGACTGGCAACAATACGTGGGTTAGATTGGTACGGAAGCTCTCCGTGTTCTTCGGTTGCCGAAGGGTTTAAAGCAGCCGATATCGACGACGTTCAAATGTCCGGTCCATCTCTTCGAGAGTCGCAGCCGGCTTTCGGGACTCAGATATGCGTTAAGCATATCGACCGGACGACTACCCTAGCAAGACAATCAATGACCCGTGTTTTCCGTTATTGCCGGTGTTGCCTCGGTGATGCAGAACAACAGCCAAGGAAACATGGCGAATGTGCACCAAAAGACACACACTAAGTATTCCTACCGAATAAATAAACTAATAGTGGATTCTAGTGACTGGCGGCAAGCATGAGGTTATTCCCAGAACGGTCCGATTCCGCGTGTCGTATAGTGTGGCCGTGAGCCGGTCGGATGCATCCGAAGAGTGTTTTGCCGTTAACCGGCGATCGTCATTCCCCGGAATCGCCGGGTTTTTAGTCTTTAACCCCAACCTTCCTAGTCTTGAACGATCAAGTTCCGTCTTGAACCTACCGGCGAAACATATGATAATCATGTTGGGAACGCTGCGAACAGCCTCAAGTGCTGTCTCACGCCCTGCATCTCGGCTTTGTGCCCCCTCAGGGAATCGACTGAATTCCACGGCAAGCAGAAAGCAACGCTCCCTTCCGGCAGCATATTACCGCGGAGGCACATCTCGCGCCGTTTTCTTCAAAGAGCAAGATCTACCTGCGGGTCGTGCTCACTGGGATCATATATTCCGCAGCGTCATCGGCAGTCCTGATCCTCACGGTCGCCAGCTGGATGGACTGGGCGGCGGGATCTCCAGTCTATCCAAAGTCTGTGTTGTCGGAAAGTCCACCCACCAAGATGCAGATGTCGATTATACATTTGTTTCTCTCGGCATAAAGAATACCGATGTCGACTACTCCAGCAACTGTGGCAATATGATCAGCGCGGTCGGTCCGTTTGCTATTGACGCACAGCTAGTCAACCCCGACTCGGCCGACTCAGCCTCCATTCGCATTCACAACACCAACACCGGAAAGATCATACGGTCCACCTTCTCCGTTGTCGACGGAGAGGCAGCATCCAGCGGCGATTTCTCGATCGACGGTGTAGCCGGAACAGCAGCACGTATCCGACTCGACTTCATCGACCCCGCCGGATCCGTGACGGGCAAATTACTTCCCACGGGAAGCGTTACGAACGTCTTCGACGGCGTCACAGCTACATGTATTGACGTCGGCAACCCATGCGTTTTCGTACAGGCCAGCGACCTAGGCGTTGAGGGAAATCTAACCCCTGACGAAATCACCGCTGACGAAAAGCTCTTACAGCGACTCAACTCCATCCGCCGCCAAGCGGGCGTGGCAATGGGCATCTCAGAAGACACTGCATCAGTCCCAGGGAGCATCCCCAAGATCTGTCTCGTCTCAACCCCCCAGTCGGACGCACGGAGTACAGAACAAAAACAGACATCTAGCGACGTCGACCTCGTTGCTCGCGCTCTTTCAGTCGGCCAACCGCACAAAGCTGTCCCGATCACAGTAGCGCTGGCATTAGCTGCTGCTGCTCGCGTGCCGGGGAGTACGGTTGCGCACGTATCGAATAAGGATGTTGTTGACCCGGCCGGTATCACGATTGGTCATGCGAGTGGGAACCTTCTTGTTGGCGCGGATTTCAATGAAGAGGGGCAGTTGAGCTTTGCTACGGTCTTCCGCACGGCGAGAAGGCTGTTTGAGGGTCGGATCTTTTGGAAGGATGATGGGGTTTCTGAGTAACCAGGAATGTGTTTGTTCTGGTAGAGCCTTGTGGTCGATGTATGTTACGAGACGTTTTGTTGCTCAGTATAATCAAGATCCGCCTCATTAGCAGGCTATTTTACGGAAGTGCAGATACCAATAGCCTGGTAGTTGAATAAAACATGCCTTACAAACAATAACCTATTTCGAAAGCGTTCATTCAACTCAGGATGATAATACTACCGACCCTATCATACAGAAAGATTTCACTGAATCAATAGAATATACAAATGAACAATCTAGCAACTCTCTCTATCACTCACGCCACTTTCTCCCAGATATCAAATTCAACGCACTCCCCGCCCTGAAATAACGAATCTGCTCCTCCGTAAACGAATGCCTCACCTCCGTCTCCCACACCTCACCCTCCCTCGGAGTGACCCTGAGAACTAAATTCCTCTCCGGCTCCAACCTCTTTAAACCCAGAATACTCACGCGATCAGAAGCCCTAATCCTCTCATAATCCCCCTCATCCACAAAGCTCAACGCCAACATCCCCTGCTTCTTCAAATTCGCCTCATGGATCCTCGCAAAGCTCTTCGCAATAATAGCTACTCCACCCAGATACCTGGGCTGCAGGGCCGCATGTTCCCGCGACGATCCCTCCCCGTAATTATGATCCGCGACAACAACCCAGGGGATCGATTCTGATTGATAGTATCGTGCCGTGGCTGGGACGTCTTTGTCTTGACCTGTGAGCTGGTTTCGGACGGTATTAACCTTCTGTGTTTCCGCATTGACGGCGCCGATGAGCGTGTTGTTCGAGATGTTTTCTAGGTGGCCGCGATAGCGAAACCACGGCCCTGCGGGGGTGATGTGATCTGTTGTGCACTTTCCGACTGTTTTGATCAGGATGAGACAGTTTTCGAAGTCTTCTCCAGACCAGGGGGCGAATGGAGCGAGCTTTTGTAGACGCTGTGACGAGGGATGGATTTGGATCTCGAGATTGCTGCGGTCTCCTAGTGGTGGGGATTGATAGGCTGCGTCGGAGTTTTGGTAGTCCGAGGATGGGAGGGCTTCGCCTGTTGGCGGAGAGAAGTGAAATTCCTTGCCTGAGGGGGTAGTCAAAGAATCGAGGGTAGGGTTGAAGGAAAGATTAGATGAGAAGACTTTGCCCATGACGACTTCGGGAGAGGCGAGGAAGACATTGGTTGCAGGGTTTGAGTCTAGACGGCCGGGAAAGTTGCGGTTATAGGAGGTTATGATGGAATTCTTGGTCCCCTGGGATATGTTAGGCTGTTTGCATGATGAAACACCAGGGGGAGGAACGTACCTTGGGCATATCAGCTCTATCCCACGACCCGCAGCAAGGACCACATGCGTTAGGTAGCATTGTTGCTCCGAGCTTCTCAAACACCTGCAGGATGCCCGCTTGCTGGAGAGTATCGCGGGTTTGGAGACTGCCTGGCGAGATGAGCAATGGCATGGCTGGGTTGAGCCCTGCATTTAACGCCTGTTGAGCGATATTGGCCGCTTTGCTCATGTCCTCGAAGGAGGAATTCGTGCAGGATCCGATCAGACCAGCAGTGAGCTGTTCGGGCCATTCGTTCTCTCGGACTGCAAGACCGAATTTCGACGTAGGAGTCGATAGATCAGGGGTGAAAGGGCCATTGATACACGGCTCCAACGTGGACAGGTCAATGTCGATGACCTGGTCATATTCCACTCCCTGGTCAGCCGAGAGCTCAGACGAGATGCTCTCTACAGCAGAGGACATGTCCGAACGGTTATTTGAACGCAGATAGTCCGACATCTGCGGCGCATATGGAAAGATCGACGTTGTGGCGCCCGTTTCAGCACCCATATTGCAAACCGTCGCCATCCCAGTAGCCGAGAGGGTCTGCGCACCAGGACCAAAGTATTCAATGATATAACCAGTACCGCCTTTTACGGTGATCCTGCCAGCCACGGTATTGATGATATCTTTCGGCGATGCCCAGCCAGAAAGTGACCCCGTCAACCTCACGCCCAGCAGCTTCGGTGCGGTCATCTCAAACGGCAACCCAGCCATAACATCCACCGCATCAGCGCCCCCAACGCCAATAGCCACCATACCCAGTCCACCAGCATTCGGCGTATGGGAATCCGTCCCAACAATCATGCCCCCGGGAAACGCATAATTCTCGAGAACAATCTGATGAATAATACCAGCCCCGGGCCTCCAAAACCCCATATTATACTTCCGACACGCACTCTCCACGAACTCGTATACTTCGCGATGAGCATCCAGCGCACGAGGCAGATCTTCCGCTTCCCCATCGCGACTAACAATCAAATGATCACAATGCACGGTCGTCGGCACAGCCGTGGATTCTAGCCCGGCTGACATGAATTGTATAAGAGCCATTTGAGCTGTCGCGTCTTGACACGCAATTCGCAGAGGTCGGAGCTTCAATTGCGAGGATCCGCGGGTGATGTGCTCGTCGAAGCTGTCGTCTAGATGACTGTAGAGAACTTTTTCGGCGTAGGAGAGAGGACGTTTTAGTCTTTCGGGGCATTAGACTTGACTTGAAGAGTGGGTTGAATGAGTATCGGTACCTGTCTCGGAGTTGTTCAACTTTTCTAGGGAATTGACTCAGGTCTACCCGGTGATGGAGTTCTAGTCGACTTAGTGATGCTGTTCCGGGTGTTGTATATGATTGCAGACGTCTGGACAATGAAGGGACAGGTGGTCCCCGTCGCTGTGAGCAGCGCGAGGTGAGATATTTGATCAGCATGGTGATTCAATTGAGCGTACCATCGTATGTATGTCGCATGGAGTCCAGAACTACATATTTCAATCTTTGTTGATGGTGAAGCCGAGGCAGGGCCGTCGGATGCATCCGTTGACGGATAGTTCCGATGGCGTTGTTGACCAATCCTAGTTCGGGGTTTACTATTCAAGTCTTCGATGTAGTCACAAGTGATTGACTTGTGAAGATAAGAAACGTGCTTTGTAACAGTTCTGAATGTAATTTCATAAATCTTCTGGAGGATTGCTCTTACAATTGGTGCGGGGAGAGTATATCATCGATTGCCTCTCACAGAATAGACTTCGAACAGGGATTATCATCAGCAAGGTTTACCAGTCAAGTGGTCCTCCCAGACCTCAGGCCAGCCAAATCTCATGTATATGCGGCTAAGAACCTCGAAATCACCATTCTGTTAACTGAGATATCGCATGGTGAAGCAAGCCACAATGGCGATGTTGCCTGAGGCGCCATGTGTGGCTGGAGTCGTGGCGGTGTCTCGGACAGGGTTTGCGTTGTTTGCATTGTTTATCTGCGCTGTCAGCAGTCTCCAACCTGGCGTCAACAACTTGCTTCATATCAACGCAAACACAGGTATCGTCCCAAGCGTGATGCTTGAAAAACATTCCTCCTAGAGCATCTCGCGCGTAATTGAATACACCATGTCTGGATGAGTAATGGTGTCATAAACAGCCGCCAGGGAGTCTGAACCGCGCATCTAAGATGCCTCGCAGAATCACCCAAGCTGAGCTTGGTAACAGTCCCACTCTCTTTTATGACATTCAATCCCGCTAACGCGCCTGAACAGGAATTCTGCTCCGCCATTTGAGACGACAAGGTCTCGCTCGCCAGCGAGCATGGCAAACTCAGGAATCACAGCATTTGGGTGTCAGCTCCAGGCAGAAGCCCCGCAAATCTTGGCAAAAGGCCGATGAGAAGCATGACAGTATGCCTCGAAAGTTTCTTGAGACCTCTATCACGACCCTTGGGTCTCTCTTGATCCTCGCCCTGGGCGGGTACACGTATCACATCTACTACAAGAGTCTCGTACTGCACAAGATCAACAACGCGTTCTCCAGCGGGTTCTCCACGCTGGAGTTAGCCGCCCTAGCTCAACATGGAGTTCCACCAGAGCCAGGCGAAGAGCCGGTGCAGGATGATGAACTGCGATTCAAAGTGCTGCGACCGGAACAGTCGACAATAGATTCCATCGTGTCCGGCAAAATCAGAGGAAATTACTACCTACTCTTCGGGGAAAAGGGTACCGGAAAGACGACTATGCTGCTTGACGCCATGAGAAAGGTCCAAGGGAGTGGAGTGGCTATGCTAGAGGCGCATAGTGACCTAGAAGTCTTCCGACTGCGACTGGGTAAAGCATTGGACTATGAATACCACGAAGACTATGTCGGAGGGCTGTTTAACATCCGAGGACCTCGTGAGGCCACGCCTCTGCTGGACATCGAGCGCGCCTTGAACAAGCTGGAAAAGGTGGCGCTGAAGCGCAAGTCGAAATTAAACAAGCCGCTCACGCTCATCGTAAACAATATCCATTTTCTCCCCGACAGCGCGGAGGGACAACATCTCCTTACTCTGCTGCAGCAGCGCGCCGAGCTATGGGCAGCAAGCGAGCTTGTCACCCTCGTTTTCACGAGCGACGAGTACCGTACGACAGAAACACTGCGACCACACGCTACTCGCATGCAAGTACTGAACGTGCGAGACGTACCAAAGGAGGTTGCCATCCCGGCTATGCAGGCGTACCGAAAAGAGAAGTTCAACGAGACGATGTCGGTGGACATCCTGTCGCAAGCCTATGACCGAGTGGGCGGGCGATTGATCTTCCTGGAGCAAGTCGCCAGATCAAGAGATCTATTCCGGATGTGTGAATCGATCTGCGAGAAGGAGAAGCGATGGCTCCTGTCTCAGTGCTGGATCCTAGGCGCGGAGATGGACGACAAGGCCGAGGAACAACAGGACTACTGTGTACGTTCCAATTCCTATGCCACAACCATACAAGACGACAGTACTAACAGCACATAGCACGCCGCTATGATCCTCGCCAAAGCCCTCGTTGAATTAGAAAACAAACAGGAGAAGCCCAAAGGCGGAGCCGAAATCCCAGGAATGCCCATCCACAAAGTGCAAGAGCTAATGACCCGAGCCGACTTCCTCCACAAACTGGATCAGATGAATATCTTTGCCATCGATGCCAATGGAGTAGTCAAGGCTGATTCGGTTCCGATGCAAAATGCCTTCCGGGCGGTAGTCAGTGATCCGGCGTTCGAAGAACATTTAGAGGCGACGACCGAGCGGTTGGATGAGCTGGAAGGGCTTGGACGAACCACGGAACTGACGATGAAGGATTTGGTAAACGGTCAGTATGCTGTTACGGCGAAGGGGATCGGAGGGAAAGATGACACAACTTTTGTGGTCAAGAGGATGTAGATGAGTGTGAGGGTGCATGCATCAACAGAAACCACGGTCAGATCTACGGCGCCCCAATCGCGATCTAGGTGTCCTGTAATAGACCACCGATCCTACTGTATAGCGCTCGTGTCTACAAGTATAGTTCGTTTAACATCTCAAGCAGAGGATTCCTTGAGCAGTAATTTAGCATAGACAGGTCTCCGGCTTCTAGTGTGCTCGGACAGAAACATCCAGCCAAACTTGTGATGTATCAATCTCGCTCGCTACCCCCCAAGCATGAAGGAGCCACTCTCGTCGGAATCTGACTGGATAATCTTAGACTGCTGCCTAGATGCCATAACTAGTTTCTTTCTACTGTATGGCAGTGGGGCAGCTGAACAGCTGGCCAGCGGGGTTCTTGGCGTGCCAGGGTTTTTAAACCCCGTTGCTCTCCCCGAAACAGACCCAAGCCTTCGTTGTATTTGGTTTTTTCTAGATCGTCGAAATTGATCAAAGGGAGAACCACCATGTCTCTTCAAGAAATTAGTCATCTGCTTCGGATCGAGGTCCGTGACGATCACACTGTACTCGTTGCCGAAGCCGACGATGGTAGTGGAGAGACTGCCTCTGAAATTATTCTCGACGAGGAGATTGGTAACACGGATGGTACGTCTTTTATTATATATCTGGAGTGGTCATGAGTATGCTTTCTAACCTACAGCGGGTTATATTTAGGTTATTTCGTTCGCGGCGACGGCAACTTCACACAAAGCGCTGGAGACATCGAGTTGGACTCCCGGGACGACGGTCCTTGGTTGACTGCAACGCTCAATAATGTCGATGGAGAACCGGGAGAGCCGCAGGGTATCAACTTGGCTCACCATATTGAGAGCCAGGATGGTCAGCTTGTATGGGTTGTAAGTTGGCTGCCAAAGCTGTGGTTTTGATGTTGTACTAACCGGTCTTTCCATTTATAGGACCCGAAGGAATAGGCTCATAAGTTATTAGGGTACTAAGAGGAGACAGCGGCCTGTCTGTTCTATATTAATCCTGTATTTTTCTAGATCATTATCTTCCTATAAATCAAGCAACCTAGTTCATTACAATGTTATCGCCGATCATGCCTGAAAGTGTAATAATACAACCGTGCGGAGAACTGCAAGCCTGTATGGCATGTGCATACAATGTGAAACCAGATACTCTGGCTATTTGCAAAACGAATAATAGTCTAAGCTTCATATGAATATCGCAAAAAAGAAGCCAATATGTGTACTTTCTTAAAAGCCTTAGTTATAGAATTAAACAAGAGCAATCAACTAACTTAATTCGACCTTACTTCCAACTCGACAAGACAACGACTCATGTTCCCACCATCGCACTAGGTGACTATTGTTGCATGCCACTATAACAGTATGAGTTTACTCCAGCTATACCAAAATAGCACTACATACCTAACAAATATTAGCAACCCACGCCGTCAACAAGCTCCATCACGGATCCGGAGACTCCAGCGTCATATACATCCCTGCATGCCCGGTAACCGAAGGCAAGAGTATGTCAAACATCCCGATTTTCCCGAAGCAAGGAATGAAATAGAACATGTGGGCCGTGCGACGGTCAACAATATGAAGGGGCCTACTAGCGAAGAGGGATTGCGGGCATTAGGGTTTGGGAAGTGGGATGCGAATAACGCAGCGTTGACACCGGGAGAGCGACGGGTTTTGGAGAAACTAATCCAGATTTCCGCACTGTGAGGCTTGATAAAAGGCTATGCAAGATTCAAAGGATCGGTTTATTGTGAAAGGGTAAGAAGAAAGCGAGATAGCCAGCTGTATCTATTAATGATTCAAGAATGGTTTCTATGGTCAGTTTCAGGTAAAGAAGTCACCGAAGTAGTCTTGGTGTGACATGAGAGAAAGGAGATAACCCTGACTTCCAGTATAATGTTAACCCCAAATAATTGCATTAGAAAGGCTATTTTCTCGCTGTCAGTTGAATCAATCCTGCGAGAGGGAATATCTCTTAACGCAGATACCTTCAAAACAAGTAGTTAACCCTAAGCCCAGAAACTGTACCAACTCATCAGGGAGGGTATCGGCATATCTTGATACGGGGGCTTGTAAGTAACCTTTGATTGAATTTCAAAGTAATCATAGGACTCGATTATAAACCAGACAGTTCTAATGTTAGTGACTTTCTATGTAAGCTCTCTGGCATGTGAATTTCGAATCCTCCGATTTTCCTATGCAGTTATTCGCAATAGTCCGAGCTCTCTTCAATCTGCAATGTGGGGAATTCGGAATATGCAGGCCAGAGAGTGTACTCGGGGACCCACTCGGCCTATTCAGGACCGCAGTACCCTCACCTCTCGTTGTTCAACAACCAGTCCAGTTTGCCTAGTAAACTTCTCACTAGATCTTGGCGCAATGGCTGGCTGAAGCCATGTTATATTTCCGGCATATCGTGGTGTAAACATCCTCCGGAGGTGGATTGCACCGGAAGACACGGACAGTGAGGCCCAGGGACTGGCTGGCGCAGTTTGCCATCTTTACCGAGCAGCCTTTCTCCCATGTTTGCTTATGTGAGTCTGCGTGTCTTTCAACCATTGGCCAAGAATGAGGGGTTCAGGTCTTGTGGCTTGGGGACGGCGCTTACCATTGTATGATTGAGAGACAGGAACTCAGAAAAGGAGCATGTAACAGATGGATCATGTTGGAACACTGGCACCCGGCTTTGCGCTCAGCGGCCTCCCTCTGATATCTGCTAAAGAACAGAAGCTATACTGTCAGTCACTCGCATAGAAGTAATGCGCTTGCGAAAAGGCAAGATCCACTGGCCCAAAAGATGGAGCTCGAAGAAAAAACAGGACTATGGGAGTGAGAATGGTACAAACGCAGATCCTGACAATGCGAATAACATTGTCCCTGAGCCAGACAAGACCACGATTCCTCACGAAGATGAGGAGACAACAGATCGCGATTCCTCAAATCTCTGGCAAGTTGCCTATGAATCCCTGGACCAAGATGAGCGATCACAACTAGACTCGATCCGCCATGGAGTTCCCGAGGAACACCGCGACAACCAACATTCCGAAGATCCATTCATTTCTATATGGCTGCAAGACACTATCAGGACCATTGAGACCCAGTTTGAGGTTCGAAAGGCGAAGGAAGATACGTCGAGAGTAAGGAGAGCTGCCAAAGGCATCCTCGATACTGCTTGCTCGATGCAGAGTGTCGTGGGTAGCATCGCAGCCGCGGACCCTTCTGGTCATGCAGCAAGCGCTTGGGCGGTGGTATCACTTGGATTAACTGTATGTCCAATATGCCAATATAAACTTTGATCCGTGCTGACGCAGTGTCATAGATGACCCAGAATGACCGCACGCTCCAGGATGCATTGTTCGAGGCCTCCGAGTTTCTGACAGATATACTGGCCCGCTATACTCTGGTGGAGAAGCTATTGCACAAAAGCCACAAGGATGCTCGGATAAGGCTGGGGCAGAGTGTTATTAGGCTCTATGTGAACATAATGCGATATGCCTTAGAGATGACTCGCGTTCGAGAGATGGGCGTGGGCAAACGAATTTGGATCAGTCTTTCGGTGCCCGACCTTGCGAGTCAGCAACTATCCACGCTCCGCGCAAGAATCGAAAACGAAGATAAGAGTCTCCATAGTCTAGTTGACCTGGACCAGAACATCCAAAACAGCCAACAAGGGGAAATGCTTCTCGCTCGAATTGAGCAGAATTCTGCACTGATTCAGAAAATTGATCAGAACTTCCAACTCTCGAAGTTGCCTCGTGCCGCCAAAGCTATAAACGGCGCCTGGGAAGACCGTCACGAAGAACTCTGCTTCAAAGACACAAGAGAAGGGCTCTTGCAGGAGATTGTTGACTGGGTGGACGACCCTCATGGCACGCAATTCTTCTGGCTTAACGGTATGGCGGGGACAGGAAAGTCGACTATTTCGCGCACCCTCGCCAAATTCTTCCAAGGCCGAGGAATCCTTGGAGCAAGTTTCTTCTTCAAGAAAGGCCAAGAAGACTGTGACTCGGCCAAGAGGTTTGTGCCGACAATTATTTACCAGCTGACAAAACTTCTCCCGAGCCTCAAAAAGGACATTCAGGATGTGATTGAAAAGAATGAGTTGATATTTGACCAGGGCCTGGAGGAGCAGTTCGATGGGCTATTTTTCAATCCACTCAGCAGTGTACGAATGCTGCAGCGCCAGATACTGGTTCTCATCCTTGATGCGGTCGACGAGTGCCAGAACCACCATGACATAATGCAGATCTTCCAGCTCCTGTTGAGAACACAGAGCGTGAAAACGTTGGACTTGCGGTTTTTTATCACAGGAAGGCCAGAGCCGGCCGTCATTAGTAGCTTCCAGAACATGGAGAGCAATCGATACCGAGAAAAGGTCTTGCAGGATATCGAAGGCGTTGAACGCGACATCTCAACCTACATGCACGCCAAATTTAGCGAAATAGGAGCACAGCCCGGAGTTGCAGCCAGCTGGCCGGAAGTAACCATGCAACGATTGACAGGGAAAGCAAACCCGTTGTTTATTGTGGCTTCAACAATATGTCGATTTGTTGGGGACGAGGATTTTGACCCGAAGGAACGCGTCGAACTGATTCTTCAGCAGCCCCATTCAGACAACAAGCTCGTTCAAACCTACCGCACTGTATTGGACCAACTGATACTCGATAAAAGTGGGATCGACAAACAACAGATACTAGAAGACTTCCACCGCATCGTCGGGTCCATCGTTCTTCTCTATGATCCCCTCTCAGTCACGTCCCTGGCACGTCTTCTCGAGGTGCGACAAGATACCATTAAGAGGAGATTGAGGCTCCTGCGCTCCGTGCTCGTAATTCCAAATGACGAACATATTCCAATCCAACCTCTGCATCTATCATTCCGAGACATTCTGATTGACCAGAGTACTTCAGGCATGATCCCGTTCAAGATAGACCCAATTAAACAAAATCAATATTTGGCTGATCAATGCCTTCGAGTAATGTCCGACCACCGTACAGGTCTTCGAAGAAACATGTGCAACCTAGCAAATGACGGATATTTGCGAAGTGAAATCCACGGCATTGGGCAAGCTCTGAGCCCCGAGTTGAGATATGCGTGTCGTTACTGGGCTAAGCACCTTGTGGACGGAAAGTCAGTGATTGACCAGGATCGTATCTACACATTCTTCGCAGAACATCTTTTGCACTGGTTAGAGGCGATGAGCATCCTTGGATTGGTCCCAGAGGTATCAAGACAACTCACGAGTATAGAAAAGTTGTTTGCTGTGAGTGACACTTTCTGATAACTCGCCATAACAGACAATGGCAGTCGGTGTACTGATGAAAGACCTAGGAAACGCACCATCTCTCACTGACTAGCTTTCTTGCAGACGCCATTCGATTTGTGCAAAGGGCCGGGTATACAATGAGCATGGCGCCTCTTCAGATATATACTTCAGCGCTCATATTCACGCCTGAGAGAAGTATTGTGCGAGAGATGTTTAAAGACCAATTCCTGCAAGGTTTTGTGATGCTACGAGAGTTGGAAAGGGAATGGGGCGCGCGACTACAGTCCTCTCAAGGCCCCGAAAAGCCAGTAAGAGCACTTGAATTTTCGCCCGACGGCCGCTTGCACGTCTGCAGCGCCAATGACACAGTTCAGCTCTGGGATGACGAGGGAATGGGGTCAGTGCAACAAGTCCGCACCTTATGCAGGTCATTAGATTCCCCAATGTCTACCTCTTCATTTTCACCGGACGGTACATTGGTGGCGTGTGGCTTCGAAGATGGCTCCGTGCAGATTTGGCATGTGGACAGAATGGACACAGTCGCGCTGCTACCGCCGATAGACAGAACAGCTGGCTTCCGTGCCTCAGACAACAAACTTGTGGCAATGAGGGATATAGCCTTCTCCACCAACAATAAAATGCTAGCAACGCTCACATGGGCAGAGGAGCTACGGCTGTGGGATCTGACCGGAAATGTCCCACGCATGCTTTCTCATGCCTTAACTGATTTGACGGGCTCTGTGGGGTTTCTAGACTACGACAGCTACATTATTTGGTCCACGAATCATGGACTCAAGGCATGCAGCATACGTGAGGATGGCCAATGTTCTCCCGATACAACGAGCATCACATCCACGACAATATCGACATCGTTGGATCAGGTGGTCTACTCCCGGTATAGCAAACGAATGGTCTGCAGTGATTGGAAAGACCATGTGAATATTTATGAATTGAATCCAAGTATACCCGGCGATGATTTACTTCCCCACAGAGTGATCCGCCTTTCAAACAGACCATTGAGGCTTGAACTATCACCGGATCATCGGTGGCTGGCATGCTTGTTTATGCAGAGCATTGAGCTCTTCGACCTCCATTACGCAGACTCAGAATCAAGACCAATGGCTCTTAACAATCTTATCTCACGCTGTTCCACTATGACCTTCTCGCGTGATAGTCGTCGATTGGCGTGCGGCTTCGCCAACGGAATTGTTCAACAATGGGACGTCCACCAGATAGCATCAGATAACCTTTGGCAGGGATGGATGTCCTCGCCGAGCTCGGTTGAAAGCATTGCCATCTCCCTTGATGGCCTGAAGCTGGCTATTAGCTCTGAGGACAACGAACTCGGTATCTGGAGTATTGAGACCAACGGCTCAGACATGATCATGTACACATTGCCGAATGATGATCGTACGTATGCAACATGCATGGCTTTCTCTCCAGACAGCATATTTCTAGCAACCGCCTCTCAAAGGACGGGTACGATTTCCGTCTGGGACTTGAGCGCTAAAAGAATTATACGCAAATTGCGAGGGCCAAACCATGGATATACAGTTTCGTCGATGTGTTTTTCGTCGGACTCCCAGACCCTTATAAGCAGTTCAAGTGACAGTGAGGGGCACGATTACCATCAGATATGGCATTTAGCCCAGGACCTGAGCGACCAGCCACTTGAACTTCGGGGTCACTTAAGTGATCCGCTCGCCGTTGCGTTCTCACCAGGCGACCGGTGTGTCGTGACAAGTTCAACCGACAACACAATATCCGTGTGGGATCCCATTACCGGCGAGCATCTGCAGCAGATAAATACGACAAGTCCAGTACATTTACTTCGTTTCTCAGCAGACGGCCAGCAGATACTGACAGAGAGAGGAGTCTTTTGCATGGTAGATAAGAGGTTTATGGAAAACAGTCCTCCCACGAGCCCGCCAAAGTGTCCTCCCTTTTTTGCTGTACGAGATGACTGGATTGTCAAGGGTGCTCGACGATACCTGTGGCTGCCTCCGGAACAGCGCGGTGCCTGGACTTGCCATGAGAATGTTATATATATTGGAACCAAGTCCGGGCGGGTAGACAAGTACGTGCTCGACGATCATGATCAAATGTGGCTTTATTCTAGGCAAAGGTCAAAAATGGGCGAGAGTGTGGCTTGAAAATAAATGGAGAGTCGTTGCAGCTGACACTTTACGTTTTATTCGGCGCACTCTTCTTTCTTGTCTTTATCGAATACATTACTCGTGCATCGAATTTCAACCTCTCTGGGATTCACAAGGTAGAGGTGAACAACGTTTTATAAAAAAAAGTGTTCTCCAGACCAAACATAGAGTTTACTTCCACTTACGTTTTGGTCACTATCACAAAGCCCAACATATCCCCCTGTTACTAGCAGCAAACAGCGAAAATGCACGGAAATGGCTGGAAATCCGCGACGATCACTGATAACGCTTGGGGAGATGGCAGGTGAGAGCAGCCCAATTGGGACCGAAAAAGGAATGGATTTCAATTGATAATGAAGATTGACAAGGAAAGAAGAAATTGATAGTTGACAAGATCCACTTGAACTTTTGCCACGGGGCGATATACGCGCTTATCAGCTAGATACAGACATGAACCAAAATATGTAAACACGACTTCACAAGATTTAGGATTTTGGACAACTTTCACGGGCATCATTCAGGTTAGATTCCACGATCTCCAGCCCAGTCTATATCCGAATATCCACGGGTAGACTCAAAATGCTTTTCAAACTCCTCTGTCACCCCAATGATCTGCTTGAAATGCTCATAGTTGAGGGGTGTCTGGCAAAACTGCGCCAGATGCAAAGATGTGCTAACAGTGTTGCGGATCTGCCTTCCGTTGAGTTCAACTGCAGAAAGCTCTTGGATATGGCTTTTGAGATCGTCAATATTAACGTCGGAATTCGTTTTACTGAGATCGTTGATGAAGTTCAACCAGATCTCGTATCTGCCTTGGAAGTCCAGTGTCGGGTAATGAACTGCTAACTGGAAGCGCGATTTGAACGCACTATCCAATGTCCCGACACGATTTGTGGTGAGAATAAGAATGCCTTCATAGTACTCAAGGACACGCAGAAAGACGGATACCAACGCATTTCGTTGTAAATCGGTCTCGCGACGCTGTTCGAGAAATACATCTGCCTCGTCAAGAAGCACGACGCAACCCCACGCACTGCACATCAGTAGAACAGACTCGAGGTGCTTCTCAACTGCCTCCGCGCCCGTTCCAATATCTCCACACTTCAATCGATACAATGGTCTCCTGGTCAGTTCGGCCACAGCCTCAGCGGTTAATGTTTTACCTGTTCCAGGACAGCCGTGAAACAACATGACAAGGGCATTCCCTTTGCCCTCGATGATATCAGACGACCCGGCAGACTGTGTGTGGGATGTAGCCAAGGCCTTGATAAGTTCTTTCTTACCGTGCGACAGAACAAGTCGGTCAAATGCTCTTTCATTCCAATTAATGTCCTTGATGTGCTCCACGAGTAGAGTTCCTATGCCAAGTCAACACCTGTTATTGGGAAATAATGAGCGCGTGGGAAAAAGGTAAACGCACTCCACTTTTTGTCACTGAGCCCGAATCCATGTATTTCGTGTGGGAGTAGTAGAGCAAAATCATGGGGTGGTTCGTCGTTTTGCATTGTATCATGACTAAAAACAGGCTGCTCCGGAAAGAAATCAGAAGGAACGCCATGCACTTTCTGATAGGTTTCTGCATCGACCATGAACCGTGAATCGCGCTGAGAGACAAGGATGAGTATGATTCATAAAGCCAGCTTTGGATAGACTTACCTCATGCATACCTGTACCGGCGCTTGGGCAATCGTATGCTACGAGTCGGGCACGACGACAGTTCCAAAGTATACGACCCCTGGTCCTCAGGCGATTGAGCGTCAAAGAACAAGCATATTTCAGAGGGTATAACTCCAGACTAGCGATAATAATTGGTCGATCTGGTGGCATGGAAATTGACCATTCTAGGTTCCATTCCAGTGTCTCTCTTGAGAATATACCATTAAACTGCCAGAACCATAGCTTTAAAGTTATTGATCCTCTGTTAATGAGCGCACGTTCCACCATATAAGCTCGAGGGTGCTCATCCACGTTGGATACCAAGATTTGCCTGGGACCGTACAGACTAAGCAGATATTTTTCGTTGATGAGCCCATCTGGAAGGAGTCTATCCACCTCTTCGTACTCTTTTGAGTTAGTCGATTCCATGTACCCCAGCAGGATGTCAAAAAGAAGCCGGTCGTCATGTGCGAGAAAGCTTGAACGGTTTTCCGACCGACTGGCGTAGTACATAAGACGCTTAAACAATTTCCTATTGGGCGATTGATCAAGATGTGCGAGCTGATGGTAATCCATCCCCATCTCATGAGCGACTGCGGCTCGGAGTGTCTCGGAAACTAATTCCATGGTTTCGTAGGATATTCTGGCAAGTGAACTGTGCTTCGGAAGAACGAAAAAGTACGGCTTGACTGATTCGGGAATTTCAGGGTCATTTGGCGTTGGCAAGGGATGGAAGAATTCTTCAGCCGTATCAAGATGATCGACACACTTAAGCCATTTGTTGACTATGAAGACAACCTTTTCTTGGTGCTTGAGAAATTTGGGAACGTCTTCAATCTCTTTTTGGCCCCTCAGTGCACTCATCTTGCTATCGCCTTTGAATAGCCGCGGATGGTCGAGGTACACGGCCAGCTCCTTGTGGTTTGCATGAACTCCATCTCTGGAACATTTGACGTGATAAAAGACGACATAATGATGATCATTTTCCGCGTAGCTGTCAAGACGACAACTGGTCTCTGAGCCTTTTCTGTCGCCTGACCTCTCTGTGTATCTGGGCTGTAGAGTATGGTTGCTACTGTCAGAGCTGTCGGAATCATCGAGATATGCACTGATCGGGTCCCGCGAGAGGGAATCGGCGAGAGCTTGGGGCTCTTCCCTGGAATGCAATTCACTGGACTTGCTTGACTTAGGTGATGGCACAAACTCATGATCACCTTCTCGATCGGGACTGACTTCTATCGTGGAGGTATTGGAGGTTCTTGGTTCGGGCAACGTAGTTTGGACCGGGTCCGGAATGTCATTCGGGCGCAGGGGGGAGAGACCAGGAGAAAAGGTTGAGATAGAATCCCCTAGAGCCTGGCGATTGGTCCGAATATGGGGGGTCTTAAACACTTGTTCGGGATCCTCCAGCTCACCTGAGGGGAGAAATTGTATCAACTCCTTGGCATACGCAGCGGCCATCATGGCTGCATATCCCTGCCACCGTTTGTTTTTGTGCGAGTCAGAATAGTCGCATATTCCTCGAACAATGAGACTGGGAAATGTGTTCATCAAGCCAGCAGCTTCCATTTCGAAGCAGATGATGCCGTGATCTTGTGCAAGCTGGTCCCGCATTTTTGCGTCTCTTATAACCTTGTTCCCCGAGGCTACCAAACCGTAGAAGATCCGAGGTTCATCATCAGGTCGACAGTGGCGAGGCTGCAACATTGACAAGTCACATCCTTCGCAATGGGAGCTTGAGCCTATGTGGCTGTAGTCCGCAACGAACAGCCGATCATACTGCCCACCGGGATACGCAAATATTTCTCGCAGGCGTGGATTATGATTCAGTGTTCTCGTATGGATTATGCTGACCTGACTTCCATGCACCATGTTATGGGCTTTCAGCCGAGCAAGCCCCTTCGAGAACACGTCTGGGGGTGGATCCAATGTTCCTGTCGGGACAAAGTGACCCCCATCAACGGCTTTCCCATGGTCATATTGAATGACTCCCCCACATTGCAGCGTCGGCTCACTGACCACAACATCACCTAGTCGAATGTCCGACTCGAGGCTTGGGGCACCTCCTCCGATCCCGACGAGAAGACAGCACAAGATATACCGGTAGCTGAATCTCATTTGCGTCGCGGTCGCGGTCGCAGCGCTTGTACCGTATATTCCGGCTGGTAGGCATGTAATAACGACATTATTGCCGCCGATGCTTCCAAGGATATAAACATTTCTATCTCCTTCGACGTTTGGCAGCGAGGAATGTGTTGCATCCAGCATAGCCTGTGCCGCAGCCAGCTCCACTGGAAGCGCGCATATCCATCCAATTCGATAGTCATGGCGAGATGGCATGGAGGCGCCTAATATCCTCCAAGTGTGGTTAAGTACTTTGGTTCCGGTGAGTGATTTATACCTTTCCGTTCCGTTACTACGTCTAGCTTATGCTTTCGAGGTATCTTTGAGCTGCATAGAGAGGAGACAATAGCTTAAGCGACGAGGAACGAAACGTTAAGCGCCGCGGGGTAAACCAAAGACAATGAGGCTGAGCTAGGTACTTCCCACCCATTTTCACGGCGCTTAAAATAGACTGAAATATTTATATTCATATGATATATATATAATTCTGGAGTATGTTTAGCTTCTAGGAAGACTCTAGAAAAACAATCGCTCAAGTAGACCCCGAATTATCCGCGCACGACCAAGCGCCCGACCCCCCATCCTCATTATAAGAATCAATAATGGCGACAACCGAGCCATACGTGCCCGCAATCATCAAGAACGTGCCGGAAATAATAACAAACAAACTCCACCCGAGCCCCAATTTCCACTTCATCGTGCGCTCCGAATTCCCGACCTTCCAATTATCATACAACCACATGCAACCCATGGGCTGGAAGCAGAGGAACGTGCCAAGAAGCGCACCGATCAGCGAGACGAGACTGCTGAACACGGGAATACCGCTGGCAATGACGTAGGCGACTAATGTGGCGCCGAAGGTGGATGCGAACCAGGCGATCCAGTGCAGGGGGGTATGCGTTGAGAGATGATCGGTTCCACGAAGGAAGCGGATGAAGACGTGTTTGGCCGAGAGCTATCATCATATTAGTTTCACTTGATAGGCAGAGAGAGGATAAAGGGGACGTACATGAAGATAAATAACCATGGAAGCGATCAACCCCGGCAGCGCAATGCCATACGACACCTTCTCGAGAAGCCGACCAGCGGATCCAAGAGCCGGCGAAGCAACGTAGGAACCACAGTAGTAGTAAATGACAACACCGATGATAATGTACACGATGGTGACGATGCCCTGACTGAGGAACAAAGCGCGCGAGTATTTCTGAGGCTCACGCATTTCGGAGACGATGTTGAAGAAGGCGGGCGTGCCGCAGTAGGCGAAGACGATGGTGGAAACAGCAGAGATGGCTTCGGTGAAACTGGGATTGTTGAAAAGTTTGTAGTCGGAGGTGGGGATGAGGCCGTCTTTCTGGACAGGAGGGTGTCCTTGGACGCCGACGCCGATGGTGACGATGAACACTGTTCGAGGTTAGATGGAGACGTGGGAGGGCCAGAAGAAAACATACCTGACACAATAATAGACCCGGCTCCGACCCAAGCAAGCCAGCTGATACGGCCCAGAGTTTCTATGCTGGAGAAGATGAATCCAATGATCGCGGCGACAAGCACGAAGATGGCGGTGCACACTGCGTGGGTCGAGAGGGCATTGAACGCAATCGAGATGCTGAGGATGGCGGAACCAGCGACAAAAATCAAGACTAGATGGCATGAGAATGATGAGCAGATCAAAAGACATGGAGCGCACTCACAGAGACAGAATGTCGCGCCAAACACCTCATACCCAATGGGACCAAACAGCATGCGTCCCACGTCGTCGATACCGTAAACATGAGGGTGGCGCAGCTTGAAAACACCGATCATCCAGTCCGACCAGGTGGTGATGGTCGCAACAGTTAAGAGAATAATGATACCAGGGATGAGGCCCAGAGAGTGAAAAGCCATGGGTAACGAGAGAATACCCAGGCCCATCTGGGTCTTCATCATGAGCACCATCGTCCCGAGCCATCCGACCTGCGACGGTTAACATATTGACACCGAAAGAGAGAAATTAGAGCACACGCACATTTCGATAGTTCGGGCCGGACTCTGTGATTTCACCGAAGACAGCATCGTGTTCAATTGCCTTCTCCGCTAGGACTGGGTCGCCGGGGAATTGAGCCGGAGCGATAGCCTCGGGGTCGAGGTCAGTCTTTTCTTTTTTCGACATGATGCTGAAATAAAGTGCAGTGTGTACACTGACTGTATAGCAGACTCATGCGGGGAAAGGGGCAGATTTAAGAGAAACCAGGGAAAGAAAACCCCTCAGGCTAGGCCTCTTCCGGTATGCCATATCTACAGAAGGATGGCGTGGTTTACGGAGTCAAAGTCCAGAATCCAGCGACAGCACGATGGCCAGGGTGTCTGACTGCGATCCAATGGCAACGTGTCGATAATAGGCCCCCGAAGAGCAGCGGTGGCACAGGAGAGTGGCCCCACTGATAGGGGATGCTGGTGATAACACTAAGCCGTCCGTGGGATCTGCGCGAGACCACCGGAGTCGATACGGGACGGTGGGTCGTCGGTCCTGAATTGCCTCATGGTTCACGGAGTATGGGGGAAATGCGGAGAGGGACTCTGGGGTAACTGGTTTTGGGCGAGAAGGGCAATCCTACACCACTTCTTAGGGTGGGATTTTGACATCATGACCAGGTCGGCATCGCATGATGGGACGGAGTGGAATATCTATGACACATCGAATCCACGAGGCGATGCTTTAGAAGGAAGCTAAACGGGTAACGCGGGGTAGTGCGTGGACACTAGACGAGACCGTGGGATCTTATGGACGCTACTGTACCTACTACAGGCTAGGCAGAGCGAGCGACAATTGATTTGGCAAATTGGCACTGATAATTGAGCATCAGCGAGCCAATCACGCTGGCATGCGGGATTCAGCCACCGTCGATTCCAATGACACTACACCGGAGTCAGTTAGTGCACATCGAATTGAGTACGTAACATATTCTTCAGTTAATCTTGGCTCCTTCTGGTATCCATTCTACTCCGGACGGGGCATTGTGAATTGCAAGGTTGTTGCCTGTCGTTCCTTAACCAGGTGTAGGACTTCCTCCCAATCGGACTTCCCGCTTGTCCAGTCTGAGCCTGGAATGTCCTATGCGCACTCCGTACAACGGTACGACCAGGCAGGAATAAGGTAGGCCAAGTGTTCGGGAAGGAGATTGCCACGGTCGAAGGCGCAGGGTGGCGTGTCTTGTCTGGGATCACAGGGAGGCGGTTGGATGACGGTGAACCCCCCTTGCAGGGGCACATGACCTGGAAGCCATGCCCAAACGGGTTTCCCGGACTCGGTTGGACTAACGGGGCACTAGTCCGGACTCGGCAGTTGTGCGGGGCAAGTGCCGATATCTGATTGGCAAAGTGTCAGTCAAAGACCCTCCGGTATCGCCCGGAGATGCCGGCCTCGATTTCTCCGGTTGGTCTCAGGCCAGTCTTAGGTCCTTTCCGCTATCTCCCGGTGAGGCTGTCGCTGTGACAAATGCGGACGGAGATAACTATCTACGGTGTAGTATCTCTTCTTGAGTTGAGATCATTATCAGCTGTTCTCTAGTCTCGGAATCATTCCGCTACAACTTCGGGGAATCTTTACGTTCCCTATTTCAGCCTCTGGCGTCATCTTTCTATGGTTTGATCCTACGGAGTACATGATTGTTAATAAGATACGAACGTCTACCGACAGGGAAAGTAACCCCAGTGAGCAGGAGAGAAAATCCCTCAAACATCTTCTTGTGTGATACTTCTCTCTATATCTTTCATACGTGTTTATCTCCTTTGCTTTGTTTTTGTTTTTACAACGCTCCGGCTCCACATGCAACAAAGGGCATACACCGGAGTAGACTTCCCGTACACGCACTATATCTATATACTTTCTGCCGCCTCTTGGCCGTAGACAAAGTTTAATGCGCAATTTAACCCAAACTACAGTCGAGCGATCCCAAACCCATCACGAGCAATTACCCCTATCCTCTCTTTAGTGATCTCCTCAACACTCCTAACCCCAGCCAACGCCATGGTCCGACTCAACTCCCGTTCCAGAATATTCATCACCGTCTCCATCCCCGCACGGCCATCATACGCCAGCCCCCAAAGCGCCGGGCGACCGACCAGCACAAAGTCCGCCCCCAGCGCCAATGCCTTGAACACCGCCGTTCCCGATCTCACACCACCGTCCAGAATCACCGGGATCCTCTTCTCAACCGCAGCCGCAATCTCAGGTAATGCCTCGACAGTCGAACACGCAGCATCCAACTGCCGACCGCCATGATTCGACACGATGATCGCTTCCACACCATGTTCCACCGCCAGTAAAGCATCCTCTGCCGTCATGATGCCCTTCAGGATAATTTTCATACTGGTCACAGAGCGAAGAAACCCGATCGTGTCGGCCCAAATCAAACTAGAGCTGTGCATCGTTGAGCCCGCGGCATCTCGTAGCGCCTTCGCTTCAGTAGCGGATTTGGCGTTCATCAACAATCTGTTCACGCTGGGTTGGGACTGAGATGCTCGGTGCTTGTTGTCGAGATTCGGTAGGTCCATTCCAGGAGGTAATGTCACTGGCGTTCGTCGTTCCGCCAGCCGATTCCCCAGCACGGGGGTGTCGACGGTCAAGACGAGGGCTTGGTATCCGGCGGCTATTCCATGAATCAACACCCAATTTACTCGTAGCTTTCTGGGGTCATGGGAAAATGGGATATACCTTCCGCCCTCTTTATCAAACCCACACTCTTCCCTACATCCTCGTACAGATAAATCTGCATCCAAAACGGAGGCATCTCAACCCCAGCGCCCTCGCCTTCATTTGCCGATCGCACCCTTGCAACATCCTCTAGCGACGTTGTCGACTGTGACGACAAAATCATATTCAAATGCATATTAACCGCAGCTTTAGCAATATCAAGTTCGCCCTCCCCACCAGCTAACTTCTGCATAGCGCTCGGTGCAATTCCAATGGGCATTGAAGTGCGATATCCTAGGATGTTGATCGATGTGTCGACGTCTGAAACGTCGATAAGGACTCGAGGTCGGATGCATAATCTACTTCTAGTTAACATAGGCTTCCCGGACGAGAAGTGGGAGTATGAAGGAGGGCGTAGAGTACATACCTATCGAAAGCCTTTTCATTCCGAACAAGTGCCTTCTGTTCATCAGAGCCCGAGGCGTAGAATTCGTAGATATGCTTGGGTAGCTTGTCTCTCGCGATTTGCTCGACCTCGGTCACCGTTAGAGGGTTCGGGTGTTGTGGAGTGTCTGGTGATTTGGTTCCCATCTTGATGGTCAGTTGGAGTAAAGTGCGGCCAATTAGAGATCTATCGGATTCCAAATCTCCCAGACAAAGAAACCATCGGTAGGTCTTATCTTAGAATAAATGTTGAACTAACGTAATGTCGATTGGCTAGAACGGAAGAACGAAAATAGAAGAAAAGGCAGGTGTCGGCGTGACTTGCCCTGCTAAATGAACACGTGATGTTGTGGATAGATAAGACGTAGAGGGTGCCATGTTGGATACCCATCCCCGGAAACGTGATTTACTCTAGTGTACAATTTCCTGTAGTATTGATGCTAGAGCACATATTGTTATCAGTCAATAACTCTCCCCTACTTGGTTGGAGAGGATCATGTGTGTTCCTGCAATTTTGCCGACAGAGAACAGGATTGACCGTACTTGGCTGTTGCAACAGCCCGTCCAAGGGTTCATTGGAAATGATATGTAGGATCCATAAGAGCCCTAGACAGATTGGTTCGTCAACGGCAGTGCAATCTCACGATTGATCCGGCGAGGTCCCCAGCAGGAAACACATCCTGATACAACAACACAGGTGGAATGTGGTGTTATCGAGAAGATGCATTGATTCTATCTTTCTATGAAAATCAGCAGTGTTTCTTATCCCGGTCTTCGTGACTCATTTCATCTTGAAAGATCTCCGGCTCACTGGAAGCCCCCTCCGCAGGGTATGCTCGTCGTATCTAGACCTTCAACTCCAGCGAAAACATTAGCTTCAATACCTTCAACAATAGACGGAATCTAAGTGCGATTTTGATCGTGCTAATAAACAATCGCAACGCAGGACAAAAAACATACCATATCAAACCACCCTCCACCCCCAAACGCGCACGCATTAGGCCCTTCATTCCCAAACCCAAAACTCTCATAAAACCGGATCAAATGATCATGGGCAATAATCACAATCCGGTCCGCTGGTACTGCCCCAGATTTGATGTACTCAATGTAAGCTTTGAAGAGGGCGCGTCCGACCCCCTTGCCTTGGAATTCCCGCACAACGGCTAACGAATGAACAGCCACACTGCCGCCGTGGGGCTCACTGCCGACAGCTTCGCCGTTGACACTCACGACCTCGTCGGCGGCAGTGATGTCCAGTTCTCGGGCATTTCCATGCTTCCGTCTGTGACTCGAGTTGATGAGGTCCTCGTGGCGATGACGTGGGCGATGAGCTGGGGTGTTTGCGCCTCAGTAGGGTGGACGAATAGACCAAGGCAGAGGTCGGAGCATTTATTCAGACGGTAGAGAAACTGACGGTTGGTTAGTGAGTTCGAAGGAGTACGACTTGAGTATCAGAGAATATATACCTTCTGTTCCGAGCAGCGCTCCTGTTCAGGAAAGGCGCTTTCGACAGTCACACAGTCTTTCACGTCCGCCGAGGTCAGTGTCCGTGTGAAGGAGTTCAGATGCGCTAGTTGAGGGAAAGAAGACATTGTGCTAGAGCTCAGTAGAGCCTGTTGGGGGCTAATAGTGAAACCTTTGACGATGATGCATCGATAAGGGATCGACTCTCAATTTCCTTCCTTCTTGTGCCACTCTCAAGCATTCCTTGGGTTCAGATTTAGGGTTTGCGGCGCCATGTGGAACCCGAGCAGTGGGCCGCGCCCGTTAAACCCAATCAACATCAGTGATTCACGTCTTACGGCAACGCCTTAAGCCTGCGCCCACCACCGCAGTGGAGTCTGAGTCGGCTGGTATTGTGCAGGGCGCGGTGCTCGACTTTGACAGCGAGGATGAGGTGTCCATTTTTGGAGACAGAAAAAGATGCAAGTTCAGAGAGGGTGGAAGTATTCACAATTGTTTCGGACTCAACCACGTCTCAATGGCTCCGACCGATGCTAGACTCCATAGAACCGTCAGGAGGCAGTCGGGATCAAAATTCCATAGATGTGAACGGCCAAGGCGGCAAGTCGAGTCTGTCCTACACGACCTCGGACCTGATTGGGCGAAAAGTCACAATAATCGCAGAAGACTACATAGACTTGGATAGTATTGCTATCACGTTCGAAGGTATGCGTGAAATCAACCAGTTGAGCCACGCATGAAATGATTGAGATGCAGTCTGAAGTTGTCTATGGTCGTCAAGAACACCCACCTGCGCACGTCATGCTACCTGATCTGCATGGTCTCTAGCGTTGAAATTGGTGGCAGAGAATGGGACATTACAACGAGAATCGGCACCAATATAGTAGGGTGGCATGGAGTTGGCCACAAGGCCGCTATCTCTGGTGCAAAGACATGTTCGCCTCGCCAATTATCCATCGTTTATCCCCTGCGAAAATGGCTGCTAAGATGCTCAATGCGCTGCTCACATGAGGACAGGCGGCTGTCGCAAACTCCGCACCCGGAGGTCACAACAGGAGCATGTCCCTTCCAATCATCTTTAAAAGGGAATGTGTCCAGGTGATGAGTCCGTCGCAGGTGTTGAATGAGATGATCTTTACGATTGAACGAGTGGTCGCCGCCTAAGCACGCCTGGTAATTATGTGTGTTCAGATGCTCCGGGGTGGGATCCAGCACGTTACAGTAGGAGCAATGATTCCTCCTTGTGATAGGAGAAACCACCGAGCTTCCATGAGGAGCACAACGCCAAGTCTCCAGGTTCAAGTGGAGAGACTTCTCATGCCGAGCCCAAACATGTTTGGTCTTCAATTGATCACAGCAAAAGGTACAGCAGATCTTGCGACCTTTGCTTTGAATTGTTGTCGATTTGTCCTTACGCACACGCCCTCCGGATCGGTTCTTTTAAGATGTTGTCGAGGTTGCCGACCTGACAGAACGCCCAGAGTGACGAGAAGAAGCGCTGTGAGCACTACTTCGCGAACTTGTGGCCGAACCGGCTCGCCGGTATCCGGTGAATGGGTCATGACTTTGAAAAGAATATGGCGTCCCGACCCCGGCAGCTTCGGCTGGTAGCTCTCCAAGGACCTCATAATTGCAGACATGGAAGCCGGTTCATCCTCGGGTGGGGATTCCTGCCATCTCTGCATCGGATTCGGGGTGTCCAGTGGGTTTCCGAGGAATGTTGGGACAACCTTTGAATTTGTTCTTTGCAGATGATGTCCGCTTTTCTTCCTAGGTAGACCCCCGTGCACCGTTGGTGCGAGAACACGGTCCCATAGACTTGGAGACTTTATGTTTCCACTGCCAGTTGTAGCGAGCGCATTCGGCACAATGTACAACTGAGAGGCCAATGGCTCCTGGGGTTGTGGAAAGTGGACCTTCTGTGCTTCCGAGATGCAATTCGACTGCGCATTATCTGCCTGCCCGGGCCAGCGCGCGTCTTGGGGGTTGTCCGTGAGCGGGGTCCATTGCGATCCATGACCTGCATGACTAGTCTGTCGAGTACCCTAAAACGTAACCGGTATATCCGACCTATCACCAGAAAACCATGGATATTGATGCTGGGTATTCGGTGAGGATTGAAAAACCGGGACCTGGTTACGAAGGTAGTCGAGGTCTGAGGGCGGCGGTGGAAGAGAGGATTTCACAGAGTCGTGGGTTAGCGGGGAGTCTGTCATAAACAAAGACAAATTAGTATCACATGTACATGAGATGCAATATTCTGAGAATAACCCACGATGCTAGGAATTGTTTTCGGCCGGCTGATTCACTTCCGGCGTTGCGGCCTCGGAATTGGGATGAGATGTGCCGCCGTCCATTGTAACCCGATATTAACGTTGCTGGGATGCATGATTACCTAGCTTTCCCACAGTGCGGCAGTTTTAGAGACTCTAGCCAGCTAAAATGCGTCAAGACACGGCAGGATCTGACGGCGTTGCGGGGAGTTGATAGATGAAGGTCGGTGATGCTATTTCGGCCTTCGCGACGCGCCAAGACTTTCGGCAATTATGTCATCAACCGCTGCTTCGGTATGACGTCATTCCCTTTAGGAAGATTAAAAATCCTTGCCATCACGAAGGAGCTTGTACTTCTGTTCCTGTCGCCGATACACTTAATTTCTTGGTGTCCCAATCAGTACTCATAAAGCCATGTCTCGAGGAGATACACTCCAACATCTGATCAATAAATGAAACCTAATCGGTAATTCTTTGCCCTTAGAGAGCCTTATCTCTTCAAGACGCGTGAAAAGAGTGTGGAGCAGAGGGCCTGTAGTTAGGCATTCTCCCCTTTCTCACTCATATTATTCTCCAGGCTGCTCTCACGTATGTCGGTGAACAAAGCAACCGCATCATCATAACGGTCATTTGGGGTCCACCCATCCCTTGCGATGAAGCCTTCAACAATGTTCCAAAAGTTTTGCATTTCATTCCACCCCTCGCCTTCCTCCGTGTGGGTCTGGAGTTCCTCCTTATTGAAATGAATAGGACAAGGGAAGTCGAAGCCCAGTTTACTCCAGTATCTACTAGCGATCAGCCATTGCTTGCATGAATATCACCATAGAATTCCCATTCCATGTGTTGTAACTCAAGGAGGCTCACCGCTCTATTCTGATCAAAGAATCTCTGAAAGGCAAGATCTCATCATCCCAAGTGTCACCCACGAACAGTATTGGCTCGGTCCTTATCCGACCGTTTTCAATTCGAAGAACTCTGTTGAAAAGCGGGGCCTTGTTGGCAATCTGCTTTTCGTAGAGATATAGCAGTATAGAGCTACTCATTTGCTCTCTGACTTTGTCCTTGTCGCTCGGATCAAGGTATTTGAAATTCTCCGGGGCTTTCAAAATGAATTCCCCGTTGTAGTCAACCAAACGTGCATGGCGTGCGCGAAGCATCAAAGGCTCGGCCCATATACCTTGCCAATCTATCACGCTCGAGATTTTGCCCTGGTCGACAAAAATGTTGCCTCCATGGAGATCTGTATGCCATACGTGTGGGGCGATCATCGCGGGGTCACCTGGCAAAAGAAACGGGGCAATTCTGAGAAACTTTTCGAATAGTGATATATGACTATTGGGATTGTTCTGCGACTCCGAGATATCAACTTCTGGTCTTGGTGTCGCGTGCTGTTGAATCCACGCCAGCTCTCGACGAGCAAGAGAGATGATATAATCTTGCGGTTGTTTCCCTGCGACCGATAAGCATATGAGGTAATAGATCAAGCGACTCAGACATACAAGACCCGCGATCAAGGTTCATCGTCGCGCGTTCCTTTTTCCAATATCCTCTAGCTGTAACTGGACCAATGGAAAAGCGTTGTTTGACACTATCCTTGACTGCCACAGGCACATCGCCAATGACGTCTGCTGCAACAGCGCCGGCAATGTTGTCCTTAGCAAAATATAGGTTCCCGTACCTGAACCCTTGTTAGCACAGGAGTATCGTATTCTTTAGTCCCAAATATCACACCTGTGAAGAGACACAGAGAGTAACTTCCTCTGAATTTGGACAAGCTCTTACATGATCCCTACCTTCTTCTCCAAGGGGAATTCATGCCATACATCTTCCAGCTTCACGCCAGGGGCCTCCTGCATGATGATGTATTCAGAACGAACGGGATTGTCGCAGTTCGCACACCATGCATACACCTCGGGGGTTGGGATGTTGAGAACACTCCGAGCCTTGGACGTCATCAGAAATATGTGAACGTCAAGGCAAGAAGAGGACTTACAAACTCCATTGTTGCCACCTCCGAAGCCGTCGTGTAGAACTTGGGTCGGGCGATTGGATGAGGTATCCTTGCGATGACAGCCAATCCGTTGTCCATAGTTAATCTGAACGCCTTGTTGAAGGAGCCTTCTCCTATTTTAGCGATCGCAATGCATTCTGTAGCGTCAACACTTCTTGCAGCAGCTCTCTGGAGCTCAGGCACGTTGAATGGGGTGTATCGGTCGCGAAGCTCCTGTTCTTCATTCCAGAGCCAGCGACCGCTGGTATATCTGAAGAGATCGTCATGTTCAGGACGCGTTGTCGCTCGTGTTGTATAACGCCTCGGCGAAGGGATGACAGCCAGAATGCGGGAACGACCTGATTTTATACTGGAAATTGCCAAATCTGTTATTCGGAAGCGATGTAGTAGCACGCTCCTTGCCTGATTAATCATATTTGATGAAGTCGAGATGAGCGTGGTTCATGTTCCTGTTTTTGTTGATGCAATGTGGCTGAGAGACGCGTCGACCCTGCCGGAGTCACTGGCGACTATGGCAGGTCAACAGGCTATGCAGCTCAACGCAGAATCGGTTGCCTCCAGAATCACACCATTGAATTGGTGCAATCTACTTACAGAATAGAATGTGCCATTTCGGGGAGCAAGGTATGGGCTAGCTGGGATATACAAACCGTCAATAGGAGTTGACGTTCTTTCCTCATCGGAGATGTACGCAAATATATCTTTAACTCATGAAAAGAACTGCGGAACTTTCCGCAACACTTGCCAGCTAACAGCGAGAACGAGAAATACAGCGCTTCACATGTAGTATAGATTAAATGTATGTCTTAAATGTCCATGGAATTGCTGCGTATGTGCCGTAGGACAAAGATTGGGAGGGCGGGACATCACGAGGCATCAAGATATCAAGGCAACGAGGCAGAAAGGCAGAAAGGCCAAGGCCGCGACCCGGCATCAAAACATCACGTGACCATGGCGTTTGCGCAGGCCTGACTTGACAGCTTCTTCGACTCTTCGCTCGCCATGAAGAGAACGACTTTCACAATTGGCAGAACCATTGACGGGGTGCTTCTGAGGCTACTCAGGCCCTCATATGAACACAAAAACCGCTGGGGAACATTTTAAAAGTCGACGACAGACATGCCACCATCCTCTGCAGCACCCTCGGTTCTGGGCACTCGACAGCGAGCCAAACAAGCCTGCGAGACATGCAAGCAGCGAAAGCGAAAGTGCGATGGCAAACATCCATGTGGCTTCTGCGTCCGATACGAATATGACTGCTCCTTCGATTCTCAGCCTCGGAAAAGGCCAGCCACGGGCCATACGCGACATGTGCCAAGAAGGGAGACCATACGCTCTACGGAAGAACTACCAAGGCAGCTTTCGAATGAAATTGAGATAAGCCAACAGCGGATGGAAGCTACCTCGGGAACTGCATTTCCTCATGTTCTGGGGTTGAAACTCAACCCTCGAGACGCCCCCGGGGTATACGGCATCAGCTGGAATCTCGGCCTCAGAGATGAACCGACGCGCGCTTTTACAAATCTGACCAATTTGCTGACACATGCAGAAATGGACCACTACACATTCATCTACTTGGACCACATACATCCGATCTATGCGATTCTCAGCAAGGATAAGTTGCTCGAAGAGATTGCTGTGCGATGGCAAAACCCGGACATAATTGGCAGCTATGATCCCGTCTTGTGTGGTGTAGCCGCCCTGGGTTCGCTCTTCTCGGGACCTGAAAGCCAACCTCATCCACGAGAGGCTGAGATAGTGCAGTGTGCGAGAGAGATGCTGGAGATGACCAGCATGATTAAACGACCGTTATTGCACCATGCCACGGCCTGGGTTCTCCGGACGTTGTATCTACGAACCACCAACTCTCCGCATGCATCTTGGATGGCGAGCTGTACTGCAATGCATATTATCGAAGCTACGGGCGCTCATCAGGACCCGCAATCGGGGTCATTGGTCTATCTTGACACCCATGACACGGGTGGCGACTGTGACATCCCGAGAAGCCTATTCTGGGTGACTGTTACCTTGAACGCGTGGATCTCTAATGAATACGGCCGTTCCCGCGTGTCCATTCGTGGAGTGACGTGCAAAAAGCCTCTGCACGGGGATGGCAATTGGACGGCAGATCTGATAAGTGTCTACGAAATTTCGCAGCAGCTGGATCAAGAGCATGGCAATGATTCTGCAAACCTGCTGGATTGTTTGAGTCGTTTGGAAATCCCTGTATATGGCCCTGACGCGCTACAGCTATCGCGGGTGAACCTCGTTCTTACTATCTACCGACGCCTTCGAATCTCGTGCCCTATCATTCCCAAGGATGCCCAGGCTCGAATTATCGATGCCGCAATCGTGGGCCTTGAATCGGCCGTAGAGCTTTCCGAGGAACGCGGTCCTTGGTGGCATGTTGCCAATGTCCCATTTCAAGTTGTCTGTACGCTCTTGGCTATGGACTCGCGGGAGTCCTTGATGCACATCCCGCAGGCAATGCGGTCACTGAGAAAAGTCTCTCAACAGTTCCACACCGCGAGTATACGGCACGCAGTCGATGTTGCCGAGTCACTCATTCGGCTGTCACGACAGAATAAACAAAATGAACTGTTAGATCTCAACCAGGCCCTGGACAGTCACGATGGGGAAGACAATATATTGAATCAGTCAATTTACGGAATCCAGGAGATGCTGGATGAAGACGGCGAGCCAGATCTCGATTGGGATGCCTTCTTGAGCGCTGATATCCCGCTTTTTGACAATACTTCCCTGAATGCGCCAGGCCAACCCTCAAATTGACGGAAGCTGAGTTATACGATCCTGACCGCTAGCAAGGGGCCGTGAATCGAACCATCCGGGCCCGAGGCGGAAAGAGCGGAAAGGGTGGATGGAGCGGAAGATGCGAGAATCTAGTCAACACCTGCCATCGCAGCTACAAATATTTTATTTTGTGTCGCCTTCTCGTTTGCTGATAGCATTCCAATTTTTTCTTTGGCTACCAAGCGGGCGCAATATGCAATCATTTTTGCAATATCGTCGGCTGCGCAACGATCTGCAGCAAACAATCCAACTAAGCGCCCACGATGTCCCCAGGAGCTACCAACCAGCGAATTCCAGCGACGAATCTTTAGATGACGAAAAGTCTCCTTCAGAAAAGTCAATCGTCCTTCATACAGGCCAACGAGTGACCATTCCTGGTGTCACCGTCCAAACTTCGCGCGATGGAGGCGGCACAATACTATTTGTTGTCGGATTCGACAGTCCCGATGACCCGCTCAATCCGAAGAACTGGTCAACACGATATAAATGGCTCACATTGAGTATTGTTGGAACCACGGGGTTTCTGGTCGGATGGGCCTCTGCCATTGACTCCGCCGTCATCCAACAAGGTCAAGAGGCATTTGGAGTCAGCAAGATAACAGAATCATTGGCCACCGCGCTGTATCTCTTTGCCTTCGGCTTTGGGTCCCTTGTTGCGGCACCCTTCTCGGAAACTGTTGGACGAAACCCAGTGTACCTGGTGACCTTGTCGCTGCTGATGATTTTTATCATGGCATCCGGTCTTGCCCCAAACATTGGTGCGCAGTTGGCATTTCGTTTTCTCGCCGGCATATTCGGTTGCACACCTCTCACCACCTTCGGCGGCAGCATGGCCGACATCTTCAATCTGATGGACCGAACCTATGCCTTCCCAGTGTGTTGTACTTTGTCGTTCCTTGGCCCGTTCATGGCCCCAATGGTCGGCGCCTTCATCGGCCAAAGTACCGCCATCAGCTGGCGCTGGGTAGAGTGGACATCATTGATCTTGGCGGGCCTGATCACTGCGGGAATATTTTTTCTCGTTCCCGAGACATACGGTCCCGTACTTCTTCACTGGAAAGCGCATCACCTTCGTGCAATAACCGGTGACCAACGCTTTCGTGCTGAGATTGAGATCCGCCAAGCTAGCCTTGCGCAACGCCTCTTCACCAGCTGCTCACGACCCTTCGAGATGTTCTTCCAGGAGCTCATGGTCGCCCTGTTTACCATGTACCTGGTGATCGTCTACATCGTTCTTTTTGGCTTCTTGACCGGCTACGAATTTATATATGGCGAAACATACGGATTCTCGCAAGGCTCCGTGGGCCTCGCCTTCATCGGAATGAATATCGGCTTTCTAGTCGCCTTTGCCCTTGTCCCTCACATCTACATGTCCTACAAAAAGCGTCTGCTGGTAGCGATTGACAATGGTGAAGGCTCACTCCCGCCAGAAGAACGCCTCTGGTTCGCCATGTACGCAGCACCGTGGCTACCGATCTCTCTTTTCTGGATGGGCTGGACAAGCTACCCTTCCATCTCATACTGGTCATCACTCGTGGCGTCTGTTGCATTCGGGTTTTCAGTCCAGGGCATCTTTATTTCCAGTTATCAGTATCTTATTGATACGTATGAGGTATATGCTGCTAGTGCGCTGGTCAGTGCCACGTTCATGCGATATCTAGCTGCTGGAGCTATGGTGATTGTTTCGATCCCTATGTACGGAAACATCGGGGTTCATTGGTCGCTTACGTTGCTGGGCTGTTTGTCGTTGATTATGACACCTGTGCCGTATGTGTTCTATAAGTTTGGCCATGCGTTTCGGAAGAGGAGTGGTATGGCGCGGGAGGAATAGTATGTGGCGAAGCCTTGCTACCTCAGTGTCCATTATAAGCTGCAAAAGCATCTGAACTCTTGGGCAGAAGCCGTCTTTGGATTTTATTACAGGTTAAAGAAACAGGGTCGAGATGTGTTGATAGAGTATTAATTTTGAGTTTCTGGATTCTCCAACGAGTAAGTAATACAAGAGAATGTGTCCAGTGATGGAGTCTCGTTTCTTCTGCGGATCCAAGCTTGTTTTTCGTTGAATTCCATAAATTATACCAACCCATTCAGACCAGACATCTCAAGACTGGCAAACATTCAACAAAGCCACAGTCGGATCATGGTCCGATTGTTGGTCATCGTACGATACCCAGGTGTTAACATGAATATGCTCCATCTTGGCACCTTCCGTCAACGCCTCACTGATATACATATGATCCAGCTGCTGACAGTTCGAATCATACAGGTAAGTATATCTCTCGGTCGCCGGGGTATTCACCACGTCATCGATATCCAGGAGCTTCGACTCTGACGTGAACGTAGTCAGTGGCTGAACGAATGCGAACTCGTTGAAATCGCCTGAGGTGATGATCTTGGCTTTGCCGTCTTCGGCGAGGATCTCGGTGATAAAGCTCTATAATTATTAGCACTGTGCATCCTGGGAACATGCGGGAGGTGTATACTCACAGCAACAATCTTCGCCTGCTCCTCCCTCTTCTCAATTCCCCCGTTCACAGGAGGTCTGGCATCACCATCAATCGACGACCCACCCCCCTTACTCGTGAAATGCACATTGACCGTGAAAAACTTATTCTTCCCATCCAGGGTCTCCCACGCCGCGATGAGTGGCTTGCGACTATTATCCCAGGCCGAGTTACTCGGATCGATCAAACCGGGGTTATATTTCAGCTCAGCACCGGAAAGAACCTCATTGCTTTCGCTGCTTGTTCCGGGGTTCGGAGTGCGCAGTTGCAGGACTTCAGGGTCGTAAAGGTATGCGACGCGGATGTTGCCGCCTGGTTGGCCGCCGTCTTTGCCGTCGATGGGGTCGATGTTGATGAAGTCGTAGGTGATGCCGCCTTGGGATTTGATGGAGTCGGCGAGGGCGGAGAGGGTCTTATTGGCGGAGATGACTGTGTGTGTTAGTTTACTCTGTTGGTGCGAGATATGGGTGAGTGGGGTGTAAGATACCTCCATCGTTGGTAGCGCCGTCGTCGTCTTGGATCTCTTGCAAGAAGACAAGGCTAGGACTCTTCAATTCTCTGGCGATGTGGCCTGCGATGCCGGTCAAGGTGGACGAGTTGGGCGAGAGGTTATTCACGTTGTAGCTCCCGACGGTCAGGCCACTGCAGGTGCCGTCGGAGACCAAGTCCGTGGCTTCAGCGGTGGTCGAGTTTGAGGCGGTGACGGAGAGCTTGGTCAAGGGGAGGAGGGCGTAGTAACCGTAGGCTTGGGTCACAATGCCCGTGATGTCCTCGATAGTGTCCCCGACCTTCGTATCAGTGGGATTCTTGGTTCCGTCTAGCGGGGATCCGACGATGATGGCTTCGGGATTGGAGTCTGTAGGATTTCGTTAATACATCTCATCGTCTTGGATGGAGCTGGGACAAGATACCCTTCTTCTGCATAGTCAATCCGCCGCGTTCATTCCTCCCCGTGGCCGTCCAGTTACCGATCACCCAAGTGTCTCCGTACTGGTTTGGCTTTGTGATAGCATTCAAGCCACCAATCGTGACCAGTTCGCCACTGAGACTTTCCCAAAAATCCATGCCATACTTGGTCGGCTGCAGAACGGCGTTCGTGCTAGAGATCTGACTCGCGTTGTTCGGTATGCCGAAGATATCTCCCTCGTCTAAGGCAGAGAACTGCTCCGTCGGAGGACTCAGACCCTTTGGTCCGATCACCAGTGGCACGACCTCGTTATCGCTCGATACCACAGTGATATCCGATGGGGAGGTGAGCTCAGTCAGATATACGTACGCCTTCGATGAGCGATACTCGGAGACCTTTCCGCCGAGCGTGATGATATCTCCGACCGAGACTTTAGACACCGCACTGGATCCATAGACATACAGCGACTCCGACGTTAAAGACGAGTTGTCAGGGCTGGTCGAGCGAATGTAGAACCCGCTCGATCCCTTCGCAGTCACGAGGCCGCGGACATTGGAGACGATTTCGCCATTGTAGGAAGACAGGAAGCGATTGCCATTGATTTCGCTAACAGAGACAGCCAGAGCTGCAGGGAACAGCAGCGCCGAAGCAGAAAGCGAAGCTAAAGACCTCATCTTGAACACTTTGTGGACAAACTACGGATAATTTCCAGGACTCACCCCCTTCATATAGCTTCCCCTCACGACGCAATTAAATGACATGTGAGTGAATGCTGCCAAAATACCCCATGATTGGATAAGAGATAAGAGGCCGAGAGTAATCAATAATCATATCTAGGGCCTGTCTGGGCCAGTCAGAGTTCGCGATAATGACCACGTTGGAGCCAAGTCTGCAGCCAAGACGGCCGGTCACAGATGGGGTTACATCGTCCAGCTCAGTTTGATGAAGAACTCCCCGCAGCTCTGAGAAGGTCAGATCATAGGCCAATGTGTCGGCAGTACCTGAATATCCCCTCTTTATTTGGAAGATAAGAACTTGGCTTTCTGTAAGGACCATGCCATCAGGAGCCCTCTAGTAGCGGAGGACTCCGAATTGAGTTCATGCTCGGGAGAGCCCGAAAAACAAAAAAAAAAAAAAAAAAAAAAAAAAAAAAAAAAGAAAAAAGAAAAAAAAGGAGACGAGAAGCTCAATTTGAGTTCCAGCTGCATAGAGATAGTCTCAATCGAAAACATATGGTTTTACTCTCATAGAATTGAAAGCTCACCTCATGCTTCCCTTGCAGGGTGGTCAACAAGCAACCCACTCTCACCGTCAGAGCCTTTTGCAGCAGTGAAGTATACGGAGCATCATTCCACACGAACTCGCAGCCACTCTATCCACTGTTGTTCTATATTCCCTTGTTCGTTTCCCTTCCAGCTGTTTTCCTCCCTTTGTCTTCCTCGCGCTCTCTGGTTTCTATTGCAGCTAGATACTATTTCTGGCTATAGAAGCTTAGGACTAGGGCAGGATCACGGCAGCAGAAACACGTGGCTTGCATGTAAACCGTTCCTAACCGTGCAGTAATAATCTGTTTGAAAATCTTTACCATTGGTATCCATGTGTACTAAACATATAATCCCGACTGGCATCGATAAGCGCCGGGGTCTCTTCCGAGTTAAACAATCCACGGCGCTAACAGCCGCACTCTGCTTTGTTGATTGTCAACGACACGGAACGAAAGTTGTTAAACTAGTGATGCTCCGAAGTCTGGCGGCAAGTCTTATGGTGTGCTCCAAACCTTCCTCGCGTTTCAACATCACTATTACAATTCACAGAAAGCATCCTTCGAGTCTTTCTACCGAAACTCGTATTCACTTCCCTCAAACGCTCCAGGAACAATGTCCATGGATTCAGAGTCAGAAGAGATACTTCCATCCGCCCTTGGGGCCCAAGAGCGTGAGAGAGCAACCGGTCTTGCGAGTTACATTTCGTTCCAACCAGGAGATACCCTGAAAGATGGGCGCTATCGGCCATTTCGCAAGCTTGGTGAAGGAAATTTTGCGTCCGTTTGGTTGGCGAGGGATACTCTTCTGGACAGATATGTCGCCATAAAGATAGGTCTCGCTTGGCGACTACAGGCACAGGATCGGGAGCTTTCGCTTCTTCGGCAACTAAAAGATCGCCCTATACCATCTCACCCAGGAGAAAGGCATGTCGAAGCTCTCCTAGATGATTTTCATCACGAAGCGCAAAATGTCACTCACCCGTGTCTCGTATTCAAACCGTTCGGTCGCGACTTGGACGGACTGGTCGCAGGCTTCCGAATGGACCGACATCAGCCATATCCATTTGCGAGGAAGGTTTGCATCCAAGCATTGCTGGCTGTCAACTACCTCCATCAACAAAATATCATGCATGGCAATATTCAAGCCCACAACCTGCTACTGGATCTGACCTACGACATTGACAAGGAGTCCGAGGATGAGATTCGTGCGAAAAACACCAAAGGCAATGAGCTCAATGAGCCAGACGAGCCATTTCCACTCGACGACAGAACCCTCATTTCTGCCACCTCTCCGACCAACGCAAGAGCTGTTCTAGTAGATCTAGGCTGCGCCTCCACTCCAGCCAATGCTTGGAGCAACAGATACGGTTATCCAGTCCCGTATCGCGCACCGGAAGTGGTGGTCCGAGGCGACGTGAATTATAGAGCCGATATATGGGCCCTCGGCTGTCTGGTCTTCCAGATCATCACGGGGGCTCCATTGTTCGTCATCGAGGGCTGGGGAGACCCTGACCAAACGAACATCGAACATATGTATGCCTTCATTGAGATGTTGGGACCTTTACCAAAGTCTCTGCGCGATTTCTGGTCAGCCGCCGATGAACATGTCAATATTGAGGGGGAGCTACTTAGACCCTTCCCAGAAGATGAGAGGACATTGCCTCTCACTGGATCCATAAGAGAGGAGAGCCCGGAAGGAATGAGCCAGGAGGAGGTATCGGCGTTTGCTGAATTCATGGCGATGATGATTTGTTTCGATCCAGAGGAGCGAGCGTTGACAGAAACCCTTCTACAGCATAGATGGGTCACCGAGTTTGCAGTCGACAGATAAGATGGTGGTTCGATAGCTTGGTCAGATCTTTGGTAAAGGCGAGTTGAATCTGGAATCCCAATGCTTTCCCATGATGGCTGTTCGTATGTGAGTGGATGCCTGAGGAACTCCACAGCCTCCAGGGTCATCCGCATGCGCTTAGTTTTTCTTTTCATTCCTGCTTCTATTTTCTTTTTTAATTTTTGCCCCGCCGTCTTCCTGGCTTGATGCTGGTACAGTACGCCCATCCTACCGAGGCTGAGAGTAACAATGTCTTCTAGTTAGGTGAATGCTACTTCAACTGGACGGAACACTACTCCGTAGGTTTTCTTTGGACAGCGTAGACTCTGGCTGTCATTTTGACGTCAGCCACCCGCTCTTTGTCTATCACCGAAAGGCTCTAATCGAGCAAGGACATCGTCAACAGATCTCCAGCTAGTGATCCACTTTGCACCATGCTCGCAGTTCCTCCATCAATTGAGCTTGCTCTGACGGACAAGTACCCCCCTGTACCTTTCACAACCTTTCGAGACCTGTACAATGCTGTTTCTGCGAGACACGACAAGCTGTATCATGGTTTCCAGGACCAGTACCTCTCGTTCTGCAACCTCAAACCTGCGCAGTTTGAGATACTCGATGCCCGAAGAACACTGACTATCGGAAAGGGTGCTAGATTCACCTACTTTCCCGACATCGAGACACTGATAATCAAACTTACATCGGGGGCCACTGAAGTGGCACACTCGAATTTGTCTATGAGTATATATTTGGAGGTTGTTGGAGTAAAGCGACGTCAGGTGGCCGGTGCAGAGAACTTCGACATGCAAGAGTTCTGCCCGATAGGTAAAACGACGTTCACTGGTCAGAACGGCTCCGTGAAGGAAGGGGACTCAACATTTATCAACATCATCCAGCGGCCGAAGAACAGCAACTGGCCCCATCTAGTCATTCAAGCTGGGCTGTCAGAGGCCTTGCCCCGGCTCCGGTCGGATGCTAGATGGTGGCTAGAGCACTCGGGAGGACAGATCGACATCGTGATCCTGATCTGGATTCAATCCACGGCCAAAATCATTACGCTGGAGAAATGGACACCAGGAACTGCGCTCACGAGGCGCAGCCATCGCCTGGCGCAGTCGAATGCGTTTCCCACACGAAGCGCAGAGATCACAATCAATATATCGGAGTCACCTTCTGTTATCACGGGTGCCCCCTTGGTTCTTGAGTTCGAAAAGCTAGTCGGCCGCCCTGCGAACTCGCCCCTCGAACAGGATGTCATATTGACAGATCATGATCTTGATAAATGGGCGATGTTGATACAAGGCGTATTATGAGGCCCTTAGGTCAATTAAGAAAGTTTAACCTAATCCGATGGGCTCTACAAGTTTAAACGCTATGGTATGCAAGCACTTGCTCTAATGAAATAAAATTTGACACCCGAATGCCCAGTAATCCCCTAAACAATTCACAGCCAAAGGCGACAGCAAAAGAAATAAACGAGGCTTTCAGCTAAAGAGTAAGAGCCATGTAGGCAGGTTTAAGAGTTATTACATCTGCGAAGGTTTGTATGGCCCACTCTGCTTGTCGGGCACTTCCTTCCTCAACTCTCCAAGGTTATTCTATGTTTCCTGCGCTGCTCTGCCCTCAGCAATATTTATCGATTTACGACTTGTTTGCCACCTTGTCATTCTCATTTGTCCAAGAGAAGAGAATATCGGCTCCAAGTCAGATAAAAGAGCATTATATCGAAATGCTGCCCGCCATGCTGCCGGTTGCGCTATCTCGAGTTCTGGCCCTGTCTGACACTATTCCCCCGATCCCATTCACGAGCGTCAAGGACTTTGAGAAGGCCCTGGACGAGAGACGCCAGCTGTTAGAGCATGGAAGGGGGGATGATTAGTTTGTTGCATTCTCCCAGGTGTCCCCGGCCAAATCGAGAGACTCCAGGCTCAGAGGACTGTGCTTAGACATCACGCCCGATTTACGTACTTCGGCGACATCCAAACCCTCATCATGAAACTCCAGACGCCAGTCCAGGGGAGAGCCCACAGTCTTCTGGGCCAGATGACTGCCCGAAAAGCTCAAACGATGGGGCTGGGCCTCATGGATTTTGCCGGGCAAGGGGCGACCAAGTATGTGGGACAGCAGAAGTCAACAAATGAGGGCGACGCATCGTTCATCAATTTGCGTCAGCGACCCAACAAGGATGACTGGCCGCACCTTGTCATCGAGGCTGGACTGCCCCAGTCTCTGCCACGACTGCAGTCCGCTGCGAGGTGGTGGCTCGAACACTCGGGCGGCAAAGTAGACCTTGTCGTCCTTCTCTCGATCAAGCCAACGGAAAAAGAGGTCACGATCAGCAAATGGGTGCCGGGGCCCGTCTCAACTGCCAGATACAGCTGACGCCTTGCTCATTCCACTATGACGGGTGCGTCTCTTACGCTGGAATTCGATAGGGTTTTCGGGCACCCTGCCATTCCACCCCTTGAGCACGATATTTTTTTCAGCGCCCAGGACCTTGATGAATGGATTAGTGTGTTGTTCACTGGCTACTAAGCTGGGGTTACGGAGGAAACTGTTCAAATGGCCAGGCTTTGAATCTTCCGAAATAATCAATCTTTGTCCTAGCAAGATCCAGTCGATCTATATCATTCAGAGCGGGGCAGTCACAATCTATCAACTTCAATTATCATGCAGTAACGAGATAACACCCTGAGCAGTCCCAATCGAAGTCTCAAACTGAAGCTTCCACCACTCAACAACCTCCCGATTCTCCATGAACGTAGAGAACTGAGTCAGGGGCGTAGAAGGATCATCCCAAATACTTCCCGCAGTAGATGACAAGTCCTTACGCGCTAGATAGCTCCCGTTGAAGTTCTTTTGATAATCGTCACTCAACAACCAGCTCATAAACAGCTTCGCGCTTTCCGGATGAGAGGTCGAAGCAAAGATAGCACCGGTCTGTGGCCAGTACACAAATGTGTCCTTGGGGTCCTTACTGACCAGGTTCCCTTGGGGCGAGGTGGTGAACGACAGTAACTGAGTTGAGTTTCTCTGGCTGATCTCAGCTGCCGGCTCGCCGGTACCACGGACCCATTTCACATCTTGTTTGAGAAGGGCCTCAAACCACTCCCAGCCGTACTGGTTGATGATAATAGAGAATAGATACAGGACGGCATCATCGTCGTTAGGGTAGGTTAGCACGAGCTTACCCTTCCATTCTGGACGAAGGAATTCATCGTACGTTGACGGAACATTGGCCTCTTTGAGCAATGAAGGGTTGTAGATAAGGCTTCCGAAGCCGTCTGTTGTCGACCTGATTAGCCTCGCACAAGCTAATTCTTTCCGAGGGGGAGGTGATGCCTACAGATGAAAGTTCCCACAAATGCTCCGTCAGGGTCCCTGATAGCGGCCCAGACATCTTCCCAATGCGCCGGCTTATAGGGGTACAGCCGGCCCTCTCTCTTCCAACGGACATAGTCATGAACAGTTTGCAAGACCGCAATATCGGCACCATCAGTCCCGGTACGCTGGAACTGGCGGTTGACACGACTATCATGGTACTTGGATACATCGACGGTGAGGTTCAGCTCAATGTCAGGAAATCGGGCTTTCCAGGCATCAATGGTGGATTTGCCTTGGCTCACGGCTGTGAAATGTCAGTCATGAGTTGTCACCGGTGGATCATTATACGTACCATCGCCTCCCCAAAGAACAATGAGACTACCCTCTTCCTTCTTGGCCGCAGCGTAGATCTCGTCCAGTGTGCGGTGCTCGACCGCGGGAGAGTGTCCCGGGTACGAGTTCCACTCTGGAAATGCCGCAGCAGCCAGGCTGAGGAAGCCCCAAATAGGGAGTGCTGTCTTCATGCTGAGACTATTCACGACTTTCTCAAGATACATCCAGTGGTTGAAAGGGTATGTTCAATCCAGAAGACTGGTGGAAAGGTGTACCTTATAAAGCGATATACAATACCTTACGGAACAATTCCGCACAGATGACCAAGCTGCGTAGTGGTCGAAACCACAGCCCTGTTGATGACCAACGAACATCGAATCCTCAACCACTAAGATTGAGAAGATCAGGACAATGATGGTGCAATCCCAGACAGAGATCCACTTTTTTTCAGGCTGCAGTTGTTCAAGGTTCTGTAGGATGAGCTAAGTCCCGTGTAACATGCTTGAGGTTAACTTAATTCCTGAAGGATTCGGCATTTTGGGAAATATAAACGAGAAGCTATCCCGTAAGGAACGAGTAGATAGACTTGTACTGAACATAAACTTTCTCATGCGCTTCCCAAGTGCTTTCAATTGGGCCTCATTTCCCCATTGACCAGAGCCACGGTTACTTTCCGCGCAAATACAGATGGTGAGAGAATTCAACGAGAATCAACTTCTTCACTTTGCCACATTTCCACTAACTAATGGCGGTTGAAAAGCTAGTTCTTTGACAGACCCACAAACTTCCCGCTCCGGGGAAATTACGGCGGTGCCTAAAGTTGCCGATTGGGTTCTGGATTCATAGCCTAGGGGTCATCGACGCTATCGCGCGTTTAAAGATTCAAATAGGTATGATAGTCGACGGACCATTTTGGGCGATGTTGCACCTAAGTACGGGCGTACGTTGGCTTATGGTAAAACCGGAAATTCGATGGGTAGAAGCTGATATTGAGTTTGTTAATTACCTGTATGTTATCGGGTTTGATCATGCTAAACCCTTCTGTATCATCAAACACCAACGAGGGGAAGCTAATTCTTCGAGGAATATTCAGGCTACTCGTGTATAGGTCGCTGCGGCTAGTATAGTACCTCCTTTTCGAGAAAGTTCCTTCCTTGCTTCGTTCTTCCTCTTCTTGTAGTTTGTTTTCATGTATATTGTTTCTTTTTGAAAAGGGAGGAAAGAAGAAACAGCGAGAGAGGAAGAAGAGTCTATATTGATAGAGAGTGAGAGCCAGAAAATAATATACCGGAGGCTCCTCGATGGAAACAATTGTTGGTCGTTTGTTTTATAGAGCTTACAAGCCGGGCCAGATATATATGTTTCTATAAGTTCAGCAGGGACCACGCACCGCAGTGGTCAAAGGCGATGAATCGAATAACGAAAAGGAAGCCTTGAGCAACAATACATCTAATCGGTAGATTAATGTAGGAAGAAACGAGGTCTTCCATAGTGTTGCGCACCTAAAAGATGCCTTAAGAGAGAAGCAAACGGCGAAATTCTTGGCATTTTGCCTTAGGCGAACGCCAAGAAATCCGAGATAAATGGATTTGGGAGAGAGACGTGACTTTCTACAAATACTACCTATCGTCTCAAAATTCAAACCATGGGCCAAAGAAAAAATTTCTTTGGTATTGAAATAGTAAAGGCTACTATCGCACCATCTGGCGTTATCACTGAGGGTGAATAAGAGGTTAGAAAGGGCGAGTACAACTATGCAATTTGTTATTTAGTCGATTCCAACGGTTGAAGTATAGCGAACAGCTATTTCCGCCCGCTTAGCCATCTTCCTCGAGACAAACATTGAGACTGACAGAGTATTCGACAGCTCTTACGAGCTCAAACTAAACTGAGATATCCACTGCTGGATCCCAAAGAAACCTCGTGGCAGGGGCACGGTCATAATGGGTTGAGCGATTATTGCCCAATCTATGGGATGGCAAAAGAGTCGAAGGATTTTAACCCGTGGCTGACCACCCTAGCAAACAAGCCGGGGTGTTGAAAGTGGTGAAGGTCTGGTGCGTTATCCACCCCGAGGGTTTGAGGGCATGATTTGAATAGAATCAAATGGAGAGGTACGTACGTAGAATTTCGACTTGCCTTCAAACCCCGCCGGGCCCTTCCCTTCCCCTCATCATCCTTGCCCCTCATTATTTCGCCGGCGGACATCCCACAGGGTAATGACTGACTCGAGTTTTTAGCCCGATCAGCCAGCCACCAATTAATGAACCTGCATCTAGTGCTGCATGCTCCCTTGGCGCTTTGCAGGCCCAGGTGATTAGGTAGAATTTTCCGACAGCTCGGTCGCCGAGCCTATAAGGAGATGGTTGCCTCAAGATCTGTTATTGCTGTGGGGGGATTCATATCCTAGGTGTACTTTTGGGATGACGGCGTGTCCTGCAAGACGTCAAGCGCCCCAGGCTACAACTCGTGAGTGTTGTGAGTGCATAGACCAAGAACTATGGGGTGAACGAAAATCCGCCATCCGTAGTGCTTCAGTGTCCTTGTCTGTTTAGGAAGTCACCGGTTGATCTCTGTCGACTCTAAATCTCGCTAGGAGCAGATACCGCTACCCTTGACTACACTTTGTACCATCGCGGGAAAAGTACCTGGAAAAAAGAAATAGCTGAGTTCCCTCTGTCGCCCGCCTTTTCCCTCCAAATAAGTTCCTTAGCATCTCGCAATTCCAATCTATTATTTACATAATCGCTACCACTCCATTCAACAGAGACAGTTATATGGCTAAGACAGCCCTATTGTATTCGAGCTGTGAATAAACATCAAGGTTCAGTTTCCGGAAATAAAACACGATAATTAGTGTTCCGGGCCCTTCCCGGCGCCCTGCGCCCGGCTAGTCCGACCGATCAGTGGGTCCGGCTTGGCAAGATTAACTTCAGAGATTTTTTTCATATCACACTCAACACTCACACCACTGAACGTTGATCATCAGTCGAGACCACGATGGACTCGTTTGCGATGCAACCTCCACTGCAGTAGCGAAGCTCACCCCTCATTTATCCCAGGGTTATATTCCATCCTCGTCATTTGCAGCTCTTACCAGTACCCGAGTGACATGGATGTGAGGATGAATCTAGGGAAGTTCGGGCCATAGATTACGTATGTGCCGGAGGCAATGACGCATATCTCGCTTGCATGGATGCATATTCTTGCTGCGCCATTTTGCGACCGCTTCCGAGCACATAATATAGTTGGGATTGGCTTGTCTAAACATTGGTTACCTCACTGGTCATAAGTCTCAAAAGATGAGACCAATTTCAGTCTCAGTTGCTGTAGGTATGGCTGTGAACAAAAGCATTGAAGATTTATGGCTAAACCAATTTCATGTATCTGTTTACAGCCAAAGTTTTAACACAGTACTCACAGCGTCGATTCGGGAGGGTTAGGAACAGTCAACGACGCTCATACATGAAATTGTCCGCTGCAGTTGGCAAAGGTCTGGCGTCAGCCAAATCGAAGAATGTGGGTTTGAAATCCATAAATCAAAAGTGCCTCTTGATCGAGTTGCCAGGGTTCGTGGAGCTGAAGAGTGGATCGGTCAAGCCGGGCACAGCGACAGGCGGCGAATGATCCCGACTCCGTATAGTGAGCAACAGGGGTCTTCGACTGCTGCTTAGGCCTACTTATGCAGCATCACTTCTAGCTTGCCACTGGATATATGAAGTAACTGCCCAAACCTTCTCCTTTTGAACACATCGGCGCTCGTTCACACATCGCAGAAGCGGGGTATCGAAGGGCTCCCTTCTCCCATACTAACACAACACCCACAATGACTTGATTCTGAGCACTTCGTACCCCCACCAATATAGCTGCATCTAGTGCGTACTGTATAGCTCTAACCTGCAGGACGGAAATGCCTCAGAGCGGGGAATAAAACATGAAGTATGCAGGCAAAGCAGAATCAGGAATTGATCAACAGACGATGTCGGGGATGGCGAATTTGTCGCCACCGCGTAATGGGAGATATTGCTCAAGACGACCTTGAAGGTACCTCAAAGCAATATAAAAGGGTCGGGAATCCTGAGAAAGGAGTACCCAACAGAGAGAGAAACTCAATCAAAATATCATTCTCGAATACTCGTGCAAGCAAACATTCGCCATGGATGCCACCGACTCCTTCCTATCCAACGCGAAATATGGATATGACTTTGTCGTTTCCACCACCCAGGCGAGCATCAATTCGGATCTTCTTCTTTTCTTGAGCGAGAGCCAGCAGCCCGTCCAATACCTCTGCTTCCTGGCCGATGAGAATTCCAACCCCACGAATATGATAACTTTGGACGAGTTACTCAAGCTCACGGACAACATCAATCCGTTTGATATTCCTAAGGGAACGGATTACGCGGACGCGAAGATCACCAAGCTTACGGCCGCCAGGTTCATGGTGGGTATTCAGATCCAAATGGGGTTGCCGCCCGGTGTTATGCCAAAGAACCTTCCTCCTATTGTTGATCTCGGAGACGATGCCAAAACTGTTAAGTTCAACATGTTCTGCTCACAGTTTACCGTGATTGAAAATACCCCTGGCAATGGGTGGACCCCGGGAACATGGAATGTCTGGAGCCAGCCGTCCGGAGATCCGTGGTATGTGCAAGTGAACGTCGACCTTGTTGTGGCCGACCTTGACAAGGAGCTGGACACTCCGTACCTGAACAACCATCCGGAACTGAAGGCCCAACTGAAGGCTCAGCTTATGAATCTGTCAAGTACGGCCTTTAGCTTGCAGCAGCTAGTGTTTGATCTGGACAATGCTGTCTTGCAGACAGTGCCTCGGTTTGAGGGCATCCCGGCAGGCTCTCAGGCAGAGGGCATACTACAGCGGTCGTTTGTATCCACCTACAGTGACATTGCAAAAAGCTTCGGACTGCCTCTGGTCTCAGTTACTGCCGTCACGGGAACCCCTGATACTTCACAGCTGCAGATGACCAGCTTTGAAAGACAGGTCAGCCCTCTCAAGGACAAGAATGGCGTTGTGATCCCTAGTCCGAGTGATTTGCAGAAGTCTGCCACCACACTTGACCATCTCTGTGCCATTGACAACAAACCGCTTCCCGGCGTCTCAAGCTTCAACTGGAACTGGGTGCTACCCGAGAACATCAACGACAAGAGCGGTGTGGTTGCGATCAACCGGAACATCATTGCTCAGAATATATTTGACCAATTAAGGCCCGCCGCTCAAAGCTGCTGTCTGCGCATAGAACCTGAAGTTCATGCCGATTGGTACTGGGCCACAGGGAGCTTCGATGTGGACATATATGGAGACCAGACCCCCGATACTGCCCAGGTCACCGACAGCGGCTCCAAAGTGGCCCTGATTCAGTACTCTTGTGCTAAAAGTGACGACAGTCAGTCAGGCGCAACGTATTGTGTCCTCGATGTGACATCGAGCTACACCTGCGAGGTGTACTTCGAGGAGCAAACCATCACTGTGAAGCAGCACCTTCTCGTATCTCTCCATGCTCGAGTTGACTGGGAGTGGGGAGATGCCAACGTCTTCGACAAAACAATCACCGATGAATATACCATTTCAGTAGACGACTATGGTCGTCTCAAGATTGCCCGGACCAAGTCAACACCAGAGGACAATTCAACTGACACCGACTTGAATTTCTGGAACAATCTCTTCTCTGGTATCAATGGGGTCTCCGATAAGATCAAGGAAAAGGTTACCTCGTTTGCAGCCTCTGAGATGAAACCAACTACTCTTGATGGAATTCAAAACTTCGTCTTCCCAGGGGGTAAGGTGTTTACTTACAAATCCCCCTGTTTCTCGGCATATCAAGACCTAGGGTGCGACATTGTCTACGTTGACCCTGCCAGCAGTTTGAAATCCCGAAGGGGAGTTAGGAAAGCGCTGGAGCCCTCTGAACCCACTCTAGGATTGGCATCTTCATCCGATATGATGTTGAACTACGTTCAGGGTGAAATTGTGTCGCCGACAAACAAATTTGAAGCGCTACAGACACAGGATGGCCATGCACTCGTATTTGCAATTGACTCATCCGGGGTATTCCACGTCATTCAGGAGCAGAGCGGCTTGACAAGCACCGGATGGCAGCTTCATGATCTATCCACCGCAGTCATTGAAGCTTACTTCCCGGGGAAAGCTGATGCTGTGGTCCGAACATTTGATGTTGGCCAAAGTGCAATCGATGGCACTATTAGTCTAGCAATGGCTGTCTCTTCTGGTGGAACGGATAATCTATTCATGTCGTTGTTAAACCCCAGCGGAGATACCTCCTGGGTTGACAGTCCACGCTGGACCCACGTTCCCTTCGATGCCGTGACCGAGTGGCCTGACACTATCACCATCACTGGCATTCTGTTTGCTGAGCTGTCCTCGTCTCAATACTTGATCGTTGACTTGGACCGTCTCAATGATTCTGCAGTGAAGAACATTGTGCGCTATTACATCGACCCATCCAAAGAAACCGGGTGCTTTTGGGTGAAACATGACGTGCCAGTGGATATCGAAGATGGCAATTACCAGAGCTGCGTTGGCCGGGTCAGCAATGCCTGGTCCGACGGTGTGTACACACTGGGGACCGCTCATGACGCTCCTCAGCTTGTGTATATGCCTTTATTCAATGACTTTGGGCCAGGACCTGTTGCTCCACGCCGACTTTCTCTCCCTGGCTCACAGGTTCCCTCGGCGATCACGACTGCACGCAATGGGGATAAGTCGTCCAGTTTACTTGCAACAACAGATCTCTACGCCATTAGCGGCTCATCGCTTTACTATTTCGCTGCCAACGCACAAACTGATGGGGCAACGGCGATCCCCCTCATCACCAACGATTTTCTTTCTGGAACCGACACTCTGCTCTCCATGATGAGTGATGGGGTGACTACCATTTGGGGCAAGAATAGTAGCAACGAAGTCTACTATGTCTCTTGTCTCAACACGGAGTTGACAAAGCCTGGGTCGTGGAGTACACCAGTCCCCATTTTGACAAGCATCGAGCGGATATCTGCTTACGTCAATCGGATAGATGGGGGGAACACCATATTCGCGTCAGGCAGTGGACGGCTCTTCGTACTAACTCAGGCTACGATCACCGATGCCAAAGTGTGGCAAGCACAAGATATCAAGCTGGCAGCCCCTGTAACAGCGGAACCGCTGTCCTTCACCTCTTACACCACGAATATACAGGTAACGGACACAGAGAAAGATGCACCACCTGGCAAAACCACCCTGAGCATTGCCGCCGAGGTTCGCACTCCCGTCTATATGAATGGACTCTACTATGTGCTGGGACCCGACCCCGTCAAAGTGACCACGGACGCCGGTGGGTCATTGTCTGTGATTCAGGCAACCCAGGACCTCAACGCGGTAACCATCACCGCCACACTTGATGGTGGAAGCGTGGGCACTGTGGTCAATCCGATGGATAAATCGTTCCAGAAGCTCACTAGCCTGGATTCCGCGGACTCGCTTCGCGCTGCAAGCTTCCCGACTAATACCATTGCCGGGGGTGTTCTTGAAGACACCTCGTCTACGCCTCTCGTGGCCCCCTCGACTGACGATGACGATGTCAAAACAATCGCTTCCCACATGACCAATCTCCAGACCCTGTATAACAAGGCCCCGTCAAAGAGCGTATTGGTTTTCAAACATATGAACAGACAAAGACGCTCGGTTCTGCGGCCCGTCTCATCGACAGTCCCGGCACAACGGGTCGTTCCCTCGACAAGATTTCTCGTCTCTCGCAACGTGACCGGTATTCTAGACGATATCGCCATCGCAGCCGGTGACCTCTTTCACTGGCTCAAATCAGGAGTAGAAGCTGTGATAGACATCGTGCGTGACGCTGTCAGCGATACCTGGCACTTTATCGCCACCATCGCCGGTAAGGTATACCGTGCAGTCTTAGACACCGTGGACGCCATTGTGGGGGCCGTCGAGTGGGTCTTTAATGCGATAAAAACCGCCATTGAGGATCTGATTCACTTTATTGAGTTTCTCTTCAGCTGGAACGACATCAAGAGGACCAAGAATGTGCTCCATAACGTGGTCAAACTGTACGTGCAGAATCAGGTGGATCAAATCCCCCGGGCTAAAGCCGCCTTCGATGCCCACGTTGCAGAGGCCGAGCAGACGTTGGGAAAGTGGGCAAAAACCGACTGGACCCCAATCGGCTCTGCTGCCAGCCAGCCAGCATCGGGTAATACCTCTAACCCAGCCAAGGGTCAGACCTCGGGCTCGCGTTTGCTGGCGGACCACTTCCAGAATCAAGTTCATCACGTTAGTATCCTGGGTGATCTCCCGTCGCAGGATACTGTTCAGAGCCTCGTTGATCGACTCTTGACTGGGCTATCCAACGAAGGTGCCGTCCTCGGACAAGTATACAGCCAACTTCGAGACCTTGCTAGTCAGTTCAGCAGCCTAAACGTGGGTGACGTCCTCAAGAAGCTTGCCGTGATATTAGCCGACGGCGTGTTGTCCAGTGCCCAGGTGGTGGTTGATGCCTTACTGGATGTCCTCCAAAGTGTTGCAGAATCAGCTACCGGCCTCTTGGATACAAAGATGCATATCCCAATCATCTCGGACATCCTGAATGCAATTGGTGTTCCTGACATCAGTTTCCTTGATCTATTCACCTGGATCGCCGCCGTTGGATACACTGTGGTTTACAAGATCGCAAATAATGAAGCCCCCTTTCCCGATACCAGTGAGGTTGGCGCCATTATTTCTGCGTCAAGCTGGGATGATCTGACGGCTTTGTTTCAGCCAAAGTCTGTCAAGAAGGTCAACAGTATAGTAGGACGCACTGCAACTTCGGCATTGATCACCCTCCCACAGGCCGTGCAGAGCGCACTCTTCATTGCCTCCCACGCCACCGCTGGATTTATGCTTTTTGTCGGCGACATCGTGGGCTCTCTAGAAGCAGAGATCATAGCAGGCGAGAACCCGTTCTCGATTCCTTCTGCTGTCCTGGGAGTTATCGTCGCTGCGTTCGAAGGTGGCGGCAATGCCCTGGTCCCGAAAGCCCCGATTGAAAACACCGCCGTCAAAGTCATCTCCGACGTAACGACCGCGGCTACTGTCACCAGCAAGATTGTTTTCAGCGGCCCCGTTCAGAGCAAGCTCGCAGCATCCAGCAGCAAGTTCTCTGGACTCGCAGTCGACGATGGCCGTGCAACGGGCGCAATTGTGAACTCTATCCTGATTATTCCTGCGTTATTTGTTACCGGATGGCACTTCTACGAGTTGAATGGGAAGCCGGAGGGAGCTGAACGATCTGCTGCGATTGTGGGTGAGGTGTCGAGTCTGACCTCGTACATCTCCCGTGTGTCATATGCTGTGGCTGTCAATGACATGGATCCCTCAACTCGACAGATTCCTATCGGTGTTATGGCGGTCAGTAACCTCGTTGATGCCGGATTACAGACGGCCGAGTCTATGATTCACTAGGGGCGGCATTATGTTTGTATAAAGTTCTGTCCAGTACCAGATAACGATTTCGCCTATTCCATTAGACATGGTACCGAGGCTGGGTGGATGGGACATGTGAACGTTCGTTGCTGAATCTGATCTTTGTACCTAGTACACATCAGTCAACGAATCTTTCTTTTCTTCCACCCATCAAATGTGGTGTCTCAAAAGCAGGGCAATTTAGCGTGATGCACATTCATGTTCTGGTCCTCCATTCCAGCTTTCCCTTACGGGACGGACACCAATCTGTATTTTCATTATTTTATAATCTGCATAGTAGTGAGAGAACGCAGTAATGAATTCAGGATACAGGGAATACCGCTAGGTAATGGGCATTCTATTCCGAAGTATGGAGTGTCGAGTTCACATGGCGTATGTCAAAGCTAATACATGTTTAGGTATAGATTACGTATCGACTGTGAGGTATAAAGATGGGTAGGCTTATCAGGCACAGTAACATTGTCCTTTCGCTCGGCTATGTATGTTTACCACTCAACACCTCCGCGACCCTCGCCTCATAATTAGCTTTTAGTGTGGAAAGCGCGGTAAATTGTTGGCTGGATGACGACTACCCGGTAGGGCTGCGCAGAGCTTGCAGATAAGACATCGGGGCTAAAGATGCCAAGTGAACAGGGCCTATACGAGGGACTAAGGTAATCTTGTCCATTCTGTGAGTTTTCCAGTGTTGCTTGCTGCATAGTTGGCTTGGCCCCTTGATCCTAGAACACCGGAAATCGACGACAACATGATGAAGAAGTCCATGCCGGAGGGAAGCTGTTGATGAAGATTCCAGGTGCCCTGGACCTTGGGAGAAATTACTTCCTGCCAAGCCTGATGGGTCATCGATTCGAAACTGGAATCCCGCAATACCATCGCGCATTGAATGCATCCTTTAAACGGAGGCATGCGTTCTTGGCACTCGGACAAGGCCCTCGCCAGAGAGTCCGCGTCCGCGACGTCGCATCGGGGGATCATAACACTTGCACCCTTGGCGGAAAGTTCTTGCAACAATTCCGCGGCCTTGGCACTGCGAGCACCGGAGCGCGAGAGAAGTAGCAAATTGCGGGCACCCCGATCAACCAGCCAGGTGGCAATCGTACGACCGAGACCTCCAAGCCCACCTGAAATGATGTACGTACCATTGGCATCCAAGGAAGTACTAGGATGAGTCTGCAATACAGTCTGTGAAATTGTCAGTATAGATTTCAATAGATAGAGGTGAGTTTCGACGGGGCCAGTCTTACCGTGACTTGGTCATCCTTCCGCATTTCAATAACTATCTTGCCAATATGTTTACCACTCTGCATCGTACGGAAGGCCGACTCCATATCACCAATACCGTAGAGCTGTACATCTCGTGCGGGTTGGAGCCTGCCTTCCGCAATCATCTTGAACACAGAATCCAGTGCCGTGGCACAAACATCCGGTCGGTCAGTCATCATTGATGCCAGATTAATAGCACTGAAAGAGACGTTGTGGAGGAATTTGGCCATGGGTAGACGATCATTCGCTAGGATGTCTTTGATTCCAATCTCCAGGAAGCGTCCGTACGGAGCGATACACTCCCAAGACGTCCTCAGGCTTTCACCAGCCAAGGAGTTGAAGATAACATCGACGCCACGACCATGGGTTCGGTCTTTGACAGCAGGACCAAATAGGGTCGACCGGCTCGAGAATATATGGGACTCTGGAATAGCGTAAACCTCCATGAGGAATTCCTTCTTCCGCTGAGACCCTACCGTTGCGAAGACCTCCACTCCAAGGTCTTGTGCGATTTGGATTGCTGCTTGCCCAGTACCACCGGCGACGGCATGAATCAATATTGTCTCGTTGGCCCGCATACGAGCCACTTCGTGGATCGCAATGAAGGCAGTCGCAAAGTTAACTGGAACAGCAGCCGCATCGCTGAAGGAGACATTGCGCCCGGTCTTCACCACTGCCCCAGTATCACGAACGCGGATGAAATTTGAAAAGCAACCCTTATTGAGCAGAGCGACGGGATCTCCAACTTGGAAACGTTTGCACGCTTCCCCGGTCCGAGTAACGATACCCGAGCATTCAAATCCAGTGTGTGGTGAGTTCAGCTGACCCACGGCAATGAGCACGTCGCGGAAGTTGACACCAGAACACTTGACTTGGATTTCCATTTCATTGGGCGCCAAAGGCTGACCGGCAAGTTCGTCTTCAATGAACTTGAACCCGCGAAGAAGGTTCGAGTTCGCACTGTCAAGTTGAAGGGGAATGCCGCATTCAAAGCTCTGTAACTTGTTGTGCTTTAAGGCCGTTCGAGAAGACATTTCTTCATTCACTGAAAGTGGAGCCACCAATCGGGGAATATGCAGCAGGCCATCATGCTCGACATACTCGGTATCAACAATCGCATTTTTCGCCGCCGCCTCGAGCAGCGATTGAATCACCTTTGTTGTATGGTCAACCATGTCCTGTTGCTGTGGCCCACCGTTTCGGGGATCCAGTGAGAGCACATAGCATTTCTTGCGGTCGTCCTCCGCAGAAACTGCCCTGAATAGCCCGTCTGCCACCCTATAGTGAGGATGCGAGTTTGACAGACCTCCGCCGGAGTTTATCCACAGCACGTCAGTAGTCGAGCAAAATAGGTGCTGCAATGTAAAGAACTGATCAGGTTCCATTTCATGCAGCGTTGGTCTTTCCATATCAAGCAAGAATATGCGCAAGGAAGGGGCGCTCGAGCCTGCCTCTGGGACGTCTTCAATAGTTAAACAGTTGACTGATGACTTGGTGAGCGGCTGGCAATGCGATGCAAGAACCTCAGCTGTCTCAGCCTGTCTTGACGAGTGTTTGCTGTAATAAATCTCGATGTCTGAGTCCAAAGTCGCAGCCTGGCTTTCCTCGACAGCGGTTGCGACTAATATGCTGCACTCCCAGCACCGCGGGTCTTCGTAATCCTGCAGGGATAGGTCTACCCCTGAGAAGCCAGTCTGCTGGAGTAGATCGTTCCATTGACTAGTTTCTACACAGGGGCCGAATTTGCGGTATGATTCGGAGCCTGAACGCATTAGCCAGAGGCCGATTAGTATGCGCTGAGGTAGAAGCACTTACTCAACCACCAGCCTTCCAGCAAGCCAAATATGAATGACGTCCGAAGAATATCTGGAGCTACAAGCTCATTCAGGACAAGCTTTCCGCCTCTGCGCATAGGTCATTAATATCAAAAGGGGTTGTATAAAGAAACAGAGGCACATACGGCTTCAGCAGTTTCCGAGCATTTATCAAAGTTGTCTTCGGATCATGGGTGGCGTGGAGTACCTGTATGACGAGGGATTGTCAACGACTTTGTGTGAAAAAAAAAAAAAAAAAAAAAAAAACCCGAACATGTCTGTCTTTCATACCAGAGATGCGACAACCATATCATACGTTCCACATTCGAATCCTTGATCGCTTGGTTCGTGCTCAATATCGAGCGAGTTAAACTTGACGCGGTCCCCCTCAGCCTTGAGAAGGTCCTGTGCTTGACTGAAGAAGGACCGGGAAATGTCGGTGAAGTCCCATCGGGCATACCGTCGCTCACTAGACTCATCATCCGTGCGACCAAGGGATCGCATGAGGATGTCCGTTATGGAACCAGTGCCAGCGCCGACCTCAATGACCCGCAATTCATTATTGTGATTAGAAAGGACATCCAGGTATGTACCAAGTCGGTGGACACCGACAGTATCGTAGAGCTAGAGATACCGATGTCAGTGAATCCCAAATGATCGGAAGGCCAATACCTACAGATTCAAAATAAAAGACCTTTAGCTGGGTTCCTCCAAACAAGAAAGCCAAGGGGTCTATCTCTCCATTGAGAAGTTGTGGGAGATTTCGTGAGACATTAGCCACGACATATCCTCGGGCATTAGCCTTGGATATGCGCTCTTCGACCTGCTCAATGAAGAGGGGGTCGTTAAGCCGACTGATCCACGGTTCATGCGCGAAAGCAACTTCAGGATCATTCATCCGTCTCTCTTGCTCAATCATCCAGTCAACGTATTTTGCCAAATGTGGCTGTGGGGGGTTGTATTCTTGCTTGCGCAGGTCCGATAATGTCCTCAGGATTCGCGCGAAAATGACGAATGCGAGCTCTGCGAAAAGGTCACCTAATTCGAAGTTGTCCGGTTTCGAATCAGTGCAGAGTTTGAGCACCTGCGCGTTGGTGAGCAGCTGGGGGTCCGGCTTCCATTCTAGCTGGTGGCATCTTTGGGCTTGCAAGCTATCTTCCCCAGTGCCTGTGGCATTCGTATCACTAATCACATTCATTTGAAGACCAGTGACGTCGACCAGAATATCCTGGAGCGTGTTATCAAAGGCACGAATATCACCGAGAATCCGTAATCAGGGTCATCGAAGCGAGTGGAATGTGTTCGAAGAAGCTCCGATCGTGAACTCTGAACCAGTCTTTCATGAGAGATCCACATTTTTTCTAGGCTTTTAGGAACGACTGTCGGGAACATCTCAGTTCCAGACTTCGACAGCGTCAAGAGCGCTGTCTGGATCACGCTGTCAAGAGTTGTTGGATGTATAGTTTCATTGCCCTTCTCGCCACGCCGTACCTGGCTCACGACCTGGTAATCATCGTCGCGGTGAAACGACAGGTTGCTGATCAACTGAAAAGCCTCGCCATAGCCGAGTCCACACCGTGACGTAAGGTCATATAAAGCAGTACTGTCCATTGTTAGTGTGGCTTTGCGTTGCGCATCGGAGTAAGCTTTCACTTGGCCAGCGAGCAGCTCTTCGGATATTCTTTCGTCCTCCTGAGAAGGCGAGGAATCAGTCCTGCTATACACAATTTGAATTAATCCAGCACAGCATTCAATCCAATTGCCCTCGTCATAACTGCAAAGCCGGAAGTTGAACCAACTCGGGCTTTTGGAAGTGGGATCCTGAACAGGACGCATGAAAAAGCCAGTTTCAATACAATTTTTGTTCGAAGGAATGCGCACTTTTGCATGCAAGGTCAATGGCCACCAAGCTGCTTGAGCAGGCCGTGTCGATGGTGCCACTGGGACCAAGAAGGTTAAAGAACCAGCTCACGCGATTCGAAAGCATGTTAGCGCATGTTCCGGTGGCACCAAATTTAGGGCCGTCCAACGTATCCCTAGTCATCATCGTCTGGTAATCATACGCAGATGCGCCGGTGAAGACGCAGGTCTTCGAGCGGGACAGCTGTTCCATGGTCAACCCCGCGCTTTCTACAGCGCGGTAAGAAGTTTCCAGGGTCAGCCGTTGCTGCGGATCCATCGCGGCAGCCTCCGCAGCCGTGATGGAGAAGAAGGGGGCATCAAAGAGGCTGGAGTCTTCGGTGAGGAAGTGGCCTCCGCGATTAGACACCGAGGCAAGGCGGTTTGGGTCGGGGTGGTAATGGGCATCGATATTGAAACGGTCTGCTGGAACCTCCTTCGATGCGCATCTCCCCTCGATGATCATATTCCAGAATGCATCGGGGGACACAGCATCTTCCGGGAATTTCAGCGACAGGCCTACCACGGCCAGAGCTGGGAGGGAGTCATGCAGTAACTCGGGCATGGTGTGATTCATAGAAGGCTTTTTGAAAAAGATTGTTGAAATTCTTCCTGGGCAAAGGGATTCTGCGAACAGACGGCAAGGCCCTTTTCTAAATGAGTTTCTGTCTAGCGACACATGACTCCCGTTGATAAGCGCCTTCTCACCATTGCGCCTTGGTGAACGCGAACCCGTGAGTCCAGACACAAGCTTCATTGACCGACGGACGATCACTGCTTCATCGGGTCAGATTCCACCAATCCGTTCGATTACCTGCAGAGAATACTGAAATCTCCCAGTCCGGTCCGTGTCCATTGCATGATAAGCTCCCGATAAGACCCGTCTATGGAAACAAGTCGTGGGGCCAATGATCGTGGCAAACTCAGCTAATTGTGCAGGAGGCGCGTTGAGCCACTGGTCGGAAAGACGTGCGTTGGTCCGATCGCTAGATACAAGCGCAATGCTCTGCGGTGTGGACTTGAATATACAACCAATCGGCATCATTACAACTGCGTTTCCGGCAGTGGAGTAGGGGACATCCGCTTCGCGTCGAATGAAGGTCGATCAAAGCGCGTGTGGTGGAGTTGAGAAGAGGAGCGGAGGAGGAAGCGGAATGGCAAAAGTCTCGCCGGTCCTGTGTTCCGATGATGTCAGCAGAGTTACTACGGCGGATAGCAGCGGCCATGTTGAAAAAACGCGATTTGTTACTAAAGTTAACAACACCCTATAGTGGATCTGCCGACAAAATAAGAAGTCATTAATTTGTTCTATTATAAAATTATACATATATTAATATGTAATTTGTTTGATTTCATTTTTCGGTTATTGATTTTAAACATTATATAAAGATACAAATTCTTGTTTAGATATTATATATAAATATTTCATACAATTGAAATGTTTATCACAAAAAAATAATTGAAATTGTATATATTTAATTCAATACAATTAAATTATTTCGATTCAAATGAGTTGACATTTGAACAAAAATAATTTTATTTTTTTTTCTTTTTTTTCGAACGATGAATCTTCAATCTTAATATTATTTTTAATTAAATTTTTTTATATTTCTTTAATTTCATTCTTAATAACAAACGATTCATCTTCAATGATAATTGATTCATTTTCAATTAAAAACATTAAATCATTATAAATTTTCTTAATCAAAATCTGACATACAATTGCAAATTTTTTATTTTTTTGTATAATTATTTATATATCATTTCAAACAAAACAATTATTATTTATATCAAATTATTTACAATTGACATATATTTTATCGAATGTATCTAATAAATAACAATATTTAAAAAATTAATTTTTATAATCGACAAAATATCTAATGTATAATTTAAATAATCAGATTTTTTAAAATTAAATAAATAGAACATTTATATATAAAAGACAATGCGATACAATCTGTAAAATTTAAATTTTATTTTATAAAAATTTCACATTATAAATCAAAAAAACAAACATCTTCTTTTGTATACAATTATACATATATAGATTCAAAAATTTTGATATTTTTATAAAAAGTATTAAATAACGATTTGATTAAAATTTTTTATATATCTAAATAAAATATTTGTGAATATTTAATACAAAAAAAATAAAATAATTAAAAATAACAAAATGATTATGATCAGCAAAATTATATGAAATTATAATAATATTAATATTTTATTTAATTTTGTTTTTTTTGTACAAAAATTGGAAAAGATTCAAAAATAAAATTTAATTATTATATTTTTAAATTTGACACGTACAGAGACATGATTAATAATAAAAAAAATAATGATGATTGTGATAATGAAATTGCTGAAAAAAAAAATGAATAGAGTGGGTTAACCTGACCGCTGTACCTTAACCATAACCTGACCATAACCGCTCGGGTAGGTTACGGTATGACGGTGCTCATAACCGCCGTGATACGGGTAGGTTAAAAGACAGGGTATATTTTACTTCCCATTAACCGTCAGTGAAGTAGATCAGATTAAAGCAATTAGATTAAGTACCGCAGATTAATCAATAATTAATACATTCTGATTACTCTCTGTATTTTACAATAAATAATATATTTTTATTTTACAGTATTAATGATTTCATGATCAATAATATGATTCCATTTTCCGAGATGCTTCGAGAATGATGTTATTTGAATTTTTTACTTTGATACGAACATTGAAAAACAAAAAAAAAGCAATATTTATTTTTGAATATCTATTTTTTATACTGTTCAGAGCGTCGTGCATAATGTCAAAATGATCGTATTATTTTAATTGTGCATCGGGTTTCAACAGATTCTAGCAATGTTTCATTTTTTGGATTCTCATTTAGATTATCTATATTCTCGTCATCACTGATGTAGAAAAGAATATTATTCATGTTATTAAATTTTTTTAAAAAACAAAAACAATAGAATTTGAATCAATTTCATCAAAAATATCATGATATTCTTTGTTAATAGTAAAACGATTGATACACATCTGCAGTATAATAATTTTAATTATATTGAAATGTAGTTGATTCCGACAATAGTGACAAATATCCCGGAAGCTATTGAAAAGACATTCAACATTAACATCATTTGTTGTGATTGTTAGAAAGTTTCTTGTCATATAATAAAAAATCAGAAATTGATTTTGACGAGATTGTCAGTAAATGATAATATTAGTTTGACTTGTAATATCTTATTATTAATAAGCAGAATAAAGACATAGATTTATCAATAAAACTATTTATTTTCAACATCAAGATAGATTTTAAGCTTTTCAAAGATTTCTGCAAAGAATGCAAGCCTTTGTTGTTTTGAAAGATGAAAAAAAGTCTTGTTTAGATTAAACAATAGATTTGAAACAATTGATGATGTGTTCACATTAAGATTTTTGTCGCGGTAGTAATGAAAAATTTTTTCTAAAATTGTCCGATATTTTTGATATCAATCAACATCGTTATCTAGTCAAATAACAATTTTGAATTTCTCAAGTTTGAATGTGAGATCCAGAATAATTGCAATAACGTAAATATAATTTGTTGCTTGATATGTTTGCCGATAATATTTTCGAAACTTTTTATGAATTTCTTTCAAATCTTCAAGAATTTGTTGTTTTCAAAAAATTTGTTTGTTTCGAAGACAGTTGATTGCAAGATTCAGATAATCAAATAGATCGTCATAAATATTATAAATTCTATGAATAGTCGGGCCAGTATTCTTTGAAAGACAAAAAATAAAGATGTAAAAAGAATAAAGAAACTCCAGAAAATATTTCAACTGCTTTCATTCAACTGATGTAAAACGAAAATGATCAATATTTTGATTATTTCAGTGTTGAATGAAGCTTTCAATTGATTGACAAAACTTTAATGTTCTTTAAATTATAAAATAAACGGAATTCCATCGGGTCTTACAATCAAGAAAAAAATAATATACGGAATCAGATTCAAGGCGTTATATAAGTTGGAATCTTTCTTGACATTGAAAACTGACATTCACGAATTTAGTGATTTTTCGAATCTAAAGAAATTAAAGAAATTTATAAGATTTATATTAATATTAAAAAATTTACCAAGAAGATTAAATACCTTTTCAATGATTCGTAAGATATCATTAGATAATTTCAATGCTTCATCATCATAATCTTATACATATGAAACAGCATCATTCTCAATTGCAATCCATAACTTGCTTATAAAGGAGATAACAGCAAGTTGAATAACATGAGCAAGATAAAGAATGTGATATTGATTCCGAATGATTTTAGAAAGTTCGGAGTTGATAATAGTATCTTAAAATTGGATATTTTCATTCAATTGCGTGTGAAATTGCTTTGTAAGAAAGAAAAAAGGATATCATTATTATTCACATTGTCCGTCGTCACACCTAATAAACGATGACATAGATTATGTTTATGAAGAACAGAAAGTATAATATTAGCAAGGATTTCATTTGTATAAAGATCAAATACTGATCGGAAACTTAGAATAATCTCATGATAATCTATATTTTTCGTTAGAAAATATCCTATTAAAGCAAAAAATGTCTTTTGATTCAGACTTATTCAACAATCAATTACAATTGACATCTTATCCGACTATGAAAATCGCAAAAGAAACTGTGTATGTATTTCATCTGATAACTTAATTAATCTTTTTTTAATCTGCTTTCGATTTGGAATTTTTGATTTATAAAATAATGAAACAGTAAAAAGATTGATTATTCGTTTAAACTGAATATATTCGACGATTCGAAAGAACAGACAACAGACAATAATAAAACGAAGGACTTAATCACAAAAATCTTGATCGAAGAAGATGATTATAAAGTTTTAATAAAGAAATATTATTAATATAATTCATTATAAAAAAAAATACTTTACCGATGTTTCACTTAGCATTTGAATGATAATTCATTTAGATGTAATAAAAGAAGACTTCTTCTTACAACCTTTTCGAACATGATAGAACATTGAACTAGTCCCGAAATTCTCAACTAATGAATGTTGAAATAAATAAAAATAAAAAACATATAAAACACAAAAAATTTCATCAGAGAATTCCACAACTTTGTAAAATTCATTTCATACAGTCGATAATCTCTCCCGACCAAACTGAATTAATGGCTTTTTAATCTCTCTTCGTGTTTCGACAAAAAAAATAACATTCCATTATTTTTTGAAAAAGATAATCTTTCTGAATCTTTTGAATATTGAATGACCTTTTGATCTTTGGAAAAACGTATGAAAATAAGATCAAGAAACGAAAGAAAAAGTGAAAAATTATCAACCTCTGTCAAAGCCTTGTCATTCGTAAAAATCTATAAAATAGAAGAAAATGACATAATAATATTCTGAGAATCCAGATCAACTAAATATAATAAATTTGTTATAATAAAAAGTAATTCATTAAGAATGGTATAAATACTGAAAGATGAAAATGAAAGATTTTTAAGAAATATGATGCTGAATAAACAAATAAGAAGAACGCATCGCGAAACATGATTCAAAATGATATATCATATACAC